AATATAAGCGAACAGTGAAAAATTTGGAAAATACAGGGATATAATTACTCATTTTGAGTGTTTCCGTTGCGTACGCTCCGAAAACGGTTCAGGGTGCGCAAAAACGTGTACGAAATAATTATTCTCCTACAAATAATCTAAAAAACTACAGTGACAGTATGTGTCTATCTTTTAAGAATAAGTACAAAGAATCGGTAAATGATAATCAAAGTTTTCACACTTTATATGGCAAAATACTGTAAGTCAGTCTACTGTTGGCTTAGACTAGATTAGTAAAAAATAAAAAAAATATATGAATCTAATCTTTAGTCTCCCCGTGACCACGGCTGCTGCAAAGCATCAGAAACGTCGGGCCGTAGTTAAAAATAATTGTCAAACAAGTTTAACTAAAAATATATCGCGTTTTTTAACCGTTAAAGTGTTTTATTTAAATGTGTACTACTCGCGTAAACTACAGACAGTGTATGAATCTAATTTCGACAAAAACGAGCAATTGTCATTTACACATTACAAACAATTTTAACAACTATTTGAGGGTAGTTTTCTATATTAATAAAATGAATGATTAATGTCACTTGTACTGGGAATTGAGTCCGTTTTTGTTCGAAGCTTAATTACAACGAAGTTATGAAGCCGTCATAAAAATGTCGTCATTATGTAATGACTGTCGTAAGAACTTCCGGTGATCGAGGCGAATTATTTCAATAAGTATGTCGCGTTTTGTGGGCGCGCCTCCGCGACACCCACTAAGGGCTTGGAAAGTTGTAATATCGGTGTATTAAAAGCCTTAAAACGATTATACCAGAACTGGACTAAGTTGGTGGTAAATATCAAGTCGTATAGTAATACAAAAGTGAAATCCACGTGGGCATTGCTGTGTCCATTTCACTGATCTGATGTTATTTACAGGCATGATCGTACTTCTGTGCCCTGTCCAACCGAAAACAATTACTTAGATAGAGAGGCGGTCCGTTGTCATAATATTATTCTCTCTTTATTCTATGTTATCGAATTAAAACTATTAGTTGGAACTTTGGGTGCATTTAGATAATAAATAAACGTATTATTTTTTTATAAACATTTATACGAATGTATTAATTTCATTGTTTGAGAAATGGCCAGCCCACAGTCGATATAAAATTGAATTCAAATGCGTCGTCCTCTTATAAACTCAATATTATTTTTATTAAACAATGCGCGTTTTAGTATACTCTAAATAAGTAAAGTTGCGCCGGCGACACAGGACGTATGGCAGACAGATTTTCTTTTACAGACTTAGCTCATTCAGATCTAGATTCTAAATTAGGTATTTTATATCCACTACGATTTGAAAATAACCTAACAATAAGTACCTAATGTTTTATTTTCAGGCTTTTTATTTATTTGATTCGAACCCAGAATCTATCGTACTCGAGGTAATCCGTTACAGTATAGCCCAAACGAACGTATTTTTTACGATAATGCTCCACAAATCTTATAAACGAAATATTTGTTATCAATAATTAGTTAATTACTACGATATCCTAGATAATCCGTACTTTTATCATTTTTACATTACTGCGTTTCTGAAAGTTAAAATCGAGGGCAGAGCATGTTTAACAGGTAAACTGGGGTAAAGCCTATGGCGAAATGCGACCCAGTCAGTCTTGAATTATCACCGGTTTTTTATCACGACTAAAGACCGAGCTGAAGATAAATCATATTTAAATCTATCATATTTTATTTCTGACGCAAATGAGTCTTCATATTGTTAGGTTTATTTAGTTATCATTCCGATACCATTAAACCAAATACACAAAGCACATATAAATAAAACGCGATGTATTTTAGTTAAATTTGTTTGAAAATTATTTTTAACTACGGCCCGGCGTTTCGTGAGTCTCCCCGTGACCACGGCTGCTGCAAATCATCCGAAATGTCGGGCCGTAGTTAAAAATAATTTTCAAACAAGTTTAACTAAAATATACGCGTTTTAAACCGATAAAGTGTTTTATTTTAATGTGTACTACTCGCGTAAACTACAGACAGTATTTACGTATAGCAACATCTTAAAGAAATATATTACTTAAATTTTAGTAAAAACACTTAAAATAATTTGACCTCGTTATTTGAATCATAAATGTTTAAATTAATAGTAGTAGTATTGTTAAAGCACTTGACGTGGATTTTTTTATCTTGTTAGTTATTCGTTTCGTAAGTAGTAAAAATGGTCTACATGTTTTATAATATAAATTATAATGGTAAGAAAATAATAAATTTAAATTTATTTAAGTAAAAAATCTTTTTTATTTACACCATGAGTTCTTTCTCTTACTTCCTTCTAAGTCTATGCAAAGTTTCATTCAAATCCGTTAAGTAATCTAGAGCGCGTGCCGTATCACCGCTTGCGCATGTCAATGTAATACTTTACGTGAGGTGAATACGTTTGGCAAATATTTACATAAGCGAAGCTATGGTAATCCTTACAAATTATTCCGGTATTTCCATGTATTTTAACTGACTTCTAAATTTGGTAAGGTTATTGAAGGAAGACCATTAACACAGGAAGTAAATATATAAGACTCAAATAAACCTGGATTCTAAAATATCCTTAAAATATTTTAATTAATACATTTGTTATTTATTGTTAGTTAATTTACAAGATTTAAAATAATTTACAGCTAACGGTGTCTTTTAAACTAATTAATATATAAGACGGATTATATCTTATGTTTAAATACATATCTAAAGTATATATACTGTGAGAACACCAAATGTAATGTATTATAAGATAAACAGCTGATTTCAGCCATTTTCACAAAAATGGCCGCCGCTTCGCCAACGAAAATTCCCTCGAAACAATACATTATTTAAACTTGTTTCCCGGGTTATGTAAGAGGCTCCGGGCTGGCGGCAGACGGCGCCCGACGTCTCGGCGCCGACAGACTTACCGCCCAGCCGCCCGCCCAGAGCTGGGACCTTAGATTGGCATGTTCCACGTTATATCAACAGTGCCCGATCAACAAGACGGGCTGTTTAAGAAAAATACCGACAAAGGACGGATTACTCACTAATACCTACTACTTAATTTGTTACCATATGAGATGTTGAATAAAAATGTAACTCAATTTTAGTATGCGTTATATTTCAAGCGTATTACCATCTTAAGTGAAGCTTATTAGAGTCTTAGTATCGGAAATCTACAGACTGAAAGCGAAACGCGAATTCAGGCTTTTTCATCTGTTATTAAATGTCATCTAACAAAATGAGCTCGAAAATCAAAAAACTCTATTGTATGATAAATTCTGTACTAATTTTAAACTTTTCTACTATCTGCCCTTATCAATATTTTAATTTTCTAAATAATAAATAATTTGTTTCAGGTATTGAAATGTGATAGACAGATAAAAAAACACGCCAAATAAAGTGCCTTATGTAACAAGAATAATTTAGAGCCTGACAGCACGTGCACAAACGACACGATAACGAATAACGAAAATAAGGTGAGTAACGTTTTATCAGTTGGAATTTTTCTTTTTTCAGTAATGTTATAAACATAGAGACGTTTTTATACAAGGGATCTAAAAACACTCAGCATAAACAAAGATTTCTATTTTTTCCACGTAGCGTAAGAAAAACGATTTTCCTGCATACACAGCGGGGGATAATGTTAGCAGTTTAACGTTGCTTAAAAAACACAACAGTTTTATGTGTGGGGTTCAAAGGACTTGAATGCAATCCTGCCACATCCTTTTTCATTTATGTTCTTTCAAAATTATGTTTCATAAAGTATAACTAAGAGAAAATCAAATAAATGAGGATGATGAAATCAAAGAAACTGTGCATAACATTAGATTTTTTAGTTTTTTATTGCTTTTTCACCTATTAACTATTAGGTCATAAATAAAAACAGAAATGGCTATACAAGCCTTAACATATTCTGTGTCCAGACAGGCACCGCTAATACTAAAAAAGGAACAGTGACAATTAAATTATAATAAATAGTATAAAAATACACACGTATACATTAAGTTAGTAGCTATCAGTTTACTTTTTTTAGTTCAAAATTTAAAAGACTGAACTACTGAATCCTTTAATACTTTTAACATGTATCGCACACGAAGGCACTATAAAATTTAAAAAATCGAAAATTAATTTTAAAAATATTCGACTCGGGCAGGACTTGAACCGGCATCGTCAGCGTCCGTGCTGTTGCTCTATCAATTGAGCTACCGAGTCCTACCCTCATCGTCGAATTTTTTCAACTTATTGATACATGCACCTCTCGCGCGATGTTTTTATATAAATAATGATATAGTAAACTCTACGTTTATCGACTCGAAAGTTTTATTTTAAAAAATGATATTATTTCGTCTTTGTTTAATCAAAGTGCTTTCAAAATCACAAATAATTCCATAATTAGACTCTATTGTCGTCGCCCCAGTAATCTGTGATATCATATAGTATGTTTTCTTAATAAATAGGTACTACAATTACGACATCAACCTCTAAAAGCTCGCCATTCATTCGAAGACCCTTTGATATCGACAGATAGTGCGATACAATCTAACTGTCAACTGCGCGCACCCTTTGCCCGTCTTCGAGAATTATTTCTGCACCATCGCACTCGGCTACCAAAATAATATGCATAATTGTTCGTCATTTCGCTACGTAAATTACTATTCCACCCCTTTGCTCTCGTCGCGGTTTCAAATTGTTATTTTTTCGCTCTCTTCGTCCTCTCTAAACTTGTTTTTGTTCAGGGGTCGAAATCAGATAAAATAATAATACTGATTCAGTTTGTCCCTGTTTACAATTTCTATGTCTAAAGATAAAATTGATGATACATTTTTATTGCTGTTTTCCAATGTTCATCGGTAGTAAATTTCATCTTGACATGATGAGGGGATTAATAACTCCCGCGGCAGGTCAGAGCGTGGCGTCTTCAGTTCGATTCCAATCAATAAACAAAATCACGAGCGCCGGAAATCCGAGCGTAGTCCGAGATGCATTTCCATCTTTCACCGTCTTTTCACCCTCCGAATAACGTCCCCAAAGGGCTCCCTTTTCTCCGTGAGTGCGAGGGTGATGGAGGACTCGCAGTGCGCGTGCGCGATGCGACCCCTCATGAGCGTTTGAGATGGTTCCCAGTTCTGAGTACGAGATCCTGGCTTGTTGCTGGGGTCGTAGAACATTCCTTCATGGACCGCCCGTGCAAACGGAGGTCCCGCTCTCTCAATCCCGGGACAAAACTTCAGCTTTCGCGAACGACACTTTAAACAATTTCTGGGTGCACTTCATTGGGGTCCAATCTTTATTTCTATCCAAACCCACAACTTAGTTTTTGAGATTCAAATTGAAAACTCACATAAAGTACAGATATCCAAGGCAACCAGGGAGTGAGAGAGCGGGAAGGAATATAGTATTGTTTAAAGTGGGTACGAGATAGCAACATGACTGCCTGCCGACCGAGGTAAGTGCCACTTAAGAGCCACGTGTTCCAACTTTCAGTTTCAGGCCCCACTTGAAACATACTATTTTATTTTGATATTTTTGCTTTTAGATTTTTTTTAATATCTTTCAGGGAGTATGTTACATAACTTAGGTGCTTAAAGGGTCGGAGTAGTTTTGTTACACATTTCATGGTATCAGAATATATACTTATACCACAATTGTTCTAATATTACTTCTGTGCTCAGTAAAATTAGAACATTTCCTATATCGATATTATACTTCTCACTTAAAATATGTATAATATTATTTCATATTTAATATGATATATCTTCAATCAAACGCCTCATCAGTTAGTAACCAACCCTCTTAATCAGGTTTCTAGAGGACATATAGAAATACGTTATTACGTTATTTACTTAGATTCAGTACTTTGTCACCTTATCTACCGTACTGGAGCGGTAGTTGCAAAGTGCTTTTGAAGGGTTAGTTTGGTATAATTTGATATGTGACCTATCTATTTTAATAGTATTGCTTGCTTGGTATAAGGTCGGAGGTTAATTTCTCTTGACCAAACTCTATTTCATTGGTAAGTTTACTCGACAGCAGATTTCGAAAACATTTAAAACGTTACTTTAAAATTTTCTCAGCCATTCTAGTATTAACCTGAAGTTTGTGATAAGGAATCGTTATCATCCCCTTAGCTTCAAGAAGTATGGCAATTGAATTGTCAGTTTCCTTTATCATCACTAAACAATACTGCCTCGGATAAGTTAGATGGGGGTTTGGTAATTAAATGCACCGTGCAGTCTTAATTGAGGCATAGAAGCTGCGAATACCAGATCATACTTCTTAATTTCCTTTGATAATCAATTTTCATTCATGAACCCGAGATGATTGGCTAGCATTGGTGTAATCTGTTAATTTGTAAACTGGGTGATGTCGCCGATTATACTTTGGAGCTTTTGATTGAAAAGGTCCCCGTAGGCAGTAATTTGCATTTTATTTTGTACCTCGTACCCTTAAATTTTTATATTCAATTCATTCATCTTTTATCAGTATTTCACATACGATGCATATCTGTGTGTATTTATTATTTATTTCTCGCCTTCACAAAGTATAAATTTACTTGAACTATTATTTTGTTAATATTTGTCACGGTTTATTTTTTCGTATCTTAGGCCAAAATTCAAGACTGTATTAAAAATATGTAACAAAATTCGCATTCCTATAGATAAAGTAGATAATTGTCTAGTTGGAAGAAATACGATAATACTTTTCTTCAATTAGCATCTTAGAAAGTAGCTTATTTCATCTCCAGGGCGCATCGCTTCCTGTGGCGATGATTGTAACGGTCTAAGTTGATTGATTGATAGGGGCCTCCCCTCGCATTAGTCCACCTTGTTTGACGCTGTTAGCCTCATGTTTATGTTCGGGATAAGCTATTTGTTAATCGATGTCTCAAGTTAATTTATTGATTGCTTTTTATTTTTCGAATCTGGTCTCCGCTTCATTTTTTTCCCTATCGTTTAGTCTTCAATGGCGTTGTAAATTCTAGAGACTCGTCTTTTCGTACATTTTGTCTTGTTCATAACGTTATAGCAAAATGGATTAAACGTTTTTGTATGTAGCAGCTGTGTAAATGAAGAAATGTCAAGAACTTGTGTACACACTAAGCTGCAATAATTACTACTGTATGACGCCCTTAACCGCCCAATCCCCCAAATGACGCCCTAATGTCCAATATTATGTTAAAATCTCGACCAGATCACCCCCGAGTGTCCATTCCGCGTCCCCTAATTCGCTAATAGAAAACAGACTATCCGATTTCCTTCGATGACGACTTCCGGCTTCCGGCACTATATCGACAGTGCTTTTATTCTGTTTTTGCTTTATCTGTCTTGTTTTTATTTTGTGCTTTTATCTGTAGTGAGTACCTTTACTTAGAGATGATTGATCTATTGAAGAATATTAAAAGTACTACTTATTTTTTATTTAACTTACATTCACTATCTATAAATGTCTACTGTACTTTGTCCACCTTTAATTCACAATATTATTCATTTGTAATATTTATTTTAAATTTAATTTTATCGGACTCATTAAAATGTCTGCATGGGTGCCAGACACTTCGGCGCCTGAGTCTATCGATCTATCCTGATCGCGCATGCGCAGTTTCTGTTTGCGCAGATTTTGTCCCTTTATGGATTAACTGATTAAATTTTTATAGCCTTTTAGTTTTAGTGGTGCGTTTTATTGTAAATATAACTCAAGTTATAAAAATGATATTGTTAAGCCTAATTACACATAATATCTATTAATTGAAGATTAATGGTGATTACATTTATACTTAGCGTTTCTAATATTATCAAGTTTTATTGTTAGTTAGCTATATTAAAAAGTAATTTTCCGTTTGGAATGTTACAGGGCAAATACATTTTTATGTCTGTTTCAGTAATCTTATTTTACCATTGAGACATAGTCAGTGTTTTTTTTAATTCTCATTTTTAAAGAGATTTTCCATTGCGAGTGTTACTAGGCAGAAATATTTTTATGTCTGTTTCCGTAATCTTCTTTAACAATTCAGCCATAGAGTCGGTCAGTTTCTTTTGCGTCTCATAGCGAACAGATGGTCTTTCGTCTATACAACCATAATGTGTTAACAGTGATGTAAGTTGTAGTCGGATACGTTATCTAGTATCATTTTTACGGATATTAATGTTATCTTATCAATTATGTACTGCATTCATTGCCCCCACGATTAATCTATAGGCATTTTGTAGTTTTTATGACACAATTACTAGCCTTGTTATATTTAAAGATCGTCTGCAGTTTGCGAGAGTAGTACACATTTAAATATAACAATTTTAACGGTTTAAAACGCGATATAATCTACTTAAGTTATTATATCAGGCCGTAGTTAAAGTATTGTAAATAAGTTATGTAATATATTTCGCGTTTTAAACCGTTAATAGTGTTGTATTTAAACTCGTTTATTTATTTGCAACACTTCAGTTTCGTTTACAGACTTTAAGATTAACGCAACGGATTTGTTTTATTATTGTTTTTTTCGTCTGTACACATGCTTAAAATGTGCCTTGGAATCTCGTGCATGGGTTACCATTCAAATTCTGTAATAAGTGTTTCAAGTTATAGTAAGTAAACTATAGCTTAGAAACTAAATACTTTGCACAGATTTTCTTTTACACGTAAAGAAAAATCCTTTTCAAACTCTATAATTCATGCAGTGAACCTTCTCTTATCGGTAGAGCTATCCTACTTCCATTAATTACAATACTTTGATCCCAACAAAACCACAGATACGTTTTACTAAAATAACACCTATTGAGTTTTGATAAAGTACAAATTGCTTCGGTTATGTTTTGAAGGCATTGGGAGCGTTGCTTAGCAACCGGGTTTATAGGGCACCGTTTAGCAAACGTCGTCTTGTAATACTGTGTGTTTGTTCGTTGGTTGATTTTAGTCTTTAAATTATATATATGGGGATATTATCAAAACAACAAAGTTTAGTAAAGTTCGATTCTCGGTGAATGCACTGAATACGAAACAATGGCTTATTTATGAATTTTCCTTAGAAAACTTTATCTTCACTACCTGAGTTTTAAATTAAATTAAAGGGTTAATTTTTATTTATTTATTATTCGTAAAGCCTAGACAGTATTAAAACGAATTACACAATCCTAAATTCTATCCTTACAGTTATCTAAAACGACCGTTGGTGTGTTGGTAGTTGCAATATTGGTAGTTTTAATACATGCACGTTTCTCTGAGTTTACCTTAACTTGCGAACTCGTAGTGTAGGTACACGAATAAATATTCAGGTGCACAACTGTAAATCGAATTCCCAAACTCATGATCGTAACTGCTACTTACATCGCCCACGTCAAGATATTGGCACATTCTTATAAAATCTTAATTCTCTATGAGGTTGAAATGTTTCGGGAAAATATTATATAGTCGTCGTTGTTTGTATCAAACAAAGGGTTGACATCGGCGACATGTCAACAATGCGCTTGCGATACATTAAATCTATTATCGTCTTACGTTACAGTGTTTGCTGACAAATTGTTATGTATCGAGTGTCCTTACTAATAAATACTATTCAATTCTCAATCTATGATTACATTGTCTATTCTTGGAAGGTAAAGAACGCAAGCGCTAATAATAAGTTCTCCCTGGAGTTTACGCGAGTAGTACACATTTAAATTAAAACACTAACGGTTTAAACCGCGAACTTTATTAGTTAAATAAACAAATTATTTTTACTACGGCCCGACGTTTCGAATGCTTTGCAGCAGCCGTGATCACGGGAGACTAAAGAGAGTGCCTTTAATGTCTAAGTAAAATATTGCTACGCCAGGGCCATTTTACTTAGTTCGTGACCTGATTTTTTAAAAAGTTTTACTAATATATATTGCGTTTAAACCGTTAAAGTGTTTATTTAAATATGCACTACTCACGTCAACTATAGACAGTATTTAATTCGAATCTTGCTATAATTTTGAACGAAAGTTTCCCACTTTGATACTAAACACGTTTGACCAAAACACAACGTCCCTCCGTTTAGTAAATCGTTAAACGTCACCCCTGTTTAATGGGCGTGAGGAATATCCTGGCTCCGTGAACACGTCACTTCGCTTCACGTGTGCTGAGCTTTCGATGCATGGCTTGTAAAAATATTTGCATAGCTACTATGCGACTGACTCGTGGGGCGAGTTCAAATCTGAAATACTCGATACTAGATTTAGGTGACTAAATTCGTGTTCTATAAAACATTCAAATACTTAATCGTTTTTAATAATTCTCTAGTATTTAAAATTTCATGTGACTATTGGTACATTTTAATTGTACTCTTTTAAACTTGAAATATATTAGCTGTAACTTGTTTTAAACTACGACCTGACGTTTCGAATTCTTTGCAGCGCTAAGTTTTTATTCAAATGCGTACAATTTGCAGACGGAAGTTAAAAAATGCACAAACAAATTGCTTATTGCAGCGTTTTGTAATATTTATTACAATGCCAAATTAAAACAATTTCCCAACTTGATGTTTCTAATACCCGTTAATGGGAATTGCATTCGTTTTTTTATCTTCTCGTAATACAATATATGATCCCGAAAATGTATTTTTTAAGTTATAATGAACGTATAATCAATTATCTTGAATGTCTATATATCATCTTCCATATTATTACAAGTTTATCAGTATACTGTCTATAGTTTACGCGAGTAGTACACATTTAAATAAAACACTTTAACGGATTCGGATAACGGACGTTTCGGATGCTTTGAGAGCCGTCTCCCCGTGACCAGGCTGCTGAAAGCATCCAAAGTGCAGAATTAAAAATAATTTTCAAATAAGTTTAACTAATATATGCGTTTTAAACCGTTAAAGTGTTTTATTTAAATTTATAGTATAATTAAAAAATCGAAAATAAATTGAAAAAATATTCGACTCGGGCAGGACTTGAACCGGCATCGTCAGCCTTCCGTGCTGTTGCTCTGCGGAACGCTGACGATGCTGATGGTGCTGACTGAAATTATATAGTGCGTGCCTTCATGTGCAATAACATATAAAAAATAATAAAGTTTTCAAACTTTATCAGTAGTCTTATCAGCGCATGATGGATTTAATAAAGTTTAATGACACTTTTCAACAGTTGCAAATGTCTTATTTCATTACTTAAATAATATTGACGCTTAGCACTTTAACCACGACTGCGTCCCACTCAAATACTAAACCGAACCTAATGCCATATAAATGTCGTCAAATCCAATTCCTTCCAACTATTAAAATTCCACCAAGCCGAATTGCTCCTCTAGGGTCCATCAGACTGTCTCTTATGCAAAACGTGAGTAATAACTCGCTCTGTTATGGGCCATGGGATTTTTAATATATGCATAATGTCCCCGTCTGCCCCTTAAGTACTCGATGACACCCTGAGTTATATCGCTTGCGAATTGTTTAGGATTATTGCATTTTTATACGTCGCCATACCTACCCACTAAATACTAAGTTGGTTTCTCTCCTATCATGACTCCAAGACTCTCTGGTACTTACCAAGTTCGGTAAAACGCCGGTGTAGGTTGTACATATAAGAAATAAGTTTTTATTTTGTATTTATATAATCTAAGGAACACTTTTTAAACTTTTAATTCGTAAATTCCAGATTTAAATGTAACATTAACGGTTTTAAGCGGTTTATTACCCCGTTTTTTTTTTTTTTTTTTTTTTTTTTTTTTTTTTTTTTTTTTTTGGGTTTTTTTTTTTTTTTCTTTTTTTTTTTTTTTTTTTTTTTTTTTTTTTTTATTTTTTAAAATTTTTTTATTTTTTTTTTTTTTTTTATTTTTTTTTTTTTTTTTTTTTTTTTTTTTTTTTTTATTTTTTTTTTTTTTTTTTTTTTTTTTTTTTTTTTTTTTTTTTTTTTTTTTTTTTTTTTTTTTTTTTTTTTTTTTTTTTTTTTTTTTTTATTAATTATAAAAAAAAAAAAAAAAAAAAAAAAAAAAAATTAATTATTATTTTTTTTTTTTAATTTTTTTTTTTTTTTTTTTTTTTTTTTTTTTTTTTTTTTGGTGTTTTTTTTTTTAAAAAAAAATTTTTATTTTTTTAAAAAATTTTTTTTTTTTTTAAATTTTTTTAAAATTTCGGGGGGGGGGAAAAAATTTTTTTTATTAATTTTAATTAATATTATCCTTTTTTTAACCCTTTAAAAATTTTTTTTTATAAAAATTTTTTTTTATTGATAGAGGAGAACAGACAAGCATAAGCTCACTTGATGGTAGGTAAAAAACCCAAGGCATATTACATGTGAACAAGATGCGCTGTCGCCCTCTTTTGGCTTAGGATATTCGAAATGTCACAGACTGAAACCGAAACACAAACTTGACGGCTTTTTCATGTACGGATGTTGGTTCGGATCCCGGACGGAATTTCGATGTTCGTGGTATGAATATCTAAATTCTCCTTGACGAAAAATTCATTTTTCAGTACAATTATTTCGGTGTTACTTTGTTGCTTATCTAGCAGATTTCTTGTAAAAAACCGCTGCTGTGTTCTAATTTGCGTTTTATCAACACTGTGCAATACCTAGGTAACTGTTTTATGTACTTAATAATTACTATAGGTTCTGACTTGTTCTCTTTGAGGAAAATTACAATTTTTATGGCGCCACCGTTCCACGTCCATCGAACTATTTCCATCTGCTTACATCACAGTTCAGAGAAAACGCGTCGATAACAATAATTATTGCCGAACGGCTAAAATAAGACGGGTCTCGACTCGTTTATTTTGACCAGCGAAGTTAACGGGGGGGTTCATTGACCTCTTTGGATTCGGGTTGAAATAGTGAATCCAACTAAAAAAAAACTGCAGGCGCACATCGTTCAATGATCGCTTTCGTTGCCAAGTTGTATAAGCGGAAGAGGTCTTGTATTCGGGGCGCGGTTAAAAAAATATACTTTGTTGTAAAATTTTGTATCCATCTATCGTTTTAGTCGTTTATAAGAAATTTCGTCAGATTGTAAATGTATTTACTGTGTATATGTACTTTAATTTTTTCAACATTTACATAAGCTACGACATTATGAGACTCGGTAGCTCATTTGGTTCGAGTTCGGGTTAAGTTCGGCCCGAGACGTAATTTTTTTCAATTAATTTACGATTTTTACATATCTATACTAATATATAAAGCGGACGAGTTTGTTTGAACGCGCTAATCTCGGGAAGTACGGGTTCGAATTAAAGAATGTGAACAAGACGGGGGAAATTTTTCATCTCTGTAGGTTTCAGATGCGTACGCTGCGAAAACGGTTCTAGTTACCTAAAAATTGTGTATGAAAGAATGATTTCCCTATAAATATTCTAAATAAAGTCCGCGACGCTATATGTCTATCTTTTAAGATTAACTTGCAATAACGACGGGTAAGGGACGCGATCGACGACGTGGCTAATAGCTAAGTTTATAAAGATTTGCAAAAACTAATTTGGATGCCCAAAATAACGATTCTCGCGGATGAAGTCGCTGGCACAGTTTATATAAACGATGTAGGTGGTTTTTCTTATGAAACTCGTATCAAGTTTAATTTATTAAAAAACATTAATTTATCATTTATACGAAATATCTGCCACGGTTTCATTATGTAATGTTAACTTTTGTTATTATTCAAATTAATGAATTGACTAGAAAGCGATCTAGAACATGTGATTCACGTAAAAATCTGTCGAGGCATTACTAATGGATGTATATTTATAATCTCATCCGGCTGGCTTCCGCGTCCGCTGTATACACATCGACACTCCTGTTTCAGCTATTAATAAATATAATAATTCTTGCTATTGCCTATGAAGATGTTATAAATTACATTCTATCGAGCAGAGAAGTTTTCTATTCGACCTAAATGGGTCTTTTAATGGGAATATCGAAATTCCGTCCGAGTTATGAACCACCGTCCATAGATGAAAAGCAACAGGATTAATCGCGTTTCGGCTTCAGTCTGAATTTCCGAATATACAAAGCCAAAAAAAGGTCGACAGCGCACCGTCTTAACATGTAATATGGCTGGGGTATTTTACTTACCATCAAATGATGCTTGTCTATAAAAAAAACTTATTAAATTCCTGTACAAGGAAAATTCCTTCTATTCAAAGTAAAGTAATATAATTATATCGATCACACTTTTTAAATATAACTCATAACTTTTGGTGTCGTGAGAGACGTTACCCATGTGTTGATGAAGTAAATATATTCGTTTTCAGATTCTTGAGTTGTTTTTAGTATCTTATACCTAAGTATAGCCTTTATCTACATTTTCGAGGGGACCTAGCATACTACAAAACTTATATTATTATTTCAAAATGTAGATAGTTTAAGATTAATGAAAGTCTTGTAATTTTCAATTTCTATCGGGTGACATAATCTATTTAAGAAAAAAATACTTCATTTTTATGTAACAACGACCAAATTGTTTTACGGGACCAAAGAAGTCTTAATTCAGTATTATACGCCTTAAAGTACATTTTCCCAATTAATAATTACTTATATAACGAAAAACATGTAATATAATAATTAATAACCAACTTCTTATTTTTGCAGTTGTAAAGTGACCCCGCAGCTTAAGCAAACAAACCAGATCTTACTTGCCAATTCTTCAGCGCGATATAATCGGAGTCGGCTGAATCATACTGTTAGTATGCAAATTTAAATGATAATATATACTGTATTATAAGTCATAGAAATATTAAAGTTCATAAAATGGTTATATACATAGGTAAAAAAATGTGTATACAGACTCTATGTATATTTGCAGATAGTCATCAAATATGGCGACGCTGTCGCTCAAAATCTCGATAGAAGGCGGGAAGGTGGTGAAAACTATACAGTTTGACCCCACCAGCTCAGTCTACGACGCGTGTAGGATTATCCGGGAGAAAATTCTGGAGGCCAACACTAGTGATGGTAAGTCAAGTCGCAATCAACAACTGAACATTATTTTTATGTGTTAAATGTTTTAGGATATGTCGCACTGATTCGTTCTAGATTAAGCTACTACAACTAACCTACGTATTGTCTGTAGTGTACGCGAGTAGTACACATTTAAATAAAACACTTTTAACGGTTTAAAACGCGAAATGTATTAGTTATACTTTTTTATGAATTATTTAAACTACGTTCCGAAGTGTGGTGGTGGTTTTCGGCGTGGTCACGCGGAAAGTGTGTCTGAGAAGATAGAGAGATAAGTGTTCCTAATGTCAAAGTTAAAAACTGCTACGCTAACGCCATCTGTTTCGTCGTGCTATTTGGCGAAACTGGCTGGGTCCTTGCATTACTTGTTTAAACCGTTGTCAAAAATTACTTAGCATTTTTTTTATGCAGCTAAAGAATATGGACTCTTCCTCGCCTCTGAGGAGGATAACAAAAAGGGAATCTGGCTGGAAGCATCCCGCAGTCTCGACTATTATATGCTGAGAAATGGAGATCTCTTGGAGTACAACAAGAAGACGCGAAACCTGAGAGTCAGGATGTTGGATGGTAAGTTTATCGTCCTAAATTCTTACTATACAGAATAATATAGATAGATAGAGTGATTCAAGGGGAAGGTTTTATATACAACGTTCATAGATTTTCTGTAGTAAATTGAGTATCAGCATTGCTCCCGAGCGAAGCCGGCGCGGTTCCCTAGTATATTATAATATAATTATGACCAGGTTATGTATTGTTTAATGCTCTGTTGGAGAACAGATTTCGGGTTGTAAGAAACAAGTCGGTTTATAACATCACATCTTACGAAAATAATTAATAAATTTGTTAACAGGGACAGTTAAAACCCTGTTAGTGGATGACAGCCAAATTGTCGCGAATCTCATGGTGGTCATCTGTACTAAGATCGGAATTACCAACTACGATGAGTATGGATTGGTGAGTTTTTTTTTATATAACACTTGTTTAACGATTACCTCTGCAAACATTTATAATACTACTGTCTGTAGTTTACGCGCATTTAAATAAAACTAGACTAGTAGTAGACTAGACTTCCCGCGCGTATATGTCGCTTTGTAAACCGTTAAATTGTTTTATTTAAATTTATAATATCTTCCTCCATATGATTAGGTCCGTGAAGAACAAAAAGAAGAAGCTGATCCATGTGAAAAGCCCAACTACGGTACGCTCACGTTGAGAAGGAGACACCACGAGAAGGAAAGAGATGCAAAGATGGAACAGCTCAGAAAGAAATTAAGAACAGACGATGAAGGTACGGGTTCAGCGTTGGTTTTTAACATTTTACACCATACTAGCTGCCTCAGCGACTTCGTACGCGTATATAGTTATTTTGGGGCATCAAAATTTGTCCTTGCAAACCTCCTCTTCATTTTTATAGATTTAGGCTGTTATCCATGACATCGGTAGCGTGCCTTCGTTCTTGATCATTTGAAGAGAAATTATTCTATCATACATATATTTTTTGGTATCTTAAACCGTTTTCGCAACGTACGCCACGGAAGTCCGCAAAGATGAATGAATTTCCCCGTCTTTCCATATTCCAGGAATAAAGAAAAGGTTTTGTTCGTTCCTATTGATAGCAGCCTGATTTTTTATTGTCTAAAGCCTTTTTCGATTAATGCTTTGAATTGATCCCGTAGTTCCTGAAATTAGCGCGTTTAAATTAACAAACTCTTCAGCTTTATAATATTAGGATGTATCAAGACATAATAATAGGGGCCTCTATTTTAGATACTGAAACAATATTTGTAACACAATAAGGGTAATCATGATTTCATTGTTTGCAGTGAACTGGGTGGAGCCATCGAAAACACTCCGCGAACAAGGAATTGATGTCACCGAGACGCTCCTCTTGCGAAGGAAGTTGTTCTTCTCAGATCGTAACGTGGACTCACGAGACCCCGTTCAACTGAACTTGCTGTATGTACAAGCGAGAGACGCCATATTGGACGGAACTCATCCAATCACACAGGACAAAGGTAAGTTTTTGACGGGCCAAAGACCAAAGAGTCTAATAGTATAGATAAAAGTTTGTGGGTTTAATATCCCATCGGTTCCAACATTTTACTTGGAACTGTCCGGAAATCTAGATATCGACGGGTGGTTGGAACATAGAAAATTCCGTCCGGGTTACGAACCGTCCACGGATGAAACAGATGTAATGTTTAATCGCGTTTCGTTGTCAGTCGGACTTCTGATTGTCCAAAACCAAAATTGGTCAATAGTGCATCTCGTTAGATGTTAGACCATCCAAAAAGTTAACCTCTTTCATAAAAAAATCTCTTTCAGTGGTCAAAAGGAATTCTTATTTTATCGCTTATGATCGCTTTTTATTTTCTTAAACTTTTGTTTATATTTAAATTTATGTTTTACAGCCTGCGAGTTTGCGGGTATTCAATGTCAGATACAATTCGGCGATCATAAAGAGGACAAACATACACCTGGCTTCTTGGAGTAAGTAAAACTTTAAACGATATTTATGCTCTAAGAAAATTTTTCGTAATCCATCCTATATAGATTATCAATCCAGCGGGTCTTAATCGGAAATTTAATTTTGTATATTTGTTTCAGTCTTAAGGAATTTTTGCCCGCGTCCTACGTAAAAGTCAAAGGCATTGAAAAGAAGATATTCAAGGAGCACCGGAAGCACATAAACCTGAGCGAACTGGACGCTAAGGTTCTTTACACGAAGAGTGCGAGAGACCTGCCCACTTACGGAGTGGCTTTCTTCTTGGTTAAGGTTGGTATTTTGCTCCTGATTGCATGTGTATAATCTAAAGTTATAATGGAGACTAAATAAAAATATTTACAATCTTACACATAACTCCATCCACCTTAGGATTAAAATACATCAGACAATGTCTGAGCAACAGTACTATTATTTAAAAGTAAAATCCCGTTTCCGCCTCGTGGTGCATGGGGCGAACACATTTTTGTGTCCGTTTCACTGATCCATTCTTTAACAAGCAAGTAGTTGATCAGATTTCTGTGCCCTGCCGGACCGAAACGATTTTTTGTTTGGGGTTGCCTGCGATTTGAACCTCCCGCGCTCTTGCGCTTAAGCGGTACCTATTATATGCTATGGCTAAACGTAATTGATCGCTGACTGTACATGTATGATATATTATTAAAAATAAGGGGAGACCTTACGCAATAGTATCCAAAACAATGGTTATTGAATTCTCATCTCTTTTTTTGTGCGTTTGTATACGCTGATCTCAGAAACGACCCTTCTGGTCTACATGTGATTTTCAGTAAAATATTGTGGTAAGCTCTGCTTAACATTTAGTGTTTGGTTGTCATGTCATTAATAAAAATCGTGAATGAAACATAATATTTAATACAATCGTATAAATAATTAGTAGTTCCTGAGATGAGCGCGTTCAAACATACAAACACGCAAACTCTTCAGCTTTATATATTGGTATAGATAATATAGTTGTTCCAGTCGTAAGAATAACTTTTAGTTAATTACTGTAACAGGCATTTTTTTATACCCTTTTTCAATTACCTCAGGAAAAAATGAAGGGAAAGAACAAGTTGGTGCCGCGTCTTCTTGGTGTGACCAAGGACTCGGTTCTGCGTCTGGATGAAAAGACCAAGGAGATTTTGCAGACATGGCCTCTAACTACAGTTAGGCGTTGGTGTGCCAGTCCCAATACGTTCACCCTTGACTTTGGCGACTATAGGTTAGTTGCGACAAATAATCTTTTATATATTACTAGCGACCCGCCCCGCCTTCGCTCGGGTGCAATGCTGATGCTAAATAGATTACAGAAAATCTGTGAACGTTGTATAAAAAAATATTCCTCTTGAATCACTCTATCTATTAAAAACCGCATCATAATCCGTTGCGTAGTTTTAATGCTATAAACGCACATAGGGAAAAAATAAATCATCTTTCTTGTTGATGCATAAGGTATATTTTTTAAAGGTTATATGAGAAACGTTTCTTCAATTCCAGTGACCAGTATTACTCAGTTCAAACAACAGAAGCCGAACAGATTCTACAAGTGATAGCCGGTTATATTGACATCATCGTGCGCAAGCGACGCGCAAGAGACCACCTTGGAATAGAGGGGGACGAAGGCTCCGCCATGTTGGAAGACTCTGTGTCCCCTTCCAAGTGAGTAGAGAAAGTTTTATTGAAGCTGTTTAAATATTATACTTCTTTAGCTAGTATGTCTATATTAATAGTATAGAGCTGAAAATTTTGTTTGTTTGAACGCGTTAATCTCAGAAACTACTGGTTCAAATTTTTATGTTGGTTGGACATGCAGGAAGTAAGGATTTAGGTTAAAAATATCAGGCTGCTACTAAAAGGAACGAAGAAACGTTGAAAATATGTAAAAATATATCGATACAAACATATATGATTATTATTCTTATAATAATCAAAAAATATCCTCGACAGTATATGGATCTAAGAAAATTTGCCAGGTCAGATTCTGTAATATAATTTGACTATGATTAAAATTTTGAAAATCGTTTCTCATAGGGCAAACATAATTCAACACGACACTTTCAAGTCGGGCAAAGTGAACACCGAATCCGTCGCCAAACCGGCAGTTCTCAGACCAGGAGCTGAAGGTCAGTGGTAGTATATAATTTATTCTATGCTTGTAAATATTCATTGTACAATGGGCTGTTTGACAATACGGAAAATATAGAGTTAATTACTGTTATTAGTAAACAAATAGTTATATAACTTCAATACAATTATTGCAGCGTTATTTCAAAATCAGCGTCTAGCCAAGAATTTTAATTTGATATATTTCAGCAAATATCTATCACAATTAGAAAATACTACTTTTCTGAGGTCCCTTAACATCTACTAAATAATGTCAAGTTTAAAAAATCAGTCAAATAGCCCATTTGCTTAATTTTGTTATATTTTTTTAATGCTGTCAACTTACGATATCAGTATTATTTTGCTGACCCTATACGCATAACATAGGTGCCAAGCCGTTCGCAGTCGGCCACATGACCGGCGCGCAACAGACCACCGTCTCAGGACAAGTAATTACTGGACACACACCGCCGGCTGTCAGTATTTGTTAACTTTTTTGCTATCCGTACTGTGCATGTCATGGGCTGTGCTTTTTAAATTTGTTTTTGCTTTTTTTTGCATTTCGAATTTATAATTTAGCTCATCGTTCATTTTTATCAATATAGGAATGGAATATTTTTGTGTAATTGCAAGATTACTTTTCTATTATATATCGTTCATTTATGCCTGAAAATGTAACTCGAATGTATTTTTACACTTCGTCGTTAAAAATCGTTTAGAAAAATGGGTTTTTAAAATTGATTATATCGTCTAACATTCTTGCTTCTAAATAACATCCCTTTGAATTTATCATCAGTGTTGTCCTATATAATTTTAACTCACTAATTAATTTTCTTTCACGCATACTAACATGGATGTGCAGTCAACGAAATCGGCTGTGTACGTACCTAAACATTTACTAATACATCCCTAATTAGACTAAGGATTCTTTATAGCATGTTGTCGTAGTGGGATGGGCTCACTTGATAGTAGGTAGAGCCTTTTTCGTCTCCCTTTAAACAAACGTATTTGTTAATATATACTATACCAGCTAAAAGATTTCCCAAATCTTGCGCTTATAAAGAGCTCTAGGCTTTCTCTAAATAAAGTCATGAAGATAAACAACTACAACTAACAAAGAGTTTTATTACAATCTCCTTGTATTAGAATTGGTCCAAAATGTATCAAGCTTCATTTATTTATATACACATGGCTCTCCATTTAATCATATTTAAATTACTAAGAAACTAGAATATATGTTTTAATTACTACGATTGCTGCAGGCATCGCAAGTACAACAAACAAAGGTGACGTCCATCCTCACAGAACCGCAAAGAGCCTTACTCTCCACCATAACTTCTGGCCGGGAAGTTATCAAGCACACTGAAGAGGGATTGACCAGGGTAAGTTTTGGCGACTACCGAACATGGTTCACGTAAATATATGTGTCTCTTTCTATCATTGAAATAGAAGTTTTCGACGAGCTCGTTTATTTAATGGGGGGTTTCCCCCCCCCCCACGTCCAACTTTTCTAAACGGTGGTCAGTCATCTGGATATTAATAGATGGTAGAAATATCATAATTGCATCCACAAATGAAAAAACTGTCAAGTTTAATCGCGTTTCGGTTTCAGTTCGCGGATTTCCGAATATCCAAAGCCAAAAGGTCGATAACGCATCTTGTTTAGATGTTATATGGCTGGGGTATTTCACCTACCAGGTGAATTTCATGCTAGTCTGTCCACCTCAATCATAAAAAAAAATTGTCTATATGGCTTCCTTTTTCATCACATTAATAATCTTTCCTCTGGATATCAGGCGGCGCTACCAGCGCTTGGTTCCGATGCAGGCTCGATCAGATGGAAAACATCGACTCTAGACAGCAGCAAGCAAGTGGTGACGTCACACATAGCAGCCATGAATGCGGCCACTGCGCAAGTCGTAACGCTTACCGCAGGTATGTTGACTCCTTTTATGCTTAGATTTTATTTCTCCTAAAACACAACATACTAAATAATTATACTTGATACGTTATTTTTCAGGGCCAACAGAAGAAGTAGACCACACAGCTGTCGGTGCTGCTATTACGACAATCACCACAAACTTACCTGAAATGACCAAAGGTAATTAAACAAGTATTATTATTGTCTGTCGTATAATTCTTGACCATCCGTGACATAGATAACACTTATTTACTTTGACAGGTGTGCAGATGATAGCGGCACTTATGGACGACGATGATAATGGTGATCGTCTTCTTGATGCTACGAGAAAGCTGTGTAGCGCCTTTACAGATCTGCTGCGAGCTGCGGAACCTGAGACAAAAGAGGTAAGATAAAGTTCTTAAAATCTAGCTAGAATAGATCTAGAATTTAGATGAAATCAATTCACTCTACAAGTACACACTAGAAATAATTGTGTTGTCCAATAAATACTTTCAAATATAGAAATATATCTCTCTCTAATACTCTAATATTGTCTTTTTAATGAGACTTAATGTGTTATTTTTATCTGCAGCCCCGTCAGAACTTACTCAACGCAGCGTCTCGTGTCGGAGAAGCCTCAACAAGTGTCCTTTACACAATTGGCGAAGAATCCCCACAAGATAAGGAGACACAGGTAAATAGCGCGCAACAAGATTCCGATGAAAGGACCAAAACCAAAAAGTCCTATTTCTATAGGAAACTGAACTATTGTTACGATAACTTTTATAAAGTCTTTTTCGGTAAAGATAAAAGTGATTATGGGTCCGATTTCGATGTTGAATGTGAGAAAATTAATGATATCAATGATAATGTAGAGTTTAATGATAAATTTAAACGTAATTATGACGATGATGGTATATACGAAGACATTGATACTAGTAATGATTGGGGTAAAATGTTAGATGTGATTCAAGAGGAATCAGACAGTGATTACTATAGAGGTTTAGAATATTGCAATGTTATGTTCAAACGACCCGTTACGCTGAATGATATTAATAGAGCTAAAACTCCAGTCGTTGGTAGTAATAAAGACAATGATTTTGAGGACATTTTACATAGTTGCGAAGATTATTTAGGTACCGCAGATAAACCCGATAATAATACAGACGATAAACCACAGTTATATCCTAAAAATATTACAGATAAAATATACAATTTCAAAAAAGATTTTTCAAACCATGACTATGTTAATATAAATTATAATTCTGATTCAAATATGAACACTGACGGTCGTACTAAAAACGATATCTTGCGCGAAAAATTCTTTCTTTCCAATAACAATGACAAAAATAACATAAACAATGAATTTAACAAGTTCAACAACAATAAGAAAATAGAATGCCACAGTATCAAAAATAATGTTACAACAACCGGCCCTAGTGTTAAAGTATCTGGGGCATTGAATATGAAACTACTGAATTTGGATAAGTATAATCGCGTTTTGACTACAACTGAGACGTTTGTAGAAAAAGCAGAAGCTAGCTTTACCAAAAACGAGCTAAATTACAAAAGGGACGACTTCGAAAGTTTTATAAAGCGCAGTGAAAAATATTATACTAGCGAACATAGAGATAGAACAACTACAGTTCATTTGAATAACTCGGATCCCGATGTGACCCCTAAGGGGAAAACGGAGATTAGGATTTTCTACAACCCTACATTCTTAGCCACCGATGACGTTCGCGGTTTTTGCCAATTTTGCAGGAAACGATGCCCGCGCACAGACTTAAAATGTTGCCCCAAATGCGTGTGCCTCGAATTGGAATTAAAAACGGTCTTTAAAGAGAATTGGTTAAACATTGTACTTTTACTAGCACTTATATTTGTTTTGTTGGCCATTTTCATACAGTGGTTGTTAAGAAAACTCGGATGTTCTGATGGCACAGATGGAAACGAAGAAAGATGTTTCGAAATGTTTTAAACTTTGATATCTTTAATCTCCGTCCTTCATCACTCAAGGCATTCCATAGTTCATCAAAAAAGCATCTCAAACTTAAAATTTGATTTCTTAGTCATTTCGGTATTACATTTCGACTTTCGTTAAATTAATATTTTTCACTCATAGACAATATAATCTTTAATTTATACGTGCGTATAAAATTAATGTATTAATTATATATAATTAGAGGTTGCGGGTCACTTAACGATAATGCTATTTTGTTTATATCATTGTGATTGCTGTCCTTTTCCTTATAATTTATTTCTAAAGACGTACAAACGTCATTTTTTTCACAAGATTCGAAAGACACTAGGGAAAAAGACTGCGAAATGACAATTTATATTTAGTATTTAAGAATTTGGTGTATGACAAATTAATTGGTTTGTTAACTTACTAATCTAGTCGATAGGTTGTAGAGGACCCCCTCTTCAGTACTTGCTAGAGATCATTTTCAATTTTAAAAGTCCATAATAGCGAGTGCTGAAGTTGTATTTTGGCATTTAGTGGAAAGTCTGATTGAAAAATGAACAAAACGTACTAACACTTAAAGTTCCTGAATTTATTATATTGTGGTTAAGTTTTGGTTTTTATTGTATTAAGTGGCAGCTCTCTTTTTTAGCTTTTTGGTTAAGGGTTTTAATTTTTTCTTTGTTATTGAACATGCGTACAATATACTAGTAGGTATACAAATATTTTTATTTTGCATCACAGCTTAGATTTTTATTTGTTGAATCGTAACAAATTTGCCATAAAAAGTACAACTTGCACAAGAAATGTAACGCACTTATACTTAAAAAGCGTAGTGAGTCTAAAATATGTTGTGGTTAATGACTAAACGAATTAATATAATAATAAAACAACATTTTACTAACATACATATGTATAGAAACGATCCCATTCAGTTGCTCAATAGAAACATTATTTCATACATATTTTTTACAGGGCAGCCATTTTGTAAATATTTGTACGAAAGGGTTTCTTTAGGAGGGTTTATTCTGTTTAACATTTTCGATGTCCATTACTTCAATTAGTTTAAGGGCTAGTAAAAAGATATAGAAAAGATACCTGTGCAAACTTTAAGAACAGCGCCCCTATCGGCCACATACATAACTATTTTTCACATCTTAAAAACACGTGCGAATGTTTACAAACTGACCTGTTACATAGATTTACATTTGTAAAAACAGGCTTTCATTCATCAGTATTTTGTACTTACAAGGACCTTGTACTTACTTGACCATGCCGAATGTTATTTTTGTTAATACATTTGCTTTTTAATTAATTTGAACTTTTATTTCTGACTAACTGTCTGCAAAAGTAAATGTAGTGACAAAAATAATTGTTATTCATACTAACCGTACCCCTGTATATATTTTCTATTTTTAAGATAATGAGAAATTGGTCATCGTATGGGTAACCCATGTAGAATAGAAGTCTAGATGGAATTCTTATAAAGTTCTCAAAGCATATACGGAATATTAATTGAAATATTTCTATAAGGCTAACTCTGGTTTCTTAAGAATAAGCTTTGAGATCTCAAACGTTGTATAAGCTAAGCTCATTTACATACAGTATCGATAGCTAATCGATAAAAATAAATTCAATTGCATACATACAATACAAAATCTGTTATTTGTACGTCTCATAGTTTAGATTTCCTATTGGGGTTCAAGTTTTCACGATGTTCGAGTAACTAAATCCGTGATACACGTTTATTTATTATTATTTATAACCCATACTACAGAAGAAAAACATATAAAAAAAGAAAACTCTTACATTGTTATATCCTAAGATGGTGACAAATAATAACTATGTAATACCCTGGTATTTTCAACCATACAAAGTTGTGTTAACCTGGGGTGCCACCATGGTGTCCCAAAACAAAGCAATGTTTAAACTCATTATCTTTTATCGAACTATATTCTTAAACACTTGCGGTATAAAATTAGCATTCCCCTAAATGTACACATAAGTGCTGATTACGTCAATTGCCTCCCAGGACATCCTGCTCTCTCTCGCCAAAGCCGTAGCTAACACAACGGCTGCGCTGGTACTGAAGGCGAAGAATGTAGCAGCGCAATGCAGAGATGAGCAGCCACTGCAGAATACTATTATTGCCGCGGCGACGCACTGTGCGCTTGCGACTAGCCAACTTGTCGCTTGTGCTAAGGTAATACAGATATTAAATATTGTTATCAATGTTGTTCGTAGAATGTTGTAACCCTGTGATTGATAGTTGCTGCAAAGCATCCGAAAGTTGAAAGTCATGTTGTCAAAGCTTGGTAATTAATTGCCTAATGTAAAAAAACACATAAGAAAAAAAATATCTCATGATTCATATATCCTAATTCTTAATACAAATAGCTAAATTATAATATAATATAATCCCAGGTGGTCGCCCCGACCCTCCATAACCCGGCCTGCCGCGAGCAATTAACAAGTGCAGCACGCCAAGTTGCCCAAGCTGTGGAGAAATTAGTTGCGGCTTGTCAACATGCTCCTGACTCGGCAGGACCTGGGGTTGAACAGCTCACCGTCGCTGCACAGAGAGTCACAGAAGAACTGGAGAGATTGTTGGCACATTGCGATCTTGGTGAGTTCAACCTCCTTACACGTCATGAGTTAAAAATAAAAATAGATTCCAGCTATTTAATTTTATCTATGATATTTCAACTTGGCACAGACCGTCGAGGACAGGCTACAGTTATTGAGCAATCTGTGGAAAGTGTTTTGACAGCCAGCGAGCGGCTAGGCTCGGCGGGTGAACCGTCGGAAATGCTTCGTCGGGCCAGACTCTTGGGACAAGCAACAGCTAGACTTATCGCCGATATTAAGGTACAGTAGAATTACAACTAACTGTAATAAGTTGGTAGAAATATTGCTCTTGCTACTTAACACTACTAGGCAATCAAAATAACATGGTATTTTGTTGATTCTCAGACGGAGGCAGAAAGACAACCATCAGAAAGTCAAGGCAAATTACTGGCAGCAGCCAAGCTATTGGCAGATGCTACTGCGCGAATGGTGGAAGCGGCTAGATTGTGCGCGTCAGAGCCACAGGTAACTTGCTTAAAGAGCTAGTTTTATAAATCTTAACAATTTTAATTACGTTTACTTACAATACGATAATGTTTAACAGGATCGTGACAAACAAGAGGCATTACTTCGCGCAGCGGAAGAGCTACGTTTTATTACAGCTGATTATGCGCAAGGGCAGGATATTGTAAGCTCACAAGTAGCCAGGTTACATGTAAGTTTTATGACAAATAATAATATTTCTGAATATTTAAAAAATATATAACTTTATTTCTTATTTGTTATACAGGAGAGTGCACGCCAAGCTGCGTCCAGTGCAACACAATTGATTGCGTCTGCGCACAACGCCACACAATATAACACTAATAAATATTCTCAAGTATGTACATTCTTTAAATCAACTTTAAACTGTGTTAAGTTAGGTTATAGATAGTTCATGGGTTATTTTAAATGCTCCTATCTGTTTCGCAGGAAGCACTGCTCTCAGAATGCACTTTATTGAGCTCCCATATTCCACGGCTTACTGAAGCGGGCAGTGTATTCAGTGCTCGACCACACAATCCCGCTTCCCATTTAGATCTTGTTACAGCTTCGGAAACATTCTTGCAGGTAAAATAAATGTTTTATAATATCCTTATTAAGCAATTACTGGTCCTTCGAGCCAGATATTGTTATGTACGAAAGATAATTGAAAGTATGTAAGAATGTATATTATTAATGTGAAATGTTTACAAGAAATAGTATACACGTATTATTTTACAGCCAAGTGGTCACGTGGCGCAAGCAGCCCGTGCAGTCTTACCAACAGTCAGTGATCCGGCAGCTAACAAGCAACTTGCGGACACTACGAATCAATTTACCGCTAGCTGTGCTGATCTAAGGTAGTAATAAATACCGTAGGACGTTCATGTATTATGTCCTTATCAAAAAGGGGCTGTATTTCTAACTAAAGTTTTTATTATAGATCCGCAGTGAGTCGTGCTCGTGCGTCGTGCCGTGGCTTAGAATTGGATGCGGCGGCGGAAATACTTCGTAGTCTCCAGGATGAATTGGACGAAATGGAGCGAGCGTGTGCGGCATTCGACTTGTCTCCGCTACCAGCACAAACAGTACGTATAATAACTAAAATTTACTTCCAATCCTAATATTGCAACACTGCCAACCACCAGTATAGACTTGTCCTCGTATTTGTTTTCGTCAATTTGGTATTCTATATAATAAGGGATAGGATTGTCATCTAATTATTTAATTCACTTTCTGAAAATTCTCGGGGGTTTCTAATGTCTGTTTTTTTACAAGCAATTAAGGTTAATTTTGGAAATAAAATTGTAAAATTAGCACACTTGGGGTTATGTAACCTTTTGATCGCAGACTTTAAACCTGTTTTTTTTATAGGTCGAATGGGCGTACTCTCAATTACAAAGCGCCGGTCGTTCTGCCGGATCCGCTAGCGCAGCGCTAAGCGCGGGGGCGAAGCGCAGCGACCCAGCCGGTTGCGGGCGAGCAGCCCTCGACCTTGCCTCTTCGTTGCGTCATTTCGCACCGCCGCTACGCGCTGCTCTTGCGCATGCTCCAGCTGAACAACAGCCTAGGTATATTGATGTATTTAAAACGTTAAAATCTCTTATACTTTAATGGTATTCTTTATTGCAAAGCATAGTTGGCTTGTAAAGGGATGAACCGGATTCCGCGAGTGTGCGTGTCAAAATTTGTTGGACAGGTCTATTGGTTAGAGCACCACGGAACATTGTGGATGGAGTTATAATTTTTATTTCTCATATTTACTCTTTTAGGCAATTGTTACTGTATCTGAAATTTTTTGTATATAATAAATTACTGCCATAGTCCTTTCTTGAAAATCAGAGATAACAATAAAATAAAATTACATTTCTAAAGAAGAAGGCTCATTTCAGGCCATAAGTTGACCACAGACTAGAGAAAATATTTTGTGCATAATTTTATTATCAACGTATAATTGGTTTATTAAACGGATTAGCTTTATTGATATAATTACGTTTGTTTTGCAGAGTGCTATCATCTGGCCGCCATGTTGTAAACTCATCGCTGATATTAGTGGAAAGCGTAAAGAAATACCTCACCAGTTCAGAAGAAGTCGACTGTGCTAACATAGTTAGCATGGCCAAGAATGTATCGCAGGTAGGTCCAAGCGAGAGATTAGTTTTCATTGCAATCATTTATATATTTTTTTCTTAGAAGTGTGTTGATATTCAATTGTTTTTATTAAGAATTGTATAAAACAGATGCAGAAGTATAAGAAATACCGACTTGTATTTAAAAAATGCACGTCGTACTCGGATTTGACCTTTGTTTATAATAAATGACATATGTTGTCAGGGTGTGGAGTTGACTCTCGAGTCAGTTCCATCTCACACCGAGCTGGATGCCGCTATGGAGAACATCAACCAGACCTTGCAGATTTTGGACATGGGTGAATTACCGCGCACAGACAAGAGTTATGGGTGAAGTTAAAAAAACTAGTTCAAGAATTATGTTTTTTCTTTAAATACTCAAACTTTTAACGGTTTAATTATTAATATATATATTAGTTAACAAGTAAGTTATATAAACAGTTCACTTACTGAAATGTACTACTTGCGTGAACTACAGACACAGTCAAACATTTTGCTTCTACTGAAAACACATACCAATGAAAAATATCGTCTTTTCTCTTTTATGACTTGTTGAATTGTCTAAAAGTGTAACATATTTTCCGCATCGTTAATTCGTATGTGACATGGATTTGTTAAATAGAGCGGAACTCATTGTTCTAAGATTTAATACTAATATTGTAAAGTTTTCTACGACAAAATTCATTTTGTAAACTGCTCTTTGCTAATTTTACATCCAAAAAATGATCAACCACCGAATCGGAATAAGGTACATTATATAAGTATTTATAGGGAATTACAAACTGAACTGAACGCGGCCGCAGTTGGTCTTAGCACTGCTTCTTCTGACGTCGTGTCTTCAGTGGAGCAAGGAACGCTTAGTAGTAGCGGAAGACACTTCGGTGACGCCTTTAATAGACTCATGGGCGTCTCGCTGGAGCTGGCTGGCCAAACTGAGGTTATTATTTACATTTTATATTTTCTTATACAGTATAAAATGCCTTTTCATACATATAACACTAAAACGTATTACAACATCTTTATGCGAATAGTAATTTACAATTAAATATTAAAAACTATGACTATAATTCAGAAATCGATTTTGATAAATTTTTTTTCTAGGAACGTGAATCCCGCAGCGAGATGATCCGATCAATGAAAACTGTGACTGTCAACTCTTCGAAGCTGCTCGGTACCGCCAAGTCTGTCAGCCAAGTGAGTAAATTACATAAAATGTTACCATATTAACACATTATTAGATTAAATATATTTTTTTTTTCAATAATAACTTTGTCTAGGATTTGACGCGTCCCAACGCTAAGAATCAACTGGCGGCCGCGGCTCGTGCTGTCACTGAAAGTATCAATAACTTGGTGAGTAAAACTATGATGCAAAATACAAAGTTTCGTTAAATAGAATATTTTTAATATATCATTTTATCCTTAGGTTGATGTTTGCACCGAGGCGGCACCAGGCCAAAAGGAATGCGCTGCAGCTATAAGAAGCATAGAGAGTACCAGGACTCTTCTCTCGCAACCATCACAGCCGATCAACGACATGGGATACTTTGCTTGTCTTGATGCTGTTGTCGAGCAGAGCAAAGCACTCAGTGAGTATCCGATAAATAAGTCATAAGTATATGCGGGTATCTTTAAATCCGACTTGAAGGACCAACGTTATTGTAAGAATAAGGAAATCGTGTACATTATTTATTATTATCGTAAATCTGTGTGCTATAGTAAGCTGGTGCCGTGTTGAAATCTATTCTCTTTCTTAGGCGAAGGCATGTCTGGTATGGCAAGTTCTATTAAGAAGAGCGACAGCAGCCAGTTTGCTAGAAGTGTCAGTGGGGCTGGAACAGCTGTACAAACGCTTGTGGAATGTACCGCGCAGGCTGCTTACCTGGTTAGTTGCTTATTAGCTTAGTTATATTTTGTTTTATGTCAACAAAGGGAATATAAATGGAGTGGATATATGTGAATCAATTGTAGTAACAAGATTGCTTGAAAAATGTGTTTTATTCAGGCTTAGTGAACACGTGGACTGCCATCAATAAAATTGCAATATGTTAATAATTTGCTCTAAATTACAATTTTCAGTACCATAGTATAACAAACAAACAAAAAATACTTAAACATACATATTTAATAAATTTGTAGACTGCGGTTTCGGATGAGACGTCAGTGGCTGGTCGTGCAGGCTTGGTCGACCAAGCTCAGTTCGCTCGTGCCGCGGCAGCTATAGACCGAGCTTGTTCTACACTTAGCGATCCTAGGACAGACCAACACCAGGTAAATATATTTCTTGTACCATAGTATAGTCAACATGCAATAAAATAATAAATATGACGTATCTTCAATTTCAGTTTTATAAAGTGTATTATAAATTGCCAACTTGAAATAATATCTTCTCTACTTTTGCTAATTGAATATTTATATGTCGCAGTGCTTTTATCCATTACTTTCACCAGATTGGACTTGTGACTGGAGTATGGTTGATATATTGACATTGACAAATTGATATCATACATGACAGACGGTCATTGAAAACTTGTTATTTTGAAATAACGTCGGGTTAGGGATTGTCTGGTGGTGGATTGACGTTTGTACTGTACAGAAGCGGCGTCTATTTTGAGGCTTTTATCAGAAAAAAAGTTGTAAATACGAATTACAACTTTATTTGATGTTAAGATTTACAAATATTATTTTAAGAATTTTCACATACCTCGTACTCGAATATCTTAAGTTAATCCGTTCCACTTTATCATCGTAGTTTTAACACTGAGTGATATTGCAGGTACTATCAGCAGCCACAGTGATTGCTAAGCATACTAGCGCCCTCTGCAACGCATGTCGTGTTGCCTCAGGGCGTTCTACGGAACCGCAGAGTAAGCGACACTTCGTGCAAGCCGCTAAAGATGTCGCCAACTGTACTGCGGCACTTGTCAAAGAGATTAAAGCACTTGATTTGGATTATAGCGAGGTGAGGAATCGAGAACCCTATTTTAATGTTAAAGATACCGAAAACTCATGGTTAAACTTCAATTATGTTAAAAAAACAAAACTACGTGTTTTTTACACAGGCAAATCGTGAGAGATGCGCAAACGCAACCGGGCCCTTACAAGAAGCGGTGCGAAGTTTATGCCAATTCGCAGACAGCCCCGAGTTCGCAGCAGTTCCCGCCAAAATATCACCACAGGCCAGACTCAACCAGGAGGCCATTTTGGACTGTGGCAGGTAATTGTCACTTTATTTATTAAATTGTGTCAATGTATAAAATATATGTATGCCTGTATTAAAAGCCAAAATAAATATATCTATTTGTTATAAATGGTTTTCAATGTTATTATTTTATAGACAGACTAACTGTTACCCACGACGTCGTCTGCGTCCTGTCGTTCTTGCGTATCATTATACGTAAGAGAGGGGCATATACTATTGCGTACATTTTAAATAATTTAAATAATTATTATTATTTCTTGAATCGTCAGCGTACGGCTACGAAAGCCCTTACAGGTGCATAATTTTCTCTACTTTTAACCACATTTCCCTTTGTTCCGTCCAAATGGCTTTTTAAACCTTGCTCGATAAAACTTGTTAAGTAATGTTTTATGTTGCAGGAGTATAATATCTGGCTCTTGTTCGATGTTGGAAGCAGCTCGGGTACTAGTTCTGTCACCGACTGATCGTCCTCAATGGCAAGCACTTGCTTCTCACAGCAAAACCGTTTCAGACAGCATCAAGCAACTCGTTACTAACATTCGGTTCGTATATCATATAAAGAAATTAACTTAGCTACGTAATAGAAAACGTTTATTTGCCATATGTTACTAACTTTGATTACCATAAAAACTTTTTGTGGGCCAGTCATAAAAGATATATATGTATATATTGTCGCGGACTTTTTTCAACCTAAGTAACTACTGTTAATTTTCTACGAAGGACAAGGACGGAAGATGGTCGGTGGATGATGTTACACACACATACACAATTTCTCCACTAGCTATAGAAATAAGAATACATAGTTTTATAGTGACATTTTTTATTTAATAAGTCATTTAATTATTTTATTCATCACTTTTAATAACTTGAAAAATATACAGAATTTTAAAGATCGAATTTAGCATGCAGGTTCCAGACCCGCCCGTGTCGGAATTTTTTTATCAATAAATGTTTAACTGTTTCAAACGCGAAATGTATTAGTTAAACTTATTTACAATATATTTTATCGATGGATTTCATTTCAAAAACAGTGAGAAAGCACCGGGACAACGTGAATGCGGTCGCGCATTGGATACCTTGAACAACCAACAGCGCGATTTGGATCAGGTTGCTATACAAGCCGTTGGTCAGGAGTTGAGACCTCGTCAAGCTAATACACTTCAAGGTATGTTGAACGGTCTATAAAGTTGTAAAGATTTTATAACTATTATTTATAGCCTAAATAGAACAGATTTTATTATACATGGCTAGTTTTAAGCTAGTACAGATTTTTTTAAGGTTAAATTAAACTCGTAAGATTTGACTGTTTGCTCGTTTAAATTTACGGGGGGTGTGGATACTGTGAACAAGTGGAGAACAGCGCAGCGGAAATGTTAGAAAAGCTTGAACCAGTGCGTGTGGCGGCTACTAGCGAGGCGGAGAATTTGGGACACAGTGTACTACAATTGGTATGTTATATATTGTGTAATATTATATACCGCAAAACCGATTTTGTAATTTTTTGTGGTTATACGGTTTCTAGATCACTACGTGATGCGTAAGAGGTCTTGGTGGTTCGAATCCTGGGTAGATAATAGATTGTTTCGGTCGGGCAGGGCACAGTGTGACAACTTAGATTATCAAGTACCGCCATCAATGGATGATATCATAAGGTGAAGAACTTAACTAACGAAGTATGAACAGAAACAAGTATCTTAGGACATATGTAACGCTAAATGTTAGAATGCGATAGAAGCAATATAATTTCTGCGCGAGAAACAAGGATAGAATCATAAATTATGACCACTTTTTTACATTTCCTAGTAGAAAGTATTAAAGCAAAAAACAATAATTTTGAGGCAGTTTTTTTAAAACATAAGTATTTTAAGCCGTGTGAAACCCGCAGTGAGCAAAACAAAAAAAAACTTCCATTGTTTCTGTGGCCAGGGCAAGATTACATCAGCTATAGATATATAGTCTAAGATTACAATAAAAATTATCTTTTATATTTTTATTTTATTTTGTTAGGTATCGTATGCTGAGCCCCTCGTGTCAGGCGCAAGTGGAGCTGCTTCAAATTTGACAGAGTCGGCCGCACAGTCAGGGCTGTTGCAGCACGCTAGGACCGTTCTTGAGACGCTGTCATTACTCGTGCAAGCGGCTAAACAAGCTGGTGGCAACCCTAGAGTGAGTTATTTTAAGTTACAGTAATGCTTATTTTAAAATCTAAATATCTATGATTGTGTTATACAAATAAGTGTTCTTATTTTGTTTACTGCATGAAAACGTTATTATCTTATAAAAGTGTTAAAAGCTTATAAATCTTGGATTAAAAAAAAAATAAACCATTTTGTTTGCTTTTTTAATTATATCTTCATTGTCATTTCGTCGACGTTTGCAGCAGTCGAAACGTCGAGCTGTACCTAATTGTAACATAAGTTAAGTAATATATTTCGTGTTTTAAACCGTTAAAACTGTCTTGCCTAGTAAACTACAAACTATTATTTTATTTATTTTCCATAGGCGATTAGTGCCCACGGCGAAGTCGAAGCGCAGTGCCAGCTGGCCCGTGCTGCGCTAAGCGAGCTGACTGGCCAAGTCCGCGAGCTGAGCACGCAGCGAGGCGCGGTTGGTCCCTTGCTGGACTCCGTAGCGAGAGCTGTCGCTAGGCTTACTGAACACAGGTTAGTGACGTCACATAGTCGGTACCTGAATAGAGATAGGTTTAAAGATAGAGTAGGACAGACAAGTGAAACAGTCTGTCTGTGGATTTACGTATATCCAAAGCCAAAATAGTTCGACAAGGAATTTTTAAATTTTATATGTCGGGTATTTTACCTTCCATCAAGTGAACCCCAAGTTTGGTCTGTCGACCGGTTTCCGACCGCTTTGGAGATTTTGATATACTATAACCGAAAAGTTCGCGGATTTTAATATCCAAATTTCCAAATGGAAATTAAAACGAGACATTATTTTAAAATTATTAATGATTAATAACATGTTGGACCCGGTGGTTTTTGAATCCACTACCAGTTCATTCCTAGTCATACATTACCATTAGTGATTATCCGACGAGCTTCATTTTGCTTGTTGAATTGTTCAAATTTATTTCACCCCCATTAGTTATCATCTACCTACTTCAAATTACTTCAACATAATTTCGGATCCCATAATACATTTCTTTTTTAACGTTTCTTATAAAATCCTTGTAATGCGTAATAATAAGTTCAGTTAGTACATGATGAATGTACGCTGTTTACAAATAGCCCAACCGTCACTCGACTAAAAATAACGCCGCAGATGCTGGGTTAAGGACATCCTATATATCTGCAGTAGGCCGTATCCTGTACTAAGTAGATATCAAAAATTGCCAGCAAATACACTCTAGTAGTGCCTTAATTCTATGAAAACATTTAACATATGGAATATATTTAAAAAGTGGCAAAATTTAATGAAATACACATAGTACTTCTAATCGAAGATCGGGTAGACCCTTGTCTCCTGACCAACAGTCTGAGAGGAACTAAGAGTTCAATGTAAATGGAAAAACACAAAACGTATTGTTTCTTTCGAATTTCCCAACTTTCCAACCGATTAAAACCACCCAGACATTTCCAAACCGAAAGGAGATATAAAGTAGCCTTTCCGTTCTCGAAACTTGGCTAAGGCGGGCTCGTCTTATGGTTGCAATGTATGTTTAATAATCATCAGGTCGTGGGTTCGCTCTCCACCGGGTCCAAAATGTAAATTTATATTTTTTCTGAAAAAATATTAGATACCGCCTGAATATTTGGATATTAAAATGGAGGAATACCAACATTCAGGCGCAAAATATTAATCGCGTTTGATTTTCGAATATCCAAAGCCAAGATAGGTCCCATAGAGAACATCGCGTTAAATGGCTGGCGGTTTCACCAACTCTTTTGTTCTCTATCATAAAAAGTATACGATATACATTACAAATTCACAAAATAAAAAGATTTCAAAAATATCGACCTCACAACTTAGGCCATCTAATTAACGACTTCGCATCAAAATACCTTAAGTTACCGACATCCGTCAACGTTTAATGTAATTATAATAATTATCCGCTTAGGTCATCTTCTGGCCGCTGGCGTCGGGCCAAACGCTCAATGAAAGAGTTACCATAAAGCAGATGATACGTTACTGAAATAAGCCGATATTGATCGGTTCACTGCATACAAGCGGACTCTTTAAGAAAGCCAACAGCTTTTTACAAGACCGCATTAGCGCTTTTATAGTCGAGTTTTTATAAAACTTGTTCATACCGTGTTTGTTGCATACCGTTTCGTGATTTGTGTTATAAATGTGCAGTTTTTGAAAGATTTGTGATGCAACAGAGGTATTGGTTTTCTGTTCTCTTATTCCATTTAAATAATAACGCTTTAACGGTTTTAAAAGCGATATATATTAAACTTATTTTAACTACGGCCCGACGTATTAATTAAACCGGTCAGTTTACTGTTGTAAACACAAGACAGTAGTCTCTTATTCCATTTTTGAATGTTATTAAAATACGTAGATAAATAATATACGTAAAGTGTAAACCATCAAAGCTTAACTTAATTACCATTATGTAGTATTATATATATTAAAATTGTATTTATATTGAAAATGTTTTTTTACTAAACGGCAGCCGTTACACGAGCCTGGTGCAAGTATCAATTGGTTGAAGCAATTCGACGATGACGTGTAGGACTCGGTAGTTCAATTAATTATAACAGTAGCACGAAATATTTTTTGAAATTGATACAATCTTAGCTTTTCCAGAATATAGTCTGTATTTACTGAGGCTATTTTAGATAATACTAGAATGATTGCTTCTACAGTTTAAGGTATGACTCATTAATTTCTTTTTAAACAAAGCTCGAAAACTTTTTCGAACTTTTGACGGTGCTAGGCAATAATCAGTTTAAAAAAAAGGGGGGAAAAAAAAAAAAAAAAAAAAAAAAAAAAAAAAGGGGGGGGGGGGGGGGGGGGGGGGGGGGGGGGGGGGGGGGGGGGGGGGGGGGGGGGGGGGAGAAAAAAAAAAGGGGGGAAAAAAAAAGAAAAGGGGTAAAAAAAAAAAGGGAAAAATGGGGGGAAAACTGTAGACAGTATTTAATAATCGTTTATATTAATCTTAGATATGTTTGTATTAGATTTTTTTTTTATTAATTAAATTTACATTTTAAACTAGAATGTCGCTGATCGGCAGCTACGATGAGACAGAATCCTTCGTCGACTACCAGACAAGGATGGTTGCTGCTGCTAAGGAAATTGCTCGACTAGCTTCGGACATGGCAAGTTGTTATACAGCTCGATTTTATGATTTATTACAGATATAGTATGTTTGTATGTAAATATTTTGTAAAGACAATTATTATTTATAAATTTATTTCACTAACATCTAAACACTTAGACTAAGATACAAGTTTAAGGGGATGAAATAGGTCGTGGAGAAAAATTATAAGCGAATACAGAATAATACAAATATTATAAGAGAGAAGAGAATTGTTAAATTTAAGTGGGCATTAACTTATATATTAAAATACGAAAAAAAAATAAACAATAAACTTTAAACTACGCTGCAACTATTTCCTTTATTTTAACTACATTTATTATTCCGTGTTACTTTGATATCAAATCAAATACATATTTTCTTAATAAAATGAGTTTCTTTTGACTCACGCCAAATTTTTACAGACGGCAAAGGCGGCAACAGAACCATCTCGCTTAGTGGAGATCGGCAACGAAATGTGTCAAAAGTACGAAAAGCTGGCCGCAGACAGCGTTGGTGCTTCCGCAACTACTCCCAACGCAGACATTGCTAACAGGTATGTCTTCCCGTGACCACGCCTACTACAAAGCATCCGAAACTTCGGGCCGTAGTTAAACTAATTTTCAAATAAGTTTAATTAATATATTTTTTAAATAAAGCACTTAAACTACGTGTTTAAGTGCTTTATTTAAAAAGGTATTTATATAGTTTTATGACAAGAGTACGCACCTGTATATGTATGACATGTAACATCGAATAATGTCTGTAGTTTACGCGAGTAAACGAAACGCGAGAAACGCGTAAAATATTAGTTGAAACGTCGTACCGTACTTAAAATAATTTTCAATTAAGTTTAACTAATATATATCGTGTTTTTAAACCGTTGAAGTATTTTATTTAAATATAGCATCTATACAAAATGATGCAGTAGTAAATTTTATACAGAGGTGTATATAGGACTTTTATGAATTATCTTGAAGTATTTTCTCTTCTCTGAACTAAGCTCAGCTAAGACAAAAAAAAACTTCAATTTGAAGAAAACAATTTTAATTTAATACAAAATATTTTGATATTTATTAGAAAAATGATTAAAAAAACCTATTCTATTTATCTTGTAGGATTCGCGTATGCGCCGTGGAAGTGGGCGAAGGTGTTTCTGAAGTGGTTCGCGCCGGTGGACACTGCAGACTAGCTGCCATTGCGCAGAATCAACGCGCAGTTGCTGATAACGCGAGACGTCTAAATGAGAAGGTATACAAAGGCTCTTACAAAATCATTCGACCAAATAATCTATATAATAATAATATATGATATTGTTTAAACGATACGATATTGTTACCCGCGACGTCACTTGCGCCCCTCTTGCAAGCTAATCTTAGTAGATAGACATATACTGTCGCAGACATTTTTTTATATTATTTACAAAGGAATCATTCTTTCATACATATTTTTGAATACATTGAATCGTTTTCGTACTAATTCGCAACGAAAAGCCTCAAATTTTTTTAGTTTCTCCGTTTTTTTTTTCACATTTCCCCCTGTGTCTTCGCTTCTATTGGCCGCATGGTGATGATTTGAAAGCCTTTCTCGATAAATGCTTAACCAACACAAAACGATTACTCAATTCAAACCAGTAGTAGTTCCTCAGATTAGCGAGTTCAGACAAAGAAACTCTCAAGCTTTATAATATTAGTATAGATAATAAAGTATACATTCCTTTCAGGTCGTGTCTCTACTGAGTGCCCTTCAAGCGGGCTCCCGTGGAACCCAGGCGTGCATTGACGCAGCGGCGACCATTGCGACAATTATTGGCGATCTGGACACAACTATCTTGTTTGCTAGCGCTGGTATGTATAATATAAAGTAACCTTATAAATGTGCTGTTTCGTTATTCATTTACACAAAAGTTTCACAAGTTACCATAAAAAAGGTAAGGCGTTAAATTTTTAAACCATCACTAAGTAAACTACGGACAGTGTTTACTTAGTGATGCTATAGCTTTATATAAAAAAAAAAAAACATTTATAAAAAAACTAGTTATTTAAACAATTTTTAATGCAGGTACTCTTCAATCGGAGAAGGAAGGCGACACATTCTCAAACCACCGTGAGAATATCCTGAAAACGGCCAAGACATTGGTAGAGGATACAAAGAGTCTAGTCGGTGGAGCTGGCGGGACACAGGAACAGCTGGCTTCGGCTGCTCAAAGCGCTGTTGGAACCATCAGTGAGTATAGTCATGAAACTAAATGTATAATATTTAAACTTCTGACAGTATATGTGATGCAAAAATCAGCTCTGACAATATATTGTCAGAGTATGACGTATTGACGTATACGTCTTGCTGTTTTGGGTTCAAGGGTTTCCAGATCAAAACTAGATGTAAACAACTCTGTTACCCTTAATAAATTCTTTTATTTAAGAACAGTTACTTTGTACATTTTAATTTTCTTAAAGTAGTTATTAATACTTTTCTTAGTATTACTAGATGTTGTTTATAATTTTAAATAAAATTCCAGTGCAACTATGCGAAGTGGTAAAACAAGGAGCTATGTCGCTCGGTGGTGGTAGTGCTGAGCCCCAAGTGTTAGTGCTTCACGCCGCTAGGGATGCAGCCGCTGCCCTTCGGGATCTTGCTGCTGCTACGGCGGCTGCAAGTGGAAAACACGTACATCATCCAGATATGGACAGATTGAAACATGCAGCTAAGGTATTGTTTGAATTAGAACTGTAAAACGTTTTAAAGTAGCTTAAGATATATTTTATTAATGACATTTTAATTTGGTTTTTTACAATGTTTTAACAATTGTATTAATCTAAAACAAACAATATGGGCAGAAGTCATATCTTAGTTTTAGCTTATGTACAGTACATTGTCTTTTGCTGTGTTTGTTTGTGTATTTCGATATTGGACTTTCTGGGAATTTATATCTGCTAAGCTGATTGACGAATTTAGGCTAAGTTTGTCAATCCGCAGTATCAACATGTCTGTTTAAATATCGGGTTTTTCTAGCGTCTGTCAGATCCGAAGCGATGGAGCCTCCCTCTCAAAACCAACACCATCCCCAAAGCTAAAAGACGGTCTATTAATATAAAGGATTACAACTCGTGTGATTCTGAAACTGATATTTTCCAATCCGACCAAGAGGAGGAACTTATCAAACTCCTAGACTATTCGAGTCAAGATGACGATATATCACCAAGTATATTTCACGATAGTTGTGAAGAACTTATTGCATATATCGAACATCTTATGCTTCAACCTACACCGAGAGAAATAAATGATGATGTTAACGCTAGGTATAATAATGCAGCTAGAAATAGCCTGTTCGATATGGACTGGCGCGTGTTGAAATATGGAGAGACTATTTTCTTAGCTGAACTACGAAAAATGATAGACCTATGTGTGGACGTGGGCAATAAAATAGAAAATAAAAGAAAACGGCACGCAAAGGCTTTAGAAGTAGTCACAACTGATTTGGATTGTGAAATGAAAAGATTATCGCAAGTAGTTGAAGATTTAGATTGGCAAGATACTGTCAATGAAAATTTTACTACAAAAACTACTACAATAGAAACTACTGTAATCAAAAGATCCAAATTAGAGAAGCCAAAGCTAAAAAGTCCTGTATTCAAAGTAAAGAAAGTTAAACCTGTTAATCTAATAGTTAATTTAGATGTTAAAAGTCACGATATAACATCCATGGAACCATATTCACCTGACAAAACTGCAGAAAGCAGTCCAAAGTCACCAGAGAGCAACGGAATCAGTACTATCAATAGAAAACAGTTTTGGAATATGTTTAAAAACGATACCGATTGGTGGAAAGCATTAGCGCAAAGAAATTTAGAAAAAATGGAAGAGACTAGGCGTGAACTAGAGCGATTTAGTGGCCACGAACTAGTTTTGGGCGAAATTCAAACTGAAATTGACAAATATGAGAAGGAAAAACACATACTTCGTAGTTTCATAGAAGAAGTGGACTTATCCAAAACGATTAATAAAGATCTTGAATACAATAAAAAGTATGAAGCTATAGTTTTGAAATTAATAGATTTCGCCAAAACAGACTTCAATTTCAAAGGTTTTGATCCTCTCATCCTGAAACTGAAAGAACTGTCCAATATTGAGATAGAAGAGAGAAAGAAAAAAATAAAAATCGAAGATATATTGAAGATGTATTCACAGATCGATATTACAAAATACACGTATGAAGAATTGTGTTTATTAGAAAAGTATTATAAGGAAATCATAAATAAATATAAGCTCCAAGAAGTTGATAAAGAAAATGTTTTCCCGATGGCGCGTAACGATGCAAAATCGCCAACGTATAACAAAAATGTAATACTCAATGTACATTCCAGTCAGAACGTAACACGAAACGTTAACCAGACAATATATAAACACAATACAATAGACAGAAAAAGAGAGGAACACTCGCGGAACAACGTAGAAATGTACGACATCACACGCACGTACCCGTTAGAATATTATGCGAACAACTGGTGGTCGATATACGAGGACGTCGTAAAGAATAGAGAAAAGCAGTTTGGAAGCATCGATAACTGGTGGAACTTTTATGAGGCAGTGCTAAACAGGAAGGACACTAGCGCGGAAGATTTGAAGAGAATTCAGCAGATAATGGCCTGTCGAAGCCGATCGAGACCAAATAGTCGGATGGAGGAGCAGCTTAAAATGCTGGACGAGGTCGATAACACGCGGTTCCGCGAGAGCGAAGCTGTGTCAACCAGTGGAAACGAATCGGTCAGAATCTTGGTGTAAATTAACCGCCGAGCCTAACCAAGCACGCAGGAGCATGGTGTGGTGACCATTGGTGTTGAAAATGTTTAAGTCCATAGCATGATTGATATGAGGTCCGTGATAGATTGAACTAATTTCCAAGGTCCCAAAAAGGATTTCTTTATCTCAAAATCGATGCATCCGTATGATCATGCATATGGACTTAAATCCTTTCTAAATTTCGTTCTACCCTCATGTTTTCATGTCACCTTGTTCACTGTCCTCGTTGTTGGCACAGGCTTCGTGTGGCTTTCCATGTTCTTACGCCGTCCATGCAAATTAGATTTAATGTGTTAAATATTATTTAGAATGTACGTTTAATTCAAAATCAAATTTAATTTAAATTTTTAGATTCGAAAGTGTTAAAATAACTTTCTCATAGAACATCTATCATTTCATGGTAGCCTGGTGTATCATTGTGTGTAACAAAGCCAAAAGCTTTCATTTAACCGACTTCACAAAAGGAGGTTTCATCGCGTAGCTTCGAAAGTCCAATATTGAATATGTAGGCGGCTCTTTTTTGTTTTTATCTAGTTGAAAGCTTATGGGTTTTTGGCATGAGCTTTTCGCACTGGGTGTTTTATATTGTCTTTTTATCCGATATTTACAGCGACAAATTCATGCTTAAAGAATCACTCACGCTCATTTAAAATTGGCTTTCGCCTCGATTGGCTAATATGGTAATCATTCAAAATTAAAAAAAAAATGAGCAAATATTCTTTAAAAGCTTCAATGATTTAAAAGTCAAAGGTTGTCAGAAACAAAATAGCTGTTTAACGCAAGGTACAAAAGAAATTTATCTAATACATTATACTTGGAACAGGTGATGGTTACAAATGTGACGTCACTACTGAAGACAGTAAAGGCCGTGGAAGACGAACACACTCGTGGTACAAGAGCTTTAGAGTCCACCATAGAAGCTATATCGCAGGAGATAGAGGTAAGGCTAATTATTAAAATTACTGTTACTTTCTTTCAATTGTTGTACGGCTTAAATCCTTAAGAAAGTATATGTCGGTACGGTGGGTATAAAGTTTTTGATGATTTTAATATTTATGTAGAAGAAATGTATGTAACTTTCTGCTTTTGAAACAAATAGGCATTACTTATAATGTAACCACTGCGTAATTGAAACTTCTACTGGCTTAAATACTGTCTGTAGTTTACACCATGTAAAACATTGAAAATTAGTTTAAACATGTATTTGAAACTTATTTTAATTATGGCCCGTTTCGCATGCTTTGCAGCAGTTTTAACTAATATGCATCGCGTTTTAAACCGTTAAAGTGTTTCATTTTAATTCCTACAGACTTTTTATCAGTTCCTATGTATCCGTAGAACTAGCATCAACTAATTAAACTTATATACCAGGTCTTGATGTCTCCATCACCGCCGAAAGGCAGTGGATCGCCCGAGGAACTCGTTCGTTGTACGCGCCTAATGACAGCCGCAACAGCGCGCGCTGTGGCAGCTGGGGGTGTTGGCGGAGCAGCCGGTCAGGACCAGTTGACGGCGGCAGCAAACCTTGGAAGGAAGACAGTTTTGGATATGCTCACTGCTGCCAAGGTAAATAGACACAATATATTAGTTTTATTAAAGAAAAAGTAACAATGGTCATACAATTCGGGAATTCAAGATTATTACCAGAGTTGGAAAATATCTTTAATTATTTATTAACTCCTTTATGTAACACACACAAAAGTATTTAGAACGTATCGTAAAAATAAAACTTTTAGAGAATAAAAAATACCAATTATAAAGGTATATAAACATTCTTAGAGCGCCGCCCATTCGGCTGAAAGTGAAGAACTAAAGATGCGTACATTGGAAACGACACGCGTTGCTGCTGAGGCGTACCGCTCGCTGCTCACCGCACTTCTAAATACGCCTTCGTCGCGACACGCACTGCCCGAGCTGTCGCGTAATGTGGCACACGCAGTCGCCGATATGTTGGCGGCCGCTGATTTGCTCAAAGGTTAGAATCATTGAAATTTGTACTTGTAATAAGAACTCGTTTCACTTAAATACGTGACACGGCAGCTCGATCGTTTAGAGTAACAGCACGTAACGCTGTGGGCGCTGGTTCACGTCCTGCCTGTGTCGTAATTTTATTTAAATCTGAAATCAAATTTTAATTAATATACCGCCATCGTGTGCAATAACATGGGAGGTAGATTTGTCAAAGTTATTTTATATTTTGCCTACGCTCTTTGGAGTTAATGATTATTTTTGAGCAGCTTGTACCTAAGAGTACAAAGTTTTCATAATAAAAGAAAGTATTCAAATTGGTTTCATCATGCATTCTTAGATACAGTTGGTAAAGCAGTAAATATTATCTCTAATTACGAAATTCCATCAAGTTGACATTTTAAATGAAAGTAAACCTATATAAACTAAAATACATAATGGGTTTGAGTAAAACAAATGTCTTACTTGTTCTAACGTGTATCTAATACAAATACACATAATACATATACATATAATTACAGGATCAGATTGGGTGGATCCAGCGGACCCCACAGTGATTGCGGAGCAAGAACTACTCGGTGCAGCTGCTTCCATCGATGCTGCTGCGAGGAAACTGGAGAAATTGCGTCCCAGGATGCAACAGACACAGGTAACGTTATGTTTGAACTTCTTTACTTTTATGGCGAAACAAACTTTTAAATATAATTTTTCGTATATTTTTAAATATTTATAAATCTGGGCTTGAAGCGTCTTAAGTCACCTGACATAAAAATTAAATTCTAAAACTATCGAACTCTTTCTTTAAAGAGGTTCCCTTAGTTTCCTCGGTTTAAGCACACGAAGGAAGGAGAGAGGGAAAAATGAAAGAAGATTTTCGCCACGTGTCGGTGAGATATGTTTGATATTCTTGGTTGTTTCTTTTTATCAGCCAGGAATCAAACATATTACACATCGATCGTGGGTTACCTACTGTGAAGAAGATAGACCACACGTTTCGACATGGCTTGAAGATTAATAAAATACTTTATTTTTTCTTTTGTATACAATCAACGAATGTGTATGAACATCGTAATAGTGCCTAAAGACACTGATATATTTTGTACTTATTGTAGGAAACCGACGAAAACCTAAACTTCGACGAGATGATATTGGAAGCGGCTAAGTCCATTATTGCTGCTACTTCGGCGTTGGTGAGAGCCGCTTCTGCGGCGCAAAGGGAGCTCATCGACCAGGTATATAATTTATATATTTTTTGCATTTTCTACCTGAAGCAATAAAAGTAAATGCGATCATACCTGAATAAATAAATGGCTTTATTTCCCACCATAAATGCTCTAAGCGACAAAAAAAGGATTTTTTTAAATTCGACCGCTTTCTGGGATTAGCGCTTCAAACAAACTCTTTAACTTTTAATATTAGTATAGATAGATCATATAGTACATATTGGATTAATTCTGATTGATGGTAAGTATTACAAGTAGAAGCTTTTTGATTAAACTGTCTGTAATCTTCGTCAATCCATATTATTGGTCTATTTTTATCCATTTTTGGCATTTTTTATTAAAACTGCGTATTTTTAATTATTCTCTCGTTAATAGGGTAAAGTCGCTCGTCGGCCCACGTCATCTTCCGACGACGGACAATGGTCCGAAGGTCTAGTGTCAGCAGCGAGGTTGGTTGCAGCTGCTGCGCATGCGCTGGTCGAGGCTGCTAATGCACTTGTACAGGTATGTTATAACTAGCTATGAAATTTGGCTTCAAATTAAACATTCTATTGTAGTACATTTTACATAAGGCATGTTCAATATATTATAATGTATTTAATAAAAAGGTATTAATGTATTTAATAAAAGGTTAATAAAAACCAAACGATTCCTGACACTGATTTCGTGAAATCTGCGCCAAAAAAGCGTGTTTGGTTCAACTAAATAGTTTGGGTGCTACATACTTATTCAGTTCTTTATAACTTTAATAATCTATAAAGCACGTTAAACAAATGTTTTACTTCTATATTTTTTTTTAAATTATATATGTTTTTTAACCCAATTTTTTTATATTTACTGTCTTGTTTAAAAAATTCTAGGGCGCAGCCTCTGAAGAACGTTTGATTTCGAGCGCAAGGCAGGTCGCCTCTTCCACTGCACAGCTACTCGTCGCATGCAAGGTAATCATATATTTTATGGGTTTTTACGTGTTTATCGAAAGTGCTGCGACTGAAACCAAACTAAGACGAAGGGAGTTGTAAAATCTACTGAAAACACATTAACGTAATGTAAAATAAATAACTAACTACGTAAATGGTGGTGCGAACCAGACGGTATTTAAATATTCCTCCAATTTTGTAAACACTACATGTTTGTACGATTGAGTACGACTGGAAATCCACCCTGCGATAACTTTCGCTGCCGAAAAGGAAATTTCGACTTGAACATTTATTTAATTCATAAATTAAGGCCGTTTTTCCTACGTTTCGTCGCAATATTGTACTCAGTATAAAGTTTTTAACTAAGCACTAATAAATGTTTATCTTCTAGGTGAAAGCTGACCCGACGTCCGAGTCGACCCGTCGTCTGCAAGCCGCCGGGGCTGAAGTCATACGTTCCACCGACAATCTGGTTCGCGCTGCTCGCGACGCTATACATTGCGATGACGAGCGATCTCTCGTTCTCAACAGGCGAATGGTTGGCGGTATTGCGCAAGAGATTGATGCAAGGTAAACGTCAATTTATATTCTACTAGCGACTCGCCCTGGCTTCGCTCGGGTGCAATGCTGATACTTAATACACCACAGAAAACTGAACATATTAAAAACCGTATCAAAACCCGTTGAGTAGTTTTAAAGATTTAAGAGCACATAGGGACAAAAAAAGCGACTTTGTTTTATACTTTGTATTGATGAAACAAATATCGTTTCGCTGAATTTTTTGACGGGGTTAAGTTCTTACGGGATCAAACATGTCTCTAAAAGCAATTTATTTTATTTTTAACATGTTAGACGTCTGTACAATAATTCTGGATACTAAATGGGTATAGGAATATATAATTTCCGCCCGGATCACGTAAATCTCCGTTACTGTTTTCGTGGCGAATGTTAGCAGCCAAAATAGGTTGGCAGCGCACCATATGTAGATGTTATGTGGCTTGGGTATCATCTTACCTTCCATTAAGTGAATCTCATGCTTCTGTCGTTAAAAATATTTTGAGACACTTGTCTACTTTTCGTGGACACTTAGTTATAAGAGTTCTTTGCTGTCACCGATATTATTTATTGTTTCCTCGGGATATAAAACTAGGATCTCATAGCTAGACAACAGCTGGGCACAATAGTCACGATCGTTAGACTACTTATATACAAGACAACGAAAATGTTAAACAAGCAAACATAATTCACAGATCCGAAGTGCTCCGTATAGAGAAAGAGCTCGAAGAAGCGCGTGGTCGACTGACCGCCATCAGACAAGCTAAATACAAGTTGCGCGGTGACACGTCGGGAGACGACACGGATACGGATCACGGTCACGAGCCTCACCACAGGTAAACAATTATCTTAAAGTAAAATTTACCCTTTACCCCCCCCCCCCCCACCTCATGACCACGGCTTGCTGCAAAGAATCCGAAACGTCGGGCCGTGATAAACATAAATGAAGAAAAATATATATGAGTGAGTATGTTTGTGAAAAGTAAAATAGGTAATAATAATTGTTTTTTCAAAAAATGTTTGGTGAGTGAATAAGTTAGCTCGAGGAGTCAGTTATTTCGCGTTATAAGTGTTTTTTTTTAATTGTAAATCCTACTCCTAAATATAAATACATGACACGGTATTACTTTTCTTCCAGATTCAAATCGCCAACCAGCAGTTTTGCGAATACAACGTACAGCCCAAACAGCACGTACACAACTCACAACGCCACACAAAATATAACACAAAACACAACCAACCTTTCCACCCACATATCTAACCTGTCTCAATCGATCGGTTCACCCGGTTTCCCTTCGCCCGGTTACCAACAAAACACATCCGGCTACCAACGTGCGACCTCACCCGGTTACGCCACCTCGCCCGGCTACCAATCGAATGGCTACGCGAAAGAGAGGGAAGACAAGACCGCCCAGAGTCCGTCCTTTTCCAGTTTCCGACCGCAAGACGAAACGCCTAAGCAGAACTACGAAGGTTTCACGACCCGGTAAGTTTTAAAACCGAATATTCCCGCCTATTAATGTTGTCTAATTACTGTAATAATAATAAAAATTAAATTGTTAAAACTATTTATATTATAATAATCAAAACTTTGCTTCTCTTTCATGCCGCTGGGATATAGTTATAAATAAATTAATAATTATAAATATTAATATTTTAAAGAAATTTACGTCTAGTGCCTTTACAAAGTACTTATGATACACTGTGCCTATTTGTACGTGGAAATGTGAAATAAATTATTTAGAAGTATTATTAGGCAAAATTATTGAGTTGAAAGTCTTTGTATTCATATTCAATGTTTGAAAGAATCTTTTCCAAATTTTTGTTAATATTGTAAAATTTATTACTGTGTAAAACTGTCTGTATTTTATTAGATTTAAGAATTTCGCTGGTAAAATAGAATAAGGACTATAGCCGTTACTGCTATAGATGCATGGGCTTCAAGCTATAGACCAGGCCATAGAATAACCGCTTATCTATTGGCTGGGTTCTGTGGTTGATGTGTAACAGATCTATCAACTGTACTGGAGGAACTTCATTATTCTCGTTTAAATAAAAACACATTAGCGGTCTTAAACGCGATGTATATTAGTTAAATTAATGTGAAAATTATTTTAGCTACGGCCTAAATATCAACTGACGGATTTTATGGCGCTAGAGTAGCAGTTTTTCTTTTACTTTGACGTCAGAGACATCCTCCATCTTTAGTCTCCCCATGACCACGGCTGCCGCAATGCATCCGAAACGTCGGGCCGTAACTAAAATAATATTTAAATGTGTACTACTTGCATAAACTACAGACAAAATTTAAATATTCTATAAACGATACGAATTTCCTCTAAATAAAAATACAGAAATGTCTATCTCTATCAAGAGTAACCAGCTTCGCAGTCTATCTAGAGTTCAAATGTAGACGGTGTTTTGAATTAATATTTCATTTCCAGAGAAAAAACCACGAGTAATGACAGAACGATGAAAAACCAGTAAGTCCATAAGAGCAAAAGTGTTTTGCGGCTTACAAATGTTTTTGTCGTTATTTGCTTCCCGTTCGCGTTGTTAAGCCAACATCGTTCTGTACATAAACATTCTTATAACTATTAAACTAAGATAGTTACAGCTGTTCGTCCGCTAGTAACCAATCTACGCATATGTGAACTTTCTATTAATCTTTAAAGTACTGCCTTGAATAGATTTTCTTTGCTCATGTACTACTATTTGATACCATTTACCACCACCGTGCGTGGTTGTAATGAGGACTAATGAATCAAGAAAATAAAATATAATCATGACTTATCCAACCATCCAGTCCCGTGCTGCTTCTCTACCAATTAAAATATAGTGTACCATTAAATTGCGCGAATGTAATTTCATTTTTAACGGCTAAGTATTAAGGTTCAATGTCTTAATATTTTATTACTAGTGTGCAGGGTTGCTACGTCCCAATAAGTATTGAATAAGGCACATGAGCATTGAAAATTGACTAAGTTAATCTGCATATAAATTACATTACATATTAACAAAATAACCAGTTTATTTGTTAATACGTAATCCGCAACTAACTGTTTATTGCATGCGGGTGTCTAATATTAGGACGAGCATGTCAGAGGAAACGGTTGTCGTCAAGTCGTTGCGTCTGCCCGAGGTTCGGACCGCGTATCTGGTAGACGGGGAGCGCGTTAGCTACCGGCGAGAGAAACCGCCGCCCCCGCCCCGGCGGATCTCCCTCCTAAAGTATGAGGACAACGCTAGTACATGACTGGGTTCGTTTTTCCTTCTACACCGCACCGGGGGTAGGTCATAAGCACCACATACAGATTAGGTCATTCTTTTTGAGCTGGACGACAATCAGGGGAATGCTCGAAGGGGCGGAAGGGTAAGCTTACGTGTTCACCAATAGCTTAATGCCATTCTTCTAATTAATAGCACAGTCACGCAATATGCAAATTAAGATTTCATTACCATTCCGTGCTGTTACAGCATTTCCTTCGGATATGCTTAATATCTTGGCTGCAGTAACAGCGGCCAAGTTTTTATCCGTATCCGACTAGTACCATTTGTGTTAACGCATGGCATGCTGGTGTGGGGTTCTCATTTCTTTCCGGTTACGGGTTACTTAAGACGTACTAACAGGTGACTAATGGCAGTGGTGGTTTCAGTTACGAGACCCGCCTATACGACACTCCGCATCCTGTACACGAATATTACTCGAAAACAGACGAACAGAGGCAATTCGAAAGCAATCAGTACTTTAAGGAGGAGAAGTACGGATACGACGCTCCCAAAGTCCCAAAGTCACCGATGAGCCCCAAATTCAACGCCCGCGATCTTAAGTTCGATGACAAACCAGAACCCATTTACTCCTCTCTCAGAAAATCTAAATCGCCACTAGATGGCGTTGGCCAAACCTTTAGCGAACACCACAAATCTACAGAAGCTATCCCCGGTGGGACTAAACATTCAGAGTACTCGGTAAAGAGTGAATCCTATCAGAGCTACCCTAAAACGGAGTATATGAAAACGGAAACTAGACAAGAAGTCAAATCGCCTTTCGCAACGTCGACGCCTTCCAAATTCGATAAAGAATTCTCAGATTTCAAACCTATGGACGTGGTCAAGGCTCCGACGCCAGATTTTGAGAGAATTTCGTCTCCGTACGGTAAGGAGGTTCACAGCTACGGTGGTCCGAATTTCCTCGAGGAAACGACCACCGAAGTTAAAGAAATACCCAATGGCACCCAAAAAATAACTACCACCAAAATATACAGCTCTTCCCCTGTCAATTTGACCAGCACAAACACAAAATACGAACCCGTGAAACTGGAAGGAATCGACGAATTGTCGAAAATCGATACCGATTCGCGTTACAGCACTCTGGATTCACGCTTCAACACGTTGGAGTCGAAATTAAGTTCCGACACCAGTCGTTCGTTCATGCGACCCTCCGAATTCCAATCAGAATTTCATACCAGCGTCAAAACTAAAAAGCCATCGGACCTTGTGAAAGAAATCGATAGTATGGACAAGAAATTCTCGAAGCAAACGATAACATCGGAGACGATAGAAAGGAAGTCCGTGATGACCAGCTCCCACAAATCGGAGACCAGCTCGACCGTCACCAAGAAATTCGGCAACTTCTAAAGGTTTGCCCTTGCTTGTGCATCTTGTTGTCTTGTGATTTTTAGCTACCAAAAATGAACGAATGTGATTTGTACTTACTACGGTCGGATATTAAAATTTTCTATAAATGTTATTAAATAAAAAAAATGTTTCTGCCGTATTTAATATTCGACTTTCGATGCTTGTTAGATGATATTTATTGTCGACGTGTAAAAATCACAAGAGCCTTATTAGATTTAAGTATGAGCGGTGCTAGTTTTTTTTTTGTTAAGGAAGCCTTCAAAGATATAAAGTTTATTTAAGATAACAGACTGTCTCGAAACTTAATGTCTCGCTTAATTTATAAAAGGTGAGATAATCACAAAGTGCTAACACTGTGTATACAGTGTCCTTATAAGAGATGCCTTATATTTTACCAAAAGAGATATATAAATTATTATTACTTGTGGACTTTGAAAGCAAAATTGTGCCTAAAAACAAACGTGCCATTGACATTCTTTACGTGCCTTCTCTAAAAAAAATACTGCGCGTCATTTGACATTTTTTATAAATAAATTTCTAAACTACCTTCAAGATGGCCGACAACAAAGAACTCTATATAAATGTTACTACCTCGATATAACTGCTATAAAAAGTAAAATAGAATATTTACCCAACAAATTGTCTTTAAAAACTGCCAAACCCATTAACAGAAACTCTACTATTCTAATTAGTATTAAATTAAATATTTTTATATAAAATATAAATTTTACTGACGACCTCTCCCAAAAAAAAAAATAGAGCAATAAAACACTAAGTGCCATAAGTATGAGATATAAAAGTAACCGTAATAATTTATTAATATATTAATTAAAATTTTATAACTTTTGAGGGTGTTTCGTGATCTTCGGTGCAAATAATCTCTAACATGAATTAACAGAGGTATGTATTGTCTAAGGATGTATAAAAGTGTGGATTCTGCACAGCCTTTGAAATGTAGTGTTGTTAATAGTAGTTTAAGTATTTGAACTAATCAATTTTAAGCCATAAAGCTGTGTGTAATAAAAATATGATACAATAAACTGACTGCGCTGAATTCAATTGTGGACTTCATAATCAATGAAGGTACACGTTTTTTACAACTACCCTCTTTAAAAATTATGAATCGTGACATAGATCATATAGACGCATTCAATATTTTTAAATGATTACACACGGCTTTGTAATATATTTAATATGCATGTGTTTGCGTTAGTTCGTAGTCATAGTGCACAGATTTTAAATGTATTGTATTTTTTTATAGCGTAGTGGGGTCATCTGCGCACGATTCGCTTGAAGTCTCGACGTAGTTATAGGTTGAACGCCGTTATATTACTTGCTAATAACCACGAAATTGCCTTAATATAGTGTATTCAATTTGGTTTTTATTCTAAAAATATATGTACAGCAAGTGATAATGTAGAAATTGAATTGGCAGTAAAAAAATTATCCCCGACTTTTTGACTGTGTTTTTTTTTTATTTACAGTACAAAATAACCACGACTATTGTTCTAAGGTGCCTTAATTAAGCAGCTTTTTGTATTTATTTTAATATTTTAAGTAGGATACTGATGCCCGCGTGAGCACGTCCACTGAAGGTATATAACACCAAGTAAATAGATTTATATTTCATATAGATATATAATATAGTATAGTTCATAGAAGATTAGTACATAGTAATTTCTAAGCGAAGTGTTTTGAAATTAAATTTGTATGAAATAATCTTAAATACTATCTATAGTTTACGCGAGTAGTACACATTTAAATAAAACACTTTAACGGTCTAAAACGCGATATAATCGCGTTTTAAACCGTTAAGGTGTTTTATTTAAATGAAATCAACTTGCATAACGCAGACATTTTCTCTTTTATCTAGTGACTAAGAACGAAATATATAAACAGTATGACTAATTTTAACAGCTTTTAATGTACGATTTAATTGTATAACATCTGTATCGTTTGATGTGTAATCTAAATTAAGATAATTAATGTCGTAACGTAAGCCAAATGATTTTAAATAGTGATATGTTTGAGTACATGTTATTTTTATTATAAAAATTTTATTTGATTTCGTAGCTAAGTGCTAGTTTACCTAACTGAGATCGTTTTATGCATAACTTATATTCAATAAACTGTGTAACTCATGTGGGGTTTTCTTTCATAGAAATAATTCACTCTCTTTTATTCTCAATGAGGTCGCCTTCGTAGCTTAATGGTTGCAATCACATTTTAAAGCGGGAGTTCTAGGATTTAAATCCCAGAGTGACAAAGATTAGTCTGGGAAAAAGCCGTGAATTTTAGACACGTCTCGATCTGTCTGTGGATTTTCGAAAATCGGAAAGGCTAAACAGGTCGACCAAGCATCTTGTTGAGATGTTATATGACTTGAGTATTTTCGCCTTCCATCAAGAGAACCTCGTGTTTAAACTGTAGAAAATGCCTACTATACTGTGGGAAAATGGGATATTACAAATATAATGTACATACATGCCTTGTGAGTATCAAATACTGTCTATAGTATACGCGAGTAGTACACATTTAAATTAAAAAAAATAACGGTTTAAAACGCGATATATAAGTCAAACTTATTTGAAAATAATTTTTAACTTCGGCCCGACGTTTCGGGTGCTTTGCAGTAGCCGTGAGTCTCCCCGTGACCACGAAATTAAAAATCATTTTCAAATAAGTTTAACTTATATATCGCGTTTTAAACCGTTAAAGTGTTTTATTCAAACCAAAGATGAATAAAAATGAATTATTCCTTTTCAAACACTTATATTTTATAAAAGGGAATAGCGTCATGTTCAACCCTATTTCATAATAATACAGGAAGAAATTTAATAAAGATAGTTTTACCAACAGCTAATCTATTGCCTTCCCACCATCAAAAAAAGAAATTCTCTCTTTGAAACAACAACTACTGTGGAGTACTGTATGTTGTAAGTTAAACTTATTTAAAAAAATATGTTAACTAAAAAGCATCCGAAACGTCGGGCCGTAGTTAAAATAATTTTCAAATATATATAACTAATATATATCAATAAATATATGCGCGAGAGGTGCATGTATCAATAAGTTGAAAAAATTCGACGATGAGGTGTAGGACTCGGTAGCTCAATTGGTAGAGCAACAGCACGGAAAGCTGACGATGCCGGTTCAAGTCCTGCCCGAGTCGAAAAATTTTTCAATTTATTTTCGATTTTTAAATAATATATAACAAGTTTTAAACCGTTTGTTTTATTAAATAAGTACTGTGGAGTCAAGTAATTTACCTGCCCGGTCAATTTACAATTGCAACGTTATATAGTTTACATAATAAAAATATTAGGTTAAAATTATATTACTTAATTTATCGACTGAAAAATATATAAGGTGTCGATAAATTTCAGAAAAAAACTAATAACTCCAGTCAGTACAAATAAAACGTTCTGCTATTCGTAGATGGCCTCTTCAAGCGAGTCCCGATAAACTTTTCGCATAATGATTTTTGACGGTAGTTTACAATTATATTAAAATAACCGCCAGAACAATTTTGAACACTTACGTGGCAATAGTTTAAGCGGAGTGAAAAATCACTTGACTAATACTTTTCAACAATTATGGTATACTCGTAGATGCAAAATATCAGTGACCACAAGGATATGCCACAAACGGCGCCATAATGACAAAGCGGTCGCGATACTTCGCACTAGCTCCTAGAGAGGGCGTACCAAGCAGAAGCGACTCGTGATTGGTTCAAAAATGGTTCTTGACTCGATGTGGATCCGGATGTTGCTAACAGGAGAAAGGTAAGATTGTTGATTTATTGAATTAATTCCTTATTCTTTAAAAGAATAATAAATTTAGAATTCCAGCTTTTTTATGTTTAAGAGAAACTCTAGGAGAAGTTAAGTTTTCTGGAAACCAATTTGCAAATCAATATGGGGTATTAGTTCAAAATAAACAATACAACACGATATTCGTTTATTGCAATGTTTACAAAATTAAAATAAACCTTTCAAATAATGACTCTTAATTCTGTTTATAATTTTCACATAGGATGTAAAAAAGTGCTTATTATTAAAAATCATAAGAATTTAGCCTTTTTGCTTATATGTTCATTGCGTAGATAAATACAAAAACAGTTTGTACGAAACTGCAAAACGCGGATGAAAATTAAATTTACAGTTTTCAGATTGAAAACATTTATGACACACTCACTGGATTGAAATTATGTGCTCCAATCAATCAAAAATTAAATTTCTATAAATGAGTTTTTACGTGAATACGAAATATTAAAATTTGCAAGCAGAGATAATAATGATTTCGAGAAATAGAAAAAAGAATCGATATCGTATCGACCGATAAAAAATAGTACAATACGTTGTGCAGTTTCCACAACTTTACGCAGGTAAAAAAAACCCCGTCATTACATAATTCGTTGACAACACTTCCTACACACTTTCACGCATTACATCAAAGACTAGGTAAACATTCACTAAATCAGACACACACTGTTTTTCAGTCCGAAATAAAAAAAAGACGCTTCAGTCAAAAGTTTCCTGAAAGATGAGATCAAAGAAATTAATGCTATAAAAGATATAACTGTCTGTCATAATAACTATATAAAAGAAATTTAAAAAATGCCACATGGAAAGTATTGTATGTATATTTCAGTTTATAGGCTAACCATCTTTAAAGATCGACTTTAACCTTCGACTGTAACATAATGCAAAACACGCGCGCCATACAAATTCATTACCAAAATGTACTTATCTGTTTTGAATATAAAACTCAGAACTAGCTTACAGAAAACCCTCCAAAGTCTTCACACGATTCCCTCCTGAGGATTTTCCGTAACACCTATTCCATATTAAAAAAGCACCAAAATACAAATGCAAATGGACATATAAAATTGTAAATATTAAAGCGACCATCATAAATGTTATTGTGCTAATTTCCTCTTATAATATCAGAAAACACTGTTGTACAAACGAGCATAATGTTTGACCTTGAATGACCTTGGTCTATTAAATTGCGTTAACCAACAGTGTTTTGTGAATTACAATAATCTAAAAACAACTACGACTATTACAATTAGTGTATATTTTACAACAGCTATGTGCTTTTGAATACTGGACAAGAGATGTTTGTGGCAGTAAAAATGCAGTTTTACTCGAGTATAATATCATCCACATAAATAGTTTCTAATGTCGCGGTTCAATTCCCAAAACAGACTAAGGTACAGATATCATCTGCCCTTTAGTTTCCACAGCTGGGACTATAACCTAAAAGAGGAGTAGGTTTATCCACCACGCTCGCCAAACGCATTTTAGTAGATAATCGTCGAATTTTTGGTTCGACCCTCTACCGGAGAGATTTAAGTGTACCTAGAAGAACTGACATTACGTGTGGCCGTAGGAATCGACATGGTATTTAATCAGAATTTCGAAAAGGACTTATTTGTTAAACTAGTAATTTAGTCTTGTATGTGACTATATATGCGGACGCTAATGTAAAAAACTACTATGATATCTATTTAACATTATTGCTGAGTACATAAGAATTATTTTTAACTTTACGCCTTAAACTAATAAAATAGGAGTTTCAAAAAGCATTGGTAAAGTATAGAAAAACATAAATAAATACGCAGTTCACGTCAAGGAAAAACGCATTGAGGAATGTACAAATATCAATATCAGATCAAGAGAATGAATAGAAGAATAAGTGCAATAAACGTTCACTTAGGACCTTTCGTTGTTATTCAAAATAATTCAGGTTAATACTAAACTTGGTTAAAAATAAATTTCTACCCTACGCGATATGGCAACAATTAGGTAAATACGATTTTTAAAAAAATACGACTCTAAATAGGAATTTATAAAATATACTTTTTAGGAAAAATTTAGAAAATATTTAAATTAACTCTTTAGAACATTTTTGACGATTCTTTTATATAGGTCATCTTTTACGGTTCAAAAGCGGTCTTAATAATACGTGGAATGTTGTATTTTATCACATGAACGAGGAAGTAAAAATAAATTGCGAAAAACGCCATCTAGCGTATACTTTCAAGACCAATGTGCAAATTACATCTAACTACATAAAAATGCTACTTGCGACTGATTTATTTAGTTACTGGGTGGAAGGACACTGATAGAATTATTAATATTTTACTAAAAACTTCAACCCTTGCAAGTAAATATTGGGTCTTTCGAATAAAATCTAACCAATGTTCAACTAATATAGCATCTAACATTTTTCTATCACTACACTACGGCACTGTGAAGAGAACACATTGTCTCCACAATCAATATGACACGAATTAAAGCTAAGTGGCTAAGTTCTGCTTCAAGATGTTTTTTATATGGCAACATTTGTAATATTTTGTTATATATATGAGTTTTTAAGCGGCCATTTTAATCAAGAGGTCAATGGTTTCAGAAGAGTTACTTTATGTGGTAACTTAAAATTACAAAAGGTGTAAGCCGTTGAATAAGTTATCGTTATTTTCAAAATCGAGTAATACTTACGAATTTTGCGGAGTGAACTTGAATAAACTTAGATAAAAGGATACTACATTCAAAATTTGTCCAAAAATACTAATCAAATTCTACTAATTCAAGTGGTACTGTAGCGCGTTTTCAAAATACCCGCATTTTTTTTCATACAAACGTCACCCAAGATGCCGGTGAAGGAGACATATGGCATTGAAGAGAATAACTCGGAAACACACAATATTACTAGTGGTGCCCCCTATCGTCGATGTGTATCAAAATGTTTGACGATTTCCGGAATAGCGTTAGGCTCGACTGGCACTTTACTCATCAACTCGTCCAAAGTGTTCACGTAGTTCAGCTTCCGGAAGAACTTTGAACTGTAATTTAAAAAAACAGTCTCTTTATATATATCACTATCTGTGCCCGCGATTTAGTTCCCGTGAAATAGTGACTTGGGGTAGAAATTTTATTATTTAGGCTGTTTATAAATTTATGTAAATGCGCATTTATCGCAGCCAATCTATTTTGTAAGTGGTACTTTGCCGCAACACTCTCACCTCACATCACTCCTACCCTAAATCCCACTCTCTAACTCCCACGCCCACTCCTATTCCCAAAAAGCCAAAGAAGAAAGTTTAATTGTTCTAGCTTCAAAAACCACGAATTTCCATACAAACTTTCATCCCTCCTTCAACCCCTTTTTCGCAATAAAAAGTAGCCTATGTCCTTTCTCAGGGTCTAGACCATCTGTATACCAAAATTTCATTCAAATCCGTTCAGTAGTTTTGGCGTGAAAGAGTAACAGACAGACAGACAGAGTTCCTTTCGCATTTATAATATTAGTAAGGATAGCGCTAAAATTACTAAAGTATTGTCTGTACTTAACGCAAATAGTACACATTTAAATAAAAAACTTTTAACGGTTTAAAACGTGACCACAACTGTTAAAATATATTGTGAATAAGTTAATTAATACATAATCTGTTCGAAACCGTTGAAAACCCTTAATAAAAAAAGTTATTGTGCACGTTCATAAATTAAATAAATGTATTTTCTATTGTGTACTATAGTGTTTAAAATTCGAGATATCTTAGACTATCTCAACTTAAGTACTAAAGTAACTTAAGTATCCATAGACTTACCATAATCTATAAAATTTTACAACTTAGCTAGTAGCAAAGTAGGTTAGTTTCACTCACCTCACAAAAGGTTTTGTTATAACAACGAAAGACTTAAGCCAGAAGGTGGGGTGGACCAGGTACAATTGTTTTAAGTTTTTACGTAACCTGCAAGGAAATTGTTGTGTTTCATTTACCAAAGATACCGTAATTAAAAAAAAATCACGCTTAACGATTTTAAAAACTTGAATGTTTGTATATTTTAATGATCTTTATAAAAATAAGTGTTCAATGCTGACATTAAAACTCACCGTCTATCAATAAGTTTATAACACTCGTGTAGCCAAGCGAAGGTGGGCATTCTGCGTCTACCCGCACTTCCATGCAAATACACTAGGATATATTCGTCTGTCACCAGGCGCTCCAAGCTCCAGATTACGTATCTGTTAGATAGATGGCGTTGGTTTCAACTTATTAAAAGTGTAAATGGCATATTTTATTCTTGTGTATAAGGTAAATACTACCTGACCGATTTTAGTAAATAACATTGCATTGTATTTCAGGACTTTTTTCTTCAATTTCTTAAAACAATCAGATAAAGATTAAATTCTTCGAATATCCAAAGCCAACATAGGTTCACAGCGTATCGTGTTTAGATGCTATAGGCCGACGTATTTCACCTACCATCAAGCGAACCATATGCTTGCCAGTCTTCCTCTATTATTAAAAACAATACTTACAGAAACAGATTGTCCATAACGTATCTATAGTCCGGCCTGGCGTTGTCCGGCAAATGGCACGCACTGAACACAATTATGGCAGCACCTTCGCTACTGTATCCGCCGTGAGAGATAACACGTTTGAATGGTTCTATCACCTGTCAAATGAAAATATATATAATAAGATAACAAACGAACAATATACCTGATCAGTACATACATAAAAGGCATCGCCTTAGTATCATAAAAGTACCCTTTGCTAGAACAAACTTGTTAGGTAAAACGCCCTTCACAAGAGAAATAGAGGTACTTCATATTCAAAGGCGAAAACACATTTTTCATGATATGGAGTGAAGTTGTGACATATTTATAGTTTTTATTTCATATAGTTTATGAAATAATAATTAACAGTCAAAGTCATACTTTAATTAAAATATTTTGCAAGTTGAATTGGGTACCCACCTATCATAACATTGAAATTTGTATGAAATAAAAAATATTTAGTAGATACCATCACTGTAACCTAAAAAATAACATTTCGGAATTACTTCAACAATAACAACTTATATAGCGAGATACCGGTGATGGTAATCATAAAAATGAAACTACCTTCATATCGCATGTGGCCTGTACTCCACTGTGTTGCACGTGAAGCCACGATCGCTCGTCCCTGAACTCTTCGCTAGCGGAGTACTCGGGTATCTGGTCGCTGCATTCGCTTGCTGTCGCTGTTGACTTTGATCTGTAATGGAGTTATAAGCTGTATGAACATATATGTATTTATTTATCTAACTAAAATACATTAAGCTCTGACGGGGATGCCCCCAATGAAGCTTCAATACTTATTTGCTAATAAAGTTAGCTATGTGTCTTGCCAACTCACTCAACGGACTCGTGGGCGCGATGCAGGCGACTGACTGCAGGCATTGCACGGGTCAGCGGTGCTGAACTGGCTTATAAATAAAAGGCGGCCTTATTGTTAAACAGCGATCTCTTCCAGGGAACTCTAGTTATTATAAACTGTATTCAAGTGTCAACTGTTACTTAATTTTCGAACCCTGGAATGTCTTTCTTAGTCAACATAATTTTATTACCGCTGGGTATCGTCGGCTTCGCTGGGTGGATCTAATGGTTCAGGCTCATGTAGATCTTGTTCATCATCTGAGTTTAATGAACAATCGCTTCCGCCTAAGCTACACGTGTCGTCCAAGGGTGGCTGAGGAGAAATTTACATTATTATAATATGTATCTAATGATAAATGCCACTTTTAAATGAAAAAGATTTTTTATTAAACTCACTATCGCTTCTATGTGTTTACTTGCTACATTAAGCTTTTAATTTTCATGTAGAAACTATGAAGTCATTTCTTTGAGGCAAAGGGTTCATTTTTAATACATAGGTTTTTTTGTTAAGAATATTTTTAAACACTGTTTGTAATTTACGCGAGTAGTTCACATTTAAATAAAACATTTTAACGGTTTAAAATGTCAAATATATAAATTAAACTTGTTTGAAAATGATTTTAACCGCCGACGTTTCGGATGCTTTGCAGGCTGCAGCAGCCGTGGTCACGGTCACGGGGTCACGGGGTCTCCCCGTAAAGAATACGTTAATTTATATTTCTTATTTTGCTCCTATTTTAAAAGTTAACAAGAACCTTTCCCAAAAACTTTTCAGATAATATATATGTAGCTTGAAATTAACAACACGAAATGGAAATAAACCCCGAGATACAAATGTCTGGTAAGTTTATATACACTTCACATACACATTATATTACTTCAAAGAAGGAATGCTGATAACAAAATCCGCTAGGTCAGCTGATTATGTCAGACCAAAACATACATAAAATGGTACTTCTTTTAAGTCCTTTTCCTTATTTTAATGATAATAATCGATAACCTAATACATTTGAAAACTTTAATATTTTTTGCATATTATTGCAAATAAAGGCACTATATAATTTAAAAATCGAAAATAAATTTAAAAAAATAATCGACTCGGGCAGGAGACTTGAACGATGCCGGTTTAGGTCCTGCCCGAGTCGAAAAATTTTTCAATTTATTTTCGATTATTAAACCTAATACGCGTGTATAATTCTATAAATCATAAATCTGATCATGAAGTGAACAGCAACACACGACTGCATTTGTATTCCCAACATTCACACGACTATTGTAACACTTTACATAACAACCATTGTTTGTTAGTCTCCAAAGAAGTGTGGTTCTTAAAATTTCCGGCAACTATTGGTTTATATTTAACCGATTAAAAAAGTTGGTCTATGGTTTTTGTCTCTCTCTGTGGCTTATAATAAAAACATTGTGCTAATCGCGAGAGATTTTATAATCCCGGATATTCATGATAGAGTAAGACACACAAGCATTAAGCTCACTTAATGGTAAGTGACATCAGCCTATAGCACCTAAAGAAGATGCACTGTCGGCCTATTTTGGCTTTAGATATTCGAAATTCAAGGACTGAAACCACAACGTGATTTCAGGTTTGTGACCCGGACGGAGTTTCGTTATTCCTACCCATTTAATTTCATTTTTAGATGGAATCCAACATATTTCAGAATTGATTAAAAAATGGATCCGGTGGAGATCGAACCCACGATAGATTATTAGCCGTATATTACACCACTACACCATTGGTCTATAAATAAATTTAACTAGTAAAACAGACTTGGAAATAAGTTTCTCCTCAGTCTTTTCACATTTAGCTCGAATGATCGAATCAATCATAGAACTAGGTATAGTTACTTCTTTCCGATAACATATACTTGAATATTCAAATGTGTTTTAATAGAACAGTATTTAATTTATTCCCATCTACTTGTAATTTTTTTTAATACTATTTAATATATAACAGTTGTATTTTAAAATTTTAAATACGTAGTATGTATTAAAACCTTTCGGAACTTTAGACGGAGGGAGCAGACTGAAAATCAGCGCAGTGTTATATTTTTCGTTCAGCATTCAGGTGAGCCTGAATCCCGACTTTTATTTGTTTTTTTTTTTGTTTTGTAGCAATTAACAAATTTTTATTTTGATATTCTTTTTGGTTCAATTATACATGATTCCAATAAATGTACATACGATTTGTATCTTCCGCTTCTGTGGCGTAGGGCTTCGGTACACAGCGGGTCGAAGCGCTACGGAGCCCGAGTAGACATCCATCAGCGCTACGTAAGGGGACTTATCATAGCTCCAAACCGAGTCTGCTGATTCACGCCCCTGTAAATAAATTATAATTTTAACAAACTTTTTTCAAACTCTACAATCTATATACTAATATATAAAGCTGAAAAGTTTGTTTGTTTGAACGCGCTAATCTCTGAAACTAAGGGTTCGAAAAATTCTTCTTTTGTTGATTAGAGCATTTATCGAGGAAGGCTATAGGCTATAAAATATCGCGCTGTGACTAATAGAAACGAAAATACAGCAGGAAATGTAAACAAAACGGGACAAATTTTTCATCTCTGTGGGTTTCAGATGCGTATACTGCGAAAACGGTTTAAGATACCTAAAAAATGTGTATAAAAGAATAATTCCCCTTTAAATGATCTAAAAAAAGTCCGCGACCTTATATGTCTATCTTTTAAGATTAACTTGCAAGAACGACGGAAGAGACGCGATCGACGTAGTGGCTAACAGCTTAAGTTTATAAAGACGGGGCTTGCAAAAAACTTATTTGGATGCCCAAAATAACGATTCTCGCGAACGAAGTCGCCGGAACAGCTAGTAATTTATAATTACAGATTAATTCATCGTAAAGTCGCATTTTTCATAGTCTCCTTCTGGGAACTAGGAAACTACTTATTAAGTAGCAACATATAGAATTTTACAACATTTTAAATAACACAAAAATTCCTCAACAGAAAATAAAATGTACAAAAGCAAGATTTCCCAACTGGGTGGGAACCTAGTTATCTACTTACTTACGTTTTGTATGGCACTGTTTTTTATGCTTGAAGACATCTCTATCGGTAGATCGAAGTTCGGCATCGTTCGAATATTCGAAGGGGAATCGCACCATTCTGTTGCCTAAATCAAACAAAGGCTTAATAAGTATTGTGAAATCTATCCTTACTAATATTATAAATGCGAAAGTAACTCTGTCTGTCTGTCTGTTCCGCTTTCACGCCAAAACTACAAAACGAATTTGCATGAAATTTGGTACACAGATGGTCTAGACCCTGAGAAACAACATAGGCTACTTTTTATTGCGAAAAGAGGCCTGTAAGGGGTTAAAAGGGGGGGTGAAAATTTGTATGGAAATTCGTGGTTTTTGAAGCTAGAACAATTAAACTTTCTTCTTTGGCTTTTTGGGAATGGGAGTGGGAGTGGGAATAGGAGTGGGAGTCAGAGTAGGAGCGATGTGAGGTGGAAGTAGCACTTACAACATAGATTGGCTGCGATAAATGCGCAATTACATAAATTAATAAAGAGCCTAAATAATTAAAAATTCTACCACAAGTCACTATTCTACGTGGACGAAGTCGCGGGCACAGCTAGTACTGTATAAACTTTAAACTGAAATAATTTAAAGCCATATACGATATAACTAGGTTAGTATAGGCTTTTATGAATTATGAGCTTAATTGTTTATAATGTAACTAAGACACGATAAATATATACATTTACATTTTTTTTATGTTTTGTCCTAAATACAAATCGTGAAAGAACAAACATTTGATTAGGTTACTACACTAGACAACAGACTAGAAACATCAATTATAAACAGTAATAGTACTTAAGATGGAAGTTGCTCAATTTTTCATCAAAAAATATATACAGGTGTAGATGCTTACCCCGGAATGAAACTTTTCTTCCTCCACATCATCATTTTTTGGTGTACTGCTATTCTTTCCAATCCTACTTTCAAAACGTAATATTGCGTTTTGCGGGGTGTCTGGAGGGGTAGTTGATAATCTTGAAATAATCTTTCGTCTCGGTGTAACCCCGTTTGAACAGTACGAATAATTTATTGAATCTAAGTTACTATCTGCTGTTACATACAAGTTACTTTTGGATGTATTTTTTTGTGGGGAATACAGAGCATATCCATTCCTACTAGCTATCTTGTCGCCTTCTATGCTAGAAAGACTAGCATCTTTCTCGCTGTCAACTTTTATAAACTTATTATCGTCTGGGCTAGGTAGACCCATTAATGGATGATCTGTTGTTAAAGTAAGAGTTGACGCTTTGTAATTACTATTCTTCAAACTATGATTGGTATTAATAGAGATTTCCATCATTTTCGATGAGAAACTATCAGGTTCGGAGAGTCGTAAAACTTCTGAGTTTTTCATATCTTCAAAATCTGATGAGTTTGAATTAGGAGTGCTTTGGTTATGAGATTCTGATCCAGTATCCATTTTTTCATCTGACGACTGTGAGCTAAGCAGATCTTCGCTCGGCTGTGCCTCGATGTTACTAAAATAAAATCAAACATCATATTGATACAACTTGTGAAAACATGATTTTACAAAGCATGTTAATTTTTTTGTGTAAAATCTGACAAGTTTCACGGATTTAGACTTATCTTTATACTTTAGTTTTACCCAGATTCTCTCGCGCTTAAAGCATAACGACGGAATTAAGCATTGAGTTACGATACGAGTAATATTGTTACTAGGCAATCCTTCAAAAATTGGAAAAAAATTCTTCAAAAAAAACAAAATCCAATATTCAAATTTAACATATTACCGCATACTTGAAATTGCAGCATAAGGTAATTTAGTGTTGAATCATCTGCCCTTGATATTTAAACACAATGGCATTGCATGCGATAAAAGTTAATTTATTTAAAATGAGGGTGGATTGCAAATTACAGTAAACAGACTAATCATTAAAGCTACTCAAATAGTATATTACATTTTACGTATACGATTATTTCATACATTTTCTTGATTTAATAATAAAAACATGCCGATACCGATAATTCTAATAACAAAACCGCAAAACATTAATATGTTACAATCAAAACGTACGAACTTAACTCACTTCATGGGAACCACCTCTAGCGTTTAAAATTTAAATGCTCAAAATTATAATCGCAAAACTGAGCGATTTAGTTTTAATTACAATTTTCACATATCGATTTAATTAAAACTAAATATATTTTAATAAACTGCATATAAGTGCAACACAAACACAATTCGTAAAAATTTAATCACACTGACAGATATTTGACACTTGACAGATAACAATAGCGCTAGTTGCAACACGCCGGCGCGGAATATGATTGGCCAATGGTGATTCAAATGTCAATGTTGCCAGAGTAGTTTTAGTGCGAGTATAAATACTACTTTTATAATTTTTAATAAATAAAATGATGCGTTCATAAATAAAGTATTCCTATATGTCCTACATTCTTTAATTCAACAATCAATGTTAATAAAATACATAAAAAATATATGTTATAGAAATCGATAAATACAAGTTATCGATGGCGACTTCGTTTATTTGATTAATACTATAAATTTGATTATATGTTTGTTCTTCAGTACTGTGTTGGATGCTAAAGCTTTGAATGGCTGTAATATATATACGATTGTTGTTTTATTTTCATGAAACAGAGCTTTTAATTATGGTGTTTTATTATTAGTAAAAATAACGTTCATTTAACTCACAGTTAAATGCAATTTACTACATTTTTCTACAAATATTCCTTTCATTTAGATTCTATTATATACATTTAAATATATCATGTAATGTGTTCCTCTTTTTTTTTCAATACAGTCATTGAGTAATTCTTGATATAAAGAACAATGGTTCACTTCATAGAATTATTTTATTGTGATTTGATTTTTAAAACAGTGCATTGTTGCAATGATTGGATTGTTGCGATATTTCATCAAGCAGAACACATCCATATTGGTAAAGATAAATTACTGTACGTATTAAAGAAATAAAAGACCTTTTGAAAAAACAACAAAGTAAATATATATTTATCTGTTTTCTTAAATTAACAGAATTCTCTTATTTAAAGTAAATTTTTACCAAGACTGGTTTATAATCATTATTTAAATTTAAGAAAGCATTGCAACATCAAAGAACTTTGTATGCCTGTATATTTTTGTGTGGGAAATCCGGTCAAACGACCAAATATTTAAGTATTTCGTGGAAAAACATTTATCATTTCACTGTAGTTTTCAAAATAATGGTTTCTTCGAACAGTATTTCTAGAAGGCGTTTGTCAATTCCATATCAGTGCGAATATTGGATTCGAAGTGATAAGGATATTTAATTATAGTTGTAATTAATTTCTAGGGAAGACTTAGTGATGGAATATAAATCACTCCTCTTATTAATGGGATTTGCTTTAAGGCTCGCAGTAACTGAGGACGTTAGTTGTGAGTAAAAGTTTTTTAAGTGTTATAAATTATATTTTATATATTTTAGTGAGTGATTACCTATACACCTTACCTATTACCTATATAATAATTAAACTAAAACAAAATATTTCAGATCAAGCGTGTGTGGACAAATATTCACGAAAAGGTTATCAGCCATGGCAAGAATGGTCTGATCACTACACCTGCCATAGGTATCGATGTGAAATACGAGATGGAAAATATTTTATAGCTGCAGTTGGGTGAGTAAAAAGCGAAATTCGGTAGTAAGTATTTAAATAAAATTGTTCTCGTATTAAATAAGATTCTTTGCAGTTGCCGTAAACCAAAAATTCCTGAAAATGCTCTTGAATGTCATGAGTACATAGAAGATGAGAATGTTGGTAAGTACTTTTAATGAGAAGTCCGCTATTTTAATATTGCAACTAATAATTATTTTACCCAGTGTATATCAATACGTTAAATACTTGTGTATTTATAGAATTCCCCACATGCTGCGCTCGATTGCGATGTGTCGTAGAAGTAAATGGAGAACGAATTGTACAAACGAGAGGACAACCTGGTGAATTATTTCCTGACAAGTAAATCATTTTTATATTTCCGTTTTGATACCAAGTATCAACTATAATATCGCAGTTCAAAGAATTTGTTTATGATAATAAAGAGAAATCATTTTATTGCAGACCATGGAAAGGTCAGCAAAATGAGCCTAATCCCGCGGTAGTAGGTATGGGCCCAGTACAACAAAACCCGGGTGGAGAACCACAAAGTCAGCCTTCACCAGGAATGTTCAATAGCAGAGGCGCAGGCAAGCCAAGTAATTTTGTTAACAACATCTAGGAACCATAACTAACCATGAAATCATAACATAATAACTGCGTATTACATGTAATTATATTTTCATCTAATGGCTTAGCTTTATAATAATATGAAGTAATCTTTTTTAATAAATCCTTTAATGGAAATATTTTATTAATCTAGCCAACGATATTCCCGACAGCGGATGGCAACGATATTAACGGAAGGCGATACGTCGATCCATATCCATCGCAACCCATGCAGGACTCCCCAAGAAAGAAGCGTTCAACTACTTACCCTCTCTTTGACAGAGGATTGCTCCACGAACGTGGATATGCACCTCATCAAGTAAAAATTCATGGATATTCACCAGAAAAATATACCTCCTACTTTACTAGTAACGTAAAAGGAATTTCGAGCCCAAAATTACACCTCAATATGTCATAAGCTTCACGTAACGCGTTTAACTCAATGCATTTTATTCTATCCAGTATTCATATAAATACGTTATTGTAATGTTATAATTTAATAATTGTAGTTTGTTGAAAATAAAGTTTGTGTCTTACGAAAATGTTTTTGTTCACTTGTAACATTTTAGTAAATTTTGAACGCATTGCAAAACATGACATTAACATTTAATAAAAGTGCAAAACAAAATACAAAATGTGCCAAATATTTTATCAAGTTAAAATCACAAGCTAAGTGGGTGTAACTTTTTTAAAACTAATTTGTAATGACTAAGTTTTCATGAGAAACATGTAATGGACAGTTAGTTAAATAACCAAACCTTCTTGACAATGTTTTGACAACATTGTTATTAGACATAGTGATGATAAATAAGTAAGTGTAATTTCATCTTTGCGCAGAAAAAAATAAAATCATAACATTTCTATAGTAAAGACAAAATATCCCATGTTAGTCCTTTAAGCCAATAAAACTTTACAATTGAAATATCTTTAAACCAACTTCGCCCATTATTGCTGCTTATAATTATTAATAGATTCCAAATCTTTGCTTTGACTATAATTTATAGACTTGTTCAGGTATTCCCTATTGAGATTTATTACCTAGATTAAGGCCTATTTCCTCATGACTCGAGTACCACTAAAGAAACTTTTGTTTTATTATCTTCCTCAGACATTTCTTAACTTCTAGAAATGGAACCAGAGAAGCCGTTTGCTTGTACAATAAGAGATTGCGGGATGACATTTACAAATGAAGACCATTTACATGTACATACTAAGAAACATGATATGGTATTGCAACTTGGAATGGAGCAAAAGGCAGCATTTGCAGGTACTTAGGTTAAATTTTACTGACTGTAGCTGTGGGTTTTTATTAAAATTCTGGAAATACATTTTTTTTACAGACTTATCACTCAATCGGTTAAGGTACATAAGAATTACCTACTTATCCATTATAGACTGATTAGTAGGTAATATTACCATTGATTAATTGGATAAGAAGAAAGTATAATGTTTGTCTCAAACTCCACAATCACGGGATACAACTTAATACATATCATAATTAGATTTCTCTGTTTCAAATAATCCTTAAATAAAAGCATTAATCCTTTCTTAAATTGATAAGATTTTTTTTATTTGTAGCTGACCAGACTCCAACACCTACCAGATTTATAAGGAACTGTGAAGAAGTTGGTTTATTCCAAGATTTGCAAAATGTTACTGTCAACCCCTTTGATGAAGGCTTCAAGCGGGCTATGGAAGCTAAGTAAGTTATTACTCAAAGCATAAAAATTAATAGTTGCAGTATATTAAAGCTGTATTGTACGCCTGAAAAGACACCACATCATGGAGCTTCAAGATCGAAAATAGCTCCAAAAGAAAGAAAATAATTAGTAGGTGTTCTCATTGGAGAATGCCCTCTACATGTTAAATAGATACATCGCATCTGCTCATAGTCTGGGGACTGATCGCAGATAATAATAAAAAAAAAAAAAAAAAGTATATTAAAGCAGTTAGAAGTTTAGTCATTTTTTTAATAGAAGCCTTTTCATCCACATTCAAAAGCGATAAATTTAACTAATTTAATTGTAAAAAAAGTTATTTCTCATGGTGACATATATTTCTTTAGCAAGCTTAACCTAAAACATGGCTCGACAATGAACTAGCAAGGAACAATTTTATAATAAATCTTAAAAATTATCAATGGGTACTACTGGTTACCACTATATCTTTTTACAATATCTCAATGCAAATTTACTGCATACTTAATTAGTAAATATACTTTATACCTAGTATATAAATAACAAATATCCATGTTAAGAACCTTAAACCCAGTACAAAAGTTACTGTATAATGTTTACATTTTATGTGGCTACAATAATTCTCTTTCTTTACAGGCATGGTGTCCTTTCATTAGAAACATCATCTACAGAAGACGTTCTTCACACACCACACCTGGTATTTCCTCTAGACGGTGACTGCACTACATACACTGCTAACAACCAAAGAAACATAACAATTAGCAGGTTAGTAGTCTTTACGATTCACTTAATTAATTTCATTTGCATAAATACTAACCTCTACTATCTCACATTGCTATTAAATTTGTGGATCATTTATTATTAGATCTAAGATTGTTTTTTTTTATTTTTATTAGATCATCAAGTGACGAATCCGGCGCAGTAAAAGAATACGAAACGACAACAATATCGAAACTCACAAATGAAGTTACAACAATCAGTCGCCTCGTTAAACCAGAAGAAGCTAAAGTTGATAAAAAAGATGTTGAAACTGTCTCCTATACAAATAACGTAATTAAAATACACGAAATACGTAAAGACGGCATTGTGAATATAGAAAAAAGTAAGGATGACACAAAAAAAGACCCAGTCGATGCAAAAAAGGATTCGAATGAAGGAAAAGTTATTAAGAACAAAATCCCACCGATTATGAGCCAGCAGTCATTAGATTTTGTCGTTGACAGCCTAACTAATAGTATAGGTGATGACAAACAGAGAAGAAATGACGACAAATCCAATAAGAATGGTGATACGGATGACGTTTTAAAAAATGTAACTCACGACGACATAGAAGTGGTAGTACGATTACCTAATGGAAAACGAGTAAAAATGAAAGCAGTTGAAGAAACGGAGAGTAATGCTAAGGAGATACTTAGAAATGTCTTACAGAATAAGATGAAATCGGCGCCGACAGTTTTGAATACAATTGTACCGAAGCCTCTAATTTCGTGCGGTACTCTTATACCCGTTACTATAAATAGGCCTAAAGTACCGATAATACAAACAGTTCCTATAGTACCAGTGAGTACTGTGAAAGTGGAAAGGGCTAGAACGAGAGAAGAGAGAGTGTTCGAAAGTGTTAAAGATACAGTAGACGATAAGAGGAGTTCGAGAAGTGCTGCTTCCAAACGTTATAGGTAAGTGAAAAGTTAAAGTCCTAACAAAGAAGTATTTTTGGGTAGGTTTTTTTTACTTTGTTTTATTTTCTAAATAAAACACTTTATCGGTTTATACCGCGAATTAGTTATATTATAATAATAGTATAATAATTATTACAATTTGATTTAACTACGGACGGACCTTTCGGCTGCTTTGCAGCAGCAGTGATTTTGGGGAGGACTGAAGATTGAGGGTATCCTCCAATGTCAACCACGGCTGCTGCAGAGCATCGGAAACGTCGGGCCGTAGTTAAAATACATTTTAAATAACTGAGCTAATATATTTCACGTTTTAAACATAGGTTTAACTGCGTAATAAAACTATTTGATGATATTTTTTGCAGAGACAGATTAAAACAGCTGAGGCAACTCGAATCAGTTGAAATACAGACATTAAGGGATGAAAATATGCAATTAAATGCCCGATTAGAGTTATATGAGCGACTACTAGCGCGACATCTCAAGAAGTGCCCTCTTGTGGAAGATGCTAGTAAGTACTTTTATTATTTAGTTAATATAAAATAATTTCATTTGCATAAAATTCAATAAATGGAAAACAAACCTTTTTTCCCTGATGATGACCATAGTAAGGAAGACTGCTGCAAAGCATCAGAAACGTTGGGCCGTTCAAAGGGTTTTATTTAAATGTTTATCAAATGTTCTTTGCCTAACCTATGTAAATAGTTTAATATTACACCCCTCTTTTCTTTAACCAATCGATTTTTTTTTAGAATTTATTCAACAAGAGCTACAGAAACTTCCGAAACTAAGAACTCAGAAAAAATAAAACATTTTAAATAATTTATAATAATTTACCTTTTTAAAATCAGTGGAAAACAGCACAATCTATTTTTTAGAGGAATTTTGCATATCCTGATGGGGATATACATTTTTGTACCAAAGTTTACATTTTGTTTAAATGTGTGCTATACGGGTAAAAACTTTTATAATTGTGCCTTCGGTACATACGACACGGTAGCTCTACGCTAGCACTGATAGCTATGGTTGTGGATTCGAGTTTCGCCAATAGCGGTTTTAACATTAAATGTAATTAAACATATTTCAAGTACAACTTGTATGTATATTTTTAAAAGTATTTTTAACTATGACTTTGATTTTAACCAGTTACTTATTACATGACATTCCGTTTAAATATAATAATTTCTTATTCTTATATAAGTTATTCAATATAATGTTGTTTTCTAATATATTTATATGTCAAAGTGATTGTAATAAATCATTTTACAATTACAAATTTGTTTATTTCACCTTTCCTTACTATTCCTTACTACCCTTCTATTTCCTGACCTCATTTATTGTTAATCAGACTTCTGTGGCCTGCTGGACAAAACTATTTATTATGTTTCTTCAGGATTCGAAACCAGGACCTCGGCGAGGTTTATCATTGCAGTCACGGTATCTAATATTGTCATTTGTACCTACTATATTTCGTATTGTTTTTACTATTCCTATAATGAGAGTAGATTAAAAATAAAATCACAAGTTATTGTCAGCAAAATAGCTTTTTAATCTGTATTATTTAAATCTGCTGGTACAATGTAGCTATGGTAGGCTAAGAGATAGGAGGTAACCTATGCTATGGAACCACAGAATGATAAAAACAGTTGGGTTTTTACTATCAAATCTTATTAGAATTCGTCAGGAACATTGTCAATCTTACCTAAACGCGAAATTTTAAAAAAAAAAAATACTACTGCGAATAAAAATACACACTATTTACAGATTAATAATCCGGATTGAAAGTATTAATGATAAAATGGGAAGCAATAAAGAAATAATACATATTTTGGTTGTCCCTACTGTCATTATATTCTGTGCGGCGTAGGTATGGTAGCATAAGATTTATACATGGGTGTAATGATTTATCGTCAGTACATTTTAATAGCATACATTTATAGCTATATTCCACCCCCTTGTAAGATATATTTCTATAAGAACTTTGATATGAATAGTGAGAGAGCGATTTTAAATTATTTTAAAATAGATTTACATTATACATATAAACAATTGCATAGTCAAAGGTAACTCATATTTGGGACTGACTTTATAATAATTCAAAAATGGTAAAATATTGCCAAAACAGTTTTACACTACGGAGACGAAAAAGGAAGTAGACAAAAGGTAATTAAAATGTTCTCCATCGTACTTACAGACAAATGAGTTTACAATCAGTTGACAAGTAACTCGAGTGAAATCGGATCAAATCGTTTGTGAGTTTGTAGTATTGCGTCTTTAAATAAAACACACATGACGGTTTAGAACGCATACTAAGTTAACTTATTTTTAATTTATTTTTACGTTTCGAATGCGATGTAACAGCCGAGTTCACTGGGGAACTAAAGCTAGAGAGTGTCCCTAATGTCGAAGTCAAATCTGCTACGCTAGCGCCATCTGTTGCGTTTTAAATTATTACAAGTTTTTATTTAAATTTGTACTCGAATAAATTGCAGATAATACTTAGTATAGCGTATAGATAAAAACCAGTTCGCTCCGTCAGCCGTATTTTAAGCTACAAACGAAACGTGTATAAGCCGATTCCACTTAAGTTAACTTTTAATAAATACAACTTATTACCAATAATTTGAAGACATAGATTTCAGACAATCGCAGTAAGTGCGAACAAAACCTTTTTCAATTAAAATTCCCACGTTTACCTCATTGGTTTATGGACCATTTTAAATGGAAAAGATTTTTTACCTAGTATTTATTGTAAATACATGTAGACCATGATACACAAGAAAAATAACAAACAGGCCACATTGTTTCAATATTTGGTACATACAGATATCAGCTATTATTTGATGTGTTCGGGGGTGAGAATGGCAGGACTCGAAACAAAACAACTAAATTCTCGTAGCACAGAATCCGCTAATTAGTACGTATCACTGGTAGATCTCCTAAAATGAAACTATTTTATGATAGAGAACAGACAAGCATGAGGTTTATTTATTTGAAGGGAAATATCTTCCCAGCCATATAACATCTAAACAGGGACCTAATTTGGCGTTATATTCGGAAATCCACATATTGAAAGCGAAATGAGTTGATAAGCCATACATGACCGTCGAACTTACTAGATCATATAAATCAATCTCAGTATTAAATATGTACCTATATGTATTACATATGTATCATAAACGAATTCTGTTTACCCACGCCAACGCTTAATAAACAAACGGTAATGATTAAAAAACTACTGCATTATCATAATTTTTACCATAATTATTGGTCTTGATAATATTCACCCCCGCTTCGCTTTAGTGTGACACTAAATTATTCCTAATAATAGCTGACAACGGTATAACGTCGTTACAACTGTCAGTTATGAAGCGAAAATAACGGTGCGAATTAACAGTGAAAATTAACAGTTGTTAATTTGTTAGTATACATGCTTAAACGCTACGTTCAATGGTCTTGGAGAAGTCTGTTGATTGAATTGTTATACCTACTTGATACAATGATAAACAGAAGCAGACGTGTATTATCTTGATTTTGATAATCGTGACATCATGGATTTCGATCAACAGACTCTAGATAGACTAGGCTAGATGATCATGCCGACAGTGCGTCCCGGGCGATTTCTCTCTTGGACAGAATCCGCATAAATCTATTGCAATAAGCGTTAGTATACACTCCTTACTGTTTGTATTGTAACTATGGCAGGTTATATTATTTACAGCTGTCATGCATGTCAATGTCAAGCTGTCACGAAATACAGATGTTGCCGACTCTGCCCTTACACAGCCCCATTTGATATGTTAGACTAGACTAAGTAGAGAAAATCTAAATCTACTTGTGATATGCGAATGTGAAGACAGTCAAATTGTAATAAAATTAGAGTTGAAATATACTTTTTACCCACTACATGAACGTGTTATTTTACAAAATCTGCTGTAGCTTTTATTTTGTTGAATATAGCACCAATTAATATTAAACGTTGAAGCTTATATAGCCTCTATGGATCTATTTGAAGCTGTATATTCGTCTTTCGCTATACTTATAGGTATAAACAGAAATTCATAATTGTAAAAGGCTTTCGCGGCCACCTTCTAGCACATTATGGTTTCTCATGCCGACCTCTGTGACAAACAGATCTTGACTTTTAGCCATCAGGAGTAGTCAACCTTCTGAATAGTCAGTGAAGATACGTCGAGAACGGTTTTTCACGGATACCGGCCTAAAAAGCCATAAACTGCAAGGAAACTGAATTCCTTTCGCTCAAAATATATTCCAACGCTCCCAATGTTAATATAACTACGTATAACAATTTATTGATTTGGTGTTTAAAACTGCATTATTGCTATAATTACAAAAATACTTTTAAAATTAGTTAAAAACTAAGTAACAAATTGGTAAAAACATATGCGTGCGTAACAGCTATGAGTACATGGTTTTATTATGTGTTATTCGGTAATGTCGAAAATTAATGACTTCAGCATTTACAAGTGTCGATGTTCGTCTGGGTGGAAGCCCAACTACGGTGCATTTTCATGCTTAATTCTAACCCAAAAATATTCATGCATGATAAATTATAAATGTATCCTAAGATTAGTTTAAAGATAATTTAAATAAGTGTAACATTAACCTAAACTGGAAGTATATTTGAAATATAATTTAAACTAGCGTTTGATACAAAACGATAGGGAAGGAAGTCTTCGTAAAATTATCGTGACCTAAAATAACGTTATCCAAAATAACATTAAAAATAATTAGAATGTAACTTACATCGATTGTAACAACACTATAAATAATCAAATATATCTTGTCTATGAGCAATTTTTTTTTATTCCTATTTAAATAATTATATTATAAATACTCAATAAACTCTGCGACATATCTAACAAACAATAGATAAATGAAAATAGGTAATGTTGTAAAATTGTACTTAATTTGTAGCATTGTTTTGTAAAGACACAGATTAAAAATATATTAGTGCTAATTTCTGATTATCGTTTTAAAACATAATGCCAGTTAATAATATGTTAAATGTCAAATTGACGTTTCACAAAGAATATCGAATAAGGTATGCGATTTAACTTGACACTGGCAAATAGTTAGTTCTTCTTGCCACAAATGAAAAAAAAAAAAAAGGTATGCGAAATACGATACGCGTTACGGTAAAACTATCTATTTTATTATTTATACTAATTTTTACAATTCGAAAACTTAACGATAATATAAATTTATTATAATTACTTGGTGTTTATGTTCCTAAAGTACTTTAATTACGAGGTAATACGACCTCTTTTACCTAGCAAACCCGTAAGCAAACCCTTGCGCTATTAAATATTAATAGTAATTATTTTTTAATAATATCATATCGATTACATTATTGCAACAAACGAGGTAACCATTAGGTGTTATATTATTTTTGTACTCCTTAGGTACAAAGGCATAGATCCATTGTGTAAGAAATTTTGCGTCCTTTATGTAGAGGGCATAAAAAACTCACGTATGAAATAAAATTATAACTACTTGGTTTTGAAATTACATTAGCCTGTTACGTTGTTATTTATTTCAAGTATTTTCAATAGTAGGCGTAAACATGACCTGTGAATACTTACCATAAGAATATTATTTGAGGCGAATAAGGCTTCGGTTACATAAAACGCGGATTTTGCTGCATCCACAATATAAATAAGGTCATTGGTTCTTAATGGGTTTATTATGCACGCAATTCTAATCTTTGAACTAAGACTTAACTCAAGACCTCTATAATCCCTATAAAATTTCTTACACAAGTCGATTAAAATATCTTCGTCTTTTCCATATAGAAATTTAATTCCTACATATAATTTTCACCGCGATCTAACCACTATTGACAAATCATTATCATCAATATTGATATATCTTTCTAAATATCGGCAGTTCACGCTAGTTCTTCTCATTTCATTAAATTTCTATCTACAGTGCTTCGAGTCTATTTGACGTGCAACTATGAGCAAATACCTTTTGGTCTTGCAATTGGACCAGTTATTAGAAGCGCGAATTTTTCGACTATCGATAAACGGTTCCATCACTATACCTAACCTTGTAAATTGATTTTGTCAAACTGAAAAAGGGTGCAAGCCGATTTCACTTTACTCACATATATATATGTACATAAAATCATTGTATATAATTATTGTTCGATCTATATAACGTCTAAAAATTGAAAAAAAAAACTTTTTCTCTATTGTCACAATGGAATCGACAAAGACAACTTCTATAAAACGACTTCATTCCATCTTCAATCTACCTACATAGTAGTAGTAAGTAATTAGAACTAGTATACTCATAGATTTTAATATTGTACTTAAAATAACGCTACTAACTTCGGGAAAAAGTAGTGATGTATCGCGATATCGCTCTATAATAACTCGAAAATCGCTCATATAGTTTGTTAAGGCTCAGACAATTTTGTCTCGTCTTACCAAACCACTGTACTTGTGCTCACTTGCTTTCATAAGATCGTATGTCGTGTATAACGCTTTGTTGCAACCCGTAACATGATTCACCGAAGCTAGCAAAGTGTCTTAGAGAAAAATGCAAGCGATTAGTTTCACACAAAACTTGATCGAAAACGCAGAAGCATTTCAAGCCTATTCCAAAGAGCTTCGTATAATGAAAAATGTGATTTTGCGTGAAAACCAATCACATCACTACAACTAGGATTGGACGAAAATTAATTAGATCTAGGGTTGCACCGATGTCGATCGACTCGATAATTCACTCCGCGTTAGAACGTCCGTAGCATTTCTGAAGTGTAACGAAACATAATTGTATTTGAATTCAAGTGGATACCTTCAAAGTATAACACAATATGCAGTCCTATATACGTCGTAGGTTGCTTAATTAGTTACACCGCTGCAAGATTCTTGCTATTAATCTATTGGACTTGTTAGATCTCACGCCAACTCAGACGACATCGTTCACGTCAGAAGCTGACAAACAGTTACATCGAATTCAAAATTCACCTTCAAATAATCGAAAATAACTATAATATTCAGTGACTCGGTAAGTGACCTACGGCGTTTATGGACGACTGTGTTACACAGAGTCTTAACTTGTCACGAGGGTCATACAAGTGGCAAATATGTTTCGAATTTGTACCCGAGTCGATCGACGGATTGCTTCCTACTTCACCTGCAGCATGCACATGCTAGCAAGACCAGTGCGAGCGCTAACGTGTTAGAGACAGTCGACGCGCCGTTGCACATATCCTCCTCACAGAAACACATGTGGCCGTTGCCTGTACTTTCCATCATGCAAACGTGGTCCACCATGAATAAGTTGATTTGAAGTTGAGATGTACAAGTTCGACGGACGACCTCGTATGCTGGAAGTAGAAAAGATACATTTATAGGTAAGGTTCTTGATCATACCTCTACCTGATAGAAGGTCATATTGTAGTCTATGGGACAGCATAACTACGTGTGCTTAGAATTGTTTCGGCAATAGGCTTAAGCCTTAAGTGCTAGTAATTAGTTTTTAAATACAGAAAAAATCTAAAGAGATGAAAAGCTTTATGTTGGTTTAGGAGGAGCAACAAAATACACTGGCGAGGCAGAGTTAAGGTTGGAGCATAACACGTATGTCATAATTTCACGATTACGTTTTTTTTTACTTACGACTCTTAGAATACCGCACCATCTTGACGCAGCACCCATTACAAGTCTGAAGTGGTGGCTGGTCGCGAGGAAGCGCAGTGTAGTTGAAAGGGTCCTTGCACCGTGGGTCCGTCCAGCTGTCGCACTCATAGCAATATATCGTTCGAGCTGGAATATATCAAAGTTCAAAGACTCAAACCAAATATATGAGATTCTTATGATAACCAGACGAATATTCAAACGTCTTATTTAATACTTAATACTGAATAAACTAAACTAAAACGAACTTACTTGTTAATGTAAAAATTTTACATAAATTTAATCAATTGTTACTAACCGGCTGTTATATTTTAACTATAGTTTGAATATACGACTGTTGTAAAGAAATCGTTCTGTGCAGTTAAAATTTAACAATTTTTCACAATTTGGGCACCAATTTCATCGAATGGAATGTTTTATTATCACTATATTTCATGCTTTTGGCTCATCACTATTGTACGACAGACGTTTAAGCGTATGTTATGTCAAGTGTCAATGTCAAAGTGGATAGATAGGTTACTCTACAACTATACACGATGAAGCTAATCGTGCTATTTACCGATTCATTTAGTTGAATTAAGGTTAGCCAGTGGCGTGCAAAGCATCAACATGGGAGGCACGATCTTGTTTTTTTCAATGATTTAAAAATAATACATTATGATAATGTAAATGTATAAGTAAGTGATGTATGGCTTCAGCATATCAATTATAAACGAATCTTTAACTAGGCGTAGAGTTTTTAATGAGTGCTATGTTAATGCAAATTCATTAGTGCTATTTAACATTATGTCTAGAAACTATTTCTTATTGAATTGTGTTAACAATAGAATGCTATGTTTGAAAAATAAACGGTAAGACGAAAAGAAAGCGGCTTATATTCTGTAAACATACCTCTTACTACCTACAAAACTTACCAACAGTTAGGGACATAACAAAATACTTACAGAGAATAACCGAAAACTTACTAGATGTGTTCGGAAGTCAGTAAAGCAGGTTTTAATAATAAGCGTCATTATAGTTATGTACATGCTTTTCTGGTCATTAGCGTAGGGAATATGCATTTTTAACGCGTTTGAAATAGCACAGATAATAATTATGTTTGTGACTTTATCTATGCTGTAAAGAAAAAACACGTCAATTGAAATTAACTCCTCCTCCCTTTTTTTTTCAACCAGGCTACTTCTCTATAGATAATTTAAATATTCGCGTATTAGAATTCTTGCGTATTCCCTCTATGTCCTATAGTCTATGAAAAAAACATGCGTGCAAGAAGTTTACGTTTAAAGTATAAAAGGGAGCACACAAAAGCTTAAGCCACAAAAAATAATCCGCAATACTTACTTTGGCATTCGGCTTGAATTAGAGGGGTGAGTGTAAGAGTCCATAATGCTGAAAATCCATGCCATAGTTAGTTAAATGGGATTGGCTGTGACGTCACGGCCATGGGCATCATAAATACGTCTTATACGTAAAATTTAGGTACTTACGTTTAGTAGGTAAGGTAGACCTTTTTACAGTAAAGTAGTAAAACCAATCGAACATAAGGTCCTTATTAAAAAAATGTATATAGTCTTAAATACTGTTTGTAGTTTACGCAAATAATACACTTTACTGGTTTAAAACGCGATATAAATCAGTAAAACTTGTTCGAAAATTATTTTAACTACGCCCCGACGTTTCGGATGCTTTGCAGCCATAGTCACGGGGAGACTGTCGGGCCCTATTTAAAATCATTTTCAAACAGGTTTAACTAATATATATCGCGTTTGAAGCCGCTTAAATGTTCTTTTATAGTAAAATTTTGTTTATCTCTATAGTAAGCATTTAGTTGATTTTCATCTTCATGAAGATTGTTTCTTAAAATAACTTCATGAATAACAATGGTTCTTTCAAAATATCAATTTAGAGCGAGTTATATATTCATTATTCATGCACTCTACAGATGTCTCACCAGTAAAAAGCTACAGAAAGCTCTTTTTGTCAGCGTGGCCTCATTTCGAGGGCTATCAAAAACATTCATAATAGTTACTAAAATACATTTTGTGACCCCATAGTATATAAGACGTATTTACACGGAGGAAAACAGAAATATACAGAGATACAAATAATGAATTTTCAAGAAGAAATTTAGATTCCCGTCAATAACTGAATAATGAAAAAGTATTTTGGACTATTTCTTTACATAACTAATAACTATAAATTTAACACCAGTTATTAACAGGAGGAAACCAGGTACTGTGAACCAATCGTGTCTAATAAACACACATGCAAAATTACCCATTCCTTATGTCAACACGCATTCCTGTGGACTTAAACACGTGAACCACACTTAGCGAAACATCGATATCGATACTACAATGAACATCACTATAGCATTCTTCTTTATTTCACAGATTAAAAAGCAGGAGTAAGATTGTCACAAAACGACCGAATCATTTAATGGCGTTAAATTATTTCTTGAAAAACAAGTGTCGTAGGTATTAGTTTCATTAAATAAAAATAAAGCACATAAATAATAAAAGTTACGTGGCAAAGAAAACACGATAGTATATAGATCAAGTGATGTCCAAAATTCGATAAAATCAATATCGATGTTTTCACAAATACAACACAATATCTAAGAACATCTAGTACGACCAGTAGAGTCATTTACAATAAATATTACCAGTACGAATGCAGGAGTTCGCTTTTACTTGGTCCACACCAAACCATGACATGAGGAGAACTGAAAAATCACATTTTTGCACAGATTAATTTCACATTTTAACTTCTAAACACTTTTATTAAGTTCGGTCGAAATCGGTACAGGGATTTTATTTTTTTACGAAAATCTACTCTTATATTTAAAGCTGAAAAGTATATTTATTAGATTGGAGAACTACTGGTTCAAAAAGAAAAAAAAATCTTGTTTAGAGTATTTATGGAGGCAGGTTATAGGCTATAAAACATTGCGATGCGACTTATAGGAGCGAAGGAACGTGCAAGGGAAGGGAAATGTAAAAAAAATCCGGGGAAGATATTCATGTTTGTGGGTTCCCGTTGCGTACGCTACCAAAACTGTTTAAGATACCCAAAAATATATATAAAGGAATGATTCCTGTTTGAATGATCTAAAAAAAAGTCCGCGAACAAATATTCTGAATTGATTGATTGACTGAATAAATATTCTACTCGGACGGAGTCGCTGACACGGCTAGTCATTAATATAAAGATGACTTAAAAAAGTGTAAACTGTAAACTTACTCTTACCGATTGCTAAAAAATATAAATAGCTATTAATAAAATCTATAAGTGGCGCGACCAAAGATTTAGATTTTTAGAGATGCTTGTTGTTACGATTATTAGATATATAGTTTTTTGTCACTCTCAATCGTTGCAGTTAATAATTATTAGCGTAATACAAATAATAAAACATACACTTATCTCATAAATAACTAATTTTCCTGAATATATATAAGCACTCAGACTATGTGTACAATTATAAAATTCGAATATCCATAGCAAAAAAAGGTTGACAGCGTTTTTAGACGATGATGTATTACGGCTAGCGTATTTCACCTATCATCAAGTGACCCTCATGCGTGTCTGTCCTCCTCTATCAGTAAAAAAATCGCGTCAACAACCGTTACTGGCAGTATTTTATAGAATTACCTACTACAAAATGTATTTATTACGAATAAAAAATGAAATTTATTGAAATAAAATATATTACAACATATATTAGTCGACTATTGGTCCGGCCTTTGTAAACTTAGAAATAACTTGAATAATATGTATCGTGTTTTAAACCGTTAAAATGTTTTATTTAAATACGTACTACTCGCGTAAACTACTGGGCAATACTTGTAAGTTGTTTGATAGAGTATTCATAGGTGCTAAATCAAGCACTTTCGTATATAACGTGTTAAGGGAATCAGAATTCAAATGTACCGTAAAAAATTTTTGTCACTTCCTTAGATACAAATGAGTTATGACTGCTTTAAAGTGTGTAAGAGGCAGTAAAACTGTTTGAAATGTTTGAAACCCTTTGTTTTCAGAGATACGAAATAACCAGTTGGGATCCACCGTTGAACAATTACTTTGATTTATTGTAAATTTTATTGTGCGTCTCAGTGCTATTAAAACAGCCGTGAAAATATATTGAGCTCTTCTGGGCATAGAAACTAATCAGCAACTCGTACATTGTTTTAATCTATCAATGCCACCACCCTGTTTCTGATTGGAAAATTTTTACAACTACCGCCACTAAACTAAGCTAACAGTTTCGCCAACTACGGTGAAACAGAAGGCGCTAGCGTAGCAGATTTGATTTTCAATACAAGCGGCACACTGTATCTTCAGTCGCCGCGTGAGGTGGTCACGGGGCGACTAGAGATCCAAAATGTAGAGCCACGGATGCTTTGTAGCATCCGAAACGTTGAGCCGTAATTAAAATAATTTGCAAATAAATTTAACTAACACATTTCGCGTTTTAAACTGTTAAAAGATTTTTTTTAATTAACGAGACCGACTGCTTAAAGTGATGAATCCTCGATAAATTCACTGAATTACATTATACCCAGCAAGCATTCAAACTGTGGACATCGTAAACTGCTGAGTGAAGTGTAAAAACCGTACACCAGTGAAACAATTTGACGCCCTAGAGCTATTAAGAGTTATGGAAAAAATCAACACGGTAAACACCGTTTAACTTTTTCATATACTTTTCATGTTTAACAAGTTAAACAACTTTACAATACTGAAGTATTTATTAAAAATATTCTAATTACTATTGTCAATTGCCATATCTCTCTCTCTCTCTCTCATGTCTTTCTTCAAGGTTGCCTGGAAGATATCGCTTTTTAGCGATAAGGCCGCCGTTTCTTGCTACATTTTTTTGTAATTTCTTCAAATGCATCTTATGTTTGAAATTTCTTGTGGTGACAATAAAGTATTTTTAGTTTGTATGTTTGTATGTTTGTAATCAAAAGACATATCATGACAACAATCATGTCAACGTAAGAATGTCCAGCAAGAACAAAAATAAACTATGTAGCGCCAGACTCGTAAGAAAAACATTAAAATAATTTTATTAGTCGTTAATTTAATATAACAGATGGAGGACATCAAATCTGTTTAATTTAGTTTAATGAGAAATTACAGCTATACTTATATTACCAATCGTTTTATAGTAAACTAGCTGTGTTAGCGACTTCGTCCGCGTAGTTTCGTTATTTTGGGCATCAAAATTTTGTTTTTGTAAACCCTCTCGTCTTTATGTCGCGTCCCGTCGTTCTTGCTAGTTAATATTAAAAGATAGATAAATAGTGTCGCGGACATTTTTTTGAGCATCTAGAGAGGAATCATTTTTTCGCACAAATTTTTCGGGTATCTTGAACCGTTTTTGCAGTGTACGCAACGGAAACACACAAAGACGAATAATTTTCCCTGTCTTCCTCGCAACAACGCAATATTCTATAACCTATAGCCTTCCTCGATAACAATCTATCGATCGAAAATCGATAACCGATATTGCTAGCAGTTCCTGTGATTAGCGCGTTCAAACAAACAAACTCTTCAGCTTTATATACTAGTATAGATTAATTTCTCTTAGTCTTCCAGCTTACATAAGAACACTGAACTTTACTGTCATAAGCTGTGACTATAGTTTCAAAACTGTAATCCACCGTAGGCTCAAAATTAAAGTAAGAAGCAATTCTCAACAAATGCATACACAAGTGACCTACATTCACACAGTGTCGCGCAGTAATTACTTGTGTTGGGAAGTTTGTAGCTTTGGCAGGCTTATGTAACATAGATTACTTAGATATAACTTGGAGATGGAAGAACATCTTTCAAAGACATTAGTAAAAAAAATGACATTTACTAAGTACAAAGTGAATTCATGATAATTCAAATCGATCAAGTTATATAATTATGTATGTGGGGGTGGATAGCGGTAATACGTAAATAAAGGTAGTATAAATAAATGACATTTAGATAAATAAACGTTAAAAGGATAAAAAGATATTGATAGTTACCTGGTACGGGAAAAATCCAGCGCATTTTCATAATACGTCAGTATAGCGGCTCTCAGAAAACTGCCATGTCACATGAAATTTTATTATAAATATATTTTGTATTAGTGTTTAAATTGCATTACATAACATGAACCTGTAAATTGATAATTTTTTTATTAATCTTTGGAATTTAAAAATATTTTTTTTTTGTTTTTAATCTATCGATAGTATTACGTACATCCCTAGCAATATTTTGAGCAATCGCCAGATAGAACTCACCTACTCATCAAAGGCGAAGATAAATTAAAAAATAATAAAAAATGCGACATTCGTTTTGGCGGGAGAGTCGTTATCAGTACCATTGATGTTTTCTCTCAAAAATAATAATACTAAATTAGAATGGACTCTATTTTAAGCTTTAAAAATAGTTCGTGCGTCACAACTTTTATTTTTACGAATGAATTGTGACACAGTTTTAGGACGAAGGACGATCGCTAAGGATGGCGATCGAAAATATATATTTTTATAATGTGTATTCAACCACAGACAGATGATTGTCGATATTCTTGTAGACGTTTCTGTATAAAATTTGTTATCCTTTTAATAGTTGTATCTCTAATTTTTTTAACAAGAATAAAGATTACTTCGTAAAAAAGTTTTATAACACTATATTTTTTAGTGTTTGCAACTTTAAAAATTATACATCTATAATTGCTTGTAAACAACCTCTATTTTATTTTTAATTCTATACATATACATTGAGAAATTATTGAACTTGGTTCTAAGAGTTAGGTACCTATTTGTTGAAGAACTAAATCCATTTATTTGAGAAAGCTATGATGATTTCATAACTTTATAATAAATTTTGTGTTATTTAAATTTGTGTTATTAGGAACGACGGGAAAGAAAGGTTAATAGGGAGGCAGAATATATTTTACTTTATATTATTTATTGACTAAAGGTTTAAGTAAAGACCATTGTTGAATAAGTAATTATTAGGAATGTTCTCTTGTATCGAGTCGCTTAGCGTGCGACACACAGCGTTGCGCAGACATTATTGATTTTACTCGCACGAAACACTGTCATTATTTACCACTATTTTACATATTAACACTGTAAAAATAATAAAATTGCGATGATAAATTATCATTCTTCCTGTTTCGTATCTGCATTTGAATTAAGAAATTTTTAATTTAATTTTTTTTTAATTAATTTTATTGCACGACAGCACGCTTTTTAATATCATTTTGCACATTTTTCGCGGTTATGTAATATATGTGTGATTTTTTCTTACCGATAAAAATGATAAACATTGTAATCGTACACACCACAATTTTTAGACTCACTGTCTGTTATAAGGAGAGAGACATTTTTTTTGTAATACTTTGCTTTTTATTTTAACAATGTTTCATAATGGTTTTCGGTTATAATTTAGTGAATATTCCATGTTTCTTTGGATTTTGCGAATGCGTGCAGCACGCTCGGAGCACACTAGCGTACTAGGGTGGCTGAGTGTGGGACTAAATTCGCCCGTTCAGTCCCTAGGGAAAATATAATGAGGCTTTTAAGCGACTCCGTAAAGGTGAATTAGCTTTCATTTGTTGAATAGGTTCGACAAAACAGCACATTAATATCAAAATGCTTGTTAAAAAATTACATTGCTAAACGGTTTTTTATCTTAAATAGTTTTAATCTTGGTCAAGTGTATTAGAGAGATTAATGTGCCTGAAAAATAATTATTTCTGGAGCCTCTTAGTTTCCTTACTTTTCCTTATCGGAAAATGTCTCAGGATACAAAGATAATTGGTTACCATACGGGATTAAACTTGTCATGAGGAGAAGATGAAGAGTTACTATGTGTCTAGATTCCCTATAATTTGGGAAAATGGTCTATAGCTGGCAACCCGATTTGACCGGCTTCGTTTCCCCGCGGCCGCGCCATGCCGCTATGCGGAAAATAGTAGACGCAGTGTATTATGACATCTTAACCAAAAACTAGAGAATCAATTCCATAGAGAATCATCGTTCTAATCAAAGTTAAAGGTCCTATATGTAATTTAAATCATCTACTCTCAACAGAACTCGGACCTCTTAGGTATAGACGGTAGTGTATCTACCGTATTTGCCAAACGTGTATATTTGAATATATCACTTTAACGGTTTAAAACGCGATATATATTAGTCAAACATATTTGAAATTTTTTTAACTACGGCCCAACTTCAAAGTGTTTTAATTAAATGCGTAGGTACTACTCGCGTAAACTGCAGACAGTATGAAGCGTGTGCTGAATAATAAAGAAGAATACATGCATAAGAAATAGATATTTTGGTATAAGACCTAAAATCGAATATCCGACATGTAAAGAAGAGGTGCTCCTACGAGCCAACCAACAGCTCTCGAAACTTCGGCATTCTACTGTTATAGTACTTTTAATAATAATCCGTATCGTTAAGTACTTACCAAGATCTTTTTCGCTGAATAGGAAAAAACTTGTTAATCTGTCTTTGCTCCAATGAGATGTAATTATTTAAATATCGAATAAATTGTAAAAAAAGGGGCCAACACATAATCTGACAAAAAGCAAACGACCGGCTATTCTTCATCAAACATTTTATTCGACGAATACAATAATTATGATTCAAGTACAGAAAATATTTTACTATCATAGAATAACATTATATATACGTATAATATAGTGTCGTGACCGTCTGTGGAAATAGATAAGAAATAACATTCTTATCGGCTTGAACAGTGAACAATGTTTTTTATTAATGCAATAAACTTTTGTTTGTTATAATCAATTAATGAAAACAATCCAATCTTTTCAGCTAACACGATCAAGCATTTAAGTTAAACTAAATGTTAACTTTCAATTGTTTTAAAAAATATTTGATGACCAAATACTGTCTATAGTTTACGGGAGTAGTACACATTTAAATAAAACACTTTAACGGTTTAAAACGCGATATATTAGTTAAACTTATTTGGAAATGATTTTTAACTTCGGCCCGACGTGTCGGATGTCTCCCCGTGACCACGTCTGCTGCAAAGCATCCGAAACGTCGGGCCGAAGTTAAAAATCATTTCCAAATAAGTTTAACTAATATATCGCGTTTTAAACCGTTAAAGTTTTTTAAATTTGATGACCAATTAGAAAGACAGTCAAGTACAGGTAAGTAATTAATACGTATGATGTAACGGTTGATCCCAAATTAAAAATAACCAAAATATTTTTTTTTCCGTTTCAGTAAGTTTAAGCGTAGGAATGAAATCCCGTTTCTCGTAACGGGGCGAACACATTTCTGTGTTTATTTCACTGATCGTTTATAAGAAAGTTGTTGAACTAACAATTTAATATTTTCCCGGGATTCAAACATAGGACTTATCCTTGCTTAACATTATTCTAAGCGCCTTGTTTAACCATTGAAATGCAAAAGTAATAAACTAAGACGTTTTAATTGCAATGAAGAAGTTTGAAATAAGAATACAACTTTATTTGTCAGTTGAGAATTTTGAAATAAGAATGCAATTTTATCAGTTGAAAAATTTTAAGGAGTATGTGACATCTACCTACTGAATTTTTCTGCGTCTACCGCCACTAATGACAATATGAACCAACTACTTTAACGCACGCACGCTATTCCATGAAAAAAAACGTTTCAACCCTTTTTAATTTACCCCTTAAGCTTTAAAGCTATCAGCCTAAATTCCTTTGTTCCCGAAATTCCAACTCCCCAATATCACCTACAACAACAGAGGCGTTAGTATAAATATATACTGTTATTTCACTACAAGAATTTTATATATGTATTAAGTTAATGATTACATTCATATAGTAAATATCTTAGCCTAACTTATATGTTAAATTCATATAAGAAATTACTGGGTGTCTCGATAAAATGATATCTTATATGTCTCTTCTGGTTTTGGACAGACACAGATCTGTGTTTCATTGATCGATTTTAAAATTGGCAGGTAAGTAAATATGACATTTAATATCATTGCGACCGTTTTTTAGCCGAAATTTAATATGTAACTTCCTCCTAACAGCCTTTTCCATAGCTACATATTGTTTTTTCCCGCCCTTCCCCCTTGCATGACGTAATTATATGGCTGGTTTTAGTAGCCGCACAGATCTTTGGCGCTAAACGAATCCTGCGCAGAAGTCAAAAATAAGGTATCGAGGGGACAGAAGAGTTGATTGGTTCCCCAGTCGTGTTGTCTTTCTCGGACCAATACGATTGCACCGACCAACATGAGTACAGTCACGTTTTCCAATCAATTACGTGCGCGAACTATCCCCTCTACATTTTGTTCAGCGCTAAACATCTATGACGCGACCTATACCAATAATCAAACGCACCCAGTAACTCCCTATATGTAATTCCAATTTAATTGGATAATTACAGTAATTAGTGCTTAATGAACACGTGACGTGGTTTTAAATTACACTCGATAGCAAAATATTATACACATTTCGAATAGATGCAACATAAATTTAAAAATTAAATATCACAGAGAATGTTATGTTTCTGAACTTTATGTGTTACATTAATAGAATATAATATTGTATTTATAATTATCTTATATGGTTACGAAAAATAAATATTGCTATAAATAATAATTACAATTTAGTAAAATAAAAGGAACAAAAAAAAAACAAATAGTAAATAAAAAATGCATCGTTTATTGTACAACTTATAATATAACTAAATATTATACAATCCAATAGAAAAATATGCGATCTCTGAAGGGCGATGTATGAAGTCACTATATATTGTAGAAAAATAATTCTCGGTACAGTTCTCAGATTCACGGTTAGATAACGGCAACACCACGTGTCAATGTCAAGTATGACAAAATAAATTGACAATTGACGTGTCGCTTAATCGTTATGGGCTTAAAAACTGTTTGTTTAAAAAGCCCTTTGTAATTAGCTAAAGGTCGCTAAAATATGGAAAGAGAGCTATAGATATATCACAATTTTGAAGCCATTGTTTAATTGGAAAGTGTTTCCAAAATACAATTAAAGCAGTTTCAGATTATGTCTTACAAATTCTTAACGTCAAAGACTTTTCCATTACTTATATTAACAATATTAAATTATAGATACATAGGTTATTTATTGGTTTATGTATTAATAATGTTGTTTAAATAAATAAAAAAAATATGGCGAAGTAAACATTGCTTTTTTAAATAGTGACATAATTAATGACAAATGCGCAATTGAGACTATTTATATAAAACAATTTACGTATGGGTTACCATAAACAAACACTAAGAGTTAATATTAAATATAATTAAAAATTAACTATCACAACGTAACGCGAGATGACAAGATAAGCCTACACAGACTATACGATCGAAACGAAAGTAAGTCAGAGGTGTTAAACCCACCTAGTTTTATATTTTTTTCATTATTTGTATCGCTTTCGAAGAAGAATATGCAATAATTTTTTTAAATAATACATATTCTTGTTTCAGTCGTGTTGAAAACTTAGGTCGAATTCTTTCGAAAAAAATTTTACGAACAAAGCAACTAACAAAAATGCCAACTTAGGGCAGTTAAGATGTTGAATTTGGTGATAATTTAATGTTCCATGTTCCAGGCTTTTAAAACAGTAAGAGTTATTGTAACAAAACTTAAAATTGTTAAACGGGAGAACACATTAAATAAAACGATTTCAGATAGCAATATTTCGGGCTTAAATCGGTTCTATAATATGTTAGCTATGTAATGAATTCAATCAAACTTCTTTACTAAGCGCACACATCTGGCAGAATTGTTGTGTAACGGCTTTACGAACATCAATATCGTGTATATAACTCATTGTCTAGTGAAACATTTGACTATGTTTCAAATTATGTTACAACAGCGGCAATACCTCGGTCTTGCACCGCCCCCCGTTACGGGCGGAGTCACTGGTGCGAAGTAGGCGTGCACCTTTATATTTGGAAGATGGTTCTGAAAAAAAAATATTTGAATAAAACACTGACGAGCTCGTTAGTGCAACGATAACAATGTACGACGAATAAACAACGGAATATAATTCTACTGAATTTTTTAATGTTGGACCTCTTATGGAAATCTGGATATTAAATGGAGGGGTAGGAATATCGAAACCGCGTTTACGAACCGTCCACAGATCAAAAAACCGTAAACTAAAACCGCGTTTCGACTTCAGTCTGTGGATATCCGAATCTCCAAATCCAATATGGGTATCCTCTATCTTAAAAAAACTTTTAACAGTATAAACTTGCAATATATGTAGGTATACTTAAATAACATTTATGTGACCACGGCTGCTAAGGACCGAAACGTTGGGTCGTAGTTAATATATTATATCAAATGTAAGCTTAAATACTGTCATATAGTTTACGCGAGTAGTACACATTTAAATAAAACACTTTAACGGTTGAAACGCGATATATTCGTTAAACTTATTTGAAATTGATTTTTAACTTCGGCCCGACGTTTAGGATGCTTTGCAGCAGCCGTGGTCACGGGGAGACTCCCCGTTAAAAATCATTTTCAAATAAGTTTAACTAATATATATCGCGTTTTAAACCGTTAAAGTGTTTCATTTAAAAATGTAAGTTACCTAATAAATTTCGCGTTTTAAACTGATCAGTGTTGTAATGCGTACTACCAACCACAAACAATTACATTAGTTTAAAATCATATTTGAAATTGGAAGCCAAGACACCGGCTCCATAGCACGTTGCGTCTTTATAATAATAATACTTAGTTATGCTTATATACTGACCCTCAGTTTTCGTATAGCATTCCTCGTAACCATCTGGCAGTCATACAGCTCTATTAGCTGCAAATTGTGACAGGATATGAGGTGCTCCAGCGCGCCATCTGTCACCAACGGACAATTGTCTAGGCCTGGAATAAACCGATTTGTGTATATGTTAAATGGAGTGGGAGGAATACCGAAATTTTGGTTTTTTTTTGGGGGGGTTAAAAAAAACAAAAAAAAAAAGGGGCAAGGGGGGCAATTTGTGAAGGGGTTGGGGGGGGGGGTTTTCCCCCCCCCCCCCTTTCCCACAAAGAAAAATACACATAGTACATAAACATATCACACAATAAGCATTCGTAAAGATAAATGTCGATATCAAATACCTAGTATCTATATATAGTAAGTACCTAAAACAGTGAGGTGTTCGGCTGCGCACGGTGACATTGACAGCTGTTTGATCCCGTAGTCTGTTATTAACTCGCAGTGAGATAGAGTCTGTGTGACAGTAAAGTTATTTAGTTAGGACACATTTCTATGGTTTTATTACGTTTTAATTAATTGGTTCACAGGGGCGGTCCAAATTCGATATCAAATTAAAATTGATATAAAAAAGCCGTCTATAGTTTACGCGAGTAGTACACATTTAAATAAAACACTTTAACGGTTTAAAACGCGATATATTAGTTAAACTTATTTGAAAATGTCTCCCCGTGACCACGGCTGCTGCAAAGCATCCTAAACGTCGGGCCGAAGTTAAAAATCATTTTCAAATAAGTTTAACTAATATATCGGTTTTAAACCGTTAAAGTGTTTTGTTTAAATAAAAAGCCGTCAAGTTTAACCGTGTTTTGGTTTCAGTTTGTACTTTTCTGAATAAGCAAAGCCAACTAATGGTCGACAGCGCTTGTTTAGACGTAACATGGCTGGGGTGTTTTACCTTACATCAAGTAAACTCCGTGTTCGTATGTCCCCCATTATAAAAATATCAAATAAAACAAAATACTATAAAAAATATTAAAACTTACCAATTTTTCTAAACGCGGACAACCCATTGCCAGATGTACTAAAGTTGTATCTGTGATGAGGACACATTCCTCTAAATCCATCCGTTCTAACATCCTACAACTCTGTAAAACAAATATAGAATTTAGCAACTACCCTTCTAAATCTTTTGCTGTATCTAAGAAGCTCTCGAATGAGGGAACTCGTTTGGATGTTAGTTTAATACATTTTTAATGATTTCCTAAAAATTTAACGATATAGAGATCTTATAAACATTGGTCCTTCGAGCCGGATATCAACTAACGCATTTTGCAAGCGGCGCTAACCAACGTGCTAATGTTTCTTAATATAACTCTTACCCTAGCCAGCGCCTGAAAACCAGCATCGGTTAGTTGGGCACACTGCGCCAACTCCAGCGTGACCAGGTCGGGACACCTGGCTGCTATTGCGCATAGCGACGTATCCGTTAGTCGCGTGCAACCAGACACGCAAAGTCGACGCATCGCACCGCCCAACTTCGATATCGACTCGTCCGTCAGATTCTGTTATAGAACTTGACATTACTTATTAAGCTGTTTATTTGTAATCGTGAAATAATACCTGATTCCTTAGCACTTCAATATATATTTAATACATATTCTCAAAAGTAAATCGGTAACAAAATTAAAGATGTGTAGTAAATAATTATGTAGCGATTTCATATCTGTAAATTCCAGATTTCAGCAGTGAAAATAATCTTTCTATAAGACAATACACAATGAAAAAAATAATAGATTGTTTAATCTATATTAAAATCCTGTTATGTTACGGTGTTAAGAAAAATGTAACTAACATAATATTTCATGGTTGTGTTCTTAAACTGACTTTGGATACTCAAATATGTTATTTTAATATTACTCACATCACATCCTTGTACATTAAGTACCTCCAGGTCGGGGCAGTAAGTAGCAAGACAGGACACAGCTCGGTCGTTCACGTTTTTACAACCTGACAGATAAATATGTATTTATCCAAATATTTCCTAAAAATTTATACATATAAGATAAAGATACATATATAATACATTTTATCTGGGGAAAGGCGCGAGTGGGTAAAATGACATTAAATCCAGACTTTGAGTCTCAATGCTGATAGGTTATAAAGAAGCGTGTAGAAGAACCTAAAAGTAAAAAAAATGTTTTTGTTGTGTATAAGCTATGTTTAGTTTAAATAAAACACTTCAGCGGTTTAAAACGCGATATATATTAGTTACAGCTGAAAAGTATCTGAAACGTCGCGTCGTAGTTAAAATAATTTTGAAATAAGTTTCAACTTGTATATTTTTATTTTAATCAGCAATGGCAAAAAATTTGTCTCTTTAAAGGTACTTCTCCATCTGACAAAGAACCCATAAAATAGGACAGCGACACACGTACGTACGTAACGACAATTATGAAATAAAAATTACCTCTACAGATAAAGCTCTTTAGTTTGGGACAGCTCCTAGCTAGTGCCTCAACGCCATTCTCGGTAATCGACTGACACCAAGATACATTAACGTGAGTCAGGAGCTGAAAAGGTTAAAAACGTAGAATTTAAAAGCAGCTACGAATAATGGCGCATTATTGTAATCTACCGCCTATTCATGGAAATGGGACGAATAATTCGTTGGGGCCAAACTATTAAGAATTCAATTCGTAAAATGATATATAGTGAAAAATAGTTTTTGGGAAACTCACAATCTACATAGTTATTTGACGCAAACTATGTATATGTTAGTTGTATGTAATTATATATTATGTTTAATTGTACTTGGGTATAAAAAAAGTTAATATTAACCAAGTCTACTTACTGGACATCCATCTGACAGTGCCTTCAAAGAAATATCTGATATGCTCGGACATGAGTCTAGGTTGATCCTGAAATTTATTTATATTTAGGTAACAATTAATTTAAGCCAAAAGACACAATTATGAAAAAATATATTGTTTTTAAATAAACGAAACGACACTGTGAGACAGTTCTATAAGAACCCAGGCAGTATCTCCAAATATAAACTACGAAGGAAAGTGGCGCTAGCGTAGCAGATTTGATTTTGACATTATGACCTCTAACTTTAAATGCCCCCCTGATCAACCTGCTGTAAAGTAATCGAAACGTTTGGCGAGAATTAAAGTTAAAATATCTTTCGTGTTTTAAACCGTTAAAAGTGTTTTATTTAAATGTATTCCACTTGAGTACACAGGCAATTCTTGTATTGTTTTCATAATTTTTACCCTATTTTTTTATAAGCTATAAGTATTTACCTCTGTAATTTGCTACACCTCCTTCCAAGAGCCTGGCATGTGTGGTCTGTGATTTTCTTACATTTATTCAGATTCAATTCTTCTATGTTCGGACAAGACTGAAAAAAGAATTACTGACTGAAAAAGTTTTGTTTCATTCTGTACCTTTTATACAAATTCTCAAATAACACCTTCAATTTTTTGATAATGTAATTTTTTTTATGACGTAATATCTTACCTGCGCCAGAGTCTTCATGGAGCCATCAGCGATGCTCTCGCAGCCGCGAAGAGACAACTGTCGGAGGAAACCACCACATCGTTGTGATATATTTTCTATGACTGGGCCCTGAAAGGATTGTGACAGATTATAATTATTTAGACATGACATATTGAACTTATTTATAGTAATTTCGTAGAATTTGCTTGTCAAAAATTAAAATTCTATGTTATTGTTAAAAATATGTTATCCTGGGGTTTGAACCCAGGAATGTATTTCTGATAAGCCAAATCGGTCAATAGTAATAAATAACAGATAAATAATAAATTATTTTATTAAACATTAACTCACTTCAACATCTCTTTGGAAATCAAATAAGTCTATCCTTTGCCAATTGGATCCGTCCAGAGCTAGAATATTCCATAGTTTTGATACCTGAAAGAAAGTAATTTTTATGTAACCAGTATTGTAAAGTAACTATATTCCTATGAAGTTTGTCAACTCTGAAAGCCGGAGAAAATCTATTGTATAAAATATTTAAAAAAATACGCTAAAGTAAATAAGCGGTGTTATTTCTTTGTAAATAGATTTACCTGAGCACACCGACATAAAGAAACAACATCCAGATAAGAGAGAATTCTTAGAAGCAACTCCTTGGGCAACTTTTTGTTTATATGATTGTCATCTTCGCCCGAAAACCGAGCGATCTGTAAACCAGTAATTGCTTTAAAACATGTGCAAATAAATAAATGGATTACCTACATAATAGTTAAAAAGTGGTTTTACAATCATAAAAACCAGTTCAACTAAACTAGATTTTGATTTATGGGTTGAATGGTCTGCTAATGACGCGGACTGATCACACAGCCTTCTCCAGGTGTCCCCGATAGAAAATAATAAACTAGGTTTTAATACTTGGTAAAATGGTCCAAGGTTCTGTTTCACACATTTAAAAAAAATGCTTTTAACGGTTGAACATGCAATATGTGTTAATAAATATGACCTGACTTCCCCCAGGGCACGGTTTCTGCAAAGCATCAGAAACATTGGGTCGTACTGTTTTTATCAGTCAATTAATACCATATGCATAACAAAGCATAATCTTTATTATATTATTAAGTAGATAAAGTTGAGACATAGGATAATGTGTCCTCATTACAAAATATAGTGATTTTATATGTTACAACAAAGCAATGTTTATAAACATTGTTATCTTAATACAATCTGTCTGTGTAATGTTACACTCTTATGTATCCGCTATCTTATCTCAATTACCATTGTACATATAGCCCTACAAAGTGTTATGGTTTATCCCTAAGCCCTTAGTTAAAAAATTTACATAAATGTAGTTAATTCTATTACTTATGTATAAATGGGTTGTATATAATTTCATTATAAGTTGTCACTTAATTTCAGGTAGATGTTTTTCAAATCCATTCCTGTAATATGCCTTAATTCCCAAATAATATTTTTAATTAAAAGGATGTGTAATTAAGATCAGGGTTTAACCTAAAGAGTGTGGTGAACCATTTCAGTTTGGTGTAACGGTAACAACTTATTAAGAGTTGACTGAACTTAGGTCAATAAACCGGCGCTCCACGAAAAAAATGATTATAAAAACATGAGACAAAAATACCATAACTTAATTATGCAATTTGTTTTGTTGGTGATTTTTGGACTCTATTGCTGTATTCTAGAACCAGTAGTTTTATATTTAATCCTACTTATCACGATCAACGCATGCGAGAACAAAGAAAACTGGTTTGGTACTTCGGGTCATGTCAGCTGTTATGAAAACACAAACAAAGGGCCAATCGATGGTTTGAAGCTTACCTCGAATTTATTCCTTGCGGAATAAGTCATGCTGGGGAACGGCGTCACCTTAGCCACAGTGTTGGAATAACTGTTCACTCGATTTGAAACACTATCGCGTAAATAAAATTCAACAAATATGGACGTCTTTTTAATTTTTCGCCGATCGTGAACTCCGTTCTTCGTTGTGCATTAAAGTGCGTTCGGAAATCCCCAGAACTGTCAATTAATTTGATGTATTCATCACGTATTAGAATAATATGATAAAATCTACGCAGCTATTTATCACATATTGCGACTTAATTATATTTATTTTTTGCAGACTTTTGTAGATATTTTTGTGTATCAGTATGTGAATTTTTAACAGCTGTTAGTCGTTCGGAAACACATATGTCAATGTCACACAATACGTCAAACAATGTTAACAAAACAAACAATATTAACGCAGGTACTGTCAAATGTCATCTTTTTAAATTAAAAATAAAACATAGTCTTTACCGCCTTATTTAAATATTTTTTGCGTGTTTATAAATGTAGCATATTTTTGAATACTTTCGGATACTATATAGAAAACTATATAACATTGGGATTATCAATAGAAATGTAATTTATAATCGTAAGTATTTATTTATTTTCATCGACTAAAGTCTTAATTAAATTACATTTGCCACCGTAATAAGCTATTTTTTTGTCAGAAAGGGGTCTGGAATAGGGTCATCTACTTTCTCAAAGGGATAATTAGGGTGGTTTTGCCAAAACGATGGACAGGTGTATCTTTTGTGTTCGTCGAAATTGCTGATAGCAGCTATTTCATCTTCTTTTAAACGGAAATCAAAAATATCCATATTTTCTTTTAGCCGGTGTACTTTAATAGTTTTTACTATTGGCACAATATTTCTGTCAACCTGTAAGAAAGATTTTATTATTATAAAATATTAAAAAATAACTTTTTGAATTTTCATACATATTAAGTCTTTTAATAATACAACATTCTAAGATTATTTTTAACATAAAAATAAGAGTCATATTTGTTTCAACCTACCAACCACCGCAAAACAACTTGGGGCGTAGTCTTCCCATACTTTCTGGCTATACCCGTTAAAATTGGATCATTAATCTTCGGCCCAGGAAGCTGGACGCCGTATCTCTTAACTAAAGATCCAAGGGGTGAATAGCCCATGACAACTATATCTTGCTCGTGGGCGTAATCCACCAACTCTTGCTGGGTTATTTGGGGATGATTCTAGAAAGAAAGAATATTAGTGTGATAATGTGATATAGCTATAATTAAGAATGATATGCATATTATAAGTTTTTTTTCTCAACTCAATACTTTTTATCATCAAGACACCTTTTCATAATAAAATAGAGATTCACAAGATAATCTACTATCGTACTATGGGTACATTATAGTGCTTAGTATTAGTGATTAGTATGTACATACTAATCAGTTTTTCAATACCATATTTTAATGGTCACCAGGATCCCCAATTCGGTTAAAACGCAAAGCGGACTATCGAGAAGTATCGTTTTCATAGTGTTATAAACGTCATTATTTTAAATGTTACTGTGCTAGAAGAACACCCAACAGCAAAAGCAACGGGCCCATTCGTGTCATGGTAGCAAAGTATGGGCTAATAAACAACAGATCGTGAGCTCAATCACCAGCGGGTCCAACATTTTCTAATAAATATATAATTTTTCTGAAACATTTCGTCGACATCGAAATTTCGTTCGGGGTACCACCAGCGACATATAATAAAGCAGCCAAGTCTAACCGCGTTTCGCCAAAGCCAAAGTAGGTAGACAGCGAATCTTCTTTATCTGTTTTATGGCTGGGATATTTTACCTACCATCAAGTGTACCCCGTGCTTGTCTGTCCTCCTTTATCATAAAAAAAAATTGGATCTCAGGGTGGCTGTACTTCTTAGTACTTGCACGTACCTACTGTTAAACGAATTTCTTAACGTACCTCTATTTGCAAAACAGCCGGCTTTATACTGCCTTCTTCGACCACCCTCTTTAATTGAGTGCTATTAAAATTGGATACTCCTATACCCTTTGTTAAGCCGAGGCGTTGGGCGTCCTCCAATCCTCTCCAGGTTTCCATGTAGTCTACATCTGAGTGTGTATAGTCCTCCTAAAGATTATAACAGTCATGTTAAAACGCACGAAGACAGGCTCGTTAGTTTCAGGGAAGTATGGGCTCAATCCATGGGTTGAGGGTTCGATCCCCGCCGGGTCCAACAAGTAAACAATTGAAAACATTATGTTTTTCACATGTTATTGCACATGAAGGCACTATATAATTTAAAAATCGAAAATAAATTGGAAAAATTTTCGACTCGGGCAGGACTTAAACCGGCATCGTCAGCGTTCCGTGCTGTTGCTCTACCAATTAATTAAGCAGATATTTAAAGTAAACAATTTCTAATTTTCCTGAAACATTTTGGACTTCGTCTTGAAATCTGGATATTGAATGGGAGAAACTATTGGACTTAAATAAAATGTAATCTAGGTAGTAAACGGATCACAAGTTGTACTATCTTTCGGCGAAGTTCATTAAAAACGTAAGTCTTGTTCATTAGGCAAATAATAATTTGTATGTGTTTTATAAATTATATAATTTTATATTTACACACATACAAGCTATAGAAATATGTTACATTGATTCCCCGAAATTGTAGTTTACGCGAGTAAAACAAGTAAAGTAAAACACTTTAACGGTTTATAACGTGAAGTATAGTTGTCTCCCCGTGTCCACGGCTGCTGTAAAGCATGCGAAACGTCGTGCCATAGTTAAAATCATTTTTAGTTAGGTTTAACTAATATATCCTGTTTTAAACCGTTAAGTGTTTTATTTAAATATTATTATGTATGGAATCCAGCAGCTACTGCTGCCGCAAAGCTATGCAGCACTCAATTTGTAAATAGGTAACTAATATATTTCACGTTTTAAGCCATTTAAAGTGTTTTATTTAAACGTGTTTTATTCGCGTAAATAACAGTATTGTCTGTATGATTAAGGTGAGATTTATGAAAAAATGTGTACGATTTACGTTAGACATTCATTTTCAGCGTACTGCGTCGTATATTCAGGTTTGAAATACAGTTGTGTTCGATATAAAGGAGTTTAGTTAAATACTGTCTGTAATATACGCGAGTAGTACACAATTAATTAAAACACTTTAACGGTTTAAAACGCGATTTAAATTAGTTCAACTTATTTGAGAATTATTTTAACTATGGCCAGACGCTTTGCAGCGGCCATGGTCACGCGGAGAGTTTAGTTACTTACGTTGAGTCCGATGGGCCAATGCATTAGATATAAATCAACGTAGTTAAGTCCCATTTTCTCTAAAGTATCTCTCAGTGCGGTTGGCACTTGTTCCCGGTTGTGATTCGTGTTCCAAAGCTGAAAAGCGAAGAAAAAATATAGCAATTGAAGTATTGGACGTATACCTTTAAAAACTGAGCAAAGCCAAGATCGGAAGATAAATTGTCAAAAATCGATTATAATTGAAAAAAAATACGACACGGACAGGACTTGAACCGGCGTCCACAGCCTTCAGTTCATAGATAACTTAAATATATCTTGTAAATTCCGCGAAATAATTAAAATAAAACACTTTTATGTCTTTAAACCCGTGAAATAAATTAACTTATTTACAATATTTTACAACGACATAACACCGACTGTTCGAACGCTTTACATCAGCCGTGGTCACGGAGGGACTCAGGGTATCCTTAATGTCAAAGTCAAACCTACGACGCCGTCGTAGTTAAATTATTTATAAATACGTTAGGTAATATATTCGCGCTTGAAGCCGTTAGAATAGTTTATTTAATTCGAAAGAATCTTTTGTTGTAGGAAGTCTGGTTTAGTTGCCTTAGTAGTAACAAAAACGTCTTCTCTTTCAATCTCCCCTTCTTTAATCTTCATACATATGGCTTCTCCTATCTCTCCTTCCGTTTCATATACAGAAGCCGTATCGAAGTGACGATAGCCAAGCTCTATTGCGCGAAGTATGATGTCACGGAGTTCCTTGTTAGAAGAGTGTACCATGCCATGCTGAAAGAGTTTTAAAGAGCATTAAGACTATATGCGCCATGGGGCCTCTAGGGGCGGAGTAGCCTAACTGCAATTTTACGACCTGAGGTATTTATATTTTCATAGTCTGAAAATGTTCTCAATCTATAAGAGCAGTGACCGAAAATTGTTAACATTTCCTTCTTAACAAAAAACAATTCGCAAAATAATTGCGTTTTTTGTTATTAGGCCACTTTGCCTCTAGCAGCCTCATATAGTTCAAAACTAAGCAGTAAAATATTAGTTGCTATAAAAATTAAAAAAAGTGTGAAGTGTTTTATATTAAGTGGCGTTTATGTAATGTCTTAGTGATGGTAATTTATACTAGTCTATCTTCTTACAAACTTTTTGCAAATTAAAAACACTGTATATACAAGCAAGAACAAGAAAGATTTGAAAGCAGTCTAAAATAGCTTTCTTTGGTTGTTTACAGTGGTAGTAAATGACGTACCTATTTTAGGTGAGACGTTACTTTTAAAAAGGAATTGATCAATGAAATTAAGTGTTGTGTTTATCTAATATTAACTCGACCATATATGTAACTCTATAAAAAAATGAGTAGTAGCCTCCTAAAAAATTTGAAACAGATTTAGAGCAAACCTTAAGAAGCCCACCGGAAAAATAACCTTTAACCTAAAACCACATTTAATGTTTGTTACGGCTTCCATTACATAAAAACCTTTTTATTAAATACTTATTAAAATAAAAAAATATATAAACAATTATACATTTAAAACGTATTTCGTACCTCATCAAAACCCAAATGAGTGCCCAAAGCAATAGCTGGCATTTCATTTCCATTGTTCAACTTGAGTTTTAATACATCTTCGGAACTGTCTCCCATCTGTGGTAGAAATTCTAAGTTAATTTTTTATTTTCAAAACACTTTTCAATCTAGTTAAAAAAGTATTCAAAGATCTACCATTAATTAGAAACACAATTTAAACAACCAATAACACAATACACTTCTTAATTTGCGAAAAACAATTGTTCACTAAGTAAGGTTGCTTGAGTCTGAGAAGAATTTAAATCTACACTCCTTTTTTAAAACTACCTTCATTTTAGTAGACAAAGTATTATTATTTTTACTTCAATACGATGTTGACGATACAACTTAACAAAAAAATATTAAACTAGTTTAAAAGATTTTACGTAATAGGATTTAATTATTATTTCCTGTAGGTAAGTGAGATTTAACGGTTAAGGAAAAAAATGAAACTTACCAAGACAAAGATTACTAGCAAAAATATGAACATGTTGCTCCGTTTACAAACGTCAACTACGCGAATGTTATTATTAGCTATCAGGTTATCTCATAATGTATTATATTATTATACATTACTCAAATATCACGTTAAATTTATAATAATTAATAGGCAATGACCTGGCATCGTTTTACTTTGGTTTGCTCAAAATAATTATTCGCGAAAATAACTAAAAATAGATGCTTAATTTAAATGAAACACTTTAACGATTTAAAACGCGATATATTGTATTATTTTTATTTCAGCTTTATTACTTATAATTACCACATATACTACAAAACATAAAATCTTACGTAGTAACCAATACATATATAAAAGGCCGCCTTATCGCTTAGCAGTGATTTCTTCCACGCAACTTGAAGTACAAGAGAGAAAAAAAGGCTTACAAGTGGGTAGGGGTAAGGAATAATAAACAAAAAGCAAAGGTACTTCGTAAAAGTAGCAAGTAAGAGAGAAGCTAAATTAAGAGTTGGAAAGATTATATTTATAAAAGAATGGAGAGCTTGAGCTTTTCTGATAATTAGTTAAATTTGTTTAAAAAAAGATGCTTTAAAAAAATATATCGATTTTAGATTGAAACATTTTACGGAACAGGCAGGATTTGAACCGGCATATACAGCGTTCCGTGCCGTTGCCGTAACGCTGAATATTTCATAGGTATAGTGCCAATTACAATACAACATGTGAAAAAATATCGTGTAACATACAAGCACATACACTTGATCGGTGGTAAAATTCGCTCGCCATATAACATCTGAACGAGATACGCTGTCGACGACACGGCTTTTCCATCTGTCGACGGTGGTTCGATATTCCTACCACTCATTTGATATCCAGATTTTCCAGAAAAATTCTAAATTTATCAGAAACATCTTGGAGCCAGTTAGGATCGAATCCATGACCTATTGATTATTAGTAATACATTATTTCGATTAGACCAATAATTTCAATATTCCTACCATCCATTGGATATCCGGATTTCCAGACGAAGCCCGAATTGTTTCTAAAAAATATATAAATTGATTAGAAAATTACTGGACCTTGTGGACACACTACTCGTTGATTATTAGTAATAGGTACATTGCTACCATTAGACCAAATATATGCCCGTCAAATATATGTTTAAGTCTATATATATTAATAATTCCATATATGTCAAACACTCAATTTAGATAAAACGCTTTAACGGTTTAAAACGCGATATACATTAGTTAAACTTATTTTAACTACATCCCGACGTTTCGGATGCTTAGCAGTAGCCGTGGTCACGAGGAGACAAGATAATTTTCAAACAAATTTAACTAATATGTATCGCGTTTTAAACCGTTAAATTGTTTGATTTAAATGTGTACTACTCGCGCAAACTACAGACAGTATTTGATAAGTACTTCAGTTAAATTCAAGTTCAATGCTCTGTGGTACGTTTGTGCTATCTCTCAAAGATAATATCAAGAATCCAATGTGTACACAAAGTAAATAACTAAATGATCTGCTGTGTATACAAAAGTTTCAGAACTTCGATACAATTTCTTTATCCATGACTTTAAAATATATCTAACATGTTAAATAAAGTACTCTTAACGGCAACTTAGAGCAACAGCACGGAAAGCTGACGATGCCGGTTCAAGTCCCGCCCGAGTCGAAAATTTTTTCAATTTATTTTCGATTTTTAAATTACTCTTAACGGTTCAAATTGCGAAATGTATTATTCGGTATGTATCAGTAACGACAGGCCGTAGTTAAAATGAATTGTGAATAAGTGAATGTAATGTATTAGATTACGCGTTTTAAAACGTTAAACGCCCTTTTTTGCACGCGTTAACTACAGACAATACTTAAATGTACGTACAAATACGTAATTACTATCTTAAGTGCTTTGACTCGTCTTTGGACCCATTTAATTCATATTATTTCTGAAACATGTTGGAAACCTCGTCTGGAAATCTGCATTAATGGGTCCGAACAACCGTCCACAGATGAAAAAGTTCGGTCTATGGATTGCTGAATAACCAAAGTCAAAATGGGTCGACAGCGCATTTTGTTAAAGTGTTATATGTCAAGTGAAACTTATGCTTGTCCATTTACGAAAAATCTCCAAAGAAAAAGAAAACTCACCAGAAAAAGTGCGCAGGCGCTATTAACGTTGTTATCCTTTTGTTGACTGCCGCCGGATGCGTGTGCGTGTCTTTTTGTAAACAGCTTTAATTTCATAGATATGAAGTACAGTTCGGTAGAAATGTGGATTTGAATGTAAGTTTAAAATACTTTATTTAATATGGGGCGACGTATGCCGTCTAGCTTTACGAAGTAGATGAAGGCCTATTATCTTTTTGAATACGTCCGTGTCCCAGCTGTGGGAGTGCTATGACGAAATTAATACATGGCTTATTAATCTTATTATCAACGAAGGTGGGTGACTAGCTGATACGTTTTATATTTTACTAGCTGACCCGGCAAATGTTGTTTTGCCATATAAACAATTTCCTAGTAATTCAAAAAAAAAAATAAGGGTTGATCGTAGAAGGGTGAAAATTGAGGTATGTATGTTGTATCATAAAAAAATAGAAATTAAAAATTTTGTCTAAAAGAATAGAAAAAAAATGTAGGGGTGGACTACCCCAAACATTTAGGGAGATGAAAAATATATGTTGGCCGATTCTCATAGATACCGGATAAGCACAAAAAATTTCATCAAAATCGGTGAAGCCGTTTCGGAGGAGTATGGCAACGAAAACTGTGACACGAGAATTTTATACATCAGATATTTAGCAGCTTATATATTTTGAAAGATTTACTATCATCCCGTTTCCCTCCGTCGGGCGTTGGGCCATCACATTTCTGTGCCCGTTACTGGTTCTTTACTGGCAAGTAGTTGATCGGACTTCTGTGCCCTGCCTCAGCGAATCTATTGTTTCCCTGGGATTCAACCCCGGAATCTCTCACGCTTAACGGACTGCTAGGCAACACGTTCAAGCACTTGGCTATATGGGCGATCGAAAGAGAGAGAAGAATCTTTCCTAATTTATAAACTTTTTTACCGACTGTACTACTTGTCTTTGATTTGCAATATGTTTAAATCTTAGCTCAATCAGATCTAAACGCTGGTGCAAGTGAGAAGTTAATATGAATAAAATAATAGTTTTTATAGCAACTTATATGTCAGCGGTGTCATCTGGACCGCCAGCAAAGAATTATAAGGACCAGTGTAACTATTGTTTTGTATTCTTTTATTAAGCTACATAAGATTTAGTTAATTTTGAGGGAGCTTAATTTGGAGACAGTTATACTTAACAGAGTATATGAAATAATGCTTTTCTGTATACTTATATTATTGTTTATATGTGTATTCTGGTATAAAATACAACAATGTCTCACAATGTACTCAGGGCAAAAAGTGCTGGGTTCCAAATGCGGAGATGTTTTAGTATTTCTGGCTACGACGTAAAAAGTAACGATTAGCTACTTGATTGTAACATCCTGTAGATAGTATATAATAGTGACACATAAACTAAATTCATTTGACCCCATTCAGAGAAAATGGCGTAATAAGATTCTTGTAACTCTATTGTGGGTAGTTCTAAATATATTGAATTTTTGTCGCTACTTAGTCTGTGTTGACCCCCGCACGATGGAAAAGCATGAAGTGTACCAGGAATGGGCTGATGCGTACTCCTGCACGCGGCATAGGTGCCAACCTGGTGGGAGAAACCTGGCCATCTATACCGTTGGGTATGTAAAAGTATATACCAAGATTTTAAAGGTTGTATGGCCGGGTGCTCTGTAGCATGGTGATCATCCAGCTCTTGATGCTCTTAGCTGAACAGCAGTGGTCTAAGCCGAGGCTGTTGATGCCCTCGGGGCACTCTTCGTCAACAACAACAAACGAAAACATCTTAAACGTCTGGTTGGTTTAAAGAATACCAAGATACCGAACGCAACCTTCAGTAATAGAGCGGCACGAGAAGAAGACGAAGAAACTTATTTCTTCGTCTTCTTCTCGTGGATGTTATTTTTAGAAGGCTCTTTTCACTTTTAAAAGTTTCCGCAAATACGCAAGTAGACAGTAGGCCACTCAACCGCATTATCATCAAATTCACATAGAATAATTTACTTACGTCCGTTACTATTGTAGATGTAAACGAGTAGAAGCGCCTGAATCAGCCATTGAGTGTGAAGAAGTAGTAGAAGACACTAACATGCAGTTTCCTTACTGTTGTACAAGACTCAGGTATGTTTAGATTTGAATCTGGCCCCACAAAAATCACATCACAAGATTATAAATCGAGGCTGCTAAACGCAGAGTGGCCTAAGATATGAATACCAATAAGAAAAAATAAAAATTCGCAATTAACTTTGGGGAAAATTAATTAATTCTGTTAACATTTTCGGTCACTGTGCTCTTGTAGATTAACAATTTGAGACTATGAAAATATAAATAACTCAGTCATAAAATTGCAGTTAGGCTACTCTGCGTCTAGAAGCCTTAATTGGTGTCAAATGAAACGTAATAATAATTTTTAAGTCTCTCGTGGACACAGATATTTTTTTAAACAAGTTATATGATTATTTATCTAGGTGCCTAGTGGTGGTTCGTGGTGAAGTTTGGACTAAAGTCTTGGGTCAACCGTGGGAAAGTCTACCAGCGGCACCATGGAGCCACATGTACAAGATGAAGAAACCACCACCTATTGATGAACTTCCTAAGTAGGAATTCTTTTACGTCGTCTAAAGAAAGAAATTGAAAATCTTAATCTAAATTAGAATATTTCTTTCTCTATTACTGGTCTGTTTGGTACCCTTGGGTCACTCAGTGACTATTGTTACCCCATTGTAGCTGAATGTCTGAAGAAAAACAGACATCGAGAATAATAATGTAGAAATTTTAGTTTATAGTACCTAGCCTGTTTTGAAGGTAACATGCCATACCAGCTTAGTAAGCCGTTCGTTCCACCGATCCTTACTAAGCAGCAAGATGGGCTTAAGATCCTAAACATTTTTGTTATGTCCTAAAGTCCCTTACGTGACTTCAATTTAAAATCATACTCTACGTATTTTATTCTTTAGGAACGCTGTCCAAGGTCCAATATATGAAATCCAGACGGAACACGAAGAAAAGGTAGACAAAGTCCTTCGTGCGTCAAAGAAAACAACGGAAAGTCCAGATTGTCAAGATATGGTACCACGAGCAGCTGCATCTCCCGATATTGTGGTAAATTCCTTGGTTCTCATCCATATAAATGGATACATTTATTACTTACAGAACACAGGAATACAATAAGTTAACAAGTGACTCTTAAAAAAAGACAATCTTAGTGTTGTTTTGTATCACACGCCACTATTTAACACAATAACTTGTTTATTTTGTTTCACAATACATACAACAAAACAAAACAGAAGGCGTTTTTTTGTAATCTATAATTATTGATAGACAGAGATGCTTTTGTTCTATTTCGCGTTTATTTATTTTTTTAAGTGTAAGTAAAAAATGAATACTGTCATAAAATAATAAAAAGTGAAATCCCGTTTCCCCCTCGTGGGGCATGGGGCGAACACAATTTTGTGTTCGTTTCACTGTTCCTTTCTTTAACAGGGAAGTAGCTAATCAGACTTCTGTGCCCTGCCCGACCGAAACAATTTTTTGTTTCCCTGGGTTTCGACCCCAGGACCTTTCTCGCTTAATGCAATGGTAGGCAATGAGTTTAACCATTTGGCTACAGAGACGGTCATTCAATAATAAACATACCCAATATGTTTCAGATTGCTTTGACAACTGGAAACGATGAAAAGGAACACAAGCAAATAGAAGCTCTAAGGTAATTGCTTTATCCTAAAGAAAAAAATACTCTTTGTATCGGTACTCGTTACTTATAATTATTAAAAAAAATCATATATATTTTTTAGGCGCAAACGTCCACGTAAAAGTACGTCTAGTCCTTATTTGGACGACAACGATAAAGAACACAACTTGGAAGTTGAAGATTCTGTCAATGAAAAAGTGAGTTTCACATATTAATATTATAAATGCGAAAGTAACTCTGTATGTCTAGACTCTAGACAGACGTCTGTTACTCTTTCACGCCAAAACTACTGAACGGATTTGAACGAACTTTGGTACACAAATGGTCTAGACCCAGAGAAGGAACAAAGGTTACTTTTTATTTCGAAAAGGGGGTTGTAAGGAGTTAAAAGGGCGGGTGAATGTTTGTATGGAAATTCGCGGTTTTTGAAGCTAGAACAATGAAGCTTTCTTCTTTGGCTTTTTGGGAATAGCAGTGGGAATGGGAGTAGGAGTGGGAGTGAGAGTGGGAGTTAGAGTAGGAGTGATGTGAGGTGGGAGTGTTGGGGCAAAGTAGCACTTACAACATTGATTGGCTGCGATAAATGAGCAATTACATAAATTAATAAACAGCCTAAATAATTAATAATTCCCCAAGTCACTATTCAACGCGGACGAAGTCGCGGGCACAGCTAGTTATTAATATAACATCCATGTTATATGTATTTTGGTGTTGCTAGTACAATTGTACCTACATAATGTGAGCTTGTATGGAAAATCTGGAATTAAATAGATCAAGAATATCGAATTTGCGCCCGGATTACAAACAACTGTCCACAGATGAAAACCGTGAAGTTTGATCGCTTCGGGTCAGTGGCTTTCCGGATATCAGCTAAAATCTTGTTGTAATTTTTTCCTGTCATAAAAACGTTTTTTATTTGTATATTCGTTAATTGCAACATATACTTAGAGTACTTTGTTTTAAAATTAAAAATCTATGTAGAGATATATAAATTACCGATAGAACGGGACTACGAAGGATAGACCGGCCTCCACAGGTTTCATGGAGATATTCCAATGTTTAATTTAACTGAATGGAAAGATAAGTTTTGGTGATAATACTTATAGGTATTTTATTTAGCTACATAGTCATACTTTTAAATTCATTTTATACTTGTCTCTTTACCAGGTGCCTGCTGAATCCGATGAAAAATATTTCGACCGTGACATTGGAGTCACGCAGAAAATAGGACAAGAGGTATTTTTTTTGTCAATATATGTTCAGAACACATAATGACAAATTACTAAGAAATAACTTATTAACAAATGTTTTAGTTAAAAACAAAATATTTGAAATAACATTAGACCATAAAAAACAAATAATGATGCCATCATATAAATTAAAAATCGTTTATAGATCGAAAATAATGTACGACGTGAGCAGGATTTAAAACTAGGGTCCATTGCGTTCCGTGCTCTAACCAAGAGCAGATCGAATTCAATCTAAAATCGATTTTTAAATTATAAATATTGAAGTTAAATAATCGTAATTAACAGACGCATCAAGGATGGACGGCATTACCGCACGACCAGTGGAATGAACACGACGTTGTGGACAACACGGTAAATATCTCAAGCTCAAATAAACATTTGTTTCACAAGACAAAAAATATAACAAAATAACTGAGATAGGCATAGACATAAGCGTCGGTTTGCAGTGCAGCAGCGGTTTACAGCAAAACAGAGTTGCCACAGAATCTATACTCTTTACTAATATGTACACTTATAAAGTATATAGCTATAATGTTCGCAACACTGTATGTCTATCTTTTGAGATTAACTTGCATGAACGACGTGCCACGGCCGACGTCGTGGGTAGTAGTTTAAATATATAAAGATGAAGAGGAGAATAAACAAGAGGCAAAACAAATTTGGACGCCCAAAATATTTTTTTATGTAGACGAAGTCACTGACACAGATAGTTAATTAAAAAAAAGAATCCGTCAAAGAGAATCTATTCTCCTTCAAGGTTGTTTCTCCTCTATGAATTACAGGAACCACCTCAACTAGATAGAGATTCAGAAGACAGACCTGACAAGGCTACCGGTTTGCAGGCCTTAGTGGATGCTATCGGAAACCGAATGCGAGACATCGAAAATGTAGTGCAGAAAATGAGTGAGAAGGTCCACCAGAAAGTTGAACCGGCGTTCACCAGTTTGGAGACAAGGTAATATAAGGATACATACAGTTCAAAAGGTACCAGAAGGTCTTTTGGTATTCGACGCTACCATGTTATAGGAGGTCATAGGTTTTAAATTTAAATAAAACACTTCAACGGTTTTAAACGCGATATAACCAAACCTTATTTTGAGTTTATTTTAACTACGGCCCGACGTATCAGAAGCTTCGTAGCCCTGGTAACGGGGAGACTAAAGATGGAGGGTGTCCCTAACATCAAAGTAAAAACTGCTACGCAAGCGCCATCTGTTCCGTCGTAGTTGGTATTTGCCGAAACTCGCCAAATAAGTTTAACTAATAAGTATATATCGCGTATTAAGCCGTTAAACCGTTTCATTTTTTCAAATGTGTTATACTCGCGTAAACTACATACAGTATTTCGTTTTTGGTGTTGTGGAAAAGGGGCGTTTAGAATATTCCCATTTAATAAAAATAACAATATTTAAATTATATAATATAATAATTAAATTCTACACCAAAAAAAATAGAAAAACAGTGTGTATAGCTTATATAGCTTTGTTTTTTATTTATTAATCATAAAGAAACTGATAAAGCATATAAACGTGCTATATAACCATTAATAATTCTAACCTGTTCAATCTAGGCCACATGTAGAGGGTTCAGTATCAAAACACCACGTTGCAGGAGATCAGAAGGTGGAGTATGAGAAACAAAAGAAACCGAGCCCAGATTCGGATTATAAGCGGTAAATATAAAACTATAATAATTTTGTATGAAAGTTACGAGGTGGAGTTATAGATGGATAGATATATAAGAAGTGGCATGTTAATAGGTATGCTTAAAGCTGCATATTTCGACGTTGGTATTATGTTATAATGAATTGCTAAAATTCAACGCGAACGCAAATTGGCTCGTTCCCCACCGTGGTCAACGTTGCTAATCGATTTATTATCATTCTCAAATATTTTGGACTTTGACTGGAAATATGGATAATAGAATGGTGGTAGGAATATGGAAATTCCGTCCAGGTCACGAGTTAGTTTTGGTCTCCTGTTTCCGAAGGTCCAAAGCCAAGGTAGGTGAACCTTTTCTATCTAAAGAAAAAAAAGTTTCATCTATCAAAAAATAATGTTATGCAGTCCCCCCCCCAACCCTTAAGTAGAAGTTGGGTCTGCCCTTGGTTTTAGGCTGCTTTCGTCGCAACGTATAGACATTATTGTAACATGATATATTTAGATTGTTTTGCAGTTTCTCAGTAAAGAATCGAAGTCGGTACCTGGCTGGGAGCACGGAAACGCCTATTGAACAGCCACTATTCGTTGAGGACACTGTGGGGCAAGGCTACTTTAGCGACGCTAGTAACAGCATAATGAGAAGAATTAACCCTCCGAAGGTCAGAAATAAAAATCGATAAAATACAGATCTTCTTTTATGGAACTTTATGCTCATTTAAACTTCCCAAGAAGTCGAATTATATTATCTTAAAGGATTTTTGATGGGCTAGTTGCTCTAATGGTAGAATTGTAAGGCTTATAATCAACGATTTGTGGGTTTGATCCCCACTGCCGCCCCATCACCAAGCACCAACAACGAATCTCACCCCAGCGTCCCCAATCATCCTTCATTTCTCGTTGTATAGACTATCTTAAAGCAAATTGAACATGTTGTATAATATTGGCAGAACAAAGCCACAATACGCTATATTAGAAGTGGGATTGAGTCACGCCATGTCATTTTATTTTTAGACTAAAAATATACTATAATTGAGGCGAGAAGTGACAAGTTTATTTATCAAACCATTTTTTGCTATACAGGAACCAGCTACATACATGGCGCCTGTAGAAACTCGAAGGAAACACACGGACAGCGGAGACGATAGTGAAAAGCATAAGAAAAAACATACGCATAAGAAAAAACATGGAAAGGTATTAATTCCTATGTAAACTTTTACTAGTACTTCTTTCCACTACTTCATCTATTTTAAAAGAAAATGGCTTTTCTTTACATCTTCTGTAAGGAATACCCATCGTTGTTTATTTAGCAAACATTAAAATAAGACAGACTTGTAAAGCTTACGTTAAATATTGTCAGTTTAGGCGAGAAATACACATTTAAATAAAACACTTTTAAGTTTAAAACGCAATATATTAGTTACGAACTTACTAATGATATCTGCATCATTTCGAAGTTTGTTCAATTATCTTGAGTTCCCAATCGTACATGATTTTTATTTGATTCAAAAAAATTATAGTGTTTCAATTTTTCACACACACCCTTCACAACACGTACATTTTCCTGTACACAAAGAATGGTAGGCATAGTAATATGAGATTACATGTTAATTACTTTATGAATGAATTGTTTAATAGTGAGTAGTTTTAGTTTACTAGTATTAAAAAAAAAGTTTTGTAAGAATCGCCGAAAGTCAAATACCGGTCCACTGTTACGAAACAGATGGCGTTTTTTGAGGGGGGGGGAAAAATTTCCGGGGGTATGGGAAAAAATTTGGGAAAGAATTTTTATAAAATTAAATTATTATTGAGAGCGATATATTACTACTAGTTAGTAACTAATATATCGCGTTTTAAACCGTTAAAGTGTTTTATTTAAAGTTTGTTTTTTTTTTAGGGAAAAGGTCATCACAAACATCACGGAAAGGATGACAAGAGGAAACATTTCAACAAGCTGGCCTCAAATGAACTGGATAAAAACATTGTTTCGCTAGAAGACAGTAGCACAAATAAATAACAGTTTAATTTGATCACTTATTTTTTTAACTTCTTTATTACTATCTTTATTACTAATATTATGTACAAATGCAAAATACTATCTATAGAAATCAAAGCGTATTGCCAAGTCACAGATAAAATAAGCCACTACCACAGAGAAAAATAAATCACAATATTGTTCATTAAATGGAGAACTTATTAGATATATTCTAAAACTAATGCTTCAAAAAACTGTCTAATATATTTTTTACACACAGCATTCTAATATACAAATTGTACGACCTGGCAGTTACATAAACATAACAAGGAATATATGGTCCATATTATTATTTCACAAATAGATTTTTTGTCCATCATTTATCTTCCATGACATTCCTTAATTACTGCAAATTTTCTATTACCAGTTTGTCTGTTTTGAACATATTTCCTATGATTGTCTGTAAAAAAATTGTTATGTAACGTAAGCATTTTAATGGGGTATATAGCTTAAACTGCGTACATAGTTCAGTGGTTAAGTGTACTGCCAAACATGACACTAGTTAGTGCGGCAGGTTGAATCAACTACTTCTGTATAAAATCAATCAGAGTAATAGAGGCCAAAACATTAATGCCCAGCGCATTTCACATTTTCATATACCATAAAAACTTACAGAGAAATGATTTTATTATTAATCATCAAAATGTTGCTAAGTGAACTTTGTGGTGGAATTGGACATACATCTTTAATGATTTGTGGATCGACATTAGACCTACTAAGTGTTCTAGTGCACAGTAGGCACTCATTTTTTCAGTTTTTAAAAGATTTGAAAAAAGAAAAAGATTACCTGTCTTTTTATCATTTGTAAATTTTCCTTAGCAAATTCAATTTGTTTGTTAATAGCTTTCGCATCAGTTAAAAATTTACTCTCCCGGAATGCATCTCTGACTCTTCTTAAGGCATATGATCTAAAAAATTGATTTTAACACGTGACATATTTAAATTTTTCACACAATTTGTAAAAATGTTTTGCAAGGGTTTTTCTATTAAATTTTATGCAAATAAGTAACAAATATGGCGCAATTTTCGCCAATAAGAAAATATAATCTCAGATATTTCTCAAACATCATCATGATTTCACTCAAAAACTGTTTTACATCTTATTGTTATCGTTTTCTGTATTTAAAGAAACATTACGAGCGAAATGTTGAGGTTATATGCATTTATTTTATTGGAGAATACAAACCTAAAGTTATAATTGGGAAAATTCTGCGATTCTCTCATTAAACTCTTATACAAAGCTAGAATTTGAATTTTTGAAACACTAGAAGCCATAATTACTTTTTAATTTATCTTTTATCTAAAACAAATAAATGAAAACGAATTATTATTATGAAATGATACCGATTTTCTTTTTTTTTGTCTATATCTAACAGCTGACAACTGATGACAACTTTTAAATGTCAAATTTTACTTAAAATATTGTTGAGAATGTCAAGTAACTGTAATTAGGGGTTGGTTATATATAATTTAGTGACATCAAAAATCAATTATTTTAAATACCAGAAATGTATATTTACATCAATTCAAAAATCTTTTGCTTATTATCTAAAAGTTTCATGAATGAACCAAAATCAATATATAATATATATAACATATTCAGAAAGCAAATTGTCAAAATGACTAACGTCAAAGTCACATAAGATTCATATAACATTGACCAATTTTAGTTTGTTGTAATTAGTGATTCGTTTTGCAAGGTTTTCATTTTACGATCTCATTGATGGTTCTCTTCATAATATTTAATGTTGGAGTAAACAACTGCTCTAAAGCTTAAAAAACAAATGAAATAGAGTGAAGTTTTAAGCGATATTAAACCTACAACTGTGCAAAGTAAGTAGCCAACCTCTTCAAAACACTTCAGTTGAACGTCGCTAAATTATTAAATAATATTCACTTGGGAATATTCTGTTTATATAGAACATAGGCAAATATTTAATTTTCGTATGTTGCTATCAACGTCCGTGTTTGGGTAAAGACCTGTTTACCGATCGCTATGTTTGTCTACTTTTTTATATCAACGCATACTTTTAACGCATTACGTTTTACGGTCTATTAATTTATTGGAGTTTATGTGTTACATACGTCGTTACGTAAAATGATTAGTGAAGCCCGTATAATAAACATCCTTGAAATCCTAATTACTGTTTCATGTGGTTAGCTTTTAGCACTTTTAGTGAAAGAATACAGCTGTTCAGTCAATAAAAAATAGTAATTTTAGACTTAAAACAAAATCGATTACACTGGTTGTTAACAATTTCTGGGAAAGGATATATTCCTTTATCATTTACTGAACTGTAAAGAAACTTGAAATTGTATATTAGTATTTTATTAAAAATTACTTTTAAAAGGCTTAATCTATACAAAACTATATATTGATTAACCATTCTTTGATAGTTTTAATATATTTCAAAAAAATGAGATAGATTGAAAAAAATCCACAAGAGAGTACCTGCATCTACATTGTTCTATGCTGCTACTCAAACCTAGGGATCCTATTAAGCTACTATGTTCAGTATCATCAGACAGCAGCACAGAAATCTGTAGATGCCATTGCAAGTCTTGTATGTGCCATATTTTTAAAAATCTGAAATAGATTTTTTATGTCTACTTCCTAATTTTTATACAAGATATTTTTCAATAATAAATTATTTATTCCACGGACAATTCACAATGAAACATTAACATTGGCTTCCTTAATTTATTAAACTACTTTTAAAAAACCTTTACCTTTCATGCCAAGGTTGTTTCAACAATTTGGTATCAATACAAAAGCTTTTACTTTAATCAAATGTTTCTTGCTTCAGTTGATTTAACTGTTTATATGCCTGTTATAAAGTAAACGTCTGTGTCGCTTTAAAAAATATCTAAATTCAATTTTTCTTACCAATTATTGTACTTTCTACATACAATTTAGGTGGCATACTTATCACCTGTTAACTCATACAGATATATAGCAAGATTCGTGTTTATTATATTGGGGTTTAAGTTATGCAAAGGTGAAACAATTAAGTATAGTAAAGATAAATTGTGAAACTTAAAGTACATTGAAAAATACATAGAAGTTTTGTTGCTACTAACTGCTTTCATGGTCTTGGTTCTAATAATTATTTCACTAGTTTACAGACTACTGTCCAGGACTTGAATTCCCACATCAGGCCAAGTGTTATGACAGTATAGAACGTTAAAAAAATTTTTTTAGCACCAAACACTATAGTGGTATCATCACCCCTTGCCTTCCATTATCGCTAATTATGTTGACAGTACTTGTTAAAGCCCACCAGATGTCAAAGGAACAGTGCAGTGGGTTTACTCTCTTAAACCTTTGGTTGTATAGGAGAGTAAACTCAGACATGAGACAATAGGTTTAGAAAAGCCATATTATTCTATTATATTCATCTGTTTGAATTGAAAGCTATATCCATACAAGTTAGCAACACTTTTCGTTCTACTCTACAGTCATTAGCATAATTATTATTTAAATAATAATTGTTATGATAATTAGGTTCATGATCGAATTTGAATAACAAAAAGTATTCTAATTCTATTCTAATTTACGTCCTGTAATGTATTAGTATAGTGTTTCTTTATCGACGACTTTTTAGAATAAAAACTCAAGGTATTTAATCTATTTTTATTATAATCTGTTGTGTGTATCTGTAGCTCAGGGGATGCACAGACTTTTTAAGACTAGGGGCCACTCGCGAAAATCATGAACTGATGACGGGCTGTTAGTTGTATAGATAATTAAAGACAATATAGAATTTTAGGTAATACCCTACGGTATAGGTTTTTTAAACATTGTTGCTGTTAGGGACATTGGGATTTCAGTTTAATGTAAAAGCTGAGTTTGTTTATGTTCTATACATAGACGATTGTATTAGGACTCTTTTTTACAGCCCATTACAATACTCAAGAAGAGCGTACCATAATGTTTTAAAAAGCTAAGAAATAAACTACAAAACCCTAATTATCAATAAATAAACTATCGCATATTTGGTTTGTCAACTTTCTGTTATTTAAAATCCAACCCAAGACTAGTATTCATCACACAATGAGCGTTTGAGACAGTCGTAACTATTTTCAATTCCATTAATGTATAACGCTTGCAAAGCTACAGATTATACAAGAATTACAATAGCCATTGTTTTGTGTAACCTTATTTCTTCATTGATTCTTATAATACCTTTTCTCGTGCCAAGGCTATATATGTGTGTCTGTATGTGGTGAAAATAAAGATTTAAAAAAATATTATCATCTCCTTTAACGTTACCTCATACGTATTACTAATGGTAAATGATAATGTAGCAGTTATGCAAGCATAACCGCGGTCCTAGTCGTGTAAAAATACCGCATTATAGACGCGTTACTTATAATCGTGTGTCGTCATTTCTAAGAAATACAAAACATTGTACTAAAACCAGAGACATTTGAATTCCTCGAAATCAACGTAAAAATAAATGGTAATCAACAGAAATGTCATGCATATCACCAGAAGACATCAAAGATATACATATACATACCTAACTGTGCCCGTGACTTCGTCCGCGTCGAATAGATTTTTTTCGTATCTTTTAGTTTAATTTTGCAAACATTACATAAATTATAGCTGTCCCACAACTTTCTTGCGTGTTAACCCGAAAAGAGAAATCATTGTTTTATACATATTTTTTTGGTTTCTTGAACCGTTTTCGCAGCATATGCAACGGAGGCCCTAAAAGTTAAATGGTATTCATTTTAGACAAACAAACTTCTTAGCTTTAAAATATTAGTATAGATTTACTTAAACTTGAAATGCAAAAACAAAAAAGATTATTGTATACACAAGACAAAACGGAAAATTATTCTACATTATGGGTTTCCGAGGCGTACGCTGCAAGAACGGTTCAAGATACCCAAAAAATATGTATAAAAACGTATCGTTTTCAAATTATCTAAAAAAAGGCCGCAACGCTATATATCTATCTTATAATATTGACTTGCATGAACGACGGGAAGGGACCCGGCCGACGTCATGGGTAACACGAAATATCGAGTTACATTTCTTTCGTTTATTGTATTAGTATACTATTTGAAGGACATATTCAAGCTAAATAAATAAAAGAAACCTTAGGACACGCGTTTGCTAGTGGTTTGCGGTTAGATGTTCGTGTCTATGTGTATTTTAAATTTAATATAGCAGAATTAAAACTATTTAACGAACATGGTTAAACAAAACATCTGTATTTATTTTCCAATGTTACGTTGTTATAGAAATGTTTACGAATGTCAGCTACGAGCTATCTAAATTCTTACTTAAAAATCTAAAATAAAATTAAAAAATTTCGACTCGGGCAGTACTTGAACCTGCATCGTCAGCGTCCCGGGTTGCTCTACCAATTGAGCTACCGAATTTTTAACCTGTGCACATAAATGCACCTCTTGTCACAATAATGTCATTTTGCATCACTTGAAGATGGTATCTGCTTCTTTTTTCTTTGTTAACTATTTTAATTGCTATCCGATTATAGTACACTAGTTGTGTTCGCAACTTCGTCTGCGTGGAACAGTCGTTTTATTTAATTTTGCAAACAAAACCACCATTATAAATTATAGCTATTATCATCTACGTCCTGTCGCCACGTTCTTCCGAGTTAATGATTAAAGATTATTTAAAAAAACATCATTCCTTCCTACATATTTTTTTTAGTTTCTTGAACGAAAACCATCAAACATATAAAGATATTTTTACCCGTTTTTCCTTGATATACAGTCTATCCAACGCAAAAACAATTTCAATTCGAACCAGTTGTTCCTGAGATCGTTCAATCAAACAAACAAAAAATCTATTTCTTTGGCTGCGTTATTGCTTGCATAAAAGAAGACCATTTTTCCAGCATTGATGGCCCGAGATGACACACAGCAATGGGACGATGATGAATGTCAATATTCAAGTAGAGATAGCGATGACAGTCCATTATTGTCGTACAGGTGAGATTTCCAAGTTATTGTATTTGTTTTTACTTCAATTATGTTTTGTTTGCTGTATGATGTACGTAACTGTTTATTTTTTACTTATTTTTTTATTGACAAGCACTTCACTTGTTGGAAGTTGAAATCGCCGAGCCAAATATTAAAATAAGACACTATAACGGTTTAAAACGCGATATATATTAGTTAAACTGATTTAAAAATATTTTAACCTCGGCCCGACATTTCGGTTGCTTTGCAGCCGTGGTCACGGGAAGACAAGCCAAATATCTCAAATGCGCTGTCGGCCTTTGTTGATTTGGCTTTTACATTTGACATTCGTTGTGGTTCGTGACTAGGACAATATTTAAATTTTATTAATTCGATCCAGATATCCATATCCACATTTTACAGACGAAGTAAATGCGTTTCAGATATATACATAGATTTTTCGGACCTGGTGGTAATTGAACTCGCGACCCATAAATACTAGCCATATATTGCTACCGTAAGCCCGATGAACCCGATATGTCGAAATCTAATGAAAAAAATAAAGTTTTATCTCGAGCATCCTTTGTTGTCTAGTAGAGTAATAATGCGTATGCGCAAGGTTTTTGTACCAAAATGGCAGTTTACCCTTACAGGAGTCCGTATATTTTTATTATTTATAGAACTAGTACTTACTATTTCCACATAAACAATTACGTTTCAGACATGACAGGAGTCGTAGATACGCCCCATATAGCCGGGAAATTAAGCCGGAGAGAGAAAGGCGGTGGCCGGTGACGGTCATAGCGAAGTTCTCGCTCTTTAGTACAGCTATGATATTATTCTGTGTTTTATTGTATATACCTGTTTATAATAAGGCCAACGACCAGATGCCAAAAGGTAAGTCCGTCATATTTACCTAACTATATCGAAAGCGGAGGTAACTTTTAAACAATGCATACAAAATATTGGTTACCTTCAGTTGAATTCCATTGTTCCTTTCGCGATAAACTTTATTAATATTCGTAACCCAATTTCGACGTCGGAAGTTTGGAATATAGCTACAAATTTTTAAATTGTACGTCAAATGTTTAATAAAGGTCATTATATGTTTTTCAATGTTACAGTTGCCGTAGCAGGCTGGTCTGTACACACTAACAGGGATACCAAAATATACGTCCAACCGGACAACGTCACAACCGTACACGAACCGAAAGACGTCTGTCCCAAAAACAAAACTAACAAGAATCTCTTCCTGCTTATAGTGGTTTGTTCGTCTACCCTCAATTTCGAACGGCGTATAGCTATCCGGGAAACATGGGGAAACAATCGTAATTATCAAGAGTCAGCGAAGATCTACCACGCGGCTCACGAGAAATACAAACATTACAACTACAGCTACGATCTGTACAGCGATACGAATTCTACCGTATTTGAGAGGAGAAGACGGGATATAACCAGTTTCAACCAGATTCTACCGGAATTGGCTAAAGTACTACAAGAGACCGTAACCGAGGAACTGGCTGAGAAACGCTTCGAAGACGAAAGCGATGAGAAGATGCTGCCAGAGTTTGATATGAATAAAGAAATCGGGGACAATGAAATAGATTATGATTACGAATCAAATATAATGAAGATACCGCCAAAAGGTTATGAAGACAACGTAGAGCTAGATAAGGTTATAGCAAAATTGAAACAAGTTAATTATGCGAAAGAAGTTTCGCCGAATCCTACCATTGCAGTGGATTTTAAAGTGGTCTTCTTGTTGGGGCTGCCATCCCACGATAATAGTAGTGAGGTACAGGACAGAATAGATGAGGAGGTGGAGAAATATGGTGACGTGATACAAGAAGGGTTTATCGATTCTTATAATAATTTGACGTTGAAATCTATAATGATGCTGAAGTGGGTTACGAATAATTGTAATGACAGTGGTATGTATCTTTGAGTGTATAGAAAAAATACATCTAACTAGGTATTATTTGCTGATCTTAGATATAATTTGATCTGATGTTTTAGCAACATATTTCCATACTAAAAACTCATCTCCAAATCTTTCCTCACAAACACAAATGAACCCATTTCACTGAACTATTTTATAAACATTAATGTTGATCAGAATTCTTTGCTATCAGAGCGAAAGAATCCGGGCTTCGAACCTGGGACATTGCTTCTAATTTTTTTATTATTATAAAGGAGGCCATACAAAGTAGGGTTTAGTTGATGAAAGATGAAATACTCCGGCCATATAATATGTTAACGTATGCCGTTTTACCTTTAAACCTAATACAGCCATATTTTTGTGTCAATTTCGCTAAGTTACAAAACAAATACTGTTTACTTGAGCTACTTGGTTTTCGAACTATTAAGCATAGGTAAGCCGCAATGAAGACTTCAATATTAATATTGTAAATAAGAAAGCAACTCTGTCGGCTTGTCTGTCCGGCTTTAACACAGAAACTACTGAACCGATTAAAATTAAATTTGGCACGAATATACAGTACGTACTAGTTACTTTTTAATCCCAAAAAGGGTAAGGGGTAGAGGGAGATGAAAGTTTGATAGAAATTTGCACGATTCCACGCGGACGAAGTCGCGGGCACAGTTAGTATTTTATAAATCAGACCTATTTCTAACCAAAGGTCGATACGCTCTTGTTTACATGTTATATAGTTTGGTGTTGATTTTTTTCTTTCTTCAGTCCGGTACATCTTAAAAACAGATGACGACATGTACATAAACGTCCCCTATTTAGTGGACAACTTAAGGAATCGATCCAGAATTCACGATGCAACTTATCCAATGGAAAAGGAATATTTGCTGATCGGCGATCTTATCTGTGGAGCTCGGCCAGTCCTCGATTCCAATAATAAATGGTAAATTTTATAAACCTGATTTATAGAAGTATAGTTGTTTGCTAAATTGAACAAAAAACATTCGTAGTTTTGCATATTTTTAATTTAAACGGTTTAAAACGCGTTATATTAGTTAATACTATTCTAACTACGTCTTCTCCTGACCACGGCTGCTGCAAAGCATCCAAAACGTTGGGCCGTAAAATTAATGTGTAAATAATATCAAGAATATGTCAAAGTCTTTTATTTAATGTAACTACTCTTGTAAACTACAGACAGTATTTAATTTTTCTTCTTCAAATTATTTCACTGTGTTGTAAGATATGATCGTAGTATAAGGGAATATGCGCATGCGATTTTTCACCGATCACTGCGCTCTTATCAATTAATACTTTATAAGCGCCTTCTCAAAATCTTTGGATTCAAAAAAATATATTTATGAAAAACAATATGGTTCTAGGTCAAAATGTAGTACTCTATCGGCTATTATTGATATTGTAACTATATGAAACTTAAATTAATTTAAACTTTTTACTTTTTAATTATTTTGTAAAAAAGTTGCCATTGGCGTATTCATAGATCTAAAAATAGCTTTTGATACTGTGAGTCAAAAAATTATAATTGTAAATTATGTAATGTACAATATTGTGTTTACGCTTAAGTGAAAATATATTTCTTGCGTGAATAATTAATGTCTTAAACCATATATTTCTAGGTACAGCCCACGCTACATGTACGGAGGCCGGGTGTATCCGCGCTATTTGTCTGGCACCGGGTACGTGTTGAGTGGACATACTGCGCATGCGCTCTACCGAGCTGCGCTTAACACGCACTACTTCCACTTGGAGGATATATACATAACAGGTAGACTTATATTTTTATTGATATTATTATGATAGAGGAGGGTAGACAAACATGGGCTCCACTTCATGGATGTAGTGAGTACGTTTTAATTACCATTACCTAAGGTAATGAAATACCTAAGCCATATAATATCAAAAAAGGTGTGCTGTCACCTATTGTAGCTTTGGATTCCGTGCCCCATAGAAGGAATCCATTATTTTCCCGAGATTGGAACGCAGGACATTTAACGCTTAACGCAACTTAAAGCAACGTCCAACCATAAAATAGTAGCCTCTATAGTGTATTTTTTCTAACTTCTAAACGTCATTCTTGGTAAACATACACATAATTTGCATGAAATCGTGATATTCCCACAAGGTTATGAATTTCCAAAAAAAAAACTTTGAAACACTGGATTATAAAACTAATGATGAAACTACCTCAAATTCACATATTAAAAACGACAGCTTCATGCTAAATTAATGAATTCCAAAAATAAGTTACGTAAATGGACAGATTAAAATTTTATATAGTTTGACATCGGCAAAGTCAAAGACAATAGAAGGAGAAAAAATCCCACTCATGCACGCAATGATTAAATAATTATGACGCGAAAAATTAAATAAAAACGTCTTAATAAAATCGATATCGAATATTGAAGTCGTTTAATCCACATATTACGATGTTTCTTTATCCCTGTGTCATTTGTGCAATGACTACACTCGAAAAAAGGGCATCACTTATCTATGGTTAGAAATCGACCATATTTGTTTGTATTTTACCAAGTTAGAAAAATAGACTATAGATATTTATTTGTAATTTTTTACAGGCATGTGCTCGCTACGAGCTAATCCACGTATAACGCCGCGCGACGACCCCGGCTTCTCGTACAACGGGAACGCAGGCGCGTGCGCAGTCCACGCACGGCTGAGCGCGCACCGAGTACCACCGCCAAACATGAGGCGGGTTGCACGACTGCTGCTCAATGATAAATATGTTGATAAGTTAGTACTGTCTTTATTATATTAATCTAGGAGGTTCCTTTTCTATAATAATAAAGCAATTTGTATTACTTCTGATATACAGGATGTAAATGGAAAAGTTTTGCAAACTTATAAGCTGTTCACAAAACGTATTGTGGGCGCTTAGGTCATAATGCTACTTGGCTGTACGCTGTACATTTCATACTCGTATTATAAACTTTGAAAAAAAATCTGGAAATAAATTAAAATAAATAGCATCATATATCACCTTTTAGCCCCTAATATATGGCTTCATAAGGTTTCAGAACTGTTCCATTTCCACCCTGTAAAACACAATAAACGATTTTTTTGAGATTAGCGCGCTCAAACAAATAAACAACTTTATAATATTATTATCTATACTAATATATGTATAGCTAAAGAATTTGTGTCGACGTCGTGGGTGACAGCATAAGTTTATAAAGATGAAGGGGTTTGCAAAACGAATTTGGATGCCCAAAATAGCGATTCTCTCGACTTTTCGACGGTGTGCATTGTATTTACAGATAACTGTTCTGTTTCAGATGCGAACGTTTACGCCTCACCCAGGTAAGGAAAGACCGCCTTAAACCCAAACATCCGACGAAAAAGATACCCAAAGTCAGTCTGAACTTTATTTAGCATCAGAGCTGTGCATAGCTCTTGTAAGAGTTTACAAGAGCTATGCATCCATTGTTATGGAGGCACGGGCTACAATCGTTTGATTGTCTTAACCTAGTCCAAAATGTAAGAAATATAGAACTAATGAAGCAACTGCACCATGTACATTGCAACATAAAAAAACAATTAATCTACTCAAATACTGTCTGTAGTTTACGCGAGTGGTACAGATTTGGATAAAACCCTTTTTTAACGGTTCAAAACGCAAAATGTATCAGTTATTTACAAATGATTTAACTGCGGCATACAACATCCGTAATTGAAATTATTTATAAATAAATTGACTAATATTTTTCGGGTTTTAAACCGTTAAAAGAGTTCTATTTTAATGATAAATTCATTCACTTCACAATCATTTCACAATACAAAAATCGAAAATAATATCTCGTTCTAAAATTTAGTCAATAAACGAAAACTGTTTGGTTACTTTATCAAGCCCGCGTGTTTATATAAAACACTTCAACCGTTTAAAACGCGAAACATATAAGTATCTAAATTTTATTTTAATTACGGCCCGACGTTTGGATTTATGCTTGGCACCGTTCTCCCCCCCCCCCCCCGCAGTAATGGCCAAAATTGTGAATGAGCAACGAAAAATATAATTAACTTATTGAAAAATAATTTTAACTACGTATACTGCATGCCGTTTTGTTGTTGTTTTAAACCGTTAAAAGTTTTCAATTTAAACATTTACTACTTGCGTAAACTACAGACTCGCTCCCAAGAATGTTTGATCCCATGAGTTTCGTTGAGTTAACACTTTAATCAATATGTTTGGACATTAAAAGTTTTTTAAATAATGGGTTCGGTTCCCACTGCTGGGCATTTTTGGTTGCACAGAAAATAATGTTTTTTTAAATATTTCTAATATTTCTGGTGTAAACCACCAAGAAGGCACAAAAAATTTTTGTAGCAATTTTACATGATTTTAAACGGTCAAACGTCGCCGTGCCTCTGAAACTGTCAAATTTAAGGAAAAATAGACTTTATTGTGATAGCGATAAATCTCATTATACCATAGAATCTCAATATACGACTTAAAGTCGAATAGATTAAGATAACTAACAATTCTCTTCAGAACTTATTAAATATATTTTTTAATACGTTTTGAAAGAAGATGTATGGCATGTATAAACTAAACACATCCTTGCTTAACATGTAATAATGGAAACAATGATTGATGAACTCGTTCAACGGGTCGTGGATTCGATCCCCACCGTCCAACATGTGTCTAATCAAATTTATCAATTTTCTGAATCATGTTGGACGTTTGGAAATCTGGATATTAAATCGGTGGTAGGAATATCGAAATTCTGTCCGGGCCTCGAAGCACCGTTCACAGATGGAAGCCGTGAAGTTCGATCGCGTTTCGCTTTCAGTCTGTGTATTTCCGAATATCCAAAGCCAAAATAGGTCAACAACACATCATGTGAGATGTTATATGAAGTATTTCACCTACCATCAAGTGAATGCTGTAATGTATCGTAAAAACACTTTATTAAAATTAAATAGATGTTTACATATTTTTCTATTAAAAAATAATATGAGAACAAAAAGTTTTTGGTCGTGTCCGACACGATATAGAAGAATTCTCTATAGCCTTAGTACAAGTTATGAAATTTGAATCGCCATAAAGATGTATTTATTTAAATATAATTATAATAACACGCTTTTTATTAAAAGTACATGTTACTGTAATCGTTAATATTGGATATTTATTTGTCGCTTTCAGGTTTTCTTAGTTTTCTAGTCCACGTTTATACTTAGTAATTAAATTATTTATTAATTATTATTAAATATTTTTAATGTACAAGGGTTTTGTGGTGTCGGTTTGGTTTTATGCTTCTAATGTAATAGAACGGTGCCAATTTAATTTAAGTACCTACATTAAGATTGATTTTGGAACTAACTTATCTTAAATTTAAATTAAGTAACCATAGATCTGAAGACGTTGTTTTTAAACAATATGCCTTTATTGATATTTTACGAATCTCATCAATGTCTTGTTAAATTCCTGTATGTTACAACGAGGTGAAGTTTTTAACTGTAATTTGATCTTGTAATTTTTAAATGTACACGTCCCGTGTTTGCTAATGCGATGGAAGTTCTTTATAATATGACCCCATGCATTCTGTCCTCCTTTATTATTAAATTATGCATTGTAAATAAGGCCATTGGTTCTATTACCTATGTCAACAGTATCTTACCAAGAAGAACAAGTGAAAATCGCCATGCTATTATTTTACTGTGACGTCATCAAACGTATGACCTAACGCATTAGCAACCGGCACGTGTTATATGTATGTACATAAACGTAGAATAGGACTAACATAGTTTTAAATATGGTGTGATATCATTTCCTTCCACTAATGGACAAGGAGTAATGGGTGCCTTGAAATATAGTTATTTATTTGGAGTCCATTGGACGCGGATCGTTATTGTATCGGATAGTGTATGCTTTCTTTCTTGCCTATCGAATGTTTTTAGCAAGATTAGACAATATGGAATGAGAGACACGGATCTTGGCGTATGACTTTTCACGTTGTTGGAGATTTACGAAGGGTCGTCGCTTAGAGTTTATTTCGTCGTTCTTAGATCGATTTAGGTGATGTTAAGAGTCCACAATTAACAGTTCGCAAATTTAGTACTCGTATAACATATTTATTACTACAACGTAATATAGATAAAGTGTGAGAGTTAAATTTTGTGTATAGATATCTATTTTTATTGATAGACTAAAACTACCACTAATAACGATGGATAGATTATTTAAAATCATCCCAAATGAAAAATCCTACGATGACCAAAAATTCGCATTATGACTAATACTCGCTTCGATGTCGTGTCAAGGAGACGCTAAGATTCGTGTCCCTTACTTAGTTTCAAAACTTGTCAACATATCTAGCGGGTGATGGCTGTCTGTTGTAAATGGGTAAAAAATCCTAGATTGAAGCATGATTTGCCCAATTATATTAGTTCACATTACCTAAGAGCGTAGAACTTTTAATTATTAGGACTAACGCCATATACGTAGCATATGTTTTATTCAAACACCTATTGGCAACTTGGAAGTAAATAGGAATGTTTCAACGCCAAATGAAGTGACGCTGTCATGTTGTAACGACAGATGGCGTGACGCTATCATGCTGTAACGGCAATGACGTGACGACAGTTGTGGCTATTATGTTGGCATTCTAATGTTACAAATGCCGAGTTGTCTGTGCCGATGTTAACTTAAGTTTTAACAAATATATATTTGATAGTATTGACTAATTAATGCTTACCAGGTACAGTTATAGATTCAATACGAATTGTGATATGCTAGCCGAAGTTCCATAACCAGATATCGAAATCAAATATTGTCAAACGTAATCGTCTATTTATAATTTTTTTATTTCAATTTTGTTTTCTCCGCCTTTCCAGATAAAAAAACATCAGGAATCAAGAATTTACGTTATGTACAAGTACCTGAGGTTGGTCGTTGGAACCCATTGTTAAGGCGTGTACCCTAGATGTTTTGTATCGTTAAGGTATACTCGGTCTGCATGATTCATTTGACCTTAATATAACTCGGTCAAGGACGGTTTAAATGATACAGTATTAACCCTAAGATAATTACGGGAATCCATCTTTTTTTAGCATGAAAAAATACCCGTGCCATGAGTTTTGCTTTTGGAGATCTTCAAAGCATACAAAAAATCTGTACAAAGCGAAAAAACAAGACACATAAACAGTTAGAATTAAAATTAATGTGCTTTCGGATTCATTTTGGCCGTAATAAACCAATAGAATCACATGGTTGATATAAACAGTTCCTAATTTATCCGCAAGAGGCGCTGTCTCTCTTTTTTAAATTTCATATTTCCAGCTTGTAAAACTCATAGTTAAAACGGTTTGGTGCAATAACGCAGCATGTTGTGAGCTTTTATAAAGGTTATATTTTGACTGATTTTTTTCGTAATATTTAAAACATTTTGAATACTCGAGTGCATAACTAAACTTATATTTAAAAGCAAGGAGGACGGTATTTCTTTTTTTTAATGCTTACGTTTTGAAGGGTTCCAAAGTATTAAAGTTATTTGGAAAGCGTTTATATTGGTTGTATTAAAGGTATTCTAATGAAATTTTAAACTATTTAGATATATTTAATTTGATAGATATGTACGGGGTTGTGTTATAAATCCTTTTATTGCTCAAAGCCTTTTACAGGCAGTGTTAATTGTCTCTTATTTTAGGCAGATATAATTTAACCTTTTCAAGTCTTCCTTCATATGAAATACGTAAGAACGCATTTCGTGATTATTTTTTATACTTACTAGAGACCAGTAACAAATGGTATTTTACCCACCTTTTCTTACGTAAGATTAAGATTACGATGTCCTTACAGTGAAAATAATGTAAAATGTACGATAATTGACACAAAAAACAAGCTAAATGTCTGTTTTTTATCTTTTAGTTCTTTGAATATGTTCGAAAAGGTGCAATTTGAAATAATACGTTTGACAACATTTGATTGAGATTATTAAACTTACATTTTATTCACGTTAAACGTTGCAAATATTTGTCACAATATAGATTTTCTTCAATATTTACTACATACGTACTCAGTATGTCTCTAAAGATGTTTTAATAACATAATGAAATTACAATGCCCTAATGCCAAAAGGTACCTACAAAATATATATAAAAAATGACGGTAGTTTAAGTATTCTTTCCTTTTTGGACATAAAATCACATTTTGATGTATGACAATAGATTATATAAAAAATATGAGTCAACAATGAAAAAAAGAATTCGATTCGCATTGATTTGGTTGTCCAATCCTTGAATTGCAGTACACAATATTGTTTTAGAGAATGGCACTGGGGCGCTGTTTTTACGATCTTAACACAAACAGTTCGAAGTCCAATGCCCCAGGAAGCTTTAAAGTTGCTTTTTTGTCGATAATGCTTGGATTTCTTTTAACTATGCTTAAGAATTGTAAAAAAAAACAACTTTATAATCCTACTACGGTTCCAAATCAATGGATTCATATATCATCAATAACGTGCTAGTCACAGTATTTATGAAATTTTCGAGAATCTCTCATCAATCTCAAATCATATTCCTTAATATTTAATAAAAAGGGACGGAGATGAAAACTTGTAAGATCGTGACCGTTAAATATTTTTATTTCAAATGACTACTTTTATGAAGCTAGTAACGTAGAAATTATCTCCATAGGTTTTCGTTTCCGTTCAAAAGATTATATACTTATACAAATCGCCTTAAAATATAGCGTAGATGGATCAGAATGTTACAAATATATATGACAAATTCGATATTTTTATGTTGTTAAACAACATAGTTTAATTATAGCACTTCGTGAGGTTAGTGTTTTTGGCGAAACTTCAAATCATTTCTAATGAGCTTTTTCAATTTTAATTTTTAGTTTTAGTTTTACGCCTTTAAAATTGTAATATAAAGCAATACAAACGAGTGTTATACTGAGTATTTCTATTTGATTTTATTTAAATCAATTCGCTAAATGTAATTTTTATAGGTTGTTGTATTGTTTTGTAGCGGCGTCGAAACGGTAAGAATGAATTATTTCTCATTATTATTATAGCTAAATATTAGCTTTGCCTTAAACCCGTAACGCTTAGTATTCCGATATTATTGTGATGATTTTTTATAATAAAATTATGAAATCAATCAATCTTTTAATTTTCCGTAAATTGTTTTTACACAGTTTTAATTTGAACAGTTGGTTTTCAAGTTAGATTATCATTTTCATATAAAACTTACGCTCTTTATATGACAACAAAAAAGTAATCGTATAGAATTATCGATTATTTTTGGATATTGATCAAAATCGTTGATTGAAAAAGAAGAATTATTTGTTGAATAGGCTTGATTCAACGTGAACTATTACAGTCGTAATCCTAATCCGTTTAAAACCCAAAAACATTTTTGTAAGAGTTTTAGGTTCTTTAATTTGGATTTGAAACCGCTTTGACAGATGGTAATTAAGCAAACATCATTCCAATCTCACGAGGGTAAGTAAAATATATTGTTAGAAAAATGAAATATCTTTATTTATATATGTTAAAAATCATAGGATTCACAAAACTTCTAGACACAAGTGGTATCTTGGCAACTCGTGCGCAGTCGCTATTCACCAAAACGAGTTAATAGGGAGTGACGCCCATTCGTCATTTTCTTGTCAATGCTATCTTAACTCATTTTGGTGATTTATTTTTAACTTACCCATCTTGTTTTTTGACTGCACTAAAAGTTTTGCTTTCTGATATTATCCTACTGTTAAAATGACATGGTGATTTTAGTATTGTTTTAATTTTCGTTTCGCATCGTGACTTATACAAAATATATGCTTTTAACACCCAAAATCACAAATATACGAGTTAATGTAGTTAAGCATTAGACGTTTCGCCCTGTAGTGGAATGTTTCTCGTTCGTATATGTTCAGTAGTGTCAAATCTCTGGATAAGAAGTTTGCAGTCTTAACATCTGTAAATATCAAACATTTTATATTCATATTTTTGTCTGTAATTACTTATATATTGGCATTCTTCCCTGAACATAAATAAGAGTTGGTTTTTTATACTAATCAAATAAGGATCGAATCTAGACAAAAAGAACATTAATACAATAAATAAACCGATTGAATAAAAGGGATATGCCCCCAAATAAGGGAAAAGATATGTTAATTCTTAGAGTGTTGGTAGAATTGTTTTGCCTAGTTTGAAATTGTATAGTATTTAAGTGTATGTATACCATTAGGATTAATTTTGAAGATGGGCAGCGCTGTCACGTCAGCAAATGTGTACGCAGAACACACATCCATCGCGTTTGCGTGAGGCAGGTTCATTGTTAGACGAATGAGAGCTAAGATTTTGGATAAAAATAAACTATTACCATTGCATTATTAAGGATAAGAAAAGATATGAGGCCGTTAGAGGCAAAGTAGCGTAACTGCAATTTTACAACTTGACTTATTTATATTTTTATAGTCTAGAAATGTTAATCTACCTGAGCACAGTGACCAAAAATTGTTAAGGTAATACACATATTTTGCCACTTGCCTCTAGCAGCATCATATGGCGTCGTTTATTTCAAACATAAACTAAATATATTTTAGATTTTTCCTATCAAATCGCAATTATCTTAAAATAGAGCGTAGGGCCTAGATATATCTAGGCTGAGACATTTTACATTCCTTAACTTGAAACTTATGCTTGTCTTTATTTTTGAAAATGTTAACTTACGGTACGTTCCCTGATATTTGTAGTCAAAATAAGTGTCTTCGCGTAAAGAGAAATGTTGTATAAGAGTTCTGGTCGACTCAAACTCCAGCATGGGACAATCGATAGCAAATACGAGGACATCTGATTGGACGTTGTAGCTAAAACAAAAACAGCATGGTTAAGCGAAAAACTAACAAAAAACATTAACAGTTAATATTTTGTGAGTTATTTTAAATATTTTGTCTGTCTATGGCCTGAAATGGCAGCTATAGAAACAAATGTTGCTACTGTTGCTTTAACAAGTTGTCCGTCTGTCTATAGTTTACGCGAGCAGTACACATTTAAATAAAATACCAACGGTTTAAAACGCGATATATTAGTTAAACTTATTTAAATAATATTTTTTAACTTCGGCCCGATGTTTCGGATGCTTTGCAGCAGTCGTGGTCACGGGGTGTCTCCCCGTAAACTCTCACCATTTTTAAGTAAGTTTAACTAATATACCGCGTTTCAAACCGTTAAAGTGTTTTATTTCAAAGTGGTCCGTCCGTCCGTCTTTATACTTACAAAAATTCAGATACAGAGCATCTGTTTTGATTACGAATTTTCAAGTTCCTGTCAATATAAGTCGCGTTGAAGTATGGCGTGTGAAAGGGGAATACAGGGATAGTGTATTCGAAAGGAATCGAACCACGGACGTTGGGATTGCATCGAGAATTCGACTGGAAGTTCTGGCGAAGGCAATGGGTGTGTGAGAATTGACACGGTCGCACGATGTTTGACGGACCTAGAACAATTAATATAGTTCTTAGTTTATAGTGTATCACGCTTTACCCTCAAATAACTTATTTAACACATTTTTTTAATCTAAATTTATTTTGGCAGTGAAATTTTGAGGAATAGTAGCTATATAACACGAAAAAAAAATTCATAATAAACCACTTTTGTGATAGTTCTTTATGAATGTTTATGTGTATAAAGTGTACTATAGTTAATTAATAATACTTACCAGCATAACACCCTGCAATGACTGCAAGGAAAAATAGTGCTTTCATCATTTTGGCAAACATTCGCTCCACGCACACAACGAACTACTGCAAATTTATCACTAAAGAAAACACAGAAAAACTAATATAATAATTCATTACACATCTATTGTTTTCTAGAAACTCATGTTTGTACAGCTGAGCAAATTCTCATTGACGCCATGTTTTTGTTATATTAACGATTTCTAGTTATATTCAAAATATTTTCTTTTATTTCGTATACCTTTTGAGCTTTATCTACGAAAACCTTATTTATAAAAGGACGCATTATTATGATGCAAACTAAACATTAATCCCCCCCCTGTTTGGACGTGGCAGTGGCACTATAGGTTGGCACGTCGGAAAAAAAGCCCGGGGGCCCCAGCCCCGAGGGGCCCCCGGTAGTCTCAATTGTTGGTTCAGGTGCTTTATATATTGGGGAAGTGTGAGGGCCCATTCGTGAATTTGCCACGGGCCTCGAACGGTATAGTTACGCCACTGACGTGGGTAGTTTAATTTTTACGGTAGTCTATAGCTTGACAACCCCAAAAGGAGCAGCGTGCCAAAACAATAGAAAACAAAATACGTATAGCAGAAACAACAAAATGGAGATTGGTCATTACATTTTTGTTCCAAGCAATAACTAAACTAATATTGTCGATTTTTTGTTTTCCGCTAATATTATTAAATACCCATTCTATACATATATATGATTGTATGTACTTTTAAAAACATAGGTTAAACTTAGGCCGCTATAGGCAGAGTAACCTAACTGCAATTTTGTGACTGTTTTTATATTTTTATAGTCTAAAAATGTTACATTTTTACTCATATGATAGTACCTATTCATTTTCGCCTAAATTAATTGCGCATTTTTATTTCCCCCTTTATTGAAAATCATGTTTCTTGTTATTAGGCCACTCTGCCCCTAGCAGCCTCAATTCTGCTTGCAAAATCTATATCGAAAATGTCCTGATCTTGTTAAAGTATTTCAAAAAGAATACACGCCGTGACTTAAAAATCGTTTTATTCATAACTATAGTACATTAATATAATAATAATCAATTAAATACAGTTAAGAATATTCGACACAGCATCGCACACGAAACAAGCTAACATTATTAAATGCATTACATTATATAACTTGTAATATACACAACACTGGGTACAGATAAACCATTGTCGGGATCCATAATTATAATATTACAAGAGTGAAATCGACAATTCAAAATTTTATTTCGATATTACCTTCGTCCAATCTATTGATATAAATACAATATTGAAATTAGGGTGTTCCTCCAAGCCTCCTCCTTCGTTCATACAATCTGCTAAAATTTAATGTCGAATATTTAATATTTATTGATTTGCGAAGGTAACTGCTATCTCAACAGTAAACAACGACGACCTTTTAACAGTTAAAATATTAATTTTCATACAGCTAGAGAATAAATTGTTCATTATTTTAACATGAAATGAGTCATTTGTAAAAATCCTAAGCCGTCTAACTACGCCGGTTTGTTATGAAAACAAAAATACATAAATTCGTAAACGCACACCACTTGATATACAATACACCCATGCCTACAAAACAATTTTTACAATCCCATCAAATCTGACAATTACAAAAACGTGCTTTTGTAAATGTCAAAATTGCCGCTCTACAACCTCGATCGATTCAGAATTTACATAATCACATAATTTTAGCTTAAAATAGTTGTTTATATTACAATTCATATAACATCGGGCCCGTTGTCTGTGACGTATCAAAGCTATCTACAATGAAAGTGATAAAAATTGTTAACAAATTTGTTGGAATCTACGAATACGTCACTCGCAACAGGTTAGTAAGCAGATTTCAATAGATATAATGCAATTAGCAAAAAAGTTGGTTACCATAGCAACGTCGACACTACTAGAAAACGCAAAAACGACACCCTAGACATCTTTTGTTTGTAAAGGACATAAAAGAAAGTTAAAGCTTTACTTTAGTTAGGAAATACTAAGTGGTATAGACATCGTGCTATACCTTTTCATAAAAATCTTATTATTAAATTAACTCTCGCTAAAATAAGGAAAAGGCATGATTGTTCTCAACTAATACACTACAATAATATTGAGATTCTGGTGTATATATTGAAATCTGCTTTACACAAGGTAAATATATATTTATAAAATTAGTTGCTAAATTAAAGCATAATGGGTAAAATAAAATGGGATTTGGTTAATCGTAAAAAAAACTTTACAAACTGTCAGAACAATGTATGAAACACTATTATTAGGTGTTAGAATTTTACTGCTAGTACCAATAACATGGTCATATGGTTTTATGACCCTACAGACTCACTTGGGGTTCTATTGTTACATATTAAAAATATTGACTTATTAATAGTGTAAAGACAGTCGGTAAAGTTGTATTCCCTTCTTATTAAATTCCAATGTAGGTGCTGTAAAAACTATTTTCCAATATCTCCCACAACGCATTCAAATACCTTTAACCATAGCACCTGTGAAATTAGCTTAGCGTGTTGTTTTCATGACGATTGAATAGCCAACAGATCTTAGTCAATATTAACGATACCTAATGAAGAATACACTAAGTTCTGCATAAAACCGGCCGCAAAACGTTTTCAGCTTCCGGAACTTGGTGTCTTCGAATTCAATAACCAGACAGTAAACAGTATTAGTAGAAATATCAAATGGCACAAACTTGGCCACTTGCAACACGCTAGTGACATTCTTATGAACAGAAGATTATCATCTACATTGGAATTCAATCAAAGTAAAAGCGTTCTAAACTATTCCAAAATGGCGTAAAAACATTCACTCCGCGCACATACTAATTCAAAAAACAACTTGGTTGCAATGCTCACAGCGCAAGCCTCTAAGTCGAAGGAACATTGCTTCAAAAGGAGGTGTCACAAATGCGCAAGCGCAATTTGAACGCGGGGGCGTTCAAATAAAGTCCACTTTTGGCCTGCGTGAGGATACGCAGGCCAAAAGTGGACTTTACTTATTGCTTTTATGGTTTTTTCTACGTCCCATATCCGCTTGTGGCCTGAATTATCATTCCCCTATAAATGAGAAGCAAAAACAAGCCCTGTGGTAATAAACTTAACGTTCATATTATACCGAACATATGTAAAACTTCTTTAAACAATTTTAGTTCTTTAAAAGACACTGTGTTCCGATTTCAACTATTTTATACACCTTTTGCGATCACACAAATGTAACAATATAAATTATTAACATCAAAACGAGTTATGTGTGACTGAATAAGATAGATCAATAAAAAGATACAAAAAAATGTACATGCCCACTATAAGAACGGTCGATTTGGAGCTTGATTGATCAATCCCACTTCTGAGTTATTAAGAAGCCGAAAATTTGAAATTACCATAATAAACAAGACGACAACAAAGCAGTTGAAAATTTAAAGAACATATAAACAATGTAGCAAATGATTCTATTTTTCTTGTAAACTATATAAAAAAAGTTATTTTTATCGAGATACGTTTGACAGAAAAAATGCGTCAAATTAAAACTATTTAGATTGTAAAAATCTCTGTCACAGGCGAGACTTCAACCGGCATCCACAGTCAATGCTGCTCTAACTTAACAAATTTCAAGTCCAACAGCCCTAGTCGTAGCTATTTGTAGAGACTGACCAACAAAGCGCCGTATTGAAGTTTTTAGCAAAGGCACAAACAATTCTTGATTCAAAAGTATAATCTAATTATCTTCAATTAAAGCACACCGTAACAACATTGTTACTCGTCTTATAGTCTATTAACCAAAACGAGATAATATAGAAGTTGACGCCGTCTGAGCATTTTGTCCCTTTCTATATGGAATAATGGAAAAGGGACAACGCTTTATTAACTCGTTTAATAGACTATTTTAACTCGATTTGTGATGTGAATACTCGTCACGTGTATAGAATATGTCTCGATAAAGTGAATTTTTTTGTCTCACTTACACTGCTAACGTTGGAGGAAGACGACATCTTTTAAAGTATGTATTTTGTCCAGTTCCTTAGTGAAATTTAAACAATTCGTTTGTAATTTTATGAATTCATTATTTTAATTTTTAAATCAAAGCGGTGTACCAACCTGCAGATAAGCACAAACTACTTTTATGTACAATTAGGTTTTAACTGCTAAATCGAGTAAAAAATGGAGAGCACAGAAACGCGACCACCCATCCAAATACAAAACTAGACTAACTTCGCTTTCTCGTCCGAATCACACAGTTACAAGGCGCCTTATCATAATGTCTTTACTAGCGTCACGATACAAAATGATAACTACGAAGTACCGCTGACAGAAAAATGTAGAAAAAAGAAACATTATTGTCTGACATAATCTCGTACGATTTATACAGGACTAGATAAAAGAACGTTATTATGAAAACAAGAAACAGCTAGTGAAACATTTTATATGCCAACGGTACACACGATCTATACATTGTACGAACCAGAGTACAGTCAGCAAAAAGTTATACGACGAATCAGAGTCTGATGAGGAATGACTAAATTAAACAGAAAATGACACTTTTTCATTGACTGTACACTTTCACATAAAAAGCTTTAATGCAAATCTATTAGTATTGGTATGTCAAGTGAATAATGGAAATTATTTTAAAGCATTTTATATAGATTTTGTATTATATTTGCGTATGTAATTATTCTTTAAAATTCTCCATTATACACTTGGACTAGTTCGCGCGTTCGCAGACACAGCTTTGCACCCTTTTCAGTTGTAAATCTTTGCCGACACACTTAAATTTTTTTTACGACTAACTGTCACATTTTTTTTCCAATTTCGTCAAATCTCGTATCGATATTGATTTGGGATGGGTAATCTTGGACTGGGAGTCTTTTGGGGAACTATTGGACGAGGTAAGAGCGCAAATTGTATAAGAACGTCTAAACGAAAAAACAAACACTAATCTAAGACGTATAAAGACGCGAAATCAATAACAAAACCTATAACGAAGTTGTGTTATAGCAATTTAGATTTTTTTTAATGACAGAAGAGGACAGATAAGCACGGGGTTCAATTGACGGGAGGTGAAGTACCCCAGCCACATAACATCTACACAAGATGCGCTGTCGGCCTATTTTGGCTTTGCACATTCAACTTAATAAGATCGATATTTGACTCGTTAAACTTATTATCGTTTAGCTTTAATATGATTTTGGCGATAAATGTTTTAAAATATTGGTTTATATATTTCCTAGTTTTAATCATAGCGCTGTTAGGTCTGGATAGTGAGTCTTGGTTTAAGGAATGTGAGTGTCAGATTGGGCTTAGTCGGTCTTAGGGTCTCAATTGGCCTTTTTAGGGTCTGTGGCACGTCAGTCTGTCTGCGTGGCGCGCGAGGCGAATCGATGCCGTCGCTACGAACCGCCTCCTTTATTCCCCTCTTCCTTGTGCTTGCTGATGTACACCTGGAGGGAAACATTAGTAATGTTGAATCGTCATATTAGATTTTAACTTAAATTAAGCTTGATTCAATTTTAATTAAACAATGTGAAATTATTGTCTTTTTTATGATAGAGGAGAACCTACAGACATCAAACTCACTTGATAGTATACCCCAGCCATATAACATCTCACAACATATAATAATCGGAAATACTGATACCGAAACGCGATTAAACTTGAGGGTTTTTACTTTTTACACTCTGTGGACGGTGGTTCGTTCAACCAGATTTACAGACAAAGTCTAACATATTTCAGATAAATTACACATTTCAAACAAGTGCATCTCGGCGGGGATCGAAGCAACGACCCGTTGACCCGTCATAGAGATAAAGCCTCTTTCTATAGCCAGATAATTACTTTGTTGTTTACATACAAATTCTTCTCTATCTTTAAAAAAAGAAAACATAAGCCAACAGCATACTCACGTGTAAGAGTCGCATCTTGCTAACTGACAGGTGTTTGTAGTGCGGCTGCATTCTCTCTTCGCCCAGGGCAAATGTGAAGGCGACCATACAGAAAATGGCCGCCTTGCGAACAGCCGAGTTCTGGTGATCTGCTAACTGTATACAAAATAACCAAATGTTTAAGTTAATGTTTATGTTTACTAAAAATCAATTTCACATAAAAGTACATATGTAGAAAGAATGAGCGAGAGGCTATGCGAGAAAGGGACGGAGAGGGAGATGAAAGATGGCGAATGAAAACGTAAAGAATAAGACGTATTGTTTAAAGAGGAAGATGAAATTAAAGGATTTATGTATATTTTGCTATTTTACTTTGGTACTCGCAAGATTCCCTACATATATAGGCATGACTAAAAGTAGAATCCTATGTCCCTTATTGGGCCATTGGGACATATTCTTCTCCATAAAAAAAATGTAAATAAATAAAAATAAATAAATAGTATCCGCTTGATTGCCCCGCCCCGAAAATTTACCTAGAACGCGTCCGTTGACATAGATAATAGACCATTTCTCGAAAACTTGAATACTGACCTGTCCTACCCCTTCCATTAAGGGGGATACGATCTCGTCGGTTAGTTCTGGTCCCCTCGCCTTAGCCACTTCTGCAGCCAATTTCAGCGCACAAAGTGACGTTGGGTAACCTCTTGTTCTAATCACTGGTTTCAAGAGCCGGAGCATCTAGAATTTGAGAATGTTTAAAACTTTCTTTAAATAATAAATGATAATTGATTTAAGGTAAAAATTTCAAAACTACCCTTAACATTTTTTTCTGCTAATATTAGTTTAAATCCATGATTTCATACTTACTACTTAAAGGAACAATACGAAAAACACCATATCATTTGTATAGTCAAATAGCTGAATTTACGGGTCGTATCAATTTATTCACGTCCTTATAACAATTACCTCATGGGCCGGCAGCGCAGCGGCGATATGCGACATGCCGTTGTCAATGGCTCGCATAACCTCTTTACTCAGTGCCCCGTACGCGTTGATAAGCTTCAACAGGATAAGGTCAAAGTAATCTAGCCACTGCGGCCTCGTTTCCGGCCGGCGACACAGCCAGATGAGAACTTTCACCGCTTCTGCTGCGGTACGCTCATGGGCGGTGCCCCATCCTGTATAAAAATGTATTATGATTTTACCCCCCATTTTTAATGTATTATTTTATGTCTCTATAAAAGATTTCCATTCTAAGGATGTATGAGGGAGGAATGACTGTAAATTATAAATGAATGTCAAGAACTGACTGTAGTTTACCCAAGTAGTAAAATATAAATAAAACCGTTTAACGGTTTAAAACGCGAGAAGCATAAGGTAAACTTATTTACTAAATTATTTGAACTATTGTTCAGATGCTTTACAGTAACGGGAAGTAGTTAAAACAATTTGTAAATAAGTTTAAGTAATACATTTCGCGTTTTCAACCGTTAAATGTGTTTCATTTAAATGAACATTTTCACGAAATATTAAATAACGATAACTAAGTAGTTACCTATTTTAATATAGGAGATTTTTTACTTGACTGTACCTGATTGTACGTTGGTAGCGTTTTCGTAATTCTCTTTGTCTACGGAGCTATCGTCCACTGTTATAACCGCTAGTGACACCCTTACTATATTTCTGGAAGAGCAAGAATATGTATTTACATTTAAGATAGTAATCTTTTGTTTAAATTATCGAAATACATCGTAACCCGTATTGAAAACGTATTTCGACTACTTTTAATTTTTATTTTTTGCGATCTTCCGTTGCGTGCGCTGCGAAAACGGTTCAAGAAACCAAAATATATGTATAAAAGAATGATTCTTCTTTATACCATCTAAAATAATGTCCGCGACAGTATATGTCTATCTTTTAAGAATAACTTGTTCGACAGGACGCGCCCGACGTCGCGAGAAGAACTTTAAGTCGAATTAAAAACTACTCTCCAATAACTCACTTAAAATACTCGCACGGCTTCTTGCACTCGCCGTATTTGAGGATCTCGTGCGTTGCCAAAAACAGCCGTTCGGAGTGCTCCCAAGGGTCTTTGGTTACATCCAGTTTACTTAACGCTTCGAGTACCTCCGTTTCTCGGAGACCAGCTGAAATCGAACATTGATTACAAATAACGGCTAAGTGTAAATAGGATCTTAATCAAAGAATCACAAGTGTACAGGCCTTTTATTCCATTAATGGCGATAATTATATAATCATTTGATTATAACTTAATATCCCATACATTGACTAACCGGGTGATGTCTATGTGTTAAACAAAATAAAATGAGATCATTGTATTTTATTTATCTTGGTTTTTGGGGGTAAGAAATGTCAAAAAAACAAAAATATATACTAAAAAGAGACTAAAGAAATATAGTTTTCAGTAATATCTCGAGGCAGAACAAACCTTTCGTAATTAATAGTCCATTTTCGTCCATTTCGTACGGTTTAATCTTATCACGTCCCATGTTTCCGGAATTGTAGTCGCTGAAATATATTATGACGTAAATGTATGTTTAATACTAAATAAATTGCAAGATTTTAATACAACACTTTAACGGTTTAAAATACGAAATATATGAGTTACACTTATTCGAGTTAAAAAATAAAAAATATTGAATTTTAAACGGTTAAGTGTTTTTTTTATTTATGCTATTTTGTGTTTGTTGACTGTTAGTAGTTAAAAAAAATACCCGTGCGTATGACCACAATCTCTATGTGGGATTGGAGATGATTCCTTCGTGCTATTAGCTTCCTCTGAGCTATCGGCAGATGCGGCGCGGCCTATTTCACTGAAAATTTAAGGACACATTTGTTAATATATCTCACATATATAGGCCAAGTCAGTTTTCTTTTACTCGAAGTAGTACTGACTTCTATTTCAACTTATATTTTTTATGTAATATTTAAACATGTTGCGACATTTAATTATTATTATGCTTATGATAACATATGAGTGTTGACATAAATCGGAATAACACGCGAAATGTAGCAGCGCCACGGGGAACTGAGGATGGGAGGTGTTCCTAATGTCAAAGTCAATACTGCTATGCTAGCGCCATCTCTTTTGTCGTAATTACGTATGAAACTCACCCAGCGTAATGTCCATTTTGTACTGCGTTCGCACCACGCGCCGATAACGCCACATCTGACATTTGACTGATGCCAGAATCTTTGCTTGACATGTGGTTGCCGCATTCAGCTAAAACACATATAAGATACGACATAAAGTAAAACAACATCATAATATTATTTATTAAAAAAAATAACATGTTATATCATAAATAATATTTACTAGGTACACCACAAATATTTTTAGGCTAAAAAGATTCTCACCATTCGCATGTTGGGCTGTATATGTGTGAATCTCTGACGTCGTCTTCCTTATCCTTGAGTATACATCTTCAGCATTGGAGTTTGAGGTCGTACTTGACGTGCGAAGAGGACTGTCGCTACCGGCTGAGGAATAAGAAACAGTCGAGTGTGAGTTGGACTCACGTATGCAGACTAACAGAAACATATCACATTATTTCCAAAAATCCTAAGCGAAAATGGGTCAACAGCGCCCTTCTTTCGATGTTATATCGCTGGGGTATTTTACCATGCATTTTTTTTTTTCAATAAAAAAATATATATACATAATCTATTGCAATGTAAGAACGACTGAAATATGTGCGAAAAGGACGGAGGGAGAGAAAGAGGGACGGAAGGAGGCTGGGAGAGAGGGGGGAAGGGAGAGGGAGGGAGAAAGAGATAGCAAAGCTGGCGAATTAACAGAGAGACATTTATTTTGGTGCTCGCAATGATCCCTACAAATATAAATTGTATATATGTATTATATACTTACTGCTTGATGTTCTTCGGACGTGTTGCTGTAAAACACCGTTTACTAATCCTTGAATGTCTGCAGGTAGCTCGCTCATTAGCGTAGTGAACTGGTAAAATAATTATAATTATTATACTAATTTTACATAACATTTATAAGGCATAATGTGAACTAAATACGGGTGTAGTTAGTGTGCCAATAAAAGGGTGTCACCAATTTGTTTTAATTTACGTATAATTTTTCTGCTTCTCGTGCCTTTAATAATTATTGGCTATTTATTTACTAAAATGCACCACAATCAACAATATAATTATGTAATAATGATATTGTTGATTGTGTAGTAATTTTTTTGTGTTTGTGAGGCGTATAAAAATAAGTCAATGTCGTTGCTTTATTTTTTGACTATTCTTGTCAAGTCTAACGTCGACGAACGAGTTTGACACAAAAACTTTTACAAAAAAGTAGACTGAGATGTTTTATTAAAACCTGGATATTAGACAAACTTTTAAATAAAACACTCTAACGGCTTAAAACGCGTCATTTTAATTAAACTTATTTGAAAATGATTTTTAACTTCGGCCCGACGTTTCGGATACTTTGCAGCAGCCGTGATCAAGAGGAGACAGGGCCGAAGTTAAAAATCATTTTCAAATAAGTTTAACTAATATATCGCGTTTTAAACCGTTAAAGTGTTTTATTTAAATGTGTACTACTCGCGTAAACTATAGACAGTAGACAAACTCTTGTTATTTAGTAGTTATTAAGGCAGAGTTTTAGTCTCTTTTCAATTATTAGTTTTTAATTAAGCCACAAAGGCAACTCGGTCGTGAAATAATTAATAAAATTCTTGAATAACTTATAGAAAGTTAAGTTAAACTTACCGGTACTGGATTACAGTCGTACAGTGCCGCAAGCGCACGTCGTGCCGAGACGCGGACATCTGCCGCTCTTGGGTCGTTAGCAAGTGCGGCGACCTTTGACAATGCCCTTCCAGCCACGCCAGTGCTGCCCCCTATAAAAAATATTTTTTTATTTATTATTTATGATACCCTTTTTATTTATAACCCATAGTATAGAAAAAAAAGTATAAAGAGAAAACTTCTTACGTACTAAGTATATTCTCTTTATTTATTAAAATAATAAATAACATATTTAGATTCTTTTCGCATATCTGTCTCTCTCAAGAATAATATAGTTTTTATTTAAAAAAGAGGAGAGACAAGCATGAGGTTAGCTCGAGGTGAAATACTTCAGCCATATAACATCCAAGCAAGATGTGCCGTCGAGCCATTGGCTTTGGATATTCGGAAATGAACTGAAACCGGAACGCGAACTTTACGCCCTTTTCATCTGTAGATGGTGGTTCGTGACCCGGGATGTCAATATCATTTAGGAAATGGGTGCATTTAATATCCAGATTTCCAGAGAACGTTTGAGAAAAATTGTAATCATTTTGGACCAAGTGGGGATCGAACCCACAGCCCGTTAGATTAACGAGCCCGTTCCACATATAATTACCTTGTAAAGCCACTGCTAGACTGTTAGGTATGCAGTAGTCACTCGCAAGATCAGCTAAGAATCGCAATGCGGCTATTTTGGTCCTAGGCGGGGGCGCTGTCGCTCCATCAGCCAGGAATCTACAAAAAAAGGTCATAGTAGTAATATCAACGATATGGAAACAATACATTAATATAACATAGTTAATATATGTTTCTTGGCAAAAAAAAACCAAAACCAATATGGCCGATGTCAAACCATAGAGAACTAGTGATGACCTTTTAATAGAGTAAAGTCGTTGCCACAGATGCCACAGGGATAAACAAAGTTGGATATATATGGCCCAAACTACCCTTACATTTAAAACCACTTTTATGAATACCTTTTTTTTATTGTATGTCATTATTATTTATCTCTACGTTTGTAACGCTTTTCAGCCATCGTTAATAACTTGTGTAAATTGTTTTTAGGAAATTGTGGCTTTTATAATGAATTTAAGTTAGATTAATTAGTTCAATATGAAATAATTTAGTGTCGCAGTGTTTTTAGTGTAAATCAATTTTATCCTTGTGAAAATCACGATTATAGTATATTGTGTGTTTGTTTAGCAAAACTGCCAAGTTAGAAAAATACACTACATTACATTAATGTAGTGTGATGATCAAGAAAAATGTTATAAAAAAAACTAGCCAACTACCCATTTCGCCCAGAAATTTGATTAACATTCTTGGATTAGATGTTTTTTTGTAGCCCGCAGCCCGTTAAGATGTTTGAGATTATTTTTACCTGAATATATTGTGAAGTTGTAGTTCCGCGGGGAAACACTCGTGTATCACATCTAGAGTCTTCTTAATCTTGCTTTGCACGGAACCCAGGATGTCCGTTCCGAGTTTCATTAGTAACCTATAAAAAAAATTTTAGTGTTCGGTTTAGACCCGACCTATAAGTATGTTTCTGCTGAATGTCTCTAATTTCCAAGCATAGAGAATTAAAAATCCACCATGCTGCTTCAGTACGGGCTTTAAGAACTACCGTCAGAATATTAATATTACTGACTTAACGCCCCAAAAATTCTAACCCTACTGTACTATAGTTTTGTATTCTAACCAAAAGTCAAGCAACAAGTTGAATATTTAGTTTAATTTAGATATATCTTTAGTTTAAAATAGTAGAATAGTTAAAATAACCTCCATTGTTTTATTAGGACAACAAAAATATTTAATAAGATAAAAGAATATACGATATTAAAGAACTCACCTAAACATGAGTTGATATAGCCAATCCTTCAAGTGTTGCCAGTGCACTAGCAACAGCTCGCACACCGCGTCAAGCAGCAGCGAAAACACTTTGGTATGCGCATCTACGAACATTTTGTTCAGGAGGTCGGTCAGTCGGCGTAACTGCTCTTCAGTTAGGAGTCTGCCACTGTTTAAATAGTTTGCCTGAAAAATTAAATACATGTGTGACGTAGCGTTGTCGGATCGCCCGATAAAATAATCCTCTCTATGTACATATATACCGTTGTAAGATGCTTCATAATTAGCTATTTAAATTCTACAACAAATTAACACAAATGAATCGATCCCAACAGGTTACTTTTGGAAACGCTATAAGTTCGATACAATGCTTTATATTCTAATATTGACTCTGAACAAGACTTAATCGCTACGATCAGTACTAGACTACCTAGACAATTCCCCCTAACCCCGACGTTATTTCAAAATGACAAGAGCGTCTATCACAATTTGGATATTGACATTGAGAGCCATTTTATCGACCATACTTAAGTCACAAGTGTTACTCGACGTTTCCATATGCGGTAACATCAATTAAATCCTACAAGGGAGTTAAAATATGCAATCGAATTGGTAAATATAATAGATTTACTAGACTATAGACTGCGACATTTGTGTATTTTGATTTCGGGCGGGCTTGTTGTTACACTGATAGTAATGTTTGCTTCCGTAAATTTTTTTTTTTTGAAAAGTGTTAGACTCAGTCTGGACGTTTAAAATATTAAATGGGTGTATACTTTCCGTAAGCAACTACCCTACCCAACAGCTAATATTACGTTCCCTTACCAAATGTGTAAGTCCGTCCTTCCGCTCTGTCCAATGTGTGCAAGCGCACAGCGCGATAATGTCATCCGGGGGTAGCAGGGGAGGAGGAGAGCTCTCCCAGCCGAGGCGACCGGAGCTCGACCATGTAAGACTCTAAATAAGATTAAAACAGGCTTGTATTAGCTATTATTGTTTTAAAGATTAATATTATATTACTCTAATCTAATATTTTCATAGAACTTTATTACGGATATAAAACAAAATGTCTTACATCATGTCGTCTGTAAGAGTCAAGACTCCGTTCGGAACATACGCTGGACGCTTCCGAGTCGTCATCTCTTCTGCCATCGCAGGCAGAGTTGTCATCCGGGCTCTGAAAAAAAAAACAAATATGAACTTACCTACTAAAACTGAATATGAGAAACTCGACAAGTGTAACCATGATTATTGGTGAAATTATTTTTTTCTAATTTGACCTTTTATGACTGTCCTAAAAAGATATCATATGGAAGCTTATCGTAGAAACTCACCCTTAAAGTAGACTCAGCATCCCTCGATTGTTGGAGTAGCCTAAGAGTGGAAGTGGGCGGTCTCTGCGATCGTTCAACTGACTCTCTTCTTCTTACGCCGCCCACAACACTACTTGAACGACCCGTTCTAAAATAGAATTTGTTTATTTACGTTATGTAAATAACACTTTACACGCAATGTAACAAAGGTTTTGTTGGTGTTATTTTTTTTTTAATTGATTTAATTTATAAATGGTATTAGGCTCTCAAAGCATAGTTACTTTAAACAATTCTCGTCTGTCTTCGCTTTGAAAAATATCTTCATTATCTCTATAAATATGTGTAAAATAGGATGGACCTGTTTTCCGGAAGTTTTACTGTACTTTATGAAGATGTTCTAAGGCATTAAAAATAAGCGACCTTACCTAGTAGGACTGGTCTCCCTAGAACCCGCTAGAGATCTAGGTATCCCGGATGGCCTTCGTCTTGCGCTGGTTAGAGACACTGGTCCACTTCGTGATGAGGGTGATGAAGAGCGTGATGTAGCTGTCGAGTTCAAATCAATCTTAATATCAGTGGGTCACAAAACGGGTTTAAAAGTTCACCATGAAACGGATGTGAAAAAAGGGGGAGGGGTTTAACTTCTATTAAGAATCAATACATAGTCAAATATTTTAGTTTCAGTGTACCGCTGTTCTGTGGCAACACCTATATTTGTTTCCTTAATGGCTGACAAAGCACAAATACATTAGTTACAGGGGTGTGTAACTTTATTTAAACTTCTAACGATCTACGTATGTAACTAATTTGTTGATTCATAGCACCTTGATATACTTCGGATTATAGTTTAGATTCTGGTCGTCGAAAATTATCTTCACCTTACAGATGCGTGGGCAGCCCTTAAAGAAACCAGATCAAAGGCTTAATGAGGGGGAAGTGGAAGGGGTGTAGAGGTAAAGGATGGCATAGACATTTTCTTACAATAAATGGTATTTAGGTAAAAAGATATCGAATTAAATGTTATGTAAGGATTATTAAAGTTTATGTAAGGAGAAATGCAGACGAGTATTTAAGTAATTTAGTAAAAAACTTACGTTGTGATTGAGAGACGCCCGGTCTGGATCTAGACCTTACAGTTCGCTCAGGAGATGGCGCCACAGTGCCGCTTACTGGTGACCGCTTTGCACGCGCTATATAAAGTACCAAATTTATAATCAAGACTCTAAAATAAATCATGGGCCAGCTGGCGAGAACGGAACAGATGTACTAAGCCTAGGTACAGCTATAAAGTGTCTTTCTGTGTTGAAGGCTTTATAAACAAAAGTATGCAACTCAATATTTCCATTATAACAATAGCTTTATTATAAGTGTGGGTAGGTCTTATATTCTACAGAAACTAAACACGGGTTGTTATTCAGAATGAAAAGTGCAGATCACGTGACTCTGAAATACATAGGACAATGCAAACAAAAACAAGCTGCTGCCAAAATATATAATAAAACTTGTGCATCATAAATGTTAACTCGATATACCTTGCTGCGCCATTTCCCCCTCTGCAGGTAGGCATATAAAATTAAATATATGTACATATATAAATTCACAATTGACAGAGTTAGAGGCAGAGTAGCCTAATTGCAATTTTTATGACTGAGTCATTTATATTTTCAGTCTAAAAATCTTAATCTTCAAAAGCACATTTACCGAAAATAATTACTAATAATATTTTTGTTATTAGGCCACTCTGCCTTTAGCAGACTCAAATATTAATGTATTTTTACATTTCTTGAATTCATCTAAAATCTTTATGTTATCTTAAAGTAAATTAACAATAATAATGTTTAACTCACGCAAGCTCGCAGTTCCCGCGGCGACCTTGTTTCTGGCGAGATGCGAATACAAGGCCCTTGCTTTTGCACGTTGAGCGGCCGCTGCGTCCACTGCGCTTACAGATCTCGCTGATACGCCAGCTGGTGAACGGTCTGTTAATTTATTATTTTTACTTTTACCACCACCCGAGTTATAGTTTTAATGTTAGTAACAGATTTAGCAGAAAAAATATTAACGTTATATTAAATAGTGCCGTATAAATTGAAACCCTATTTAACTTGATTTAAATAAAACACTTTAACGGCAAAACCTCCATCTTCTCCCCGTGACCACGACTGCTGCAAAGCATCCGAAACGTCGGGCCGTCGTTAAAATTATTTTCAAATAAGTTTAACTAATATATATCGCGTTTCAAACCGTTAAAGTGTTTTATCTAAAAGTGTACTTCTCGCGTAAACTACAGACAGTATCTATTAAACTTGAATGAATCGATGACATAGGCGGGACTTAAAGCGCCAACGGTCTGTGTCACTAACACAGACCGTTGGCTTTAACCAGTTGAGTTACTTGAATCGTCGTTTTTTTCCATACTAAATGTAATATTTAAAATCTATATAATGCTGTTATGTACACAAGGAGTAAATGAAATTTTAAATGGGAATATATATATATATATATATATATATATATTTTTGGTTGTTAATTAATTAACTGAATTATAACCTGCAAAGCAAAAAAAAAATCTTAGAGAATATGCAATACACTACTTAGGAGCACGGGGCAATACTACAGAAAAGACCTCTCATAGCAACAGGTATATGTGAGATGGGCGGTCTCTCTTGCGATGCTCTGCGCCTGCGCAGCGAGTTACTCCTATAGACTGATAAGTTTTCCGTGGATGCTTTATTCCGAAAAGCAGCGTGGAATGAGAAATTTTGACTTCATATACACACATTTCTTTTGATCTTTTACAATGTTGCGAATTATGTTTCATGGAGTTAGCCAAAAATATACACAGACAGGGTGTTAGCAATTAGCCTATTATTGATGTTATTAATAATCTCACCGGATACACTAGCGGAAGGACTCCGCGGACTCGTGATCATTCGCCTTTCTGTAAAAAACAAACACTATATATATATATATATATATATATTACTTTCAACGACGATGTAATAAGTATGAGTCTGAGTATTTATACTAATATATAAAGCTAAAGAGGTTGTTTGTTAGTTCGAACGCGCTAATCTAAGGAACTACTGGTTCTAATGGAAAAATAGTTTTTATGTTGATTAAAGGATTTATCGAGGAAGGCTATAAATCACGATACCACCAATAGGAGCGAAGAAATTTGAAACGATTTAACATACCCAAAACTTGTAAAATGTATGAAAGAATGTATCCTCTTTAAATGATAAAAAATGTCCCCGACAATATATCTCTCTCTATTAAGATTAACTTGCAATGAGAACGGGATGCGATCGACTGATGCGATAATTTGTAAAGATGAGGAAGGCTCGCAAAAAAAAAAATTATATTAAAAATTCTAGCGAACGAAGTCGCTGACATAGCTAGTGTTCAAAAATGCACACTGACTGTTAAATTTGTGCTAGTTTTATATATTTCCAACTATTTTGTAAGTCGAAATACATATGTAACATAAGGACGTATGTGCTTTTATTGACAGATTTTTCTTGAGTCATTAATAACTATAGCCTGATTAACCAAGACTCTACAGATAAGATGTTTTAGTATTTAAAACACTTTAACAGCCCTGTCGTGCAGCAGCGGCTGCTGCGTAGCATCCGAACCGTCGGGCCGTATTTCAAATGAGTTTCAATAATATATAACGCGTTTTAAACCGTTAAACTGGTTTTTTTTTGAGTGTGTACTTATGTAAACTACACACATTCTGTTCTTTTTTTAGTTAATCTTTACCCGTGCCAATATGTTGAAGACTATCCACACTGCCTATCCGCTCTCTTTCGATCTGCTTCTGCGCAGCCGAGTCCAATCTTGAGAATAGCTGTTCTGCGTCTTCTGGGAAATGCTTCTTGTACGACCAGTATGCTCTAAAATTAGGAAATACTTAATTTTATCAGGTTTAAACATATATCATGATAAGTTTTTAAGAGGGCTTGTGACGTTACGCATTTTTAATACACCCAAAAATTATGTACGAAAGAAAGATTCCTCATTAAATAATCTCCCAAACAGTACGTCTTTTAAGATAAACCGGCAAGGACGATAGGACGCGGACGACGTCGCGGGTGGCAACTATTTAAAAATTAACTTTACTGACCTCCTTCCATGGTTCCTTGCAGTGCTGTCAGCGTCGACGCAAGCGCGTCTAATGGCTTCGTGGATGACTTGTTGTTGTTTCTCAATGGTCTGCGGCGGCCATCTCTCTAGCACCAAAACGAGCACCTCACTGTAAGTGTAATTGTACTAAGTAAGTAAGACTTACACTAAGGTCGTTTAATTTAAAATATGTTATGGTGGCCTAGAATGACGGTAAGTATCTGAAATGTCCAAATGGAGACACTTTTGTGTTCGTTTCCCTGATCAATTTTAGTGACAGGAAAATGGTTAATCAACCTATGCCCTACCTGACTGAAACATTCTATTGTTTCCTAGGGATTCGAGCCTGGGACCTGTAGCGCTTAGCGCAACATGCTTAAGCTACAGTGGCGGTCATCAATTTTAATTAATATATTGCCTAATACTTTACTAAGCTACTGTTCGTGGGTTCTATCCACGGTCGTGTACTAAATTATAATAGTACATTATGAAGTGCGGTAAGTTGAAAATTACAGCCGAGGCAATATTACTATTACTATAAGAAAGCAGAGGCTGTAATTTTCAAAGCGCACATATGTCATACGACGTTTTACAACAGATTTACGAGTAAACTAATAAAACTCTAACTGATCTTTAATTAATTGTTAAAGCTATATTTATAAGCGATGCGCGCGCATCAACGTTTTTTTAGGCAAAGGTACAAAAACAGCCATTACTAATAAAGTAAAACAGCTCCAAAGAGACCCTCTTAAAAGCCCCGAACCCACCGGTGGGAACTTTTAAGGTATGGTTATGTTGATACATACTCATTCTACTAATACATATTCAAAAACTTTTACGGTTTTAAACGCCAAATATATCAAGAAAATATTCGGATATTTCCTTGATATATTATATTCAAACGAATAAAAAAGAACTCACCTAAGAGTAGATCTGATTTCCTTCGACTTGTGCGTCGTCAGGTTAGTTGTAAGAACAGGGATTAACCTCGGCGAGTGCACGTATGTGACTATATACCGAACGCACACAGTTCCGGCCGACGACACAACCTAAAACAATAAATGATAGTTAAAAATTCATACTAGTAAAAATCTTATTTTTATATTAATACTAGCTACCGGCAAATTTTTGCCATATAATAATTTTACTAAATGTCTATTAAAATAGGGTTATCTAGAGTGAAATTGAGGTTGTATGTTGTATCATAAAAAATAGAAATTAAAAATTTTGTCTAAATAGAAATTTAGGGTGAACAGCCCTTTCACTTAGGGGGATAAATAGATTTGCCTTCTCAGACCTACGGAATACACATATCAATTTGGTGAAAATCGGTCGAGCCTTTGAGGAGTTCAAATTGAAACGTGAACGAGAATTTTATATATTATAATAAGGCTTAAATATGAAAGATAGAGACCCTCAAGTATAAATAAGCGCCAACGAAAGTAACTTAAGCAAGACAGACTTTTCTATATCTACAACCAAATCTATTAGTTTTGTTTCGTCCATTTCGTCACTTTTGGACTTCGTATGGACATTAAATGTGTGGTAGGAATATCGAAATGCCGCCAGGTCGATATCCACAGATAACTAACTTGTCAAGTCTGGTTTTGCGTCTCAGTCTGTGCGCTTCAGAATATGTAAAGCCAATATAGGTCGCATTACTTATATGTTATATAGCTTGCTTGTCTCTTTCTCGATCATAATAAACCAGAAGCATCGTAAAAAAAAACACATAGGCGTAATCCAAGATTCCAATAAAGTAAATTCGTATTCTAAGTTGACATTACATAGACCACAGATTAAAAATTCAAACAAACCTTGGCCGCATTCTGTATGAGATTAATAAGCTCCTGTAGAATATACAGACTGAACTGCTCTAGTTTATTCTTCAATACTTTGGCCATGTGACCTATAGTTATACACGCCTCGCGCACAACCTGTAAATTTGTTTAAGTTACTGAAAACAGCCCCTTATTATAACTTATAATCTTAGACACTATAACTTTAAATAACTCGCTTTTAAGACATTAATTTAAAATACACATAAGACATAAATTTACAATTATTTCATATCTTGTGGTAGTTAAGTTATAAATAAATTCATGCGAACTAAAAACATCAGGTACAATAACATCTGGCCGATAAAGTAGTTTATATTTCCTTTTATAAAATCAAAAATCTTAATCCAGAGAAGCAGAAGGATTCCTTAGTCCCCACAATGGGACAAGCCTGGGTCGAGGGTGACTAGTCTCTTCCAAGTTACAAACAATAAATATCTTAAAGGTAACTTATTACAATTAGTGTGTATTGTAATACTCGCCAGAGTGTGTGGAGCATGTTGTGTGTTAGAGTATGTTTGAAGTGAGTGTAATGTTATGTGTGTATGTTTGTTTAATCGCCAATTACCTGACTTCTCAGATCTTTAATCACGACTAGAAAAGGCACAGAGAGGTCCTTTAGATGCGCTGAGAACTCTGTCGGGTATTGAATGTGTGCGTTAGCAGCAAGCAATGAGCGAATTTTCTTTAACTGAAAAAAGTAAAAGACAAAGGTAAGTCAATTGCATAAAGCGAACCACGCTTAGTCTACGCTGTTTCTGCTGAATAAACGTAATATTATCATCGTGTGGATATTAAATCTGTGGTAGGCATATCAAAATTCCGTTACGGTTCACGGCGTGAAGTTTAATCGCGTTTCGCTTCCCATTTCCGAATTTCCGAATATCCAAAGTCAAAATAGGTAGATGGCACATCTAGTTTCGATGTTATATGGCTGGGGATGGATGAAATACATCCAACATCGAGGGAACTTTACATTACTTTTAATTAAATACATTAATAATCGATTTTAGATTGAAAACTGTTAGGACACGGGCATGACTTGAACCGGCATCTGTCAAACTACAAACATTCACACACATAGCTATGTATTAAGTTTTCATTCTTGAAATTACTTATATTAAATGCTGGCTTATTCAATGTTTACACTAAACGTACCGCGTCAACGCGTTTCTCCCATTCGGCTGATTTATCTCCCAGTAGCGCTGCAGCGTGCCGACATAGGTCGTCCAAGCCCCTAGCGCCGTATACCGCCGCAGGCGCAACGTGCGCAAAAGCAGCTTCAAACGCCTCGCTCGACACGGCGCCCGCTTCGCCACCGGCGCTCCCGACTGCGGTAGATACTGTAAGATGTAAGAGTTATTAAAATTAAACAACAAAGAAACATACTAATTCAATATTTAAACGTATTTCAGAAATCCAATCAATTAAACCATGCTAAAATAAATAAAAAAAAAGGCCACATCCACAGCGTTCGGAGATGCTGCTTTAGATGAAAACTTAGATGCGTTAAACAAAACAGTTTTAACAGTTCGATTGACATAACAGAACGGAACGCCCAGCAATAACCACAGCTGGTGTGCAGGAATAGTCCAATTATAGATAAATTCTGTGACTTAAAAATGTACGTTTGCAACAGTTACAAAATACACATTTAAATAAAACACTTTAACAGGAAGACCCGCGACCACGGCTGCTGCAAAGCATCCAAACCGTCAGGCCGTAGGTAAAATAATTTTAACAAATATATTTCTCGATTCAAACCGTTAAATCGTTACAAAGTGTGTTTTGATTAACGTGTCTTGCGTAATAGGTATAATGGAGATGTGTGACTCACCGCTAGATGCACTGGTGAATTTGGCCGGTGGCGGTGGTTTTCTGCTTGCTGATGGTAAATTGTATAGCCCACCCACGGTCCGTTTAACTTCGCAAGCTGTTAATGTTAATGTTGAATAGTCATGGACGATGGTATTATAAGAAATTGTGTGGCAATTTAAACATTATTATGCAAGTATAACGTTGCATGCAGAATGGATAGACCAATTTCGATGATGGCGTAACACGGTTGGTGATCGTGGGTTTCAGGCCCGCCCCATTATCGAATATTTTTCAATCTAAAATTATTTTATTACTGTATAATGTGATAGTTATTGAAAAGTTAATAGAAAATGAGTAGATGCGAGAAATATATTGATTTCTTAATCAATAACCGTTAATTGATAGAAGTTATTAATGAACGCTGTTAAGTCCGAGACCCCGGCTCCACAGACTTACCTGGAGTAGAAGCACCGCTGTCGCCATCTCGACTACGACTTGTCGGTATTGTCATGGTTCGTTTTATAGTTCTAGATACGAAGTCAGCTTCGTCCGTGCCGACGGTTGCTACAAAACAGAACGACATTACGAATATTATTATATGTTATATAATAATGATCAGTGTGGTGTTTAATGAAACATTACGTTTAACAAAACGTAAAGTTTCATTAAACGTAACGTTTCTTTCGTACAAAGCACATTCCAAATATCCAAAGCTAAAATAGATCGACAGTGCATCTTGTTTAGATGTTATATAATATTTTTATTATTAATTTTAACTACGGCCCGACATTTCGGATGCTTTGCAGCAGCCGTGGTAACTGGGAGACTCAACATGGAAGGTGGGTGTCCCTAATGCCAAAGTAAAATCTGGTCCTACTACTAGCGCCATCTGTCTCCGCGTAGTTGTACTCGGCCCAAAGTTAAAAATAACTATTAATGAATGATACATTTCGTGTTTTAAACCGTTTAAAAGTAAACTACAGACAATATTTAAATGGATACCTGAGGGTAATAGCAATCCAGCCTCTCTCGCTTCGTCAAACTTCTGTTCCAGTAAAGACAGCTTCTGGGCGGGCACCAATTCTTTCTTCTTTAAATCCTGACGCAGCCTTTCACCTGATAGACAAGTTTTTTTTTGTTTGACCACTTTAACACACACATATTATTGCACATAATGGGAACTCTGTAATTTCACCTTCAATTATTTCTTAAGCGGCAAAGTATAAGACATTGAACCTCATACGTAAGTGTTAAGGTTGAAATTACATTACGCGAGAGGTGCATGTATCGATAGGTTGAAGATATTCAAACACACATACCAACATGTCTGTATACATCGACCAGTAGCTGGGCTGCGGCGTCTCTAACGGCTCCGTTTGGATCGCCGACCAACGCAGCTAGGCTCGGTATGCACGACCTAAGCTGTAGTTCGGTAGCTCCGTGCCTGAATCGCGAAATTCATAGTGAGGATATAATAAAATAAGTGAAATACTATAGTTAATCTAATTTTTTTACTACGGCCCGACGTTTCATGATGCTTAGCAGTACGGGCGTTTCACGATGCCTGTGCCTGCTTTGCGTTTTAAACCGTTAAGAGTTATATTTAAATGTATGAGAATTGTGAAACTTAAACAGACTATGCAAAAACGTCTATATTACATGAAGTTCAAACTTATCCTTTATTAAAACACTTTTAATTGTATAAAACGTGAAATGTATTAGTAAACTTCTTTTACGTCCCACTATGACCACGACTGCTGCGAAACTTCGAAAACTTTCGGGTCATAGTTATAAATGATTAAGTAATATATATAACCTTCAAACAGGTTTTATTTAAATGTGTACTACTCATGTATTTGTATTGCAATAATAGGTTGATAATAATAAAAACTCACGTATGAAGTAAAGCCGCTATACACTTGAGCGTTTCTTCCCGCGTATGCGCAGCCTTATGCTGGAGCGCTGGCGTCAGCCTCGCGAGCAACGCCCGGGGCGCAGCCGCTCTGCAGTCGCCAAGGGTGCTGATACAGGTTCTAGCCGATACACGAACACCTTCTTTCGTGTCAGCTAGTCTGAAAATAAAGGTGTTGATCAATCAAGGGAAATACTATGAGAGTTATCACAACATCTACATATAACATATTCTAATACTACTAATATGGTTACTTATCTCGACAGAGCAAATATATCGGAGTAAATAAAAGAGTTGCCCTTATAGCTAAATGAATAAACGTGTTTCCAGCATTGCGTTAAGCGCGAGAGATCCCGGGGAAACAGTAAATTGTTTCGCTCGGGCAGGGCACAGACGTCTAATCAACTACTTGCTCGGGAACAAAACCGATCAGTGAATCCAGGCACAGAAACGTGTTCGCCCCATGCCCCACGAGAACACACGAGATTTCACTAAATAAACGCTATGGATGCCGGTTCAAGTCCTACTAGTGTCGTATTTTTTTTTTTCAATGAATTATAGATAATCTAGGGGACGTGGATACAACCCCCCCGCCCCCAAAGCTATAAATATGGATATTAATAATTAGGAATATTGGAAATTCCGTCCGGCTCACGAACCACCGTCCACCATCTACCAAGAAATATGTATGAAAGGCTGAATCCTCTTTGAATGGCTCTAAAAAACTTCTCGATAGTATATGTCTCATATTTTGTTTTTATGGTAATCAAATTTGATCGAAGTAATTGTATTATTACCAATTACTGATAGAGTTGTATCAACATGATAACATTAATCTTGCAAACAACAGAACGTCTGTCGGATAGGCCTACAGAACGAAATATGGGTGATTTTTTCAACTCTATATTCGCTATAGCTACCCAATGCGACAGTCGAGGATAAAACAATAAGCAATAAACCCAATGAATCACAGCAACCACGCCTCGCAGTTATTACAACCATTTCCTATTTAACGCGCTGTTTAAAAGTCGTTTTGTGATCTGCTAAGTTGAGAATTAGACTACAAGGTTCTTTTGACCTAAAAATAATTATAAGACAAAGTTGTTGAAGAAACTAATAGATAGCAAGGTACTTAATACTCAAAGGAGCATTGATTCCATTCACTTATTATGCAAGACTATTATGGGGGAGGGGGTTGGCATAGTCTTATATTTTTTTTTAGAAGAGTGTGGTCTTGATAGTTCTTATGTATGTTAAAATTAATAGTAAACAGGGAGGAGGGCTTATTATTATTTTTTTATATGGGGGAAGGGATTAAAAACTAAAGTGACACATTTCTATACGCATTTCATAGATTGATTTTTACCAATAAGTTGATCACACTTTTGTGCACTATGTACCAAAACAATTAAATAAATCGAGGCACATATTCTTACTGGCAGAACAATAGTGTTACCGAGCAGAATATATTGAAATAAAAGTGTACCTGTCTATAATATGAGGTAAAACGGTAGGCACATAGTGTGAGAACTCCTGGCCCATACGCTCAGCGATTGCAGCTATAACTTCTAGACCATTCTGGGCGACCTGAAATAGTTTAAAAGTAACATTAAGTATTTTATAAGCTAGGATGAGTTTGTTTGTACAGGGACAATCCTTTAAAATAAAGTAGTTATACATTGAAAATAAGTTAACTAGTTAAAACAGTTCTATTAAAATGTGTACTGTTCTCCTAAACTACAGACTGTACCTCCTTTTTAGTATCTTTAATAAATAATGTAATTACAGGCGTAATGATAAGATATTTTGTGTTATGTATATAACGAAAGTTTTGTTAAAAATATAAGAAAATTCATGCTCTTCCTCTGATGCTGCCAAAAATGTATTTTTTTTTATAATTGATTTTTAATTTATATAGTGCCATCATGTGCATAATATTAGTTTTCGTAAGTAAAAATATATATATATTCAAATAAAACGATAGGAAATACTTATATGTCTACAAACTGCATCAATTCGTTTAGGATATAGAATAGATCAAATAAATGTACTTACAGATACATAAATATGTCTTACTGCACAGTGTAACATGCAAATGCCATAATGAAAGTAATGCAAGGAATAAATAAGTTCGTAACAAACGCGATGTCCGCTGTCCAATGATACGCGAGCACTCTGGCTCTTCTTGGTAATTTTTAGACAAAGGTATTATTCTGGACATAGAACGCAGTAGATAAATTGCGATTCTTATGGTATTTTCTTTTTAGTTTAACTTAGAACGCGTCGAAACACAAATGGACATAAAAATAATTTCTAGTTTTCTGGTACTTAATCATAAATTTCAATAAGATATGTATTTTTTTATCTTAAAGGTAGACAGACAAGCAGGTAGGTGAAATAGCATAGCCATCTTGTAATACTGCAGTAATCAAAAATCGAAAGACGATTTATTTTGACTTTGGATATTCGGAAATCCACCAAATGTACATGGTGGTTCGTTACTCTGACAAAATTTCGATAGTACTATCTACCCATTTGATAGCCAGATTTCCAAAGTCCATGATCCAGAAAAATTATAAATTGATTAGAAGCATGTTGGACTCGGTGGTGATCAAAATCACGACCGGTTATAAAAATAAAAAAACATAAAAATAAGTGTATTTTTCATAGAAGTTTAACTAAAAGCACAATATTCCTTGTACGTGTGAAATTACAATAAAAAAAAACGACCTCTTTTAATGTCACGAAATAGAACTTGTAAATGGAACAATACTGTCACCTTCTATATTTGTGCATGCTGATTCAGCGATTACATTTAGGCGTTGTTCGTAATCTTATAATCCGCTCAGAATAAGCCCGCGCAAGCATTGAAGCGGAGACACAGACTGGTATTAGGTGAATTAGAGTGTGTATGATGCATGGAAGATTCTATTGTCGGCGGACATCTTCCAACTCACTAATTATAGCATTCGAGAAATGTATCGTGTCTGACAGTCGCGTACGGCACCAATTGTCATTAGTAAGTAGGATACTTAAAACGATATAATTCGAAAGTTTTATTCATCCAGAAGAACGCTACACAAGTAGCAAGAAGACGATGAAACACTTTAACGGTTTAAAACGCGATATGTATTAGCTAAACTTGTTTAAGATGTTTGAAAACTACTTAATATTTTTCACGTTTTTTTTTTGCACATGAAGGCACTATATAATTTAAAAATCAAAAATAAATTGAAAACAGCAACAGCACGGAACGCTGACGATGCTAGTTCAAGTCTTGCCCGAGTCGAAAATTTTTACAATTTATTTTCGATTTTTAATTTGTATAAAATGTATTTTAACTACAGCTCGTCGTTTCGGATGCTTTGCAGCAGCTTGACTAATATATATCGCGTTTTCAACCGTTAAAGTGATTTATTTAAATGTGTACCTACTATTTTCGTGACCTCCACACAGCATGTAAAGAACACGATTATGTTTTCTACTCGCTTTAACTATTCGAAAAATTTAGGGGTTATCTTTATATTAGTCGTTTGTACCTTTAATTATAACTAAGTAATTTTCTGTAATTAAGGGTTTTTCTTTTTTGAATATATAATATAAGAGTCAACTTTAGAGACAAATTCTTTTATTTAAAACCATTAAACCATTTAGGCGTAACAACATCACAAACGTCTTCAGAGACTTGCATTTCGTAAACAAAGAGATTACCTTGAAATTGCCCCCATTCAGCCACGCAACCAGCGAGTCCAGCAGCGGCGCGGCTATATCGTGCGAGATCTCCTCGCGTCGCACGAGAGCCACGAGCCTTTCGCCGAGTTGCTGGCGCATGCGCAGGTCCGGCTTGCCGAGCAGCGGCAGCGCGTCCTCCAGCGTAGCTGGTTGGGGAAAGTGCGCCATCTGATGGATATTCCTCTCTTTGAAATAATAGTATTGATACCTTCAGAAATCAGGATGTGGAATAATAAAATTTAGAAATTTAAGAAGTGCCACAATTGACTTTAGCGCTGATTGAAAAATTACAAAAAAAAAAACTATAAAATATTTATTTATTTATTATAGCTACAGAAAAAAACGAATATAAAAAGAGAAAAAACCTTCCTTGTAAAATAAAAAAAAAAAGGGGGCCTTAACGCCAAGGATCGATCTCTTCTAGGCAAGCTAATGTACAGGGAAAAGAAATTGAAAAAGACTTATTAAGTGGGTAGGTGTAAGGAATAACAAGCAAAAGAAAAGGGTACATCGTGAGATGTGAGAAAATAACTTTTTTAAAGTACGTTTAGATAACAATTGCTATACCTTATAAAAACAATTCCCTAATGTTTTAAGGGCTTATTAAATTTTATAACTTATAAGGAATAGAAAAAATAATATACCTACACTCTTCCAAGCCTATTGTATTTTCTTTGCACTGACTAAATGAAAAAGGATACATATTCATCTCTTCTTTAAAATTATCCTTATAGCATAAAATAAGTCAACAATATAAATTTTCAATGTACAGTTTTACCTTTTCTCCCTTTCCTTCTAAAATTCAAGTTTAGGATTTTATAATTTACATATCTAGTTAAGCATTTACTGTAGAAATTAGGGTATATAGTATCAATTCTGATCACTCACCGTTGTATTTTACTGGTTTCTAAGGAGAGCACCAATATCGTCGCACAATATACTTGTCCATATAACTATCATTGCAGCCACTAAGGCGCCACTGTTTTATCCACTACACTAATCGACTTTACACTAGATCACAGACTTTGGTCAAGGCTCATTTTGCACTGAAAATTTGGAAGCTGGAATTAACTAAAACGATTTTAACAGTTTAAAACGCGAAATAGGTATATATTAGCTACAGTTAACTTATTTTTAATTATAACTAACTTTTTGTTTTAGCCATAGTCACATAGGCAAAGAGCCTAAAATGTCAGGGGCCATAATTAAAAAAGGTTAACCAATTTACTTCGCGTTTTAAACCGTTAATAGTAATGTATTTACTACTCACTGTGTACTACTCACGCAAAGTAAACACAAAATTAAATTGTTTTATATAGGTATTATTGCTTTGAACTGAAAATTCTGTTTATAGGAGTTTGGTTGGGAGTGGGGACACTGTGGACACAAACTTTATGAAAATGATATAATATTAAGCAATAACAATGCAAGTCATCCAAAATTAGTGCAAATGTTTTGAAATAAATCTTATATTGCATTTCTCCTAATTGTAACACACCAAATTGTAAACATTCAGACCACCCAAAATTAAATAATGTATGATTTGACTCTGTGAACATAGCAGCGTATTTTATATAAGCATAGAGTTTCAATCGCCACATAGGTTTTACTGACCCGTGGTTTTTAATACTGAAGTAACAAACCAAAAGTCGAACATCGTCTATTGTAGACCTATTGCGCTGCATTGCAAAACAATGAATCTCTCTGATTTGAGACTCTAATATACATGTATGTATCATCTTTTAACAATTTCTACTGCATTTTGTTTTTATATATCCACATAGAAAAATTTCTTTCATATAAATGTCGCATCAGACAAATGTGAGATCAAGCTAATTTCATAGATTGACCTAGGTCATCTACATGTATTATGGTTGATATTTTCTTTACCTCATTTAAAGATCTATTATATTTTTGGGTCAATATTTATTTGACTTAAAATTACTTAATGCACTGTAGAATGCTGAGCTAATTTTTTATTTGAAATGTTCCTTTGTACCACAGCTAACATCAGGATCAAGAAACATTGTATAAAAAAAGTGAAATCTCATTTCCACCTCGGGGCATGGGGCAAAGATATTTCTGTTTCCATTTGATTAGTTAACAGACATCTGCCTTCATACAGTACATACTATATCAATGTATCTCAACTGTCTCAATACATATTGTATATATATGAGATAGAACTAAAACACTACAAGACCATGGCATCTAACATTATTTATAAAACATCATACTATAAGAAAACCTATAAAAATGTAAACAGAGTTATAATAAAAAATAATAATTATAGATATAAAGCATAAACATATGTGTAAAATGTTAAAATGGCTATAGCATTTACAAATTAATATGTAAATTCATGAACCTTGTAAAATAACACAATCTAAAATAAAGAAATGATGAGTAAAACTTATTTAAGTAGATGAATGACTGTGAAAATAAAAGAAATGAAGAATATAAATGGCTTAATCCATGGCCTGACATTTAACTATGATTGGGAGGTAGGCCAGTATTCAGGAAAAAAAAACATTATTTATAAACAAACCTCTTTCTAGTTTTGTAAACATAGACTTGTTTGTAGTTTGTTTGTAGACATGGACTGATTGTCAAGGTGAGGTCATATGCAATAATTTGAGGCATATCATTGTGCCAATTTAGAATTCTCAAGTTATACAATTGTTTAAATTTTATAAACCCTGTTTGGAAATAACTGTGTGAAAAAAAATGTTCTTAGAGATGCTGAAAAACAAGTGGCAATTAAAAAATTACTTGTTATTAAAACAATTGAAATTCATGTACAGATCTAAATTATTAAACAAGAAAGAATTTGTTTCAGACTGTTTTATTAATAAATACTTATTACTTGTGGAATAAAAGCATACATTAATGTATACTTTATGTTTATAATCCTAGCAAAGCTATAAATAAATTTTTGAGATCACTTCACATTACTTTCTTCGAAAGACAATGGTGGGAAGCAAACACAACCTACTTCAATGTTAACTTTCAATTGATTTCAAGATAATCTTAGAACATATGTTTTTTCATGTATTTGGCAAAAATCTAGTATACTATGGGCATATTATGGATTGTAATTATTAATGATCCCAACATAGGTATTTCATAGGGGAATTGGGATTCCACACTAAACACGTCTAAAAATACTATTTCTGTGCAGCAATTTTTATGAAAATATTTAATTTGTCCTGTATTTACCTGTGTATCTCAAACAGCAGAATATAAGTAAAAAGCAAAATTGACAATAAGTTTTTGATTTCCTTAATTTGTCAAAGAATTGGATATCAATTAAGGCAGACCTTCTTATGTTAGATTAATAAAATGAGTTTGTATGAAAAATATAGAGCACAGAGAAGAAATTTTCACTTAAAAAATGTTCATCATCTAACCCTGTATGTTACATGTAGTTACTAGATGTAAATGAAATGGCTATTTGTGAAATTGCAACAAGACTAGGCTTATTTTAAGCCCACCCTAACAAATGCATTATTTATATCAAAGTGATGTCACCGTATACCCATTGAGGATACCTATACAAGTTGCAAATAGGTACGTTGTACATATACGTATGGTTGGACATACCATATTAGGCCTCCAATAAAAACGTTTCAGTTTTAAGACGTAAATTTACTTAACATATTATAACAACTTCTTGATAGATAAACAATACCTGCAGCGACAGAGTTGTAGGGAGACGTGTTTTTGTAACGTTATTTTGTACGCGAATTCGTCATTTTCAACAAAGTCGAAAGCGCTGTCAAGTTTCACCACTATCTTAAAGTAATTAAAATAATGTCTTGGAAATGCGATTATCTAGCCTATTAAGCCTGATTAGACGATAAAGGTCGTTAAGTCACCAAATATTTTACAATTCAAGGATGAAGAAGGCTGCACAGACGTTGTAAAAAGTTGACCTTTCGAACAACACTTAAAACGTAAAAACACTGTCACTTAGATTTTGTCCAAATGTAAGACGAACTCGAGCACATCAAACTATTGAATTATTTGAATCGCGAAACTTTTCTTTTACAGAAAATCTCATCGTTTCAACATTACACGGAAAATAATCGGTACTCGCGCATGCCCAACAAAAATTTACATCACGTGACCTGTCATGGCGTCATACATTACTTTTTTGGTGTTGCTGCCTTGCCACAGACTAAACAAAGTCTTTACGTTTTGTGTCGAATACACTATATTATAATTATTAAAATAAAGTTCAAAACGACCAATTTTTAATTTTTTAGAAGGATATATAATTACAATATTTTTTAAATTTTACATACTTAATTTTACAGTACAGTACTACAGTAGAGTACATTTCCAATATACAGTTTTTGCTCAGATATAAAAGATGGCAGGGCAATCAATATGATTAGAGAATTATATTTTAACTATAATTTTGAACTAACATTCAACAAAATCAATAAATAGGTAATACTTTTAATAAAAAAATCAATGAAAATGAGTTTCACCATCAATTCAAGTATCTATTTACTTATCAGTATATTTTTAAAATTAAACTTCAGGCCTAACATTTGATTGGTTTATTTCCTATAATGCAATGCAGTTACATCCACACCAGTCCTGTAAAATTTAGAAATACATTAGTAATTATTGTCAGCAATAGTAAAAACCGGGATATCTGCATGTTGGCACGCTAAAGGTGGTACAGATCTTACAATTTTTCTTCGCATGTGTATTACACGATTTGGCGTGAGGGAGCTTTTTCGAACATCTGCAGGACTCTTCGTCATCGGAACTAACGCTGTGTGTACAGCTACTTATAGGCTTTTCCTTATCAAGTTTTTTTACACGTGATTCAGATGTATTCTTGCGTCCGATCATTCCTAGATTCGATTTTCTGCATGGCTTACAAGCGCCTGACGATTTTCGCTGATTGGAACCATCGTTGTCTCGTATTATATTACACGGTCCATTAGTTGATTGATTGCGACTTTGGCAATTGGAATGTGGTATGCGGTTACTCGAGATTTGGTATCTTACAAGATCCTGGTCTTCTTTATCTCTTTGCTTCAATGCCCTTTGACTTCGTGTGCCAGAAACTCTGCTAACTACGTCCAACTCTTGATCTGATTCATTATCTACGGATGTGCGGCTCTTGTGAATTTGGCTGCATTGTTTTGAACAGGAACTAGCAGACTTTTGACTATTTGAAAATTGGTTTTGTTTTTGCGTTATTATAAAGTTTGGTCTCCGAAAGGTAACAGAAGCATTATGATATCTATCGAAATTGCTTGCCCCAACTGAATTATGTGACACTGGCGTTGATGTTACACGAATCGCAGCCTCAAAAGTTTCAGTAGTAATATCACTATTATCAGTTTGGTTGGGTATTTTATCGCGACAATATGTCTGCTCTTCAACGTCTTTTTGATAGGTCGAGTTGCTTAAGCATCTATTATCATTGTTATTTATTCCAAAATTTGCTGATCTAGGTCTTATTGCATTTGGTTCTTTATATATGCCCCGAGTCTGTTCAAATCTGTCTCCGAAGTCTTGGGTGCTCGTCGTACATAAGCCACAATTATGTGGAATCTGTTTCGAAGTTGTATTACATTCTACATTATTCAAATCGTTTTGCGGAGTACTTGTCATAAGGGACATCCATTGATTTTCGTCAGTATTAAGTGGCGATGTGCAGCAAAGTTTCTCATTTGTTTCTGTTTGATAATTTGTTTTGTAAGAGTTTACTAATGGCGGTGTTACAAAATTATCGTTTACGTAATTATTGCCACCAACATTAGTTGGATGAGACTTTCTTAAAGGTTCTGTAAGTTTGAGCTTTTCAATAAATGAATCTATCGGCAGCGCATCAATGCTTTCGTGAAATTTAATTAAGCATTTTTGGACCTCCTCTTTCATTTTCTGTTCTATTTCGGAGCCGTGTCCTGATTTTTCTAAGTCACTCAAACGCCTGGCTAGTGTTACTTTGAGTTTTGATTTATTTGGTAAGTTTTCTCCATCTTCATTTAAAGGTAATTCACTTAAAAATTCGTCTACTTCGAATTTCATTTTTATTTCTTCTACTTCATCCACAAGAACATTTTCACTTGGCATAGGGACTTTTGATAACTCGCACATAAGTTGGTCACACTTTCTAATGGGATCTATAAAATTTTTGGAATTTGGTCTTGATGTTACGTATTTTTTCACGGCTTCAATTATCATTATTTTGTACATTTCCTGACCTTCACTATTATTACTTTTATAAAAATTGTAAATAACAAAATTATCAACGATTTTGTTTACTATTACTGATCTTTTGTTCCGTTTCTGGTTGCGACAGTCCCAAGCTATTAGTTACTACAGTTTTCAAATCCTGCTTATACTTATAGCGAGAATTTTCTTCATAAATTATCGGCTTGATGGAATTAATTGCATCGATCAATTGTTTCTTTAGATTGTTTTTATTTTTTACAGCATCACAACATGGAGATAATAAATCAAAAACTTTTTCTAATTCGTCATCCAGTAAAGAGTCGTATTGAAAGTTATCGTTAAATATTTCAGGATTCAAGTTTAACTCGCTTATTTTCAAAATTATTTTGATTCCAATACTATCCTTGAACGCTTTAATGTCTACTGCTTCTTGTGGAGTATTGGCTGGCAGAGGTAAATTGTTGCACCAAGCTTGTACAGTTTCAATAATAACATCCATCGGTCTTTTTATTTGTCTCGGTCGTATTTGGCTAAATGTTGTTAATGCATTTTCCACTTCATTTTCTGATCGAGGGACCGCAGTGGTCCGCGAGTTGACCTTTTCTATGAGCTTAGAAATATTAACTTGCGGCACGCACTTTCTCATTGAAAAAGTTGATTTTAATCTAGCATTTAGTTCACTTGCGAATTGATCAACATGAGCTTCTTTGCCTGGCGATAGTGGTAGTCTCCGTAGCCATTTTGTGATTTCTTTGTGTAATTTATCGTCAAGATTAGGGTCTGTATTTTCTATTTGATGTATTTTTTTTGCTAACATGGAAAGAATTTTATCCAACTGTAATAATTCAGCGAAGTTGGTAGCTTCCCTTAAAGGCAATTTTTCAAACCATATTTGAATTTCACATTTTGTTTTGATTTCTTCAATTTCTTCACATAAAGATTCCTCGTTTGGAACAGACACGTCAAATAAAGCACTGTATAAGTCCATAAACATTTGTTCTTTAGAAATAGCTGTAGTATACCGTTTTAAAGCATTTTTGTGATATTTGTCAATATCTTCTCGAATTTTATTTTCGTATTTTAATTTAACCGCGTTGTTACTGTGATCAAAGTTATCCAAAATAAAAATAGTTGCGAGACGGTCTTTGTAAATTTCAAAAGCTGGATCCTCGCTTTCGGACACAGTATTATTCTCAGCTATAGACATTGCGATTTTATCTTCTAGTTGTTTTTTGTATCGGCCTCCAGATATCTTTTGTTTCAAAAGTTTTTTATTATCCATTATCGTTTGTACAAGCTTATTTTTTAAATGTAACTGTCTATTGAGTAACTTATCGTTTGGTGGTACATTAGATAGTAGAACATCAATTTCATGCAACAAAACATCTTTATATAAGATATCGTCATTAAAATATGTAGGATTATTGTTTATATCGCCAATTTTTTGATAGAGCTTGGTTGCTATACTGTCTTTCAATAAATTAACTTTTTCAGTTTCTCCTTCAATAGGTAAATCGTTGCACCATTTCTCTATTGTTTCTACAATTACTGTAGCAGGATCTTGTTTTTTCTTAATTTTGGCATTACTACAGCAAGGTACGGGCGCTTGACAAACTATGTTGGGCCCATTACCCTCTTCTTTGTATATTTGATTGTTAATTCTCGCAATCCTATTTATGAGTTGTTGAATAACGACCGGTATGACGATTTCCTTCCGACTATCTAGTGGTAAAGATAATAACCAATTCTCCAAGTAACCTTTAAAGTTTGCTTCGATATCAGAGTTGTTTGAATCTTGCTTTTTACATTCACTATATTCACGTATTTTGTGTGTCAATTCGCTTATTTGCTTTGTTCTATTAATGGCATCGTTTTCATTTAAAACGGGCAATAGTGGTAAGTTATGTAACCAATCAGATATATCTTTCGCATATTTCATTTCTTCACTAAATCGACGAATCGGTTGAACGTTTGATATGTCCGCATTGCCTAATCTCTCATAAACTTTTGCGGTGTCAAAGGCACTAGGATTTTCTTTTATTAATTTATTTGTTTCATTGAGCAGACGTAACGAACATGCTTCTAGAACAATTTCATTTTCAGTCAATTTTTGATGATTTTCTTGGATAAATGATTCTATATAATCACTTAGCGTATCAACATTGATTGAAGAATTTACTTTTTCTGTGCTGGCAAAACAACAACAAGGGGATGAATTTCGATTATTTATAAGTTTGTCTATTAAATCGCCTACAATGTTGTCAAAATATTCAGTGTATCCGGGTAATATCGATATTGGAAGTTCATCTACAAATTTCTGTATTATATCTTCCATACTTGTTGAATCTGATAACTTATTTTCTGCCACATACATATTTTGTGCTAATTTATTCATAATTTCATTTCGCTTTGTGTTAGTGAATGTGTCGCTTAAAGGAACATCTTGTATACACTCGGCTATCACAATAATGTATTGCAATTCCTTATCTAACCTTTGAAAGGATGAAATACCGTCAGTTTTATTTTGTAACGTATCATAAACTTCATTTCGCGAAGGAAAACTTAAATTTGGAAGTTCTGACTTTAACAAGTCTGCAAAAACACTCTTAACTTCTAAATTGTCTTCTAAATAATTGTACTCTATAAACTTTAGGATAAGATTTTTCATTATATACTCAGGATGTGATATGTGTGATTTGGTACCGCAACATATGATTGTTTTCGTTTGTTGTTTCTCAGATTCTGTTTCGCGTACATCGTTTAATTCTCTAACAAGATGTGCAATGTATGGTTTGGCTTCAGAGAAATCATCGAAAAAATCGAATTTATTTAACCATTTTCGAATAAGGAAAGATTTGTACTTGGAACTTTCTGTTTTCGTTTCTTCTCCCAATTGTTCGAGTTGTGTTTGATCGTAAATTTCAGTCGCTAAACATTGTATGTTTTCTTCTTGAACTTCATCAGAGCTAAACGCTTTTGGTAATGTATCCAGCCATGCCCTGATTATTTCTATAATATTATTAAGGTAAGTACTATCATAAGATTTATTAGAATTATCTTGAATTTTAACAGCTGATTTATGCTTTTGAGATGTTGTCGGACCTCTAAGCTCTTGTTCGGACGGAAAAACGGCGAGCGTACCAGAAAAAGTTAAAGAACCGAAATTTTGAGTCCTACTTGTACTTTCATAATACTTTATTCCCTTTATGTAGTTTTTTGTTGCCTCCATTATAAAATTGATAAGGTCAAATGTTTCCGTCGTTGTTAAGCTAATTAAAGTTTTAAGGAAGACAAATAATTTTTCTTTTATCCGCATATTACTAATATTCTTGTTGCAACTGTCTAGTAAAATTAAAGCTACTTCATTCTGTACGTTATCTGGGATGTCCAAACCTATACTTTTGAAGGATTTCTTAAGTATTTTTTTTAGATCTCGCTGTAAATCTAACATTGCGTCTTTTATATTACAATTATTAAAATTTTGTACGAAATATTTTTTAGAATCGTTATCGTTATAGTTCATGCCCAGCAACCTGCTGTATAAATCTTCAGCAATTTGATGTTTATATACAGGATCTAATCGCGAAGTGCTCAATGGCATTCGATCAAGAACATCTAGCAATCTCCTTTTTAACATACGATTACTTTTTTCTGTCGACTTGCTTATAACGTGTGGCTTTAGTTCATCCCACAAGACATCAGCTATAAAATTTTTATCCACTTTGTTATTTACAAATTTATAGTCTCTGTTCTCCATTAAACCATTCATCCAGCCAAATACTTTATCTTTAAATATTTTTTTAATACGACTATACTCCTCAATATCAGATGTTGAGTTATCATCCACAACTATAGCGTTCATAATGCTTTTTGTTACTTGAACTTGAACGTTCGCCAAATCATTAGTATTATATGCTTCATCACAAAGAATAATATCTGGGCCGATAACTTCATTATAGTATTGAATGACAGTGTTTGTTGAGGTATTTTGCTTCGAAGATTCGTTTACGATGTTATCCAGTGGAGCATTTGTAGCTACTTCTTTAACTTCAGGCTTAGTTGAACCATCTGCACGATGGCAGTCAACGGTAGACGCGTTTGTATTGTTAGCTGCTGATTTCATATCTGAAATTCTCTTTCCGCTAGCTGTAGAAAATGAATTTTCCTGAGAAGTCATTTTATAAGGCAGTGTTACATCTTCTGTAGCCGTTTCAGGTGGTTTGAAAAATATATTGTTTTTTTCTTTGGATGTACTTCTTTCTTGGATTCCAAACGTGTTCCTATTCACACTATCTTGTTTATTTGTACTGCTTGAAGACAATTGATTGTTGTTAGTTTGGTCATTAAAAAAAATATTATTTAACATATGAATTTGATCTAGAAGAGTGTCTTTCAGTTTCCCGTAAAGTGGTTCCTTGTTGAGACCTGGTAGCGAGTTTAAGAAGCGATTTACGACATTTTCAAGTTTCAAATGGTAATCTTCATCATCTATATTTTTACTCATATCATTAATATTTTCGATAAGCATATTTAATAGATTTTGCTTTTTAAATTCGAAGATCTGATTAGGATATACTGGTATATCTTTCGACCACTCTACGATCTTGTTACGTAAGCTTTTACTGTATTTAGATGTAGGTGAAGTGTCGTCGTCTTTTGGAGACGTGTTGCGGTATACATGTGCACCACTCTGTAAATTTCAATTAATATATTAGACAAATCTGTTGATACAAGATCTACTTATAATGCATCCTGGGTATAAGTAAGTATTGGAAATAAAGAGAAGTTTGACGATTGTTTTAATGCCTATTTAAGTAAATTATGTTTTAGTAAAATACTTATTATTATATAAATCTACACTAAAACTGTAGCAATAGGTAGCGGCACGGATGTTTAGCGCTGAACGAATATAGTTGCGCATCGGTACAATCGCGCACGTAATTGATTGGAAAACGTGACTATAATCGAGAAGCAAGCGGAGCGTCGTATTGGTCCATAAAGACAACACGACTGGGGAACCAATCAACGCTAGCGCCCATGACGCTCACTCGCCCCGCGCCCGCTTTTGACTTCTGCGCAGGATTCATTCAGCGCTAAAGATCCGGATCTTTGCCGCTACTTACAGCTCGAATGAAAAAAACCTATCCACTGTGTTATAATGTAATCTTTAATTGAACATCTTGCTAAAATTTAAAAAATCTTAAAAAAGACAGAAGTAAATAGTTAGTTATAAGCTAATGTAAAAATAGGGTATCAATTTTATAATAATTGTGAAATCATAAATAGTTTACGCACTTGCGCACTTAATCGTTCGCCATTCGTGAACGAATGATGTTGCATGATGTGACGATTCATTCGCTCTTTCATTATTGGACATTCCTGCTCACTGCAAGACTGAAAAATGATTTATGTAGATTCATATTATTATACTACAAATATAGATTTCTTTAATGTCCAAAAATTTAGATTTGGCGTTTAGGTGAAATAACTTACTGAGTTAAAATAATTAAATAATATAACACGCAGAATGGAAACACACCAATCTAGTAGACAAACAAACTATCAAATGTAAGATACGTATTATATCACTTACTTATGGATGTATGGAAGTTTAAAACATGTTTTAAAAACAAATTATTGTCTATATGAGAATTATAAGCACCATATGAAAATTATTTATATTTTAAAAAGTTTATTAGTACCACTTAATGCAAGAGTAACCATCCTTTAGTAAAAAATACATTTCTTTACTAGCATAATATACATAAATCTTTGAATAAGATATTTCCATTGTAATTTAAATATGTAGTTTACGAGTAGTACACATTAAAACAAAACTCTTTAAGTGTTTAAAACGCGAAATATATTAGTAGTTGAAGTGTTTTTTATGAATTATTATTATTTAAATTAACGCGTCATAATAACTAGGACCGACTCATTCATTTAGTAGGAGATTTCGTGTTTTATCTGTTATGAGAGTGCTTAAAATAACTACAGATGTTACCGAGGACCGACTACTTACAATGCAAGCCTTTATTTTCTCGTTGATTGCTCTCAAACTCTCCAAATACATCACATCAATGTTGCTGCTGAATTCATTACTTTCCATTCTTTCATCATCGAAATCCACGTCCGGGTTGTTGAACGAATTTAAAAAGCCTATTGCTACAATAATTTATAAATTTTTATTTAGTTACGATGGTATCGCTAGTAGATAACGAAAAGTAGTTAGAATTAGAATTAGAATTTTGCTGTTGCATCCCTCAAAGATTAAGACATTTCCCCGTTTCTTCCACATCTCCCGGTGTTTCCTCGCCCCTATTAGACGTAGCGTGATGTTATATAGCTATAATTCGGATCAGTAGTTCCTGAGATTAGCGCGTTCAAGCAAACGAACTCTTCAGCTTTACAAATTAGTATAGATAATAGATACTTTTATAACATGTTAGAATAGTAATATAAGTCAATTTTATCATCAAGTATACTAACGTTTTATATCACTTTGTGTAGATATTGAAAAATTTTTCATTATGATTATCTCTTCAATGTAATAACGGAATGTTAACACAATGAGAATTAATTATTTATCCTCATTGCGCTGACGCAGTTTATTTTATTTATGGTTGAGCTTTACTTGGTCCCTTCGAAATTAAAAGACATCACATACCTATAATTTTCATAATAAAGTTATTGCCTAAACTGGGTAAATATTAGGTTATTGACTTTTTAACTATAGTCTGACTTTGACATGAGAAAGTTTATGTAACTCTATGTGTATTTTTTGTTAATAGAAGATTATATAATATTCAAAATGTTCGCGTAGAGGTTTTTAGCTAAACTATTTTTAGAAAAAATCAAACGTCAACAAAATTTTCGGAGAAGAAGCATCAAAGAAAGATGAAATTCTAAATTTCTGTAATATTAATAAGACTTTAGTAATTAATGTGAAAATTTTTGCAGGAAATGTTAGTGTACTGTTTAATATTTAGTAGATATTAATAAACTAGCTGGGTCAGCGACTTCGTCCGCGTAGTATAGATATTTTGGCCATCCAAATTTGTTTTTGCAAACCTCTACATCTCTATACATTTAAGCTGTTACCCACGACATCGGCCGCATCCCGTCGTTTTAAGTTAATTTTCAAAGATAGACATATAAAGTAGCGGAATTTTTTTAGACCATTATAAGGGGAATAACTATTTTATACATATTGTTGCCTATCGCGCGTTCAAACAAACAAACGAAGCTAAAGAGAGCTTTATTTATTAGTATAGATATGCGTTTCTAATACTAGGATCCTAATAAGGTCAATTTCTTGCAGGCCAGAACCGGATTGCTTGAACTGGCTAGGTGGACACCGCCCTGATTCCTGTTACTCCATTTCTCGTATCATGAAAATGACAGTAAGCTCAACTTTACATACAGTCGATTTGAGTGCTGAAAATGTTATGATTGCTCTTGCTAATATGAAAATAATCCTGAAACTTCAACTTGCAGAAATTAGTAGTTTATGATATATTATTTTTTTACAATTTTGACTAAGATACGCGCGATACGCATAAGTAATTGTGTCATACACAGCTTCCCCCCTTCTTCCACCCCCCTCGCCCCGCCATCAAAATCGAATGTATCTAATGTAAAGTTCAGCCCTCTAACGTACCTTTTATATTTTTCTAGACATTGGAAGTTTCAGCACTCAAATCGATTGTATGTAGAGTTGAGCCATAAGCTACAACTCTACCTATTTGCTCTACCAGCTCTAACCAGTCTGCTTTTCATTAGCAACTGACATTTACATCTAGGAGTATTGCTAAGTAAATAAAAAACATTTTGATGGTTCAAAACTCAAAGTGTTTGAGTAAAAAGTTCACTTCCTTTAGAAATCATGATCGCTTGGTTACGTTACGAGCAGACTATCCTTTAGTCTAGTCTTTAGTAGAGAGCCTTTTTAGTTTTTTTGAGAAATTGCATAACTATGGAAAATGTAGTTTTATGTGGCTATGCCACTTTCATAAATGCCCTTTCAGTATATTCCAGTAGTACGACACGGCTGAAGATGGAACGTGGTGAAGGTATGGTCGCTGTGGTTCGCGGTCTTAAGGACTCTGGGCTGGCTGTCACTTTGTTGGACGGAACAAGACAGTATACGTTGCAGCCCAACTGTAAGTAATTGTTCAGATCGGAAGACCATGGAATCAGTCCGACGCAGTTGAACTTTTCAGTAATCACTGTTATTTGAAATAGGAATAGAAATAGGTTGTATGAGCGCTGTCTAACAGACGAACGGTAGGGTTTTGCTGAAAATCAGTGTTGTAGCATAAACGTGCTGCAACTTATGCTGGCGAAAGACCCTTTTCGCATCACTTTTATTTACTTTTTCTATTGTTATTACATTTATTACTACTACTACAAAGACTGTTCTAAATGAATTCCAAATAAAGAGATTTATTATATACTAGCTGTGTCAGCGACTTCGTCCGCGTAGAATAGTCATTTTGGGCATCAAAATTAGTTTTTCCTCTCTTAGGTGGTCTCTAAGTGATCTGAAAAGATTTTTTCATTTGCATTTGTTTATATCATTTAAAGAGCAATCATCCCTTCATTCATATATATTTTTTTGGTTTCTTGAACCGTTTTCGCAGCGCACGATCGAAAACTCACAAAGATAATAAAAAAAAGAGAAAGAATAAGAAGAAGATGAAATAAGTAATAATTTTCCCCCTTTTTTCTACATTTACCGCAGTTCCTTCGCTCCTTTTAGACGTAGTGTGATTTTTTATAGCTATACAACCATCCTCGATAAATACTGTAACCAACACAACATTTTTTCAATTCGAACCTGTTCCTGAGATTAGCGTTTCAAACAAACTCTTCAGCTATATAATATTAAAATAGCTTATTACCAATAACTATTTTTAGCCTGTGCAACACCTCACATGAGCTATACAACGGCAGCACAATGCAACGACGCAGTGCGCAGCGAAAGTGGCGTGCAAGCAACAGATGGGAGATACGCAAGCACTTACAAAGTGAGTCTCTTGAAAGACTGAGAAAGTTCGAAAACTTTTATATTTTTTACATGTTATTGCACACGAAGGCGCTATATAATTTATTAAACGAAAATACATTTAAAAACTTTTCGACTCGGCCAGGACTTGAACCGGCATCGTTAATTGCGCGAGAGGTGCAAAATATCATTAATTGACTCGTGTAGGACTCGGTGGCTCAATTGGTAGAGCAAGAGCACGGAACGCTGACGATGCCTTCAAGTCGGGCCCGAATCGAAATGTTTTTCAATTATTTTCGATTTTTGAATTATATTGAGAAAAACTAGCATAACTTCCACATGATATAACATGGAATACCCCAACCTTATAAGATAATAGCTCTACTAGCGACTTTGTCCACGTAAAATAGTTATTTTTATAAATTACTAGCTGACTTGGCAAACGTTGTTTTGCCATATAAATAATGGAGAGAAAAAATGATTAAATTACTAAAATGGCTGTTAAAAAATAAGGGTTGAAACTCTTCAGCTATATAATATTAGTATAGATTTAAAAAGGGTACCGAAGGGAACCGTAAATACATGTAGTTCGCTTCACATATTGCAAAAATACATGAGTTTAATAGTTGAATTTGAATTTCAGACAATGCACTGCCACGTGAAACCAACGTCACCGCAAACGGAAGTAACTGAGTTTCCACCTCAAAGAGCTGAACTTCGTCCTGGTAAATTATATTACACGCTAGCTGTTACCTACGTGTTTTTGTCAATTAATCTTAAAAGATAGATATACACCGTCGCGGACAATATTTTTACGTTATCTAAAGGAGAGTTATTCTTTCATGCATTATTTTTAAATGGTTTATTTAGCTCCCCGGTTTTAATTTATTCTTGGTTCAAAAGTAATTCCCCTTTTCCTGTCATCCAATTAATCTGAAGTTTTGTATAACTTTGATTTTGGTGACAAACAATTTTTATTGATTATCATATAAATCCAAGATGGGGCCGCTACAAAAAGGCGGATAACTTAGGTTTTATCAATCTTATAATATGATTCCCACGTGTTATATTTTTTGTTTTTTAGTACACTTATCTTAAACATTGCAATGTATGTTTAGCATAAAACGTTTAACTAAAAGTTTTTTACTATTTTTATTGGTTTTGGAACCTCTTACGCAGCGCAAACATATAATAATTTCTCCAGTTTTTCCACATCCTTTAATGTCTCTTCGCTTCTATTCGTCGCAGCGTAATATTTCTTAGCCTAAAGCCTCGATAAATAGTCTGTCTAATACAAAAATACATTTTCAATGCGAACTAGTAGTTCCAGAGATTAGCGCATTTAAACAAACGAACAAACTCTTCAGCTCTATATCTTAAGTATAGATAGATTATGTTTTAAGTGACGTAGAAATAGTTATCAAGCGTGTGCTAGCGCAAACTAGGCGAATAATAATATGTATTCTTCTTAGCTTGTGACACTACGAAGGTATATAATTAATAAATTCACCAGGTCAGGGGAACTTCGAGATCGGAGGGAGTGGTAGTGGTGAGAGATACCAAGCGAAGAAATCAAATAACTACAGAGGCGGATTAAGTTGGCCCGATCAAGGTTAAAAAACAAAATTTAAGATCTAAACAAGATGTGTTGCCAACCTATTTTGCCTTTTGAAATTCCACAGACTGAAACTGTAACGCGATTAAACCTTATTGCCTTTTAGTCTGTGGGCGGTGGCTAAAGCATGTACCCGGACTGATTATGTACATTTAATACAAAAACCGTCCCAATAAAAATATTTTGTATCGTTATGTCTACTTGTATGTTAATTTTTTTTGAATCTGCAGGATCAGTATTTGCGTCTAGGCCGTCACTGCAGCCGGACTCGTTTGCCAGTTCCCTTCGGAAGTATCCCAGCATGTCTCCGGAAAGATCTTCGGAGGTTATGGAGCGACTGATTTCCTTCGCTCATAACAAAAGTTGTAAGACCATCTATTGTCTGATACAAAACACTTTTAACGGTTTAAAACGCGATATCTCAGTCACGTGATCACTACGGCTGCTGCAAAGCATCCGAAACGTCGGGACGTCGTTAAAATATTTTGTAAATCAGTTAAACTAATAAATTTCGCGACTTCAAAACGTTAGGTACAATAGTGTTTTATTTAAAATACTATACCTACTATAAATACTGTCTGTAGTTTACGCGAGTAATGCACATTTAAATAAAACAAGAGTCTCCCCATGACCACGGTTAGGTTAAATAATTTTAACCAATATATATCGCGTTTTAAACCTTTAAAGTGTTTTATTTAAATACTATACTATATTTAAATAAAACACTTTAACGGTTTAAAACGCGATATATTAGTCTCCCCGTGACCACGGCTGCTGCAAAGCATCCGAAACGTCGGGCCGAAGTTAAAAATCATTTTCAAATAGTTTAACTAATATATCGCGTTTTAAACCGTTAAATTTATAATGTGTTTGTACTACTCGCGTAAACTATAGACAGTTATTTATTTTAGTTACATTTGAACAGTTCAGTGGCGTTTATAGTATTTACGTTCCTATCTTTAGTGTAGCGGTGCTAAAATCAACTACAATCAGTAATATTTTTTTAAATTTACTTAGAACCATATTATTATATAATTCTTTTAAATTATTCGCTTATAATACAATTGCTCTGGTTTAAATACCATTTTCTGAATTCTCAGCAATAAAAGTTAAGTCGCCATCACCAACACGCACTATGGAATCCGAGTCTTTCAACCCTAACATTTGTTTGGAATCTTTGAGGAATGCCAGTCCGACAAGAATTCACAAGACCAATGACCTTGATATCAATCTTCAAAGTCATAGAAGGTGGATGAAATTCCTTAAGTACATTCAAAAATACTATCTCAAATGAAATTCCTACGCCTAGTAGGGACACGTTCATTGGTTCCCAAATTTTGTATCTACCGTCAATTAATTTATGATTTTTAAATATCTAAATTCTTAAAGGTTTTATCACTTTATTAGAATGTTAGTCGTACTTATTCGTTCGGCCGACGTGAGTGAAAAGAGGTTCTCGACATTTCGCCATCACGTTTAAGAAGACGCTCAAGAATTAATTCTCCGAGCAATCGAGTGATGATGCCGTCCGTACGTGATGGCGAAACATTGCCACGCTCTCGACAATAATATGCTGAACGATGGCTGTGAAAGCCTTACACAATTTAATATCCAACAGCTTTCAACAAGAATGGCTTGTAATAAGTCCATAGCGTAATAATGTTTTCCTAACCTTCCAGGGTTGAAGAGTCACCAACGAGAGATAGAACACGAAGAATTGGTGAATGCGATGATTCTTGGAACCGTGGCATCTACGCTAGAAGCCATGACGTCAGGTACCTAAAAGAAGTAACAAAGGTTGTCAAAGATGGATTACGCGGCACGATTCTAGTGAGTTCTTTGTTTAACTTTCTTTTTCCTCTTACAATAGGGCAGACTGAAGCTATATTTTTGGTATATTTTTATACTTAATGAAATAGAGTTTATGGGGAATATATCTCTGCCGACAATTGTTAGAAGCATTGACTGATTTGAGGGAAATTAAATCGAGAAGTTCTGATGAACTCAACCCTCGCAGGAACTTGTCTTCCCTGTAAATAGAATCGCTTAGTGAAAGAGTCACAGAATTGTGTTCACTTAATGGAAAAAACACGCTAAATATTTAGAAACTTATTTAAAAAATTAGTTACCAACGGTACCGTTTCGGATGCATTGCAGCAGCCGTGGTCACGGGGATACTAAACGTGGGTGCCTAATGTCAAAGTAAAAATCCTTTTCAAGCGCCATAAGTTCCTTGTAGTTGGTCGCGCTTTAAAAAGTACGATGGAACAAAGTTTTATTTAAATAAATCTACCTAATTTATTTCGTAACCTACTTGGGTAAACTAAAGACATAGAGAAAACAGTTTTTTTGGTTTGTTGTGCAGAATGTGAATCACCCGGAGAGGCACACAGGGAGGCATGAAAACTCATCCCCAGTAAGACGAACCCAACCTCAAAAGGTATATTGCAACTACATTTGTACTTTATAAGGTTTCGATTCATTGTGTATCCATATTCACGATTCGACGATTTTACTTGCGAGAATTAATTAATTAATTGTAATTTCTTTCCAGAGTTGCAACTCAGTGAATATGGAAATACAAGGTGAATTGTTTAAAGGTTTTTTTATTTATGATACAGAAGGATAGAAAAGCGAGAATTCACTTGATGCAAGGTGAAATACCCTAGCAATATAGCATCTAAAAAGATGCGCGTCGACCTCTTTTATCTTTGCACTTTCGGAAATTTACAGTTGCCAAATTAATGCAAGTTAATTTTTTGTTCTTATTAATAAATACATGCCTCGGAGACAACACACAGATTGATCAGCGTTAATCTGTACGCCCCGTATCGTGCTAGACACGAGACTTTCTTACAAGAGATGGGCCAATAAAATCTTATAATAAGGATATTACTAAATCTGAGAACTAATATCTCGTACGATTGCACATTTTCAGCCGCGGTGCAAATGGTGTCCAGGGAAGTTGTAACATTACCCAGAGTCGTGCCATTACAAAAAGATGTTAGTATTAAGCTCCTACATCTACATTCTTCCATTTGCCTTTGATAGTCTCTAGCACCCATGTGGGCCATTGGCCGGAAACAATTACGTGTCTGTTTCGGGTATTATTTTTTTAAAGGCTGGCCAGATCCAAAGTTTTTGATTTCACCCTAACGAAATACTAGGCAACGCATTGAATCATGGCCACGACCAATTATTTATTTAAGTTCTTATGATCCAAACTCTTTAACTGATAGCTGACTCATTGGTGAAATCTTTTACAGGTGGCGGTTCCTTTGACCCCCACACCGTCAAGATTAATGCCAGAAACTCGAGGTGCAGTATCATTAAACCCATCACATGTCTTACAACAACCATTTTCAAAATCTTACGAAACCAAATCAGATATACGTGGTAGGATGATAAGATCCGATGATCAATGTTTTCAAAATCATATAAACAGACGGAGCATTTCTGATGAAGAATTACGGCTAAGAAGAAATAAAAGAGAATTTTTACGTACATTAAAAAAGGCGCAAATTGAGTTGTCCAAAGCAAAATGCAGACCTGGAATAAGAAATAATTTAAAAACCGGATCGAAACGCCAAGTCCTAAAAGAGCGCGACTGTTTAAGAAATTCAATTAGTACGAAATATCCCAATATTTATTATACAGAAATAGCGTCAAAGAAAATTGATGAAGATGATTTGGCCGACCTGTTAGAAGATTGGCTCAGTATTATACCCTTGAAACCAACTGACTACTTCGGTAGACCAATCGAAAAGGAGTATCTATTTTATGACCTTTTCGAAAGACTTAAATTTACGGCATATAATCTGCCAGATCATAATAGGCGGGAGAAATTGAAAGCGGACATTATTGAATTACTAAACGAATTTCCAGTAGATTGCAAGGGAAATAAACAACTTTATTTTGGTAGGCTGGCAGATATACTCATAGACAAAATAAAAAGTCTCAGTAAAAGTGGTTGGGGCAAAAGAAGAACAGACCAAAACAGCTTAAATAGTTTCTGTGATTTTGCAATGAACAGATATATACCGCCAACAGAGAGTGAACTGCGGCGGTTCATTACGAATGAAATCGATTCTTTTGTGAATAAAATCGGCCCGACACTCGGTCGTTATACTAAGTTAGGATTAGCAGACGAGTTACTGGATATTATGATAGTCTATATGGAAAATGTGCATTCAAATGACGATCAAACTCTCAAGCAGGACGTAATACAAATCTTGTATGAACATGGCTTTGCAGATCATGAAGCTTGTCGCTTTGCAAACATTTTTTTGAAGCATTTAAAAGAAGTATTTTTAAATGAACTAGATATAGCAAAGGTAAAATCCGAAACACTTATTGTTCTACCATCTTTGCAAAGCACTCAGACATCGACGCGACCGTTTGTACAGGGTTCAACTCATGATGTCAATTCTAAAATAGAAGATTACACAAAACAACTACGTGAACAAATAAATGAATGGTTAACATCAATCCAAAATCTTTTACCTAGGATTCACGAAAGAGGCTTTAGAGAAGTAGTTGTCAATGATTTAGCGGGGGATATAATCGATCGTTTTAAGTATTTAGAAATCAATCCAACAAGCAAAGGCTCAGATGAATCGGAACTGGAACATTTGAAATATCAAATATTTAAATGGATTAATAAGCTCTCAGATGAAGATACATTGGAACCGAGTGAACATGCTTCTGATTTAATGCAAAGAATCCAAAGTATTCCTGTGCCAATTTTGTCACGACCACACACTCGAGCGTCTAGAGTTAACTACGAATCATGTCCAACAGATTCTTGTAGAATGCAAAGTATTGAACCATACCGTAATAATGTTACAGTAAAAACTGCAAGCATTTTTGAACAATCGTGTAGTCCGTCATGTAGCCAAAGAGGTAAGAAAATTGAAGAAATATCACCAACTGCTGAGAAAATAAATAATGAATACGAGGAATTTGTTAAAGCATGGGTTAAAAAAATACCAATTTCATCGTCTACACCTGATGAAGAAGCGTTAGCAGAAAAGGCTAGATTAGGTATTAAAAATGGTATATGGAAAGCAATAACAAAGTTTAAGTGTGACCCATCGATAATCGGTAATCGATTCTTTTTAGAAGACCTCTTAGAAGATGAAATAGATGAACTTTTAAACTGTCTACCGCAAACACCTGAACTTCAATCAACAAAAAATTCACTAAAATTAGAATTGATTAATAAAACTACTGAAATAATTGAACGGGTAAAAGCAGAAACTGCAAAGAACTATAGACAAAAACTGCAGCAAAATATAAGCGGATGTTTAGAAAAAGAAGGTTTAATTGCTATATTGGACGATTCAGAGAAAGCTAGAGAAGAATTAGAAATAATTAGAATTGTTGAACTATTTATTTTACAAACAAACTCTAAAGAATATGATGTGGTTAAATCAGAAGTATACAAAAAGAGACTACAACAACAAGCTAAAAAATTAATCGATAACATAAAGAAGACTCATCAAGGCGAAACAAACTTCAACTATGCTAAAATAGTCACTGACCTAGTGAATTCACTGCAACAAGTTCCTTTACCGGGTAATGACACAATAAAGGATGAAGTAGATAACGTTCTACTTGAATTTGAAATAGAAAACTGGTTCAAGGATTTGCCTATTTGCCGTGACTACAACGATCCTGTTGATTTACTACAATGGAAGAAGAAGACAAATAATTTGGCTCAACAAATAGGTGATTTAAAGAAAAACGTAACTTCCAACGATGTTTTTGAGAAGAGTATTAAAAACCTGGTATCAAATTTTATAGATAGCACTCCTATGAAAGTAGATGAGATGATAAACAAAAACTTCATGATAGAAGAACTGCTTAATAGAATTAAAAACATTGATCAGTCTAAACATGTAGCTTTTAATGAACTTGAAGGATATGAAGACTTCTGCAAAGACGTCCCGCCGAGTTCTAGTTTTAACAAATTTCTACAATTTAAGCCGGGCGATAAGTCAGAGCCTGTGAATTATGATGCTTTTGTTGAAAGGCAACCCCCAAGTTCGTCCTTTAAAAGTGACAAAGAGAACTCGTTTTTTATGGCAGATATGCCAAGTAGCAGTCGAATGGACTCGGTAAGTTATAAAGACTTTTCGGCAGCAAAACCAAAAAGCTCTAGCTTCACAGAAACGCCGAATGAACGAATTCATAACTTACAAAACAGCAGATCTCAACTACCACATATAAATATTCAACCAGGAACGCCCGAATGCTGTAAAATACGGCAACCAAATTCACTTCCGCCCTGTTGTAAAAAGCAAAACACACAGAGATCAGAATATTTAGATGGTCCATCTAGTAAGGCACAAAATGACTTTCCCGAAGCAGGCAGAACACAAAAACCATCGCTTACTAGGTCACAAGGTATCGTTTTTAAGGACTCAGATCAAATAAGTCAGAACGCACCTCGACCAAACAATGCGCAAAGAATTTCACAAGTATCCAATACGGGCACGTGTTCTGCAGAATGTCAGACAGTTAAGCGTTCAGTACTACCCGATAATGAAATAGGTGATATAGTAGTAAGCGATGATGGTGAACATCGAAATATAGGGACTAATACGCCCAAATGGAGGAAAAGACCGAATATCGACGTAGAGAGAAAATATGTGGATGCAGATGATTCAGAAGAAGACGGACTGCGGTGTAGGTGTATTGAACGGTACTGGAGGTGTAAAAGGCGTTTTCAACGCTTCGGTTGTGATGGTCTTGACGGTGATGTCTCGTGTTTTCCACCAATGTATGCGTGTCCATGTTTTTATTAATAAAATCATACCTATCTTTTGTCCGTTCTAAAATATGTTTGAATATTTAATTATATTATGCTGTTTTGGTTCTTGTAATTTGTACTAATAAACTATACTAAATCGTTCAACGTTATTTACATACCTGCTTTTTACATGATTTTGCAATATATGTACAATATTTTCAGCTAAAGATATGCCAAAGGAAGTCACTGATACCAAAAACGATAACGCAATGGTAAGATTTAGTTTGCCTTTTTTACATACTAGTCATCCGTTTTAATAAGGAATGAATTTCTTTTTTTTTTCAGAATATTAATCCCAATTCAAGTGCAGCAATTAACAAAAAATCTATTCATAATTATAATATACTTCAAAATAATAACTCGAATCTACCATTGGAGTCAACACAAAGAGCAAAGGAAAGAAAGAACAAAATTCTAAACTGGATCCACGATATATTCCACGATAAGCCCAAAAGAAAATTATGGAACAAGAGGCTCATGAAACTAGTAGAAAAATTAAATACACCAGAGGGTGAACAAACATTTCGCAAACGTATTTATACTATACTTGAATACATAGATTTCGAAAATAAATTGGAAGATAAAGATAAGTTTTACGCCGTCAACTACGTGACCGATATTATTAAACAGCTTTTTTTTAATGATAAAACATTAAATTTAAATATTTATCGTTTGAGGACATCAAACGCCAAACTCAAAACTGAATCTTTAATCTCTATAACAAAAGATTGGCTATATAGCTTGCCTCTAAAAGACATGGACTGTTTTGATAGAAAAGTCGATAAAAGTAGCCTCATAAATATTGCTACAAAAAACTTGCTTCAAGGAATAAGCGACATAAATAAAATCAGATTGCATAATTTTAAAGATAACATTTTAAACGCCATATCAGACATACCAATTGATGTAAACTTTCGAAATAAGACTACATTTTTGAATAAAGAAGTTAACAAATTAATTGCACTACTTCTTCACTCTGACAGTACAAGACATCATTTACTTTATACAATATCAGAGTCGCGGAAAAAAGTACCTCAAGAAGGTACCAAAGTATACGAGGATCATATTATCAATGAGAATGTAACGTCAGCAATCTTAAAGGAAATAACTCAAATATTTGAAAGGTCGTGCCTGTCGTTGGGAAAAGTACAAACTGAATTCATAAAACTAAAAATATTTAATCGAATATTGACTACGTTCAAATGCGTTGCGATACGGAAGATTAATTTGAAAGACGACATTTTTAGTACATTAAGCGATGATGGGAACTTAAGTGATTGGGAAGCAAGAAAGTATACACATATTATCATGGACCGTTTAAATGTCTTGTTTAATAAACTCACTGACACACCTTGTTGGATAAAGCTTATATTTAAGGCGTGTAATTCTGATACAGGCCTAGTTAGAAGTAAGGAAATGGATAGAAAGAACTTCCATTACGATGATTCCCAATTTCAACATCAATTAACAAACATAGTTAAAGATTGGATGTGGGGTTTTAAACATCAAATACCTAGACTAAATGATGACGGGTTTATTGATAACGCTGCTAAAGATTTGTCACATTCAGTGACAGCGAGGCAAAGGTTTTTACAAATATACCCTCGCAAAGTTACCCCTCAAGCTGAAAGTGAATTTCTCAAGTATCTTGTATTCATTTGGATTAAAAAAGTATTTGGATTCGAAAAATACGAGCCGTTGAAGTATTCCAATGTGCTTTTAAATAAAATAATTCTATTGAGCAGTAAAAAAATCTCTAATATCGTCGAAGGTGAAAAAGATCATGAAAAAACCGTCGAACCCTTTTCGAAATGTTCCGCTTCAAGTATTGTGGAACTTAAAAAGTCAGTTATGGGATTCTCAAGTACTCTACGTCCACCAAATGGGCCGTATGCAAATACTTTAGTGAATTTTGCAAATACATCTTTTAAAACAATTTTTACACCCACAAACGAAGAAGAAAGAAAAATTAAAGCAGAGTCAAGCCAGGCTGAGCAGGAACGATTAATCAAAGTCGACTCGACTTGTGATCATGTTGACTACTATAACGCTTGCCTTTCTACCACAATGGATGATAATCACGTTCATGAATTTATGCCTATTCAATTTATCTATAATCATTATAATGTAATTTTTTACAAACATGCTCGAGAACTTCTCGTCGATTCCTTCCTTTATGATGAAAAATTAATTGATAAGCTGGTATACAGCATAGTTAATAAAATCTGGAAAATCTATTATTTACTTATCTCAGATCCTGAAACATATAGTAATGACTTTAAGATGTTGTTTGAAAATAAATTAATGGAGACTATGAAATATGACACATTCAAGTTAGACCTGAAAGAGGATTGGAAGAAGACATTAACATTGCATGTTAATAAAATGTTTAAATACACTTGTAAAGAACAAAGTATATGTATGCTAAGAATAACATTTAAAGAAGTAATTTACAAGGACTTGGGTATAACTGGTAAAGAAAAGCAAGACTTTTTAATCATGAAGGTGTTAGACAATCTAATACTTCACTACAATTTTATGAATAAAGAACCTTTCAAAGCGTATATTTATAAACAACAGTTCGTCGAATCTTTAAATCAGATTATAAATAACATTAATCATCTATCCAAAGTACAAAATGTGGATAAGATACAAAGAAAGATATTTAGTATACCGGAAAGGATCGGGTTTCATTCCAAAAATATAAGCCCTGAGGCTCAAGTGATTCTTCTACGAAATCAATTTGAGGCTTGGTTCAAAACATTACCACTAAAGTGCAATACAGAATGTGAAAATGAATTGTCTCGCTACCAAACAATGACTATATTAGCCAAGAACATTTACGTGATATCAAAAATGTTCAACAATAAGAATTCGATTGAAAGGGAAATTGAAAAGGAAGTTATCAATTTCCTACAAGCAGAAGTACATAATGGGTCTGAAATAAATACTTACTCTGTAGTCAAAAACTTACTCAATAAAATGAAACAAGAAGGCAGCTCGAAGTTTTGTAAAAAAGCTGGTTCTAAATACTTTTCTATGAAAGCGCAAGGTGAAGCGTCATCGGATAGCATCTTGTCAAGGAAATCAGAATCGCGTGTTAGATTTGCAGATTGTTACTCGCAGTGCAGTAATTCTACGATGAATACCAAAGTCAAACCGATTAAGAAAACGAGTATATTAAAGAAATGCACAAAATTTAAAGATTCAGATTTTAAGGAACATAAGCGCAAAAAGCACTGCCACTGCGGTAAAGGTCACGTGAGATGTAAAAACGAATGCTCGACCTGCGCCGCAATCATCGGTAATAAAATAACGAGATATCAAGAAAACATCACTTTAGACAGTAATAATAATGTTGTTACAATAATAAAGGATGTTCCTGTGGGAGTGCAAGCGTATTTGCCACTTTCCGAAGAAACGAATACGGAACACTTGTTCTTACCTTGCAATAGTAAAAGTTTGGAGTTCAAAAATACATTAGATGCAAAGTCGAAAAGTCCAATGGACGATCAAAAAAATGCTTTGGAATTCAAAAATACATGCACGGACCTTACCCGTATTAAATACAAACCTATGATGATTAAGGATACCTGAAAATACTTTTAATAGTTTAAAACCGCACGTTTTGGTATGCTTTGCCGAAGCCGTGGCCACGGAGGATCTAAAATATATAAAAATAAGTTAATATATTTACCCCTTTTAAGCCGTTAAAAGTTATTAATTTAAGTGTGCTCTACTCGCGTTAACTAAATATGGTTAACGAATATTTACATATGAGATTGTCAATTTATAAAATATTGTTTGTGTTCCAATTTTAGATATACCTACAGATTATTTATAACAATGTTGACCGTTAAATACAATGATGCCGATAGCGATTTGTTTTATTTTGTAATCGTTCATTATGATACAGGCTTACAATTAAATTACATGTTATTTATTCTTTTATAATCCTATACTCATATTTACATGCTTATTATATTTAAGTAGGTTTGAAAAACAACAACACAACAGCGCATAGTCCACTAAGTCTCAATTCCACTTAGTTTAAAGTTATCAAACAAAGACACTTTCACAACACCCAAAAGAAACACGATTTTTGGACAATGGTTTTCCAATTTCAGAGGACCCTACCTCTACAATAAACTTCACAAATTGGCTAAAACAGAGTTTGTCAAACTGTCAAGATATAAGATAACAAAATTATAAAAAACCTACCGTCAAGCGTGGTACCACGCTTCAACAGAGGATTTGCTTTATATTCCTAGATAAACATAGTTATTGCACTTTATCTGATTATAACAAAATTCTATTGTAATTGATAAATTATAAATCGAATAAAACACTTTAACGGTTTAAAATGCGATATATTAGCTAATAATATATCGCGTTAGTTAATAATATATTAGTCAATAAAGAGCATACCGGCAAACGCGAAGACACCGTTAGTCAATTCTGTAAGGACCCGGCCAGTTCCGCCAAGTACCAACTTCGACGGAACAGATGGCGCTAGCGTAGCAATTTTTTACTTTGACGTCAGAGACATCCGCCATCTTTAGTCTCCCCGTGACCACGGCTGCTGCAAAGCATCCGAAACGTCGGGCCGAAGTTAAAAATAATTTCCAAATAAGTTTAACTAATATATCGCGTTTTAAACCGTTAGATTTTTTTTTAAAATGTGCACTAGTCGCGTAAACTATAGACAGTATTTAAATTATAAATTGGATAATTTCGTTAGCAAGGTAGACTAATTAATTATAATAAGTTTATTTCGTTCGCATTTATATACTAACATTATCCACCTAACACTTACTTATATATTCTATCAACATACATAACACTCTCTCACTTCATACACACACTACCACGCACGACATGCAAATATTCACTTAAATAGACGCTAATTGTAAGCAGACACAAGTTTTTTTTTATTTATTTATTGTAACCTATCACCTGGAAGAGACTAGTCACCCACGACACAGGCTTGCCCTAGTGTGGGGACTAGGGACTTTCAATTCTGCACCGTGTGTATGAAAACAATAAAGCATTTTTGATTTTTAAAAAGTTTACTATCATAAAGTAGATCACTAAAACAGTACATAGAAATGCCCCCCTCTATCTTAAATCCTAATTAGGAGAAATGGGATTTCACACTATACAGTATGACATCGATAGAACAAAAAACTCAGTTCGATCTGAATGTGTACATACGTGTGGCGGGGCTACCATCGACTAAAGTCACACAAAAGAATGGTAATAGACATCATTTTATTATAAACAAAACAAAACATTTACAAAGATTTCACTAGAAATCCTTACGGAAATACAAAGCAGTTGGATGCGGGCAGTAGCCACCGTAACATTTAGCACAGTACCTGGGATCGTTTCCACTGTGGTGCTGGCAGTGTCTTGACCTACATTTGCTCACCATACGACCACCACATCTGCAGCATTTCAGTACTTTAGCCTCGTGTTTACCACTTCGAGGATTCTCACAATCGCTAACATCTTTGCTTCTTATCCTTATTGTTTCTACTGGTATTCTACTCCCTATACATCTTTTGTGGGTATTTTGCGCTCTTTCGTTACATGGATTCGGGTATCCAGACAAAACTGACCGACGATTAACTGTAACGTCTAAATCAGGTGGATAAATAAAGTGTCCTATCTCAACAGGATTATTTTGTACAACGGTTTGAGATATATTTTCGTGTACTGAAGCCCCTTTTGTGTTCGTTATGTTTATTACTTGAGACTGTTGCTGCTCTGGTGCTATTAGATGTGGGGATGATACATTCGTCGATTGAGTTATTATATTTGCTGTTGGAGGAGGTGGCGATTGCGTGAATTCATTGTGGGTTATCACGTCAACTTTTCCACGTATATCTAAGGTTGAACATTATTTTTAGGTTGAGGATTGTACATTTTTGAAGGTTCAACGGAGTCAACTGAATCCCAGTGGTATTCATTAACAACGACTTGCGGGATTATATCCACATTCACTGTTTTGTCAGCGGTTGTCTGAGTTGACGTCATAGGTCTATATACATTTGATCTTGCGTCGATTGTTACGCCAGTCTGTGTACTAATATCCATTGGTATCGGATTACAAGAAGCTTCTTTCGTGTGTGATTCGTTAGAATGAATACGTAACTCTTTGTGAGCATTGCATCTAGCTCTTACTTTTTCTAAGTAAGATTTCTCTTCTGCGGTTAAAGTACTTGGTGGTGGTATGGATGGAGTATACTGCGTTGCATTGTCAGTTCTCCTGGGTTTATTAGTATCAATATGTTGGGTGAGATGAATCTTAACTTGATCGTTATCAGGTTTCACACATTCTGCCCTTCTTATATTATTTAACAAAATTTTAGATTCAAATTCAACGTTAACGTTTTTTCCGGAATCACAAAAATCTTCTAACCACTCTGTGATTGTGTGAATCATTTTTTGCTCAATATTGTCCGTTTGAGTTTCATTTTTTAGCATATGATACAATGTTTTCGCTAAGTCAGAAACACGTTCTTTAGTGTGATTTGATTTGAGTATTGAAGGATTTGTTTTGTTAAGCCAAGAACATATCTCTTCTTGGATTAGAGATATACGATGCGTGGGTTCTAGAAACTTCTTATCAGGTACAGGGACTTTTAGTAGAGCTATGTAAAGCTCCTTATTTATTTGTTTCGCATCCATATGGGAGGATGGATAGCGAATTAAATAGTCACAGCAGAAATTACTTATTTCCTGGCGTATTCTGTTCTTGTATTTATTTCGAGCTGTCTGGTTTCCCGTACAAAAGTGCAAACTAACAAATGCATCGGCTAAATCATCTTTAAACGAATTAAAAGATCTGTCATCACAAGATGGAAAAGAGCTTGATATCACAACGCTTAACCGTTGTTTATACATGACCGATTCAGCGGTTTCACAAGCATAACAGACAGTGTCAAATAAGTTCAATTTCTCCGCTAAACTTTCAACTTGATTCATATAATTACTTAAATCTTCATCGCTTATAACCTTATTTAACCGCTTGTAAACTTCAAACTTTAAATGTTCGAGTTCGACGCTTTTTCGTATCTTGGTTTTAGAAATGTTTAAATATTTTTGTCGATCTAAAATATCTTCAGCTAATTCGTCAATTATCTCATTCTTTAAATCTTCACTGGTATTCAAATCTTGCAACCATTCTCTCAAAATACCTTTAACACGATTAATTTCAGCGAATCTATCGTCATCGTAAATGGATGGTATGGTCAATGTATCTAAGGATGCTTCTAATTCTTTTTCTGGTGTGGATGTTGCTCTTGGTCCGTAGGCATAGGCTTTGTCTTCATCACCGTTACCCAAGTATTTATCAATACTGTTTGATATGTCATGCGCAATATTCTTCAATAGCTTATGTTTTTTTAAAGGAACTGGTTTATTGTCGTCCTCATCCTCGTCGTTGTTTGCAGTCTCATTATCAACTTCATTACCTGAATCAGTAATAGTTTTGTGTGAAGGAGATTTTTCTGTTAATGCACTAGAAAATCCTACGACTTTATCTACCACTGCTCCAGCTATGTCATCGATGTCTTTCGATGAAAATTTTGTATTGTCTTCTAAAATATGCGATATTGGGGCTTTAGTTTGAGCACGATCTGGCCTAGGTATTAAATTAAATCTCTTTTCAACTTCATTTGTTATTCTGTTAATGAGGTCTGCTTTAGTCTTATTCATATAATTTGATGAATATTTGTTTATTACTTTGGATACTCCGTCGTGTATATCTTGTTTAGGAGTTTTTATTTTACGCCATTTTTTACGACTTTTTGGCGCAATTTGTCTGGGATAGCTTTGTGTTTTCAGTTTGCTCGATTTGGAAGTGCTAAAATTACTTCTCTTTTTATTTTGCATAAGATCCATTATAGTATTTAAAAGTTGTTGTTTATCAGTTGAACGTATATTTATTCCGGTTTCTTCTTTTATTTTAGAGCCCCAAATATCTACAACATCGTTTAGTTCGTTTTCTAAAGTTGTTACATCATAATGGGTATTTTTTTGTAAATCATCCAGATTATCAGCTAAAGATTCAGTAAATTTTACAAATTTACTCATGTGGTTTGGATTCACATATGATAAATTAGTAAGCCACGTTTTAATTACATTTTTAAGATCATTTTCCACCATAGTTCGACTTCGTGCTTCTTTTTTTATTTTATTGACTAGATTATTAATTAAGTTATCGATATTCGATGCAGATATGGTTAAATTATTAGATTTAAATATATCTTTTAACCAATCGCTAACTTCCATACGAACCTCAGTACCAACCTCTCCTACATCTTTATCGCTTATAATTTCATTTATTCTGTTGGCTAAATTTTGAACAGCTAGTTTATTATCATGTGTATCTCGAAGTTTAAGGTTAGGAATATCTTGAAACCATTCCATTATAGTATCTTTGACTTTTGTATTTTTGTTGTCATTATTGAGCGCAAGTGATTTTTTATTTTTATTACTTGTTTGTTCTTCAACTCGAGCTAGTTTTGAAATAAGTTTTTCAGTCAATTTGTTTATTGATCTCGAACTAAGAGTACCATCTTTATTGGCGACATTTTTTAACCAATCTTTAACTAATATGTTTATCTTTTCCGGATTCTGTTGTTCTACAAGAGTTTCTACTAAGGGATTAATTAGTGTTTTTGCTTCCGATCTAGGCAGATTTGATAATCCTGGTAAAAGGTTTATCCACTCCATTACAGTATCTTCCACTGCAGTGATCTTAGATTTTGCCTCAATTGTACTTTGTACCTTTCCTTCATCACTTTTATTTTGTGCATTCATAACAGTAACGTCTTTCACATCCAAAGGTAATCGTTGAATCAATCCGAGTATTTCATCTGTCAGAAATCCTTTGAAATCTGGATTAGGCAAAGCTCTATTCACAACTATAGGCTTTAATTTCTGTGTAACAGCTTTCGTTATCAATTTTTTATTATCTTCGGATAGATTATATTTTGATAAAATATGTGTAACTAAATCAGATATATTATTTTGCCATTCGTTTTGAACAGTTAAATATTTTATTTTGTTTATGAGATTTTCTCCCATGTCAGCGATTATGGAGTCACTCTTGTCTCTCAAAGCTGGTATATCCCTGAGGCACTTTAAAGTTATCGCATTTACACTATCTGCATTTTTATCGTCGATATTCTTTAACTCATTTGTCAAATTTTTCATTAACTGCTCTTTATCTTCCTTTGATAAGTCAACGTTGTAGAAAGGGGGTACTTGATTTACCCACTCCTTCACAAGGTTTTCGGTGAGTGTCGGTAGATCTTCTGGTTCATTTAAATTTAACTCGGGTACCAATTTCATTAACATATCTTCAATAGTTCCGGGAATAGGAGCAATTTCAGTTTCCGATTTCGTCTTACATATGCATTTTTGTGGCGTTTGACAAAAACACGATTTATGAGTTACAGGTTTTTCAATACCCTGAAATAAGGAGAATCTTTATTACAGGTATTAAGGTTGAACAATGTACAAATAAAACACTTCCTAAATATTTAAATTTCAAAAATTACTTAGATTTGAAATTTATTATTTTAACAAGTAGCTTACATGACATGAGCCCACAAATTCAGCTTCATTCTTCATTACAAGAGGCACTGAAAATGAAATTAAACGTTTACATACAAAACAGTAGTTACAATATTTCCATTTGTGTTAGTTATATACATCGACTATAAATTGTATACATTACAAACAGAACCAAAGTGTGTACCTTGCATTTCGGTCTCCTTATTTTCAACACCCTGAAAAAATGAATAGATTACTTTTTCATTCAACAAACTTAACTACGGCCTAACGTTTCGTAGTTTAAATAATTTTCAAACAAGTTAAACTAATTATAATGCGTCTTAAATCCTTTTATCTAAATGTGTTCTACTCGCTTAAACTACAAACAAATTATTTTTTACTTATTTATTGATTGGCCAGCGTTAATTAATACATTATTGATGTGAATATTGCGTTTAAAGATGTAACAAAAAATGTATTGCAAGTTTATTTACTATGAAACACATACATCAATTAAACTAAATATATTTCAAACATAATGACGTGAAACAATATTACTATTATGTATAATAATGTTATGTAATAGTGTATGAAGTAATAATTAGATAATATTCAGATAAAACTCACAGCAGGAAACTTACCTTTTTCCCTCCGAAGGTAGATGGCGCATGACAATGTCGTTTGTGGTGAATATAGCGATTTTGTATCCTCGGGCACACCTGAAATATTATATTACAAGATATCAATATCAATCAAAACATTATGTAATCCTTTGTTTATAGGCCGACAGCGCATCTTGTTTATACGGCTTAAGAATTCTTATAACTTCCATAAAGAGAACTCAGACCGCTAATGTAGCTAAATCCCGAGGACACATAAATTGTTTCGGTCGGGCAGGGCACGGGAGTCTGATCAACTACTTGTAAATTAAAACTCATCAGTGAAACGGACACAGAAATATGTTCGCCCCATGCCCCACGGCGAAAAACGGGATTTCACATTATAAGGTGAACTCAAAGTTTTTTTTGTCGTAATAATACATTGGAATCGATGTCTTACGCTTTGTAGCTTAATGTATTTATTATTAATTATTATAAACGGCAATAGCCACTTACATTAATTGGATGATGTAAAGTTAAGACATCATTAAAAAAGAAATTACAGGGTTCAATGTTTGAAAAAGATTTTTTACATCTGCAAAGCATTGGACATTGAATCTCAATTTGTAAGTGAAATAGTTGCAATTACATTGCGAGACAGGCTGTATCAATATCAAGACACGATAGCTTAATTGCACGAAACGCTGACGATGCCGGTTCTTTTTTTATTGATAGAGGGGGACAGACCAGCGTGAGGTCCACTCGATGTGAGGTGAAACACCCCAGCCACATAACATCTACACCAGAAGCGTTGTCGACCTATTTCGGCTTTGGATATTTGGAAACCCACAGAAAACCGAAACTAATAAGCTTTACGGCTTTTTCATCTGTGGACGGTGGTTCGTAGCCCACCCATTTAAAATCTAGATTTCTAGATAATTCAAAAAATGGCCCGATGGGGATCGAATCCACGACCCGTTGATTACTATCAATACATTGCTACCATTAGACCAACGAGGCCGTCAACATAATAACCTTTTTGTTACCTAGTTATCTAGACAGTCAGTTGTCAATAGTACCCACCTGTTCATTATCACGGCAGATATCAAATAATCTCTCGCAAAGCACTCTTTTCATATCTGTTAAGTATCTGACTTCGATTCCAGGCTTCGACATGCACGTGTTCAAATAGTTGTATCGGAGGTCGAATTCATCTGGACTGTGTAATAAAAAATAAAATAATAAAACAATAATTGAATACTGTCTATAGTTTACGCGAGTAAATAAAACCCATTTAAATAAAACAATTTAACGGTTTAAAACGCGATATATTAAATAAGTTTAACTAATATATCGCTTTTTAAACCGTTAAAGTGTTTAATTTAAAAACAATAATTGAATACAAGTAGACACAATTTAAAAGTGTATGGTTGTATATCACCATTCATGTCTAAAGTTCAATTTGTATAACTTAAAAGTTTATTTGTGGGTTTCCGATGCGTACGCTTCGAAATCAATTCAAGATAACCAAAAAATATATATGAAAGAAAGATCTATCTTTAAATTTCCCAAAATTGTCCAGGACACTGAATGTCTATTTTTAAGATTACCTTGCAAGAACGACGGGTCGCGAGCAACGGGACGCGACCGATGTCGTGGGTAACAGCTTACATTTATAAAGATGTAGAGATTTTTCAAAAACAAATTTGGGTGCCCAAAATAACTATTCTACGCGGACAAAGTCGCTGACACAGCTAGTGTTATATAATACGATAAACAAACTTGGGAAAGCCAATGTTTATGTGTGTATAGATTCAAACATGTACCAATGTATTGTGCGTAGCTTACGCGAGTAATACAAACGGTTTACTTCGCGTTTTAAACAGTAAAAAGTATTTTATTTACCAAACCAAATATTTATCCTCTATCCATTCTTACCTAGAGTCATCATGATAATCAGCCTGCCAAACGTTAGATACTGAATTAGTTACGACCCCAACGGATCTCTTCTTTCGCTTGGAGTTATTACGATGAAGAGATCTCATACTTTTCGATTTCGTTCTCTTACCAACTGAAAGGAAAACTTTAGTATTTTCTAAAGAAATACGTGACATTTGCTCTTATAAACTTATTGAAGTTTTAAAGAGTCTCTATGATTTTAAAAATATACATTTTAATAAAACAGAAACAAGAATAAAATAGAAGATAATACATATTATTTAACATGGAAATAAACACAATTATCGAACTATGTCATGTAGAGAGTAGAGATATACCCAGGGCCGTATTTAGAGGTTTAGAGGCCTCGGGAAAAAACCGGAAGGAGGCCCCGTGCCTCCAAAATATTTTCCAAATAAAAATTCTCAGTCGAGTTCTCCAATGTTAGTTTGTTATTGACTGCTTCCATAGCTCGATAATCGTTTTTTCTAGCATTGTGTTGTGCATAAAGTTTCCAGAGTTCTTTGGGAAGCAATCAAATGTTAAAGTCGGGCAAAGCAAAGGCATTTTATCTTTGTAAATAAAATCGATCACTGAATCGGACATAGAATTTTTTTGCCCCATGCGCCATGTACACGGAGAAACGCGATTATATACATCAGTAGAAAGCGACTAACAGTTCTTCCCCTGTGCGTAGCTATATATACGTTGGAGTATTTCATCTGAGTGTGACTTTTCTATAGCCCCATCGTGGGGGGTACTTCCGCAAGGAGTCGACAAACGCATCCGTATTGTGAAACATGCCTGGATAGGAAATTTAGTGTGAAACGAACATGATTTTAAGTCTGTATCATTATCCTTATACAGTACCGTAAGTAAGTCAAAGTCAAAAACATTTATTCACGTAAGTTAATAGAAACACTTATGAACGTCACGTCAGTTAAAAAGTAAGGACCCTAGTGGACAAGGATATCGGTAAATAATGAAAGAGTGGGGCCCTCATCCTCCGTTTCTGCGTAACTTGAACTTTTATCTCTCTTCAAAGATGAGGTTAGAGGGGCCCCTAACCTCATTTTGAAAAGTAGGGGGTATACCCTATCCTTTAGGGCCGTAGTACACTGCGCCACCTGGCCCTACGATAGCTACGCCTTTGTTTTTATATACATCATTTAATATTATTTAAAACTTGATAAACCAAAATAGGGCACAGAAATCCTTATTAACTTGCATTTTGCAATCCCTATTAACCTTATTAACTTGCATCTTATTTTTAATTAAGAACCCACGCTTTGGATTTTTGGTGCAGCAATGTTGGAGTTAATTAATATAATTCTCATTTTAAATCGTTAATATTGTTTCATTTATGTGCACTACTCGCGTAAACTACAGACAGTATTCGTTGAATCTTACGTGAAATAACTGTTGATCGTTGTGGGTGTTCCCATTTTGGTCTCGACAGTGTAACGTAGTTTGTGTTCTGTAAACAAAAGATTTATATTATTAATCGCAAATTATATATTCATGGCCGCAACTAAACAGGTATGATGTTGGAGACTATGGGACCTAAAAAACTACTTTTTTACGTATTGATTATTAATTCGAAATTAATAAACATTACATTACCAATAAAATAAAGTATTTTGAGTTTTAAACCGTTAAAAGTGTATTAAACATTTACTATACAAAAAAGTGTTATACACTTCACAACGAAATTTGCAAAGCGCAGTCCAATTTCGTATTCGTTAGAGTCTTCTAATTCCTAGCGCTAGGAATCGAACCACAGCCTTACCACACCTTCGAATTGCGCATGGATACAAAATTAAGTAATATCGTATAGCCATTCCAACCAAGGAGAACCGATCAAATGTTTTTGCTTTCAACTATTTATTGTTTGTTTGTTACAATTCAAACTTACGTATTTCTTAGTAAAATCGGCGCAATCTATTTGCACAGCACTGTCAGTGAACTGGGCTCTTGTGTTGGTTTCGACATTGGACTTGACTGTTCGTGTCGGAGATTTCGTGCCTGAGATCGGAAAGTTGAATTATCAAGTATTTTTAAAAGATACAGTCGGGATCTGTACCTACGACCAACGGCGTACTGTACCGTTCCTAATTTAAGTTGCGTATGTTTATTGGAATTGTGGAGTAATATAATAGTAATAAATAATTTTATTTGGCATTCAAACTAGTAGAAACTGCGCGCTCGTTGGTGCAATATTAGTAATTTCATTTCATTTATTTCATTATAAACATATTCTACCATTACAGAACAATATGCATTGCGACAGAATTACTATATACATATTTCATAGAGTGATGTTTTTGTCACTTCACCCAAGCCAAGAATGTCGAACCCCTATTGCAAGTTGTTGATAACACGCGCAGCACGAACAAGAGGGGATTTCATCAGCAAGTTGGTGCGTGAGTACGGTAGCGCAAGTAACCGCCTTCACACGTATCGGTCTTTAAGTGTAAGGACTTTAGAACGCCTGGCTTCATCTCTCGACCCCGCAATATTTTAACCAGATATATTATAAGGAATAAGGCTCTCTGTACCTTCAATTCATTGTAGCCGACCACACCTAATATGAAAAGAGTCGGATACATAAAAGGATAAAATGGATATAGGTACGGCTAACAAATTTATTTTGGATGCGTTCCAACATTACTTTGTATGTTGTCTTAACATTAAATTATGCTAATAGAATCCACAGACTGATACCAAAACGCGTTTAAACTTGACGGCTTTTTCATCTGTGGACTGTGGTTCGTGACCAGCACGGAAAATTCCTACCATCCATTTAATATCCAGATGCATTATAACTAATTTGTTATTCACAACCAATTTAAATTACCAATAAGGCTGTGCCTTCGTTTTTGACCTCCACAGAGTAAGGTGATGGCGAGAGCAGAGTCTCGAAGGCCATGCACCAGCACCACTTCACCATCACCCTCCATTGATATATTCAATCACCATCCACAGACTAAATACAAATTTTGAGATAAAAAATAGATTAAAAGTCCAAGGTGTACATAGTTAAGTGTAGGTGTATTGCCCTTTTTACATATAAATTTTATTTCCTTGTGTTAACCTTAACATTTTTTTAAATAAAACACTTTAACGGTGTAAAATGCGAAATATATTAATTAAACTTATTCACAAAAGGGAGTCTCCCCATGAACGCGGTAAAATAATCTGTGAATAAATTTAACTATGATAATGATATAATTTCGCATTTTAAACCGTTAAAGTTTTTAATTAAAAAATGTATAGATTGAGAACTGTTTACTTTAAAGCTGCAAGGAAATTAAATTTGATGTAACTTATTTAAAAATCGAAAATAAGTTGAAAAAATTCTCGACTCGGGCAGGAAATTGTTTCGGATTCTTTGCAACAGCCGCGGTCACGGGGAGATTTCTTTGTAAATAAGTTTAATATATTTTGCGTTTTAATACATTGAACCTTTTTTATTTAAAATTGCACGACTCGTGTAAACTACAGACAGTATTTAACTTATACATTTTACCCCATTTAATACTTATTGGTAAACTCACGCGTATTTTCAGCAAACTACGAATTATTTGGACGAGATCTGGCCGGTAACAACTTTTATCGTTCAGCGAACAGAGCCTGTAATTCAAAAGCTTCATGTTTACTTAAAGTACCTCAAATATATTGTATTTAAGAGCTTAACGTACATGATATAATAAAGAAATTTGTCCAATAAATGTCTTTACAAAATAAGGTACAATAATTTAGCAAACGTAGATTTTCTGCTTACATACTTAGATATCAAATGTCACAATAAGATGATGTCAAGATCATGAAACAAATTTCAATGTTCTTTTGTAGTTTTCTATCAAAATAGTTTATACTAATTTAAGAATAGTGAAGATACCAAGAAATCATAATATGTTTGTATATTCGACGGGTCCCCCCTCCCCCCACCCGGGTCTTACATTTTTCTAACCAATTTATAATTTTTCTGAAACATGTCGGACTTCGTCTGGAAACCTGGATATTTAATGGGTAATAAGAATATCGAAATACCGCCCAGGCCACGAACCACCGTCCACAGATAAAAATCTGTAGAGTTTAATCGCTTCGGTTTCAGTCTGTGCATATCCGAATCTCCAAAGCCAAAATAGGTCGGGCGCATGTTGAGTATGGCTGGGTTATAATGTCACCTACCATCAATTAGTGAACTCCGTACTTGTCTGTATTGCTCTATAATAAAAAATATTCTAAAAAAAATTTAGAAACATGGACTCGAAATATAATATGTATACATTCGCCATTTTGTCTAACGGTATAATTTCCAACGTAGATAAAACTCATTACTTATTGACGTCGTTGATTCACCTATTAGTTACAATAGAATTTCTTAGTAAAAGTAAACGGCACATCAAACAGCAAGGTTAATTTTTCCGAACTATATTTTTTCTTTTAAATAAAAACACTTTAAGTTTAAACATATATTATATATTTAAAATATTTTTATTATATAGTATATTGCCAATTAGAAAAATACTAGTCAATTGACCGTAAAATCCATGTATGAAGTTATAAACACATCATTTTCACATGACATCTGACATTGACAATATGTTTTAGATTATTGGACGCGGGTTCTAGACCCGCTTGTGTTATCGATATCCCGATCAAAAATACATAATGAACTATAAAAAATGACAACAATGAAATAGAGCAATAAATAATTTAATTCTAAATTATCCGATACGCAGTTGCATGTCTAACGCACAATTTTGCAATTCGCAAATGACAGTTAATTTGGCGCGAAACATTTCGCAACATGGCCGCCAAAATTCCGTTCCATATCACTGGTCTCGGGATAAAATTTACGAAGTAAACCGTAAAATTGTTACGTCGACGCCAGTAATATTGACGGTTTTATGCACACAAGCAATAAAACATTTACTTAACGTATATTTACGTTGTATGACATAAGCCAAGGCTAACTGCAGTACGGGCTTAGTTCTTTTTTTACCAAATACATATAACGTGTTAGGTCGTATGTGCAAGGTTATCTACTATTCTTATTTTTTACTATCTGACCTGGCAAACTTCACTTTACTATATTAAGTGTTTTGACCCAAATTTGATGACATATACTATCACAAACATTATTTTAGCATATTTAAAGAGGATTGATTCCTCCTTACATATTTTTTCGCTCTTATAGGGGGAGCATGATGTTTTATAGCCTTCATCGATAACTGCTGTAATCAACAAACAAAAAAAAATCAATAAAATCGAATCAGTAGCAGCAGCAGTAGCGTTATTAGCGCGTGCACACAAACTCTTCGGCCATATATAGACGACTTACCAAGTGAAACATAAGTTTCATTCTTGAGCCATGAGACCTTAAAAATCTATATATGTTTAAAATAAACAATTCCAAGTGCTACGTAAACTCTTGCTTCTCTTAATCTTAAAAATAATGTTTGTATTCGTCTTCTTAGTCTTTTCAATTATATTGTTTAGTATATATTATATCGGAAACAGTTAGTCATCGTTAAAACTTTTAACCGTTGACTTATCGCTACATAATCTTATCTTCTGGTACGGAACCCTATAAAATATACTTACGCATATAAAAAAACTCTTGACTTAGCGGTAATTCTTATTCTAGATACAAGTATTTTATTATGTTGTACATACTACGTATAACCGAACAAGCATTTTTTGAGTAAACCGTTACACACATTGAGGTCAAATCTATCGCTATCTTTAAACAAATTACATTATTAACGCTGTGTTTTGATAGACAGACAGTTAATAAAAACTTAACGTATCATTAGTTACATAAAGTTCATAATTGTGTGCCTTTATAAGCGTTCCAAAGATTCAATCACTCATCATTACCTAGTATCTAATTTACTTTTATACGTATTACCAGAAGACTGCGAAACAAAAATAGTAATGGTAGCAAATAAAAACTTTACTAATATCAAAAAGCTCAACAGTTTGTTTATACGCGATAATCTCAGGAACCATTGGTTCGAATTGAAAAAAATAGTTTTGGTTGGATAGACTATTTTAAGCTTAACAGTGGAAAATGTGGAAAACACGGAAAAATTATCCTTGAGAGCTGCCGTTGCATTAGCTGCGAAAAGAGTATAGGAACCAAATAATATGTATGAAAAAATTCTTATTTTTTTTGTAAATGTCAATTACAAAAAATTTTTGTAAATGATTTAAAAAAAATGTTTGCGATAGCTCTTTTAAGATTAACACACGTTTTTGTGCCAAATAAATTTGGTCGGAGTTAATGCTTTATTTATTAGAGTTGCAAACAACAAAACAATGATCTTGGCAAAACATGGCATTTTTAAAAAATTAAGTACAAATTACAATAGAGACTTTTATTTTAAAAGGAAAGCTAATGTTATGCCTCACCCAATCAATAGATTGTTTCGGTCAGGCAGGGCAAAGAAGCCTGATTTTGCCTGTAAAGAAACCAATCAGTGAAACGGACACAGAAAAAGTTGGAGTCTATGGGAAACATTACAGTTTCGATCGGGTAAGGCACAGATATTTGATATGAAGACGACCTATATATTTAAATTGATCCGTGAAATAGACGCGAAAATGTGTCTGGCCCATGTCCAACACGGGGGAAACGGGAATTGATAGCCACTCAACCCTCCTATCATCTCCCAAATGGATTAACGATAATTTTGCATATATATTTACTTCGTTTTCTATACGATGGCCTTATAACTAGTAACCATGGAATTAATAACGAGCTTATTAAAAGGATTTTATCAATCTTCAATCGTATTTTAAGTGTGATAGAGTTGAAAATATAGTTAGTACTATTGTTTATACTAGAAATTGTTAGAGACAATGTAAAGCATAGAACAAGTATTATATGGTCGGAGATAACTTTTATCTATCATTTTCTATTTATTTATCATTTAAAGAAGATTTATTCTTTCATATAATTTTTCTGTTTTCTTGGTTTCAACGAACGAACGCAAATATAATTAATTTTCCCCGTTTCTTCGACATCTCTTACCTACTGTTTCTTCTCTCCTGTTCGTCGCAACGTGATGTTTTATAACCTATAGCCTTTTTTGATTTTAACCTGTAGTTCCTGTGATTAACGGGTTCAAACAAACAAACTCTTCAGTCTCCCCGTGACCACGGCTGCTGCAAAGCATCCGAAACGTCGGGCCGAAGTTAAAAATCATTTTCAAATAAGTTTAACTAATATATCGCGTTTTAAACCGTTAAAGTGTTTTATTTAAATGTGTACTACTCGCGTAAACTATGACAGTATTTAAACTCTTCGTTTTATAATATATAGATTATGTACGTATTAGTATGTAGTTAGAAACAATTTATTTGAATTTGTAACTTAGCATACGATTAGTATGTAGTTAGAAACAATTTATTTGAATTTGTAACTTAGCATACGATTAGTATGTAGTTAGAAACAATTTATTTGAATTTGTAACTTAGCATAAACATAACCGGAAGTTGAATACCTGTTACTATTCTGCTATAGCCTAACCAACTTCATACATCGCTATCAGTCTAAACTTACTAACTTCAAGTTAGTCAAATGATGTCATGCGCACGAGTCGCGCGCGTCGTGTTCCACCTTAAATAAATTCGTTGAAATTTGTTTTAAAATTCGAACGCTCGGTGTTTACTCAATAACTGTCACACATAGCCGTTACTGTGATGTTTTTTATCATTCGCGAATGCTAATCGCTAAATAAGCGTCATGGAGGACGTTTACACTATAAAAGTGAAAACAAAACCCGATGTGAGGAACTTATATCCGTCGGAGAGGCGATATTCGGCTTCCACTGTATCTGGTTTAGCTTGGGTCCACATTGCTTTGGCTGCTACAACATTCCTACTGAGCTGTCTAACTTTAATCACTCCAGACACTTCAAATTTTAACGGTTTCGAAGATTTAGGAAACTCAACGGATACAAGTGGCAAATCCGATTACGTTTTAGTGCTAGCGCCGTGTTTGATAACCATCTTCGCCTTAGCATCTGGCGTAACAGCACTTTTAGCTTCAATAAGATGGTATATAGACAGAAATATAACTTGGTTTTTCATCACCTCAATATTAACAACACTAGTGTCGCTCTCTTCCTTCGTAATCGTCGCCATTTGGACTATAACAGATGATGTGGGGACGGAAATGAAAGAGGTGTATGTACTAAAACATTCCGATGTAATGGTGAGTAACGAAACACATTTTATTATACCCAGAAACGCGACGGATACGAATGTAGATAGTAATATGCTAACAGACAAGGTTTTGTCTATCAATATTTTGATAGCAGCGTTTCTAGAGCTAGTATGGTCTGTTCTGAGCACGAAAATAGCTTTCAGAGGCATGAGAAGCAACTACAACGTAGAGGACACGAGAGGAAACTGCGTCCAAGTAGTGACGACAATAAAGGGTGACATGAATAAGAGGAAAAACAACATAGTCAATCATTATCCGAGTCGGAAGATAAAGAGGATATTTCTGGCGCAGAGCGAGAACGGTTTCTATTTGAAAAACCAGAATTCCAAAGCGAAGAACACGGAAACCAGTTCGGAATTCTACAAGGAACGTATGATGAATTTTTTAAACCGCTGCGCGTCCTTGGAAGGGGTGTCGAACCCGGAACAGACGCCTAGCGTGCGGTCCGAAGTCAACCAGAAGCCGGTACCGAGTACCCCAAATACGAGGGTCACACCGGTCAGTTGGGGTGACTCCCCCGAACATATGGTGTACAACCAGAACAACTTGAATTTGGATAGAATTTTCAATTTTCGACGAGAGGACAAGACTGTCGATAGTAAGGACTGAAGTGAAATAATTCGGAATAAAGTAATTATTAGGTACTGTAGTATTTTTAAAATAAGTAGTAATGAGGTATTTTAATGTGTGCCAAAATAATACATTTACTCAATTTTGTATACTTGACATTAAATACTGTCTGTAATTCACGCGTGTACACATTTAAATAAAACACTTTAACGGTTTGCAGCGCGATATATATATTAGTTAAACATATTTGGAAATTATTTTAACTACGGCCCTAAGTTTTGTCACAATAGTTCTAAGTCGAAATAATTTCCAAAAAAATCAAAATAATATACCTATCCATATCGCATTTTAAACCGTTAAAGTGTTTTATTTAAATACTTGAAATATTCAATGTCTATCTGTGTTATGTAGCATACACAACAAGAACAAACTCTTCTGGAAACCATTGAGGAATATTGTAAAATTTGTGTACCTATAACTTAATCTAATTAGTTTTTGAACCTAAAGAACAACATTTTTATGAGATTATGGTATATTTTTTTTCATAGAATACTCAGTTATATGATGTATGTAATATAAAAATATGTTTGTGAAATAATAAGTATATTTCAAATACTTTCATTGTATTAAATTTACCTTCTTAGATATAATCAATAATATCTATATTTCTATGTTCGTATTGTGTATTTGGAGTTAGTTTTTACAAAAATTATATTTGCTTTTCGTACCATTTAATTTTTATTTAAACCAGAAATAAATATAGTTTAAATAAGGGGGCTACACTTAATCAATCAGTCTTTACATTGTTTTTTTAGCAATATAATTAAGAATTCTATGATCTCAAAATTAAGAATACTCGCAAAAGATATGCCGCTCTGTGGATTATAAAATGTGCTTAGTTACTAATAAACCTCCATACAAGTGAGTATGTATCTCAAAGAATTTTGTATTTTCCTACGAAATAAAATATATTATTGGTAATTTTGTTTTCATTTAATGTGAAGTTAAAATGTAGCACTAAACATAGCATGGCGTGTTTGAATTTTCAATGCTTCCGAATACAGAGGATAGTTAGGTAATAGTATCGCGTCTGTAGGCGTCGATTGGTTAAGCCTGGACGTTCAAATCCCAGGGAAACCAAAAAATGTTTCGGTCAAGCAGGGCACAGAAGTCTGATTAACTACTTGCCTGTTAAAAGAACGGATCAGTGAAACAGACACGGAAATTTGTTCGCCCCATACCCCACGAGTGGGAAACGGGATTACACACACAAGAGATTGGTTATATAGATTTAGTTAGAACATTGTACGATAATACTGAATACTTACTTAGTTACAATAACCATTGTAATATAAAGTGAAGTAAGAGAAGCTTTTCTTGTTAAAAAACGACGAAATTAATTTTAAAGTAAAATATATTAGTTACTATGGAAAATGGAAACTTGATTTCACTTGTGAACGTTTAATTGATTACGTTTCTAAAAAAAGGCCTGACGCTGAAAAAAAAATCGGTAGCCAGCCGAAACGATAATTGTAAAAGTTGTTTAACCTTAAGAAAACATGACAAAATAAAACGAATACCTTTCACTTTTCGCGAAAATATGTTATCTCCGAAGCGATTTTTACGAAGAACAATGGTGGTCGTTCTAAAATGTCGATAACCTCTTGTGAGAGATTTCTGGTAAAATTACTAGGTACATAATATGATATTCAGAGAGATAAAAAATAAGCATCTTTACAATTTGAAAAGCTTGGGAGAATAAGCGTTGGTTAGTCTTTGGAGAGAAAATATAACAATCCGAATTTTATGCGAAACCTAATATCGCTCTTGCACAAACAAATTCGCAATCATATTTTTCGTCTCTTAAAACACAAAATTATATATTAAACTAATGATAGTAAATTTGTTCCTTTGTATGTTAGTAGCCCTAAAAACCATTTTTTTTCACATAATACAGAAGGATATAGATAAACACGCGATTCACTTGATGAAAGACGAAATACGCCTACTACTAAGACCTATGTCTGCTTTGGACATTTGTCTCACTTAAAGGTGAGGTATCTTGATACCAATTAAAAATTACAGTAATTAATATTGTTAATGTCTTACGCAAGCGTACGAAGCTTAGAACCGAATTTATCTTATAAATTTTCGTAAATAATATGAGGCCTCTAGATGCAGAGGAGCAAGGAGAATAACTGCAATTTTGAGACTTGAGTTATTTATATTTTCATAGTCTAAAAATGTTAATCTACAAGAGCACAGTGACTAAAAATTGTTAACATATTTTTTACACAAATAATAGTAGGTACAAATCCATTTTCGCCGAATGAATTGTTCTTTTTACGAAAATCACGTTTTATGAAATAGGCCACTCCGCCTCTAGCAGCCTCATATATAAAGAAACAAATATTATACTGATTACTTTTTTTAATTGAAAACCAAAAAATACTTTCTACTTATAAACAAATTGTTAAAAATACAACACGGATCTTTGTAGGGTTTGACATTAGAGAGCGAGGCATAAACAAACATAGATAATAAATCTATTTGTCAATTAATTCCACATATTGTATAATTGTCCCAACATGAATATTAATGTTGTGAAATTACAACTGCTTTCACGATAACTACAATCACTTTTTAAATTGAAGAGACAAATAATAAAACAACGTTGTTTTCGCAAAAATGTATTTGGCGATGCTAAGAAAAAAAACTTCAAAAACCTTAACACTATGTCTTAGAAAAAAATTGCATTTATCGAAAACATACGATTGTATGTGACTTACTTAAAAATAATCTTAACTAAATGGAACATAAAAATGGTGGGTTTAGTTTTTTTTTTCAGCTATGTTCATATCTAGTAGAGATGCGCCGAGTAACGAGTACCGCGTATTATTCGGCTCCATTTTTTTTTAAACCCGCCGAGTACTCAGCCCATTTCTAATATTTAAGTGTATTAGTACGAAGATATATTTTAGAGGACACGATAGCACTATAGATATAGTGAATAGAGTGATATGACGAATTGTGTGATTGATCCTTACAACCCAACTTGGAGCATAGCGCCGCATTCATTTATGATGACTTTATTTTGAGGTAGAATTGGTAGACTTTTGTGCACTGTAATGCCAAAATACTTTAAAACATTCGTGCTTAGTGCAAGTGGGCAACGCGTAGTCTTGAAGTATTGGTAAAGTAAAAAATAATGACAAAAAATAATACATTACTATAGCGGCGTGCAAGTAAGTAGTAAGTCCGTCAATGCCTAGTTCCAGACAAAGCTGTGTAGTACTTTACTCAAATAATGCGCGGAAATTAAAATTAAGTAGCACAATTCAAAACTTTACAATGACGAAGTTGACGAACAACTAACAACTTTTTAGGCGCGAAAGTAATTTTTCTTTTCACTAAACAGCTTGTGGACAGGGGGAAAAAAAAAAAAAACCCTGGGGGGGGGGCCCCTTTGGGGGCCCGGTTGCGGGGTGAATCGTGTCTTTTTTAAATTGCACGACAATAAATAGATGTGTTTAAACAAGGTCCACTATTGCAGGCCGCTGCTCGACCAGTACAGCAAGTTCGATTTATCTCGAAGAAGGTTGACGAAATAATGCTCAAATTTCCTAGCATGTTTAAGAAAAGTAAATCACAATATAGAACACCTGTATGCAGAGGTATTTAAAAATCGTATTATGTACTCTTACAATAATCTAGTTGTATATGATTTAAAAGTACTGATTGATAAACAAAAATATCGTGCACAGTAAATTATAGAACCACAACATGGAAAAGCACCAATACTGTTATTGAAAAGACCTTAAGGTTAGAGATTAAGAAAAATAAAATGTTTTTAACTTTTTAAAACAGGAAATGTATTAGTTAACTTTGTAAATCAATTTTATCTACGACCCGAAGTTCCAGATGCTTCGTCGGTCGTTGCGAAATTAGTTAACTAATATATTTCGCGTTTTAAACTGTTAAAATGTTTTATTTTAATGTTTACTCGAGTAAACTACAGACAATACTTAAAAGTAACAATAATGCCGTCTAGATAGATAGATGGCAGCACTGTAGCGTATAAAAACTGACAGATCTTTAACATGGCCGATTGAAATGAAAAAGGGCTTACAATACATTTTTATTAGTGATGCGAATAAATAGGGCAGATGTATTCATATATGTTAATAATTGTTCGGCAGTTTTTATGTTTGGTAAGATTGGATTAGATTTATTTTCCTAAATATCACGAATTTTGACGAAACAAGAATAGATCAATATCTATTATCTACCCTATACAAATGACACGTTCTTTCATATATTTAATCAATTTTCTAATTATTTCCCAATTTGTACAGTTTTTATTAGATTAATGCACACAAGTAGGAAAATGTGTCCAATTTGGCGCCACCTAGCCCTAAATAACAATGGTAGACTTTTGTAGTAAAATTGTAGAAATTTTTTATTTTTCTTTTTGACATCAATCTTTTTCTAAATAGAGAATACAATATTGGTCAAGCCTAATGGATCCAGTAGGAATTGATGATCTATTTATTTTGATTCGAAGACTTGACAAATATTACTACGATATTTTTGATTGTTATCAGCCGTAGTTACACTTAATAACTAACATTTTTACGTAAGCGGTTCATCTGTGAAGTAAGGATGTTCTAGACAATCTAACGCCGTTAATCGCTTTGCTGGATCAAACACTAACATACCCTGGAATAAAAAATAGACTTAAAATAAGTTTGTCAAGTCTCTGCTAAGACTAAAGTCAGTAATAACAAGACGGGGAATGTCTTGTTTTGACTTATAAGGGGGTGGGAGGGAGTCTTGAAAGTTCCTACATAATTGTAATGTTTTAGATTTTTTATTCTTTAGATTCTTAGGTAAAAAATGTTGAACAGGGAGGGGGTCGGCCTCTTCTCATATATTAAAATAGGGGGGAAGGGGTCAAAATTTAGCAAAAACATGTCTTATGTAATAAATGAATAGCCCCTAATATTGGAAAAGACTATGAGCTTATATACATTATAATGTAGTTTGTATGCTTTGCCACTTTCATATAAATGAATCTGTTGTAGGCAGCTTCCTGCCTTATATCATTTTTCCACCTTAATTAATAACGAAAATCTACTGTTCTTGTCCTATTATCATTTACTCCAATTAGACAGAAAAGGGCACACACTGTATAAGTCCTTTTTCTTCTGATATTAAATACTATTGTTAAGAACCTTACATAAGATTATACCTTTATCAAATCGAGGGCTTGAGGATGAATCCTAGGTAACACATTGGCAAGATCTTGCGGAGGGTAGTCAGGAAAACTGTCCGCCATGATGGACACATTTTCTGGCCATTCGTGACGTGGCGGTCGGCCTATTAACCTGAAGTAATATAAATGAGATTGAAAATGAGCCAAAGTGCTAGTCTGTAATGTATTGTAAAATTTTAAATTGGTAAGATTAATTTGTTAAAATGATACACTATCATTGTACAATGAGTTCTGGGGTCCGTTTCACTATTCGGTCCTTTACAAGGAGTTTATTAGAATTCTGTGTCTTGCTCGATCGAAACAATCTATTATTTCCACGGGATTCAAAACCCAGGATCATTCAACAATTGGTTACAGAGGTGGTTTGTTGCACAAACCAATATACACATAAATAATAAGACATCAAAAAGATCTCAAATACAGGCTTGATTAATAAATTTTCACTTTAACACTTATTTTAACTTAACCCGTTGGACTTCATATTAATAAATATGTAGTACACAAACTGGAAATTAAAATAATCACATAAAATACTTTGTTATTTTGTGATTCGATGTTTTGTTATTTGGTAGGCTAGTTGGTCTAATGGTAGCATAGAAAGGCTAATAACTAACAGAATAAGAAATTGCAATTCTGTCCAGATAACCAACCATCGTTTACAGAAAAAACCTGTAAGGTTTAAATTAGGTTTCAGTCTGTGGATTTCTGAAAATCCAAAGACAATATATATAGGTCCACGGCGTATCTTATTTAGATGTTATACGGCTGTGATACCTTCCATAATGTGCTATTCCATTTGCTTGCATATTGGTTGTTTGTCCAATTGGAGATTTTCTTTAAATTTATATACTAACAAATATAGTATGCCTACTACATACCTAAAAATACAATGTAGCTGTTCAGAATCGCAGGAGCCAGGTAGAAGTGGAGTTCTTGTGTGTAATTGTGCTAGCACACATGCGCATGACCACACATCTACAGCTGTATTGTAGGAGACTCCGAGTAGTACTTCCGGAGGGCGGTACCATAATGTGACCACCTGTAATGACAAAATTTAACCACTGTTAAAGTCAAAAGGGAAATAAGCTATACTAATATTAATAAACTGAAGAGTTTGTTTGTTTGTGCCGTACTCTCTCAGGAACTTCTGGTTGTGTAGTGAACTTTTTGTGTTGGTTAGACCATTTATACAGGAAGGCTATAAAATATCTGGCTATCGACCAATAGGAGTGAACAATAGAGTATAAAACGCGCAAAAAAAACGAGGATAATTTATTCCTCTTTGAGGAAAAAATGAATAATTCATGTAAAAAAATTATCTTAAAAATCTTTTAAGATTACCTCAAAAGAAGAAGAAGAGGTGTAAGTCTTTATTATTACAATTTGTTTTTATCATATGATTAAACTAACTTTTTGCAGTACATACATGCTCATGAAACATTATAATAAAATTTTTATTTAGTTCTGCTCTACATTGTTTACATTACACAACAGGAGACCCGGTTTCAAAAGAATGTTAATGTTAAGGTGAATTCATATTAATGTATTAAATAAATAAAATATAGGAAACACTGTACTATATTTTTACTACCTTAAATGTTAAGATATTTTAAATGTAACTTACCACACTGGTGAGTTTCATGTCTGTATCATAGGTTTTAGCGAGGCCAAAGTCAGCTAACTTGACACGACCAGAAGAAGTTACAAGTAGGTTGTGTGGTTTCAAATCTCGATGGACAATACGATGTGAGTGAAGAAAGTCCGTACCAGATAGAATATCATAGGACATACTCTGAAAGAAAAAAAAATAAATGACATATGATATACTTTTTTGTGTCGTAGACCCCTTGCCATGTTTTTCTATGTTGGGTACTTAGCTGATATTGATTTCCTGTAAATTTCTAACTGTAGTGAAGTTTAGTGTTAAACTTAAAGTAAAACTACAATTATAATAAGTTTTATATTAGAGTGGAGACATTTATACCCATTTATTATTTTTTAAGTATTTTATTGAAGATATTCCACTAACCCTAATTCTGTTTTCGCTGAGTGGTCCTGGAGCTCTCTTCAAGTATGACTCAAGGTCCTGCTCTACATGCTCAAAGACAAGGAACAAGACTAATTGGCTTTCTCGCTCTAATGACTGTCCACCATGACAAACATCTAGTAATCTGGAAGAAGCATACGAATATATGTTATCATAGCTCAAACGTAACGCTCAGTAGTAAATAAACGGAAATATAAGATTTTAGCTAAAATAAAATTTTGGTTCCTTTAATGAACTTATTAACTAATTTTGGACACCGTCTATTTTAAATCAAACACAACTAACTTATAACAATCTTACTTACTAACTAACTTATATACACTTTAATTTTTTTTCACAAATAGTGAACTTTTATTTTAATTTGCTTAAACAATCTTTTCATTTTATTTTAGAGCAATATTTAACTTGACTACCATTTTATTTAGTACCACAATGCAAGGCAAGCGGTTTTGTCAGCCATAGCATTGGGCATTGACAACAACTTAAAAAAAATATTATAACTCCCAAGTTAATTAAACAATTTCGGAAAATTACCTTACTATATTTGGATGTCTATAAGCTTCTAATTGTCTGAGCAGAGCTATTTCTCTCAATGTAGACAAAGGTATACCATCTTCAGTTAAAGCTACTTTGACTTTCTTCATTGCAACTATTTGACCTCCATTGTGGAGATCTCTCGCTTTGTAAACAGTTCCATATGCTCCTGTTAAAAAAATATTGACTTTTCTTAGTTTTAATAATTTGAAGAATCCTAACAACTTATTGAAGAGAGTTAAGGAGCTGATGGTATTCTCTGATTAAGTACTTTGTGTACAAATCATTCTTATATCAATCCTTAAGCCACATTTTGGATAAAGAAGCAGTATTTATCTAGTAATGTGTGTTTGTACTATGATCCTAAGTCAGATATTTATTCATGTTTATTCTTACCAAAATCTGGCTAAATATTGAAGTCAGGAGGACAGCATAGTGGAATAAAGTAAAATAATTAATAGAACAATTATATAAAAAGTATATAAAATTAGGTACATAAGACATTTAAAAGTTGTAGCATTTTCGATCTATTAAAACATAATTGAATATCAAACTGTCTACATTGCATTGAAGTAGAATACAAATACACTAATAAATGTCATAAGATGAAATTTAGAAGTCATAAACTCATAATTACTTGAAACACATTACTAAAAAAAAAAAATTCAATAATATATCACCATTTAAATAATTTTACATCACTTAACAATTAATGCATGAATTTTAATATCTAGATGTAGAAAGAGACGGCATGATAAAAATTAGTATAAGGATGCATTTTTCGGAAATGTTAATTTAACTGTTGTTACATATGTCGCCGTTCAAGTCTAAGAAAATCTTGGTAACAACTTATTGCTATTATACAAATACTTAATTCAATACAATACAAAACATAAAATGCGCGAATCAACCGGCACATGTGTTTAAAGGTTATATATAAATTAGAAGGTAATAGGTTTTATTAGATTACTTACCTGTGCCGATAACATTTAATTCTTCATATTTTTTAGCTGTCTGGAACAATGCACTAACATCGTTAATAGACGCTAATGTTGGTGGAGAAGTGCTACTACTCGATCCCGACATTTTGATCACTATTTGTTTAAATTTAAGTAATAAACTATTAATAAAACACTTAAAAATGGATGTTCTGGTGTCGGACTTTCTTATATCATTTTAAACAAGTTCTCATAACTTGTCGAAAAGTAAGTAAAAAGTTTTACAAGGACACAGTAGTGTTTAAAGTGGGGTGCGGGAACGGGATGAAACATCAAACAAGTAAAAATTATAAAACACCTGGCATATTATACGGCTCACACAATCAGCACATAAGTAGCTTTCACTGTTTGGATATATTGTAACCCTTACATTGTCAGGATTATAATTACTTGAGTTACTGTCATTAAACTAGTGTAATGACACATTGGTTTGACATTACACAGCGCCATCTATCTATAGTTCTATACATCTATATTTATTTTTATTTTCTATAATTTAGAGATATTACAAGTATTTCTGGAGATATTTAACGAAAATCATAGTAAAATATGTCTTGATTGGAATTAATCAACATGATATTATTTTCTGGTTGTTATGAGCGCTCATTACCAGTACTTTATAACTCAACACTTTATTTTCAGTGCCCTCTAGAAGTGATAGTTATTAAAGTTTTAGAATAAATTACTATATTATATACGTTCTTTACTATTAACATTCATTGGAAAATGATTAAGTCAAAAGTGCTAACACAAAAAGAAAAAAAAACAAAAAAAGGTGTCAATGGGCTCGTCCGGGATTTGAACCCGGGACCTCTCGCACCCGAAGCGAGAATCATACCCCCTAGACCAACGAGCCACACCTATCTTGGACCAAATTATAATTCAGTTTACGTATCCATAATTTATATAAAACTATTTACAAATTATGGTTAAATTAATACATATTATAAAGAAGTTCCGCTCCCGAGACTCCTTGAGGGCGATATAAAATCCTTCTATTATACGAGACCGAATAAAAAAAAAAATAGTGTAAATATATTTGTGAAAGAGCGATAAATACAACGTTTAAAAGATCGCCAGATATTATTGCAACAAAGGTAAAAATGATAAATATTATACTTGACCTATGCATCAGCGGTAATAGTAGCTAGGTACTTCATCAATTAATTATTATTAGGTACCTATTAACCTAAGTACTCGTAAATCTTTGTAAATTAGTGGGTACTACATATCTTTACGGTTTTATATTTTCTGAAACGGAGTCTATATATAGTATAGTTACACCTCCCAGAGCTTATCATATACGATAAGTCGATTGAAAAATAATTTTGTAACAGGTAGATATTATAGAAAACACCTATAGTTTTTAGAAAGTTGAGCGCGAAAGGAGAAAAAAATTACCGCTATATGACACCCTCTAACTAGCTCTTTCTTTTACTTACACTGTGAATACTCTATCCTTGTCTTTCAAACGAAGAGAATTCATTGACGATTCAGTTTACTTTGAAATACGCTGCGCGCGCCGGTGAATATGGCGGCTGTATTTACGTCAAAAATTATTTAGAAACTTTTTTGAGACTTAATTTATTTGTTCAGTGATCGACAACTAATGTTTGTGACGAAATAAGTTTATTATTCGTGTAATTAAATACGATCTGTGTTAGCGGAACCCGTGTATGGTGAAAGTTTCTACTAAGAAAATGTGTGACGTTTTTTTCTACATTTAACATACTTTTGAATTGCTTTATAAATGGGATTATAATTACGATTAGTGTAAGTATTTTTGTATAAACACATAATATATTAGATAATATGCGAATAAACTTGGTATCCAACTGAAAGCTGCCAAAAGCAACTTCCGATATGAACCGGAAATATTTCACTTTGAACAGCTGTTAATACCCCAATTGAAGCAATTTCTAATGGTGTCCAGATTCTAAAGTTCTTTTAAAATATTTTTATTATTTCGTTTGCTTTTATATTGATCTAATATTGTTAAATTGTCCGAGAATATTATTTTTTAAAGATATCTACAAACTGCCAGTAAACCCATATATACCTATCTAGCTAGCAATAGTTATTAAAATGCTCTCAGGTTTTAGATAAGTCTGTTAAATGAAGCTGAAGACAATTATGGAAGAAATAGAGAGAAATGTTTGGTGCTTCAAACAGTCGTAAAGAACATGGTAGTAATAACGCATTCCTTGAATTATATCTAAGACAACAAAATTGATTCAAACCTAAACGTCCAGCTCATTTATCAAAAATTTTCTAATTTCCATGCACTCACCTACATAGTCTTCTAGCGTGACCCGCATCAGTAATTAATGTAGTCTGTAGAAACAAGCGGCGCGCGAAGATAAAACTATCGGAATTTCCTCATTAGTATTGACGAGATCATTGTTGTAGTGGTAGCAATGTACGGCTAATAATCAACGGGTCGTGGGTTCGGTCCCATCCGGGTCCAAAATTTTTCTAATAAATGTATAACTTTTCTGTAACAAGTTGGGTTTCTGGAAATCTGGATATTAAATAGGTGGTCGGAATATCGTAATTCCATCCGGGCCACGAACCATTGTCCACAGATGAAAAAGCCGTGAAGTTAAATCTCGTATATGGTAAATGATATATATATCATATCATTTATCAACAAGTAAACCCCAAGCTCATCTGTCCTCCTTTATAATAAAAATAAAGTCTTTTAACTGCCATAGCATTTCCCCTTCAAAAACTTTAAAAAAGGATGCTTTACTTCTGTTATGATAAATGGAGGATTTGTCTGCATTCTCATCTTGGGGAGACATAAATTCATTCATTCGAGTTCTCAGCACCCTTAAATAAAATACTGATCTGTGAAACACAAAGATATCTATTATCCGAAAGCTGTTATGTGCCGTCATGTAAAAAAAGTATAACCTAAGCTTTTTTTAAAACAAAATAAAAAAAAACTATGAAAACGTACCGTAAACGTATACAGAAGAAAAAAACGATGGATTTGTATCAATTAAATAATGAAGAAGTAAAATTTTGAGTTTCCTGTTATATGACTTAAACACTTAATGAAAATGAAAAGATAATGAGGCTTACTACAAAAAGAAAAGTTATTTTAATAAACAAAACACATTCAATTACCCAAAATTATGAACCGTGAAGGTTGATGAGTGTTATATTTCAGAAAATTTGAAGAATACGTAATAATTTTCTTTGTATGTTCTTTATTAATTAATTTTACTATCGAAGTCGTAACTAAAACATCTTGAGATGGCCTTAACAGATAAAAAAAAACGCCCGGACACAAACCACTGTGCACAGATGTGTAAAGTAGTAATATTTTCACACTAACATTTTAGCCGTTTAAAACGCGAAATATATTAGTTAACTTTTTTGAAAATGGTTTAACTAGCTTGTTACTTATGTCGCGTTTTAAACTGTTAAAGTGTTTTATTGTTAAGGTACCCCTCGCGTGAACTGCCGACACATTTTTCACATGTTATGAAATTGAAAAAAAAATTACGACACGGGCGGTACATGAAAGGCATCCACATCTTTTATTCCACTGGAGTAGAAGCGATGGAAAGCTGATGATACAGGTTTCTCGAGGTACGCGCGTTTGTTAATAACGTATGAGACATATTAAAGTTATTATATAAATTCAATTAGTTAGAGTAACTGCAACGCTGAGGATGTCGGTTTAAGTCCTGCCTGAGTCGTAAATTTTTTTCAATTCAATTTTTAATTTACTTACGTCATAGAATAAACCGCGTTTCAGATTTAGTATGTGGATTTACGAATGCCATAGGGCTAAATACATAGGTGTTAATAAGTCTGTAATTTCACCTTCCATCGAGTTAACCTAACATAAAAACAAAATATATTAATAGACACGATTTGTGTTAAATAATTGTCAGGACAGCTGCTTGAAATAACATAGATTTTTTTAATGATAGTGGAGGGTTCACATGATGGTAGGTGATAAACCCCAGCTTATAGCATCTATTTTGGCGATCTAGATATGCGGTATCCACAGACTGAAATCGACACGCGATTAAGCTGCACGGCTTTTTCATCTGTGGACGGTGGTATTTTATATCCAGGTTTCCAGATGAAGTCCAGCATGTGTCAGAAAAAATAAAAAATTGAAAATTTTTTAAACATGTTAGACCTAGTTGTTTATTAGCAATACATTGCTAGCATCGAAGTGATTGTTAACTAAAATACTATCTTATTACAACTAGCTTCGTAAACGTGTTGTCTCGTCATTATAACGGTTTTAAAACAGGTGCCGACTCGTAACCTACATACTTTTCATTCAAGGTATCCGTAGCTAAAGCCCTTGAAGCTGTTACAACCAACAAACAAAAAAGGACAGAAAACACAAGAACACATTAAAGAAAATATTTTTTGTCTGTTTTTAAACGAAATATTGGTTTATTTGTTTTTCTAATGAAAACTGCGGTTCTGAAGTGGCGGGTCGTTAAAAATAAATGAACTCTAGATATTTCGCGTTTTTAAACCATTATATATGTTCAATAGCTTTAGCTTGTATCTCTAAAGAATAATTCGTAGTTCAAAGTTATACACGAAGACTAAGTTCGGAATTTTGTTATTCGCTAGAAAACCTGGGTCCAAATCCCAGTACATATCTACTTAACGTGACAATATGTTTCAGCGGAGCACAGTATAGAAGTTACATGATTCTCCATTTATTTAAATAAGGTAGAATAGGGTAAACAGGTAAAATTTTAATACACCAGGACTCCAAATGCATCAGAGTCGTAGTTCTTTATTAGAATAAGTTAACTATTTATTTTTCATTTAAAACCGTTTAGTAATATTTTATTTCAACCGTCATATACATATAGATATAGTTATATGTATTACATATACCTTAAAAACAAATGAAAGTCACGATCGCGAAGAGCTTCTCTTAGTTAGAACTGGCTATTACAAGCCAAGCACTCAGGTGGCGACCGGTTTCCGAGCTATTTGGGTTACCGATACACGCCCTATATGTAACGATTTGATTATTTGAGAAATTCCTGTATATGCGATGGAATGTCTCGTGCGTAACTTGTGAAAGTAGGCATCACGCGACATAATCTTTGAATTATATACCGTACTAGCTGTGTCAGCGACTTCGTCCGCGAGAATCGTTACTTTGGGCATCCAAATTCGTTTTTGCAAACCTTTATAGACTTCAGCTGTTACCCACGACGTCGGTCGCGTCCCTGCCCGTCGTTTTTGCAAGATAATCTTAAAAGATAGACTTGTACTGTCGCGGACTTTTTTTAGATTATTTAAAGAGGAATCATACTTTTATACATATTTTTTGGTCTCTTGAACAGCTTTCGCAGCGTTCGTAACGGAAACACACAAAGATGAATAATTTTCCTAGTTTTTTTCCACATTTCCCGCTGTTTCTTCGCTCCTATTAGTCGCAGCGCAATTTTGTATAGCCTATAGCCTTTCTCGATAAATGCTCTAACGGACACGGAAATATTTTGTTTGAAATAGTAGTTCCTGAGATTAGCGCGTTCAAACAAAGAAACAAACTCCTCAGCTTTATATATTAGTATAGTTGAAAAGAGAACAAATGTATGTCTTTTCATATCAAATCAATAAAATCTACAGTTTCCTAATTATTGTTGAACAGTTAAACTAATTTCTGTAAAATAAAATTAAAATAATATAATTGCACGAATAGAAACCTAAGCGCGTATCGAGGACAGCATACCAGGACAAACTTCTTATCAAAACCGCTACGCGTGGTTGTAGAATGACTACTTACATTAGTAGTCATTTAGAATACCAGAGAAATACTGTCTCTAGTTTACGCGAGTAGTACAAATTTAAATGAAACACTTTAACGACTTACAACGCGAAATATATTTTAGTAAAACTTACTTGAAAATTTTTTTAACTACGGCCCGACGTTTCAGCTGCTGTAAAGCATCCATAATTTTCTATTGGTTAGAGCAATAGCACGGAACGCCGAGGCCCTCCTGCTCCAGTCGTTTTTTTTTTTAAATTTATAATCCATTTTTAATTTATGTTATGTGATTATTTATTATGCTACTACAAAACACTCGCTTGACACGGTAGCAGTTTGAATGGCGGCACGGAGCTCAGTGGATGCAGGTTCATGTTCCGCCCTTGTCATATTTTTTTCAATATAAATCTTTAATTAATTAACTCTACATCACATTCATTTGATAGTCCCATTTTTGAATGAAAGAACGAAAACAATTTATTTGCCATCATAAATGTTTACAAAAAAAACTTAGTTAAACGCGATATATACTTTAAAAACACAAATTAGGTAACCTACTTTAGATTTAAGGATGAAATAGTAGGGGGGCCAAATAGTTCCACAAAAGCGGCGAGCGAAGAATTTTTACTGACGCCCTCCACTTTAGCTCCCGTGACCACGGCGCTGCAAGCATCCTCCGAAGAAATCATTCAAAAGAAGCCGTTTTAAAGCGAAAAGATTAGTGCCATCATAAATGTTTACAAAATTCATTTGAAACTAAAAAAAAAAAATTAGGTCCCCTAAGATTTAGGGATGAAATAGGAGGGCCCTACGGATATGGTGGATCACTGTTTTTAAATCTCATAGTTTTAACAGCCACCTTCGTTCTGAGGACATTCCAGATACGTAAATCCTGGGATTATTTTTTTAAGAAACGGTCGTTTAAATTAATGTCGGGTCTTTGGGTAACTTTTAAAAAGTAGGTTGATAGGATTGACGCGTTATATTATGCAATACGGCTTGTCCCAAACATTGCAACACGCGTCGCAACCGCACAGTGTTCTCTGACTCATAAAACTATATCCGTTTGTGTAACGTATGTGGGTTAACATCTTTAAGCATCTATATACATGTGAAATGGTGTGACGTCCTATTGTGGATAAACTTGTAAATAACAGGCCGATTCGATTCCTCTATGACATTTGATTTGAAAATACTTCTTCATGCACTGTCTGTAGTTAAAGCGAGTAAAGTATTTATGCGTACGCATTTAAATAAAACACTTTTAACCGTTCTGAAACGCGTAATATAGTAGGTAGTTAATTCATTTACAAATACATAACTACCTGCCCTAAGTTTCCGATACTTTGCAGCAGCTGTGGTCACGCAAGTCCCATAGTATTATCGCATTTTAAACCGTTAAGAGGGTTTGATTTAAATACTTTTTTATTATTATCATGAAGGTATCATCTGTATCCTACTAACAAGTAACTGTGTAGAATATATGTAGATTCTTTATTGACCTTTTGTCTTGTTCTTTGTAGTAGCTTACATAAGCTCTGCTGTGCATTGTTATGTAAAAATTGAAGGTGTTATTTATTATTAATTATTATTGTGTATGGGAATCGTCTTTAGTAGACCAAAGAAAAAAATGTATTAGTAGGACATTCACAGTCGTGGTCACGGGTGGCTAATATTAATTCAAGACTTTACGTATTCGTATGTATATATAACAGTGAATTCTATGCAGTTCCGAATCTGTATTCACAATTCATACGTGAATAAACAACGGTAACACATAATTATTCGACACTCGTCTGACCCGCGGTTATGTATGGTTATAGCATTCGTCATTATGGCTATTGACAGGCGTGGTCTGAAAGCGTCAAACCGGAATAATGACCTAATTGAATATAGGTCGACTACGCATCGTAATTAGATGTTATAGGACGGCAATCTACTTACTACGAGGAAAACTTTATCATCTATTCGACTCTATTATAAAAATAAGTATAATCAAAAACTTTGATTTGTACGTGTATTATTATGTGCGTTATTAAGATATGAAATCATTGTAGATTTGATTAAGCTATACTAATATATAAGCTTGTTTGTTTATTTTATGATCATTGATATATTATATCTTTTAGATTAACTCAATAAGACGGGAAGGGACGCGAACTATATCCTTGGTAACAGCTCAAGTTTATAAATTTGAAGAGGTTTGAAAAAACGAATTTGGATGCCTCAAATAATGATTCTTGCGGTCGCAGTCGCCGAGCAGCTAGTTATTATTTAAAAAATCTGGGTATCTTTCTTCCGTTGTGTTAACTAGCTTAAATATATACTTTGAAAATAATTTATAAATTGAGAATAGTTTATTATTTTGACGATGTAGTGAAAGCCCGTTTCCCCCTCGTGGGGCATGGGGCGAGCACATTTCTGTGCCCGTTTCACTGATCCGTTCTTTTAACGGGCAAGTAGTTGATGAGACTCCTGTGCCCTGCCCGACCGACCCAATTTTAAGTTTCCCTAAGAGTCGAACCCAGGGCCTCTCGCGTTTAAGGCAATGCTAGGCAATACGTTTAATCATTTGGCTATAGAGGCGGTCAGATTCATGTGAAATGACTAAATAGTTGTAAGTTTAATTTAATACATGTATTTGTGACCAAGTGACAACAGCCGTAAAGCCATCCCTAACTTCGTGTCGTAATAAAAATAATGTCTGTAGTTTACGCAAGAACACATTTGAATAAAACACTTTTAAACGATTTAAAACGCGAAATGTATTAGTTAAACTTATTTACTAATTATATTAACTACGGTCTAATGTTTCGCATGCTTTGCAGTAGCAGCGGCCACGGGTAGACGGATAAATAAAGTTAACTACCTCATACATTTTACGTTTTAAACCGTTATAAGTGTTTTATTAAAAAAATACATTTTCTATTACATTTAAGTGTATGATTAACTAATATATTGCTTTTTAAACAGTTATGTTTTATTAGTGTGTACACACGTAAAGTAGTATTAATTTTTTTTGTTCTCTTTTTAGGTGACAAATGTATACAACGAAATTGACGATCGATATAAGTGAGGTTACGTTTAAGTGATGACTCTTTATGCGAGGGTAGTGTGAACGGAAAAAAGATGGCCGCCGAAAAATGGCGGTCGCGGTGCGTGATTGGTGCAGCGCTTCTAGCCTGCATGGTACAAGTTATAAGTGGTAAGTAAAATTATTTTACTTGTTATATCAATTTTATAAGGTTTTTGGGGCTAAGTTGCAGAGGTTTTTGAGTTTTCTAACTGTTCGGCGACGAACACGCTATCTCTCCTGATGATGTCATCCGTAATAACGCCACAAACTTTTGCAAAATGGCCGCGAAGATCTTATAAAATTTATGTCTACTCCTTATAGCTTAAGCTCATAACCGTGTTCCCAAGTAACTAGAACGTGAGAGGTCCTGGGTTTGAGGCCCGGGTAAACGAAATAATTCCAGTCTGGTAGAGCCTGTCCTGTGCCCTTTAAGAGGGCAGGTCTCTTAAATATCTTAAAAGTATCATAAATATGTGTGTAATATATCACAATAATGTATGTGTTTATATTTCATGCCTTTTACAGAAAATTACTATAAAAAAATATTTTAATTTAAAGTATACAAAGCAATAATAAATTTATAAAAGCATAAAAAAGTTAAAATATCTACTATGAAATTATTGTCTTGAAATATACACGCGTTGATGTCTTTTAGTCGCGAGAGAGCCTCGTTTAAGACACTACTGTAATTATATCGCTTATCAAAGACATTGATTTGAAAATATATATTTTTTATCATATGATATATGTCTTGACCTTTTAGATCTTCCTAGTAGGCCAAGGAAAAATGCGAGGGACGCAAACTTGTGGTAACGAGCGTTTAACTAGAATGTAATTGAATTTATAAAGATGTGAAGGAGGTTTGCAAAAACAAGTCTTGATACCGAAAACAACTGCTCCACGCGGACGGAATCGCTGGCACAGCTAGTGTGTTATAAAATAATGTTTTCGCCGAATATTAGGCAGCGATGTTCACTCGTGCGTGGCTCAAGGACTTTAGGTCATTGGACGTCTTTTGTCGATCCAAGAGCTTTTTTTGAGATTTCAAGTTTTTATTCGAAGCTGCTGTTAAGGAATGTGACTTGCTTAATAGGAAAAATAAACGATGTCTGCATATGCTTTGAATAAAACTTATTATTTCCGTTGAATAAATATCAAATTGCACTTTTAAATTATTATGTTATAATAGTAAGTAAATAAAAAACCCACTTTTGATAAAAAAATTTATTCGGACGAATATAAAAATATTATATATTCGTCGGGACTCAAACTTACGTCCACGTTATAGCGTATTCAATCATTTTATTCAATTTAATATTAAAAATTTGTACTTCCACTTTTAATACTGGAGTAGAATTATTAGTAATAAATTTTAATAAAATAGCAAAATGCGGTTTAAAGTATACTTTTGTTTTGATTGTTATAAATCCTAATTTAGAATTCTATTTCAAACTGTCCGTAGTTTACGCGACTAGTAACACATTTAACTACTTTTAACGTTTTAAACCTTAGTAGTTAAAAATATTTTTACTACGGTCGACGTTTCGTCTCCCCTTCAGCTACTGCTAAGCATTTGAAATGACGGGCCGTAATTAAAATAATTTGTATATAAGTAATATTACATTTCGCATTTTAAACCGTTTAATGTGTTTTATTTAGATCTACACATTTCAGTCGAACACTTCGTTTCTTTTAATCAACTTAGAAATGATGGACTTTCAATTATTTTCTTGTGAATGGAAATTTTAAATTACCTTATCCAAACAAAGCTATAAGACAGTTTGATATCGTCAATTTATTTTTGAAGCCACCACCATAACCTAAGTATTGCGCAAGCGCAAATGAAATTGCAATGAGTAGCAAACGTCGGGCGACATGATACTTTCACCGGGGCTTTCGTTTTCCTAACTATTATATTACACTCTCGGTTGCGGTCAGATCAAATACCTTTATCTGGGGTTGAGATAAGCGCTGGTCTAATGGTAGCAGTGTATAAACGGGCTATTTAACAATGCGAAAAATATAGCATCATTACTGTTATCAGTATTAAGTTTAGAAATAGTAAAACCAGTCACATAATATGTAAAAAATAATAATTGATTTAATTTAAAAAAACACAAATAATTTTTAAAACGAAACAATTTGGTTTCTTGAACCGTTTTCGAAACGCACGCATCGGAAGCACTAAAAGATCACTCTCAGATATATTCCTCTGTTTGTTCGCTCCTATTGGTCTCAGCCTGATGATCTATAAAAAAGCCTCCTCGACCTAACTAACACAAAATTTTTTTTTTTAATTTAAACCTGAGATGAGCGCGAAACAAACAAACTTTTCAGGATATATATTTTTTGATATCCTGAACCATTTTCGTAGTCGCATCGCACTGTTTTAGCTTGCTCTAACCAACACAAAAATAAATTTTTAATTCGAACCAGTAGTTGCTAAGATTAGCGCGGTCAAACAAACAAACAAACTCTTCAGTTTTATACATAAGTATAGATAGAAAAGTACATTGCTTCCTTTGCTTGCATAACACTTCGCGATGTCAGAATATATATGTATAGTGTTCAAAGACCTTGCGTGAAAAGCTACAAGTAAACAATAAATTATCAAGAATCTACCGTACGATTGGCTAATAAAATGATCATGAATAAAAGAAATACCTAGCACCGTTTATATAACGGGGAACGACTAACGGCTCGTTCACATACCATCGCACCGCACCCTACGATACACTATTCTTAACTTGTTTACAATTATTGTTTTTTACATATGGAGGCCACCTTTTTGATACTATCACATGGTTTCTCTTCGTGTTATAAGTTTTAAAATTAGAACTATTGATTAAAAATCGAAAACAAATTGAAAAAAGTTTCGACTCGGGCAGGACTTGAACCGACATCGTCAGCGTTCCGTGCTGTTGCCAATTGAGCTACCGAGTCCTACCTCATCTTCGAATTTTCAACTTATCGATACTTGTGTATTAGAATTATTGAATTAAAAACCGATTTTAGATTGAGAAAATTTCACAGCACTGGCGAGACTTGAATCAACATCCACAGAGTTCCGCGCTGCTATCCTATTGAGCTACCGTGTCATACTATCGATTTAATACTTTAACTATAAGTTATTACACATTTAAATTTCGAATTATATATTCACAGTGCCTAAATGTCCACAAAAACTCACACACTCACACACACACGCACACACAGGTGCAGTATTTATTATGAAGTACCGATTTTAAAGCAATTATTGATGTTTGAGCCCAACCTCTAACACAACATGCAGGCGATATTAAGTGGAGTGAAAGCGCAGTTACCATTGTTCCCGTGCGTTATGTCACCGCTACACAATTATACGGGGTTCGGTTCCCAGCGGCGGTAATTGTTCTATTAGATACGGATGTGTGGTTTTTCTTGCAACGGAGCTTGATTGTGGAGACCTGTTCTGGCAATTAACGATTCGTGTGAATATAAACGCATATAGTTTCTTGATAGAAGATGCCGTTAACCGCTTTCATTTCGTTTAACTATATATGCATCTATAACTGCGCTGGTCATCTAATGACGTGTGTGGTCATCTAATAATTCGCCGAAAATTCTTATGTCGTCACATTTGGGATTTTGGTGACTCAAGCACCCATGAGAGTTTCACGTCTGGGATATTAAAGATATTGCTAAAATTGCAAGGTCGAAAAATCTTATCATATTCTTCTACTACAATGCCAGCAGCAACTGAATACCAACATACTTACTGTCTTACTCAATAAATTGTATATACGTAGAGATCTTTGTAAAACTTTCTCTTAACTCTAGTTGTTCATAATTTTATGTGTTTAAATTCAAGCCATGTGAATAAATTTTTGATGTTTACATATATTTTTTTCAGGTCAGTTTCAAGGAACCAGCGGGCATGCTGAACAACAAGGCCTAACACCTTCAAAAATACGACGCAGCCCTAACTACGACTATGATATTAGACCTACAACACTATACAACAACGAAGACAATATTCTAGATGAAAAGGTTTTGGAACCTAGCAGAGATACCAGATCTATAAACGTAGATGTAATTCCATCGAGCAATGACAACGAGATAGACAACGAAATTATTATTAATAGACGTAAATACTACGATATAACTCCGACGAAGACATTAGATTATTACAGAGATGATGATCCTATGATCCTATCATCAGGGTTCGGCGATAAGCTAGATTTTAAGTTTCCGGGGGAAGGGAAGAGGGCTCTGAAGGGGCGTGCACTAGCACCTACAGAGCCCAAAATGCGGCCCACTGCAGTGCAACCTCTGTTTGCGACAGCCCTTAAGGAAGAAGGTAGACAGAACACTGAAATACAGAATATTATTACCGGTATAGTCAAGTTGTTAAATGGCAATGTTAATGTTCAAGCAAATTCACAGCTCTTGAATGGTAGGCCTAGGCCGATGGCGTCTCGTATCAACAATCGTGGTCCGCCGCGAATTTCGGACGTGCCTTCCTTATCCGATTTCGATTCTGTAACTCCGCCTCACTCGTTTATCCCCACCAAAACTCCACCTCCGTATCCTTTCGATAGACCTCATGGTGTCAATTTACCTGATCAAATTGTACCACCTATGAATCGGCCTTTCCATAACAGACCGATACCGCCGTGGCAGAGACGTCCACGGCCCCCAAACAGACGGCCCAACCCTGGACTGCCAATTTACAAACCGCCTCCGAATTATGAGAAAGAGTCCAGTGAAGAGCATTCAGATAATGTAGTACACCACGATGATATATCTCATATAGAACTAACAACTGAAATTAAAAACGTTACTGAAATTGAACAAGTATCTAGTACTACTGAAGCTGCCAAGATATCAACTACTACTTTGGAAATAACTACGGAAAAAGATATACCGAAATCGACTACCGAAAAAGAAACGACTACCACACAGCAGAGCACAACAGAAAAGCAAACACCATCAACGCAGAAAACTACCAGTCAGAAGCCAATTGAAACCACTCCAGAAATAGAAAAGACCACTCAGAAAGCAACGACGGAGAAAATAAAAACTGAGAAACCTAAGGAGAAGGATAAAAAGAAAGATTCGTTCGTCGCAGATAAGAAAGATAAAATTAAATCAGATGCCCCAGATAAGGTTGCGAATGAATCATACGCTGAAGTGATTCAGTCGTCCATTACTGAAGTGAAAAATGAAGGTCCCATAACACCAACAGAAACTCTCAGTGGTAACACCGCTGCGATTGCTTCTTCAACGGATCCTGTAATCGAGAAAACATCTATTAATACCCAACCTATACCAAGTAAGTTTTGTTTTACTAGTAAATAGTGACAGGCTTGTTTGTCTAATGGCAGCAACGTATTGCTAATAATCAACGGGTCGTGGGTTCGCTCCCCATCGGGTCCAACATGGTACTGATCAATTTATAAATTCGTTGAGACATTATCGACTTCGTCTGGTAGGTCGTCAAGTTTAATCGAGTTTCAGATTTAGTCCGTGGATTTTCGAATATCCAAAGCCAAATAAGGTCGAAAGCTCATTTTCTTTTGATGTTGTATATGGCTGAGTTATTTCACCTTCTATCAAGTCCTCCCTCCCATATGGCCGCTCCCATGCGGTCCTCCTCTGTTATAAAAACAATCTCACTTTAACCCACAACATATAAAAAAATACCGTTTCTTACTTAAAAAATATATATTCTAATTTCAAACGCTGAAATTGAAGTTATTTTTACATGCTATAATATTTAATTTCGTTTTCAGCATCTCAGGGTATACCGTACCAGCCTTACAGACCAAGACCGGGTATAGTCCTGGACGATACTGATTTCAAACCGCATGGAACCAGATTCAGACAGGATGTATCAGTGATAACAGCTGAGACACGTCCACCAGGGTACGGAGAGATCTTCGACGTGACTGTGTCAGCGATACAAGGTCCTGGTGAAAAGGGGGGTTCAGGTTAGTCTCCATTTACATATTAAACTTATCAAAGTATTGAGTGGTCTTATTGCAATGATAATAACTTAGGGGCAAGCCTAGGTATTTTGGGAACTATTACTACAGTTACATTCATTTAATTCATAAAAAGAAAAGAAAATCTATTGAAAATTAATTTACTGTTGACTCTCGTTCTTGCGAAACAAATAAAGTCTTCTTGTAATAATAAAAACTTTTGAAGTCCATACGAATGTGATTTTTCAAGTGGTTTATAGTAGAACAGTTATTGGATGATATTTATTTAATTAGTACGGTAGTGTAACCAATTACACGAATTAATTAATTATACATAAACACATAAAAGAAGCATCATAAAATTTAAAACATATATGTATTAATCAAAGAATTGCAATTATCAAGAAACGTTATCATTATAATTAAACAACTGTCAAGGGTTAGTTTAAAAGTAACAATTGTAACACTATTTAATCTATATACAAACACAAAATTTTGTTAATTTAGAAAACAGTTACAATTAATATATTTTAGTAAAGAAGTGTTACGATGTCGCAAGTTTACTTTGTCTTTTGTTTCTGTGTAATCAATGTCTTTCTTTTGGCAGAATGAAAAAAAAATGTATTAGAAAAAACAAAGCTGTTGAAAAAATAAACTAAATGAATATTGTTCAGATATAATAAAAAAAAAACAATAATAATTTATTTATGTAGGTAGTAGGTACAAAAAATAATTAAAAATTTAACACTCTACATTTACAGTTACTACCAGTTATCAAATTAATGAACGAAAAGAACTGGCAAGAAACTCGCCGCCACTCCCTTTGTCAAGTTTTTGTTCTCGTCTAGTAAATCCTTCCGCACTTAATGTGTACATTTTCTTTCTTGTTAGATCAGGTTAGGTTCAACCGGTTTTTGTAACTTATTTGACATTTCTTAATTTCCAGTCCACATAGAAAACATAAATCTTCACCAGCATCACGATGACATAATTGTATCGCCATCTGGTGAGCAAGGATTCGTTTCGATAGATGGAAAACGGACGTACCTGAACCTCTTCGATACCAGCACCAGCATCAGTGCTTCTAAAGTCCAGACACCACAACCAACTGGTAAGAGGATCACTTGTTTCACAATTTTTTAAAAGGATTTTTAATCTTCATAGATACTGTCTGTACACATTTAAATAAAACACTTAAACGGTTTAAAACGCGCTGTATATATATAAGTTTAACTAATATATTGCGCATTTTAAACCCTTAAAGTGTTTTATTTGAATCTTAGTAGTATAAGCGATATCGCGTTTTCCCTGAAAGGGCAGACGTACTTTTGTGGCTGTTCAATAATCAATTTATTTACAAGCAATTAGTTGGCAACCCTGCCCGACCACTACTATACCATCTTCAGTCCCCTTGACGGAGGCTGCTGTAATGTTGGGCCGTAGTTAAATTTCTTACATCTTGCGTTTTAAACCGTTTCATTTTTTCTTTTGAGAAACGGAGCACATTTTTTACTTTAGGTAATACAAGTGACGGACAGACACAGCGTAATTCTTATGTATATACACAATTCTATAACGCTATATCCGAATACCTGAAATAATAACACAAAATGGCGAATGGTTTGTTAAACAACAATTTTAAAAATATTATTTATTTCCATACGAGATACCGGAAGCGACATAATCTTAAGTAAATACTCTAACCTTATTTCAGTGCCCCCACAAGCATCGCTGGGGCCAGCATTGGGAACGGGTGTCGCTATCCCAGCGGATGATGAGCAGCAGCCGCCGATACGACGACCGCCTGTACATAGGCCTCAACAGACATACAGACGGCCACAGCCCACTGTTAGGTAAGACAAAGGGTCTAGTGGCATGTTGATGAACGCATATGGGTTTATGATGCTGATGATGATGAATTATTATATAACATTAGGATCTCTATGGGCTTAATCAACGTAGTTATACAGAGTAGAGTGAGTTTCAAGTGATGGAAGGTGCGCTGTTGATCTTTCTTGACTTTGGATATTCTTAAATTCATACACTGAAACTACGCGATTAAACTTCACGGTTTTTTTATCTGTGGGCGGTGGTTAGGGACCCGAATGGAATTTCGATATTCCAAAGAAAATAATATTAAAAACTTATTTAAGTAAAACACTTTAACGTTTTAAACGCGCAATATATTAGTTAAACTTATGTATTTAGAAATTATTTCGAAACCGGGGAGACCACGTCTCCACGTGTCTCCCCGTGACTACGGCTGCTGCAAAGCATCCGAAACGTCGGGCTGAAGTTAAAAATCATTTCCAAATAAGTTTAACTAATATATCGCGTTTTAAACCGTTAAAGTGTTTTATTTAAATGTGTACTACTCGCGTAAACTATAGACAGTATTTTATTAAAAACTTGTTGAACCCACTATCGAATCCTCGACTTACTGATTATTACCAATACATGCTACCATTGGGCTATAGGAGTCCGTCAAAAAACATACGTTTGTTTTCTTATTAAATAATAATTACATATTATATGGCTGTATTATCAGACATTTAAATATGTTTGTTTGGCAGAATCGACACTTGCATAGTTGGCGACGACTCCACGTGCGATCAAGCGCAGAATGAGAAATGCAGAACTGAAGCAGGTAAAATAATTTGATTTTACGCCGCTTTGATCTCTTGAGGCATTCATAAGAAAATATAATTTATTGATCTATAGAATAAATAGTCGATCAAATACTAAGGGCCCCGTTGGTCTAGAGCTTTTACGCTTCATTGATTTATTACTTTGAAGGATCTATGATAAAAAACCATTTATTGACTGATACAATAAGTCGTCGAACAAACTACTTCCTTGGTCTAGTTGGACTTGGTTTAAAACCTGGGTCGGGTTTTATTAATATACTAGCTGTGCTCGCGACTACGTCCGCATAGAACAGTAATTTTTGACATCAAAATTTGGTTCTGCAAATCTCCTCTCCATCTGTATACATTTTTGCTGTTACCTCGACGTCTCAGTGTCTCGTCGTTGTTGCCAGTTAATCTTAAAAGATAGACATATACGGCCTTATTAAAAAAAAAATACTTAAGCCAGAACTTCGGAGTCTTGGTTTAACATTTAAGCCATGGTGTACATGAATCTAAGTTAGTACCATAGTTAGTCCAGTACAAACGTTAAACTTCGTTTTGTAATAAGGATTTCAAGCCAGGGTTTAAATCAGGTTTGAGAGTTAGTCCTTGTATTGTAATTAGAGTGATACTGTCACGGATATTTTTGAGATCATTTAAAGAGGAATCATTTCCATCGAAATTTTTGTATTTTTTCTGTTATATAATTCGTTGTTAATAAATCGATTTTCGTTGTTTATAAAAGTATCTTCTCTCTAGGCATTTCCAGTTGCCAATGCCGTCCTGGTTATGCAAGAAGAATACATCGGGATCCGTGTCGACGAGTTGTATCGCTGCTCCTCAATCTAAGAGTCGACCGGCTCTACGATAGAAAGGTATTAGAGCATCTCTATTTGTTTAATCTAATTAGAAAAGGACAGAAATAGCTGTCGGCATCAAAAACAAGGCTCAAACAAGAAAAAGCGTCTGTAGTTTACGCGATGAGTACACATTAAGGCCCTACTACTATATTTCGCGTTTTAAACCGTAAGGGTCTTTCGACAGATAATAAATTGAGACAAATTGTGAATATTTAGTCCTATTACCGTAGATGTATATACATTTTGCATAACCCTTTATTAGACAAATGAATTTAAATAAGATTTTTCTCATATTATGTAATAATTCTTCGAGTAATCAAGGAGTTAACATCTCCTGATGATGCTGTCCGCACGTGATGGCGAAACATCAAGAACCTCTTTTCGCTCACGTCGGCCGAAAGACAATAATATGCTGAACGATGGCCGTGAAAGCTTTACACAATTTAATATTTTTCTCGCTTTGCAGGTCGCGTGGGATATAAAATTGTCAGACAAAGAATCCGAACCTTACCAACAACTGAGTTTTGAAGCTATTCGAGCTGTAAGTATACTTTTTGTAGTTGTCGAAGAGTTAATGTCGGTCAAATCTTCCACCTGTTAAGATAAAGCAATAATCAAAAAAGTTTTGGGCACTTCAAGTTGTAAAGTAGGGCAACGTGTTGGTTGTTATATGGCTGGGGGATTTTACCTTACATCGAGTGAATACCTTTATTTTGTTCTTTATTTAAAAAAAAAATCTTTAATAATTAAGAAAACTTGTAACTATATGCACGAGATAAGATGATCACGCTTAATACAATTTCTCGCATAATACACCACTTTACTCCAGTACCTGCCACTTACATATTTTTATACATTTCTTAACGCTTAATACGATATATCTTTCCGTTTAATACGATCGGACCTATCCGATAAAAACATTGAAATACATATGAGGCTGCTGGAGACAAAGCAGCTTAACTGCAATTTTATGACTTGAGTTAGTTACATTTTCATAGTCTATAATGTTAATCTACAAGTGATCGACCTGCCTCTAGCAGCTTCAGAAACTGAGATACGTCTGTAATCTAGTTTAGCACATCCGTAAATGAATGTATTGAAAATCTAGGCTTAATAATCTTTTTTTTTTCAGATTGACTCGGCCTTTTCAATGACACCGTTCTCAGATGATTTCGTCTCGGGATCTGTAAATTCAGTGTATAAGGGCGATGAAAATAACCAAGGGGTGTTCGTCAACTATACAGTACTGGTAAGTTTAAAAGTTATATATGTAACAATATACGTGTTTTATACCTAAAGCTTTTTATTTCATATGATGTCATCATAGGCGAGAACAGTAAACAACTTCGTAATTTTATCGTTTCAAATGCATAGGACATGAACCTTAATGCGTTAGTGTTAAGATTGAAATTGCATTGGGGATGTGTGTATGGTCGAAGAAGTTCTGAATAGTTAAGTACTTACGGTTTTAAATTTTTACAATTGTTACATACAGATAGGATACAAAGTTTTATGTTAGTATGCTTTTTTATTGCATGCTAGTACGAAGCATCTTACTTCCCGAGGTTTTAATCCTGGGACCCCTATCCTTAAGTGCTACTTAATTTGATCAAACACTGAGCTACAACGCTAAACAATGAATTGTGTATCTATTTCTATAATAACAAATTAAAATACCAGCTTCTTAGAAATATATTGTTAGAAGTCTCACAAGCTATCTCCACGCTGCTTGGCGGTTGCCATGGTAACAATGGTCGCTATAGTAACGGTGGTTGCCATGGCAACACAAATAACCCCCCATTCTTTAAATTGCAGATGCAAGAAACACCAGAGACACTGCGGTCGTCTATCGCAACGGACATACAGAAGCACTTGTTAGGTGTGATACGGCGTCGTTCAAACAACGTTGGTGCGTCCGCTTTATGGGTAGACACACCTGCTGGGAGTGTGTTACCATTACGAGGTAAGGACTGATAGGCTTGCTTCTATGGTAGTATTATATGGACAATCAAAGGGTTCAGCTTATTTCGAAGATTTCATAAACATTTTCGAAACATATTAAACTTGTGGAAAATCTAGACTGTCTACATGGGTTTGACCGCCTCTGTAGCAAAATAGTTAAACGTATTTGGCCTACCATTGCGTTAAGCGTGATAGATTCGAATCCCAGTGAAACAAAAAATTGTTTCGGTCAGGCAGGGCACAGAACTCTGATCAACTACTTGCCTGTTAAAGAACGGATCAGTGAAACGGACACAAAATGTGTTCGCCCCATGCCCCACGAAGGGGAAACGGGACTTCACTACATGGGTTTTAGGAATATCGAAATTTCATCTTCGAACCACCGCCCATAGATAAAAGAGTGCATTGTTGATCCAAGTTTCGATTTTCAGTCTATAGACTTCTAATATCGAAAGTCACAATAGGACGACAACACATCTTATTTAGATGTTATATGTCTAGGATATATGTTTGTATCTTCCATAAAATGAATCTCTTGCTTATCAGAACGTTGGTGTCATTGAAAAAGAAATCTGAAAGAGAAAAGAGGGTTTTTTTTTATCTTAATTTTTTTTGTTATAGATGTGGATGAGTGCTCTTCACCAGATTTGAACGATTGTCATAAGTTGGCAACTTGTACTAACACATGGGGTGCGTTCAAGTAAGTATTTTATATTAATCAAGTTACTTACAAAAAAAAACTATATCGCGTTGCAGAGTTCGCTGTTCGTGGTGGGTTTGAGTCCCGCCCGTATCATAACTATAATATATGCTAATCAGTTAAAGCTTATTTAAAATATGTAAACTAAAATTTATTTCAATTCATTGACAAAAGTTTTGAAACTTGAAATTGCCGTCCTAGTTTAAATTTAAACTTTTTCATTTAGTAACCTAACGCGTTACGATGCCAGTCGGGCTGGCTTTACCAGAAAGAAACAGTGTTTATAGCAACATATTAACAATTGCTACTTTAATCAACTTTATCCATAGATGTTCTTGCCCGGACACGACTCTAGACCCATCGGTCTCAGTGACCCGTGCGGGTCGCGAATGTCGCGAATGCAGCGCGTCACATTGCAACGACAGGGGGGTCTGTCGGTATAATAATGGACAGCCGTATTGTAGGTAAGTTATGACCGAGAAGACATTTTGTACAGTCTTTTGTGATAAAAGGGGGAGGGTTTTTTAAATTTACCGGACATTTGCGTTTAAACCTAGCTAATTACTATAATTCCTAATTAATCTAAAACTATTTAGATAAAACAGCCGTGGTCACGGGGAAGCCACGGCTGCTGCAAAGCATCCGAAACTTCGGGCCGAAGTTAAAAATCATTTTCAAATAAGTTTAACTAATATATCGCGTTTTTATCGCGTTAAGATGTTTTATTTAAATGACTACTCGGGCAAAAACAATAGACAGTATTTGATCTAAGACTAGTTGGTCTAATAGTAGCAATGTATAGCTATATATCTACAAGTATCAACGGGACGTGGGTTCGATCTCCACCATGTCCAATATGTTTCAAATTTTTCAATTTATAACTTTTCTGAAACATGTTGGATTTCGTCTCGAAATGTGGATATTAAATGGGTGGTAGGAATATAGAAATTCCGACCGTATTGCTTTATCGCGTTTCGGTTTCAGTCTGTGGATTTCGGAAAACCAACATAGGTCGACAGTGACAGACAGACAGACAGACAGTACAGACTTGTTTAGATGCTACAGGCAGGGGTAAATTATCTACCATCAACCCCACGCCATGTCTGTCCTATCATAAAAAAACATCTACCAAATAATATATCTTAATAATATATCTTTTTTTTCTACAAAATAATTATTGACACAATTTATACCTTACACAACTTTTATCTTTTGCCTAGCTGTTCCAGCGGTTACTACGGCTCCGGTTGCGAGGTAGATGGTGAAGTGGTGGGCGTGGCTGTCGGTGCCTCTCTTGCAGCGGCACTTGTTATCGCACTTACACTAGCAGCGCTTACCGCGTGGAGGTAAGAGATGGAGCTATTCTATAAATGTGATATGGGGCTCCCAAAGGGATAAAACAATCGATCAATATGTGGGAAGATAACGCTATTGGTTCTAGGATATGCCAATGTTGGGATTTATTTATTTGGTTTCCATACAACATACTTTTTACATGCACACAACTAAGACTATAAACCTAATTTAAAGATGATGATGTTGAAAGATGTGAAATAAATAGAGAGAATATTAGCTAAGACTATCCTAAAACCTGTCGCACTAGAACACGAATTCTGTACAGACTGTTGTGAAATATAATATATCTATGTTATTTTTACATATTGTATTATATGATCGAACCATTCTATTATTCGGGGAATTAGCAGTCCCGGTTCTTCTTCAACCTCTATAGTTGAGAATCTGTAGATCAATTACCTGTATATGTGAGATGAATTAATTTTAGAGGTTTTAACATATTATGACATGTTTGTTTACACAATGAGGCAACTTAATTGGAAAACTGGATTATTGGAAAGCTTCAATAACTGGTCTTGGTTCCTTGAGATCCAATTAACCAGGTTTCACTATTTTTTCTTATATGTGTCAGCCCTATTCTGCTTTCTTTGACGAGTGTAATGACTAATTTGTTTCTTTTACGGGATCGTAACAAAAATTAATTTTACAGTCGCAAATGGAACCGCGAACAAAAAGCCCTGGGTATGGGGTCACCAGTTTTCAACTATATGACTGCGAATACAGTTAAAACTCCACCAGTTGGTCAACCGCCCTATCAGGTATGTTCTCACATCAATCAAATAAAGTAAAGAGTTTGTTTGTTTAAACGCGCTTATCTTAGGAACTACTGGTTCGAATTTAAAAGTTACATTCATTTTTAAATAATTATTTCTGTTTCAACTTAAAATGGGTCTCGAATCCACGTCCAAAAACATAACGTGCTGTTGCATTGTATTGTAATTGTAACTTGTTTCTCACCAGTGTCATGATTTTAGGTGACCTTAGAAGAGAGAATGCGCTGGGCCCAAATAGCTGAGGCGATGGCCCAAGCCAACCACTACGCTGTAAGTATCTAGACTTTGTTAAATGAAACTTAATATCCAAGTGTTAAGGTTGAAATTACATTGTGCGAGATGTGCATGTATCGATAGGCAGAAAAAATCCGACAATGACGTGTAGGATTCGGTTGCTCAATTGGTTAGAGCAAAACCACGGAACGCTGTGGATGTCTGTTTAACACCTGCCTGTGGTAATTTTTTCAATTTATGATCGATTTTTAATGTAAATAAAACTTCCTGTTTAAAAGGAGTGGCGACGAGTTTTTTGCCAATTCGTCTCGTTCACTGTCCCTTAATTCGAGAGTTGGTGCAGTAGATAGTTTTTTTAACTATTTTTTACGTAGCTGTTAAAGGATGTTCAACTTTTACCACTTTTTGTATTTCACCTTCCATCAAGTGAAGACGATATCCACCTCTATCATAAAAACGTATTAAAAGTTATTCCTTAACATTTAAATACTTTAACGGGTTAAAACTCGAATTCTACCCGTTGAACTTATTTGAAAATTATTTTAACTACGGCCCGAGGTTGCTTTGCACTTTGCGTTGTACTTAGGTCCCTCCGTGACTACGACTGCTACGAAGCATCCGAAATCAAATAAGTGCAACTAAAAATTTCGCATTTTAAAACGTTGAAGTGTTTATATAAACTACTCGCGTAAACTACAGACATTTCCTTCCTTTCCTTAACATTTACTTAAATTTATTTTGTCTCAGCCGGAACACGCCCAAATGGCGACAAGACCGTCGTCGGCCATGTTTGGATACCCCACGTTGCCGCCTGTGCCTTTACCCAGGTGAGCCTTTTCAGTTCATCTATAAGTACTTATCTATAAGTATACCTACAACTAACCATTTGAGGCCATAAGCGTCTAATTTTCACTGTTTCTAATTCTAATTAAGTTCTTATTTATGGTTTGACATATAAGAGTGCGTTTTCCTTCTGATATTTGTTTACATGCTTTAAAAAAAGTACATTAAGTTCTTTTTCAAGTAATTATTATAATTATTTTTGTAATTAATAATTTATTATACAATATATTAATTAGGCTTATTAATTAAAAAAACATTATTTTTATGGTTGACTGCTCCCTTAGTAATTGCGCTTAGTAGCATTCTAAGGCTCAGAAATTAACAAGGTTGTACTCCGAATCTCAGGGGAAACAAAGTTTTTAAAATTTTGACATCTTACACATCTTGGATATATATTAAAAATCTATTGAAATAAAATAAACTCGCCTCATTACTTCTTTTTTCACTTAATATGTAAGTGTTAAGGATTTTTATTACATTGCGGAAAGATGTATGTATCAATTAAGAAAAACTCCTGCTGATGCTCGTCGGCTCATGATGGCGAAACGACGAGAACATCTTCTCGCTCACGTCGGTCAAACAGCGCGAAACCAATGATATTATGCTCAAAGCCTTACACAATTTAACAATAATATTGTTAGGACTATGCCCTGTCCAGATAGGAGTCTGATCAAATCGAAATAAAATGCATTCGACCCACCCATTTAGTAAAGCAGAAGTTTAGGAATATGACGGAAAATTTGTCTGATTTTCAGAATGGGTTTGCACGGCCCACACACGGGTACCATGAACACGATCAATTCAAGAATGAATACGTCAGCGTCACATCATAACCTATATGGTTAGTACTTATGTGTTTTCTGCAAATATACGACTAATACTCATGAAATAGAATATTTGACGTCTTAAATCAAGAAACACTTATATTCCACACATAGAGATATACAATAAAATTTTACAACGTGCATGTATCAATAAGTTGAAAAAAAAAACGACGGTGAGGTACAGGACACAGTAGCTCAATTGGTTGAAATATATTATCTCCTGTAATAATAACCAAAATTCTAGGTTATACAAACCACATGGCTGAATCCACGAGCTCAGATGCGTCCAGTCACGTTCAGGATCGAGCTGATCTTCTCGTGCCAAGACCCAAGTCAAGAGCTAGGAGTATGCATGTAAGTATTACCCGGTGTTACTTGATTAAGATGCGTTGTTGTCCTATTTTTGCATTAGAACTCCCTGTAGGCAAATAGTTTTGAGTGTTCAAATAACAAATATTCATATCCAAAAATGAAAAAAAAAAATCACAAATAATTCAATTATTTATGTAGGATTAGGATTAGATCATTCAATTATTATATATTTTTTTATAAGATTAGGATAGGAGGAGGATTTTGATTTACTTAATGGAAAATGAAGCACTATATATAAATAAAAGATCTCAACAAGTTGCGATTACGACCTATTGTTTTGGCTTTGGATATTCAGAAATCCACAGGACGGTGGTTCGTGACCCATACGAATTTCGTTATTCCTACCACCCGTTAATATCCACATATCCAGACGCCATGTTTTAGATTCAGCGTTTATATCGTTCAAAAACATGTTGGCTCCGGTGAGATCGAAGCCGTTGATTATTATAATTTATTACCATTAGACCCACGAACCTGTCAAAACTATCGACTATCGATTTTTTTTTCTTTAATTTATTTTACCAGCTAATAATATCTTCTTACAGAACCAAACGGGAATATACTACGACGTCGATTACGAGAACGCACCAGAACCGATATATGGCACGAAGGGGATTCCCCTCTCGACCTATACTGTCAGCCGGGGACCCCCCTTTTATAGATAGACTTATTTAATATAATTACAACCTTTGTGTAAGACTGTATTTACATCGAGTTCGTTTTGTGATTTTTTTATATTTTTAAATTAAGAACAGTCATTTTGGTAAATTTGCTCAATTTACGAAGAGTGGCTTGCAAAATTACATAATTCTTGATTTAATTAAATCATGGTTTTAGAACTAAACTCGGCTTAACTTAAATCCCATTTAAGTTGTCTTGCAGACGACAAACTAACCAACCAGCCAAGATGTCGATTAAAAGCTGATGTTTATTATAATCGAGATTTAAGCTCGACAATAAACAGAGTTTAAATATAATAAGCAAGACAATAAACAGAGTTTAAAGCTAAACTTGTTTTCTTTAGATAAATCGAGTTTTATCAAAGTCCTGCAAGTCGCACTAAGATAGTTTTTGTCAAAGGTATGTTCTTTAACAGACAGTTATATTCCCATTGTTTTATTGTCACACAAATTTAAGATTATTTGAAATTGGCAATAATTTACCACTGTGTTTATTTTTAGAACTGTGCTGTCGCTACGTTGCGGGTTCGAATCCTATCCCTAGCATATATTATCAATCTAAATTATTTTTTGAATTTATATAATCACACCCGTAATTGTTACAAGTCAGAAACATGGTCGTTTCAATTTTAAACATTGGATATCATGTGTTTTCGCTTCATTATAAACCTCTTGGCAATATTGTAAATATATATAATTATAACTGCCAAAAGGTCGTAGATTAAATAATAATATTTCTTTTTAATTGATAAATGCTTATAAAAGTAGCAACGCATTGTAGTCATGTCAGGTATAAAACATGCATTTATTTGTAAAATAGTATATTTCTAAGTTTATATCGGTTAACGAAATTAAAGAATTTTATTATATTACACTGTTACTTTTATTATTCCATGTTGCATTATTTCTACAAATGCTGCGTGCATTTCTCCGTCGTGAAAAAAACTGCTATTGAAGACGTTCTGAAGCTGATTATATAACTTCTCCATAAGCAAAAGCTGGGATTCTTAAGGGTGCTTAAAGAAACAGTATGTTTATTGATACATTAATACGATATGTTTATTAAAAATCAACATGTTACACATGCTAAAAACATAAATATAATACAAACAAGCTCTTTTATAGAGGTACAAGCGATATAGATGGAAGGTGAATCCCAGCCATATAACATTTAAACAGGATGTTTCTCTACCAGACTCGGTAGCTCTATTGGTAGAGCAACAGTACGGAACGCTGACGATGCCGGTTCAAGCCTTCCTGCCCGATTTAAAGGCAGTAGTGTTTTATGACGAACAAATTTAATGGCATTTATTTGTGTGCATACACATTTAAACATATTTATGATTTAGATAAATTTGGCCACTTTATGTATATCCAAGCACTGGACCTGACTGAAATTCTACTTGACCAGTAACAAATCAAAAGGGTTTTTTATTTAATTTGATGTAATTAATATGAAACGAAACGAAAACATTATTCAAAAAGTCAACATAATTTAATATCACCAAACATTACAGGTTAGAATGAATAAATAAGTTTAATATATAAACCTAACTAGCCTCTTCGCTAAGTATATAAATAGATTTATGTAAAAAGCAGAATCTGTTTATAGGAGGGTAAATTAGAGCAGTTTTTAAACACAATACGTATCAAAGCAAAGGCAATAACAACTGTCAAAAATCAATCGTTCCACACATAAATGATCTATATACTTTTACTTGCTTTTTACATATAAAAAGCAAAATACATTATACATAAATAATCATTGTATAATGCATGTTTTTGCATGTGCAATGCATTCAAATTTTTTAATTGTAGTTCTCCTAACCAATTTTTCCAGCATTTACCTCCCAAATGTTTAATGAATATTTCATGTCTACACTTCAATATTAGGTCAATTATAAAAAACTTTACCAAACTACAACAAATTATCCATAATTGTACCTACCCCCTAGATGTAATAGTTGTTACGGAGGCCGGTATCTCAAACAATATTGTTCATTTGTATAAATTACCGGGTTATAACTTGTACTCACAATTACGGCAGGGCAAGAAGGGAGGTGGTATTATGATCTACGTACGAAACCATTTAAGATTCACATTAGTTCAACAAAAAACAAATACATTTGAAAGTCTATCCGGAATAATCAAAATTAATTCGAGTCCAAATGTAATTGTGTGCGCAATTTATAGACCTCCATCTACAAATAAAAACCTGTTTGTTAACGAGCTTAGTAAGTATATCACTAAGTTTGAACTGAAACACAACTTGATTCTAATTGGTGATACTAACATAGATCTGAAAACTTCAAATTCATACAAGGACTCATATTTAGAAGCACTTAGTGAGCGCGGATTAATGTGTGGAATATCGGACTACACACGAATTGAAACTAGGAAGGGTATTATCACCAAATCTTGCTTAGATCACATTTTTGCCCGATTCCCCACATTGCATCCGTTCTCCGCGGTGCTCGATGTCGCACTGGCCGATCATCGAGGTGTAATTTTTGCGTGCGTTAACGACGTACCGCTGACGCCCGAGCTTATACAGGGTGAAACAAAAAAAATGGTTGATTATGGGGTTTTTTATAAGGAACTTAAAAATATGGATTGGTCAAAGTATAGAGATATAAATTCTCCAGATGAGGTTTTAAATTTTATAAGCAATTCCTTTCAGACAGCAAAAACATCTGCAACAAATATTAGTACTTGTAAATTACCCAGAATGAATTTTAAACGCTTTAATATGCCGTGGATAGATGATAATGTTACTCGACTTTGCGATAAAAGAAATAAATTATACCGTGAGTGGACAAATCGCCCAGAAAACTGTAAGCTCAAGTTAGAATATAATAAATTGCGCAATAAAGTGCATAAAGTCCTTGAAGCCAAAAGGAATGCATATTATTTGAAGCAAATAAAAAACAATTATAACAATATTAAAAAGGTATATTCTGTTTTAAACCAAATGTTAGGGAGAGTAACGTTGTCTATCGACGCGGCTATACTAAAGGCTTTTGATGCACAGGGTCTCACTTCCATAACCATTGCCAATAACCTCGCAAATAGCTTTGATAAATCGGTAAAAACCATTATTCCAAATTGTAGAATAAAATTATTTAATCAAAACAATACACGTAAATCTTTAGACGCTAGTATACTCTTTCAAAAAGCAACCCCTAGTAGTGTCAATAAAATCATTCAAAAATTAAATTCCAGAAAAGCACCAGGCACAGATAATATTGCAATTTCGGACATAAAACTAATAGGAGATTATGTTTCTCCAGCCATATCTCATTTAATTAATCGTAGTGTTACCACAGGGTTGTATCCGGATGCTTTAAAAATAGGCTGTGTAAGACCTGTGCACAAGAAAGGTAAACGCGATGATTTCGATAACTATCGCCCAATCACTTTACTCTCCTCAATCGATAAAATTGTAGAAAAGTATGTGTGTAAGCAAATACATCGTTTCTATAAAAAACATGAAGTAATAAGCCCAAATCAATTTGGATTTCAATCAGGAAAGAGTACAGCGGGTCTCTTGTCTAAATTTACGGATGAAGTCAATTGTCACCTTAATGAAAAAAGGTACGTGTTGGCCTTATTTATCGATTTTTCGCGCGCTTTTGACACTTTAATGCACGACCAGCTGGTATATAGGCTTGATAAGTGTGGAGTTCGTGGCCCACTACTCAGATGGTGCCAAAACTATCTGACAAATCGTACATTCTCTGTAAAAGTGGATAACACCTACAGTCGGCCCATGCTTGTAACTGAAGGCACAGCACAAGGTTCGGTGTTAGGACCTCTTCATTTTCTGTCCTATGTCAACGACATGAGTGATTGCATTGCCAACAGCACATGCTATCAGTTTGCAGATGACACTTGCCTTGTTATCGGAGATAAAAATCCACAAACGGCCCTGGATCTTCTACAGTCTGATTTGGATGCACTAGCAAAATGGTGTCACGATGCCGGCCTTGTCATTAACACAAGCAAAACTAAATTATTAGTCATAAAATCGCCATATGTCAAACGCTTACCAATAAAAGATCTAGTGGCACACGGGCATACCTGCTTACACGCTGGCAGCACGGCTGTATGTTCCTGCCCAGGGATTGAGACAGTGGATAGACAAACATACCTTGGACTTGTTATTGACAGTAAATTTCATTGGAGTGACCATATTGAGCGTGTTTGTACCAAGCTTAGACAGTTTCTGGCAAATATCACCATCCTCAATAACCGTATCCCGTTTAAAGTTAAATTAATGCTGTATAACGCTCTTGCGGAGTCTCACATTCAATACGGCCTCAGTAGTTATGGGCGAAGTTACAATACATATCTCAACCTCATTCGTAACTTACAAGTAAGGATACTTAAAACTATAGTCCCTAACAAAATTAAAAAGCAATTCCAGGACGACCCTTGTGGGCTTTTTAAACACTGTAAAGTTTTACCAATACACATGCAAGTTCAATACACTTTACTTAAGGAAAATTTTTTTAATGAATCTTTACGTATCCCGATTGTTCACCCTGTATACACTCGAGCCATTAACAAAAACCGGTTGTGCACGTCGCGCGCAATAAACGCGTACGGTGAGCGCACAACCAGATACCTAATACCTCGGCTTATCAATAACCTGCCGTCCAATTTGGTAGGTAGTATAAACCAAAATAATTTCAAATGTAAGCTAAAGGATCATTTCCTTAAGTTATTTTAGCGTTATTGTTTTCTTCTCTTATTGCATGCTTAGACAAGATAGTAGATTGCTAGTTATCTTGTATATTTATTAAATAAACTTAGCTAATTAGATGTTAAGTAAACTCACGATGGCATCAGTTTAAACCTTAGTGGTTTTTTATTGCTATCAATATATAAATAAATGTATTGTTATGATGATATGATAAATAAATAAAAAAAAAAAAAAGTTATCTAACGATAAATTCGATATGGTAAGCCAGCGATACGTTTTGAACAAACAGATTAAAAAATATTTTATTTGGAAGAAAAATGTATATCCTTTCCTGGTTTTATATGAGTTATTATTAATATTTCATAAAAATTATAAAAATGGATTGTTTGATATACAACACATACCTATGTGGTCGTCGTCCGGTACGATTTGGTGTTGTTGTTCATTCCATTTCTACTTACTTACATTAGCAGGGTGTATTTGTCCCCCGGTACCCTGTGGGGTCCGAGTACCTTGCGGGAGGGTGTTGCCAGACTTCACCGGGCGCGTCTCCAGGTGGCGGATTAGGGGAATAGTTAGTAGTAGTTAGTTAGCCTGTCGGCGCGGATCACAGGTGGGTTTCCACGGGCTAACCTAAACGGTCAGAAAGGGAGCGTCTCATCGCTCGGGCGCTCAGCGCCTTTTGTCGTCGGATCTTCGGACCCAGTAGTGCTTCGGCACGTTTGATGCCGTGTCTCCAAGACCGCGAAGTGTAGGCTCCTGATTGGCTCTCAGAGGAGAACCTTACTGTAGGGAGAAACCCCACAAAACCCTAAAACTGCTAACAAATAAAACGGTATGCTTAACAAACTCCGGAAGTGGACTGCGGCCAATCGGCTGTTGTCCACTGGCGAAGTGTGGCCGCACCATCTTCCGCAGACTCGCGGCACCCCTCCCCTTGGAACAAGCGGGCGATGGCCTTTGATTCGTGTCCACCGGGGTGTGTTAGCGGAGCATTTAGGCCAGGGAGAAAGGCTAGCCCGCTTCCACATATAGGCTGCCGCTTGAGCAGTCGTTAGACGTGTCAGCTTAACCCTGAGCCGTACCCAGGGAGGCATTTTCCGACGGTAAAAAATTTTGTTCGATGTAAAAATTACTGCTATTGAATAAGTACTCAAGCTGAATCTATAACTTCTACATAGACAAAAGTTGGGCTTCTTAGAAAAGGGTGCTTAAATAAGGCAACAGTAATCGTCGATTGAAACATACACACACATGAAGACAATATTTCTATTTTAAACCAACTTGTTGCTCACACTAAAAACATAAATGGGATTCACTGGATCGAAGGTGAACTTCAGCCATATAACATTTCAACAAGATGCCTTGCACAGACTGACAACGTAACGCGATGAAACTTCGCGACAATGTAAAAGACGCGAAGCGTTAATCTGCTTTTCGATTTCAGTATGTGGATTTTTGAATATCTTAACCAAAACTTGTATAAATGTTATATAGAGTGCTGGGTTATTTTACCTTTCATCAAGTGGGCCTCATGCATTTATTATTTGCAATTGCGATTAACACCCTTAGTTCTTCTTATTATAACTTTATCGTTTTTCATTCTTAGCAGAGAAAATGCGAACATAACACACTTGAATCAATATTAATCAGATAAATTCCAACAAAACGCCTTTCTTTTGTGTTTTTTTTCCGTGAAAAGCAAAATTTATAATAACTGGGTGAAAAATACAAAAGATGGCCTTGTCACTTTTTAATTGTTCAATTTTTTCTTTTATTTAACTCTTTAATCAGGCAGATTTTCGACCAATATAAAGCGGCCGAGTATTTCATTTGTATCATTGCGAGGGTAGTTGCAACGGAAACAAGATGTCTGGAAAATTACAGTCAGTCCTGATTGTGGCGGTCCTTTTCGCCTGCATGGTACAAGTTATAAATGGTAAGCACATGAAAATATTATGTAACACAGAATGACATTTAACATATCAAATATCTGAAGAGGCCGCTAAGACTTCAAAAATATGCCGATGCAAGTACGTAAGTAGTTTTTTAATAAGAAATTGCGATGTAATCATTTAAACATTTATAAATTTAATTAAACGGCGTTCCAATAGTTATATCACATTCATGTAATTTGTTTAAGTTTAAAATTTATTTGCCTTTTAGCCATGGGAAGTACTTATTTCCACCAAATTTTATTACGGTTAAAACGCCTCTTGTAGGTGAATCTTAAGAGATAGACATATTACTGTCGTCATTCGTCATTCCGCTTAATATATTATCTACTTCTTCTAGCCCATGCATCTCAAGGTGGTCCAGCAGGGGGAACAGCTGGAAGAGGGCCAACAAGAAAAGCACGCAGCGCTGGCTTCGACATTTTGCCAACCGCATCGATTTTGAACAATAACGATAAAAACAGGCTTTTGGACTCCAATGGGGATTCTTTGATCAACGCTGACCCGATTCCCGACTTCAGACATAAACGGGAGATACTGCCCACAGCAGTCTTTTAATGAATGAATGAGTTAGCTGTTAATTATAATTAAAAAATCCATAATGACCTCTCTAAATTCCGATTTAGAGCCACATTGACAAGTCTCTGATATATCAATAATTGATAAGTTTCATTTAATAAATTTGTTTGTTTCTTGTTATGTACGTCTTTTATTTTTTCTAATTTTGAGTGTGATTACATACAACAATAGACAATGAGTTTGATACGTTAACATTCTACATTGCACATGATGGAATTATACTAAAAAAAATAACGATTTACGACACCGGCTGGATTTGAACCGGATCCACAGCGTTCCGTGCTGTTACTGAAATGCTTTTTTTGATGTACAAGTATATGACACGGTAGCTCCATTCATTAGAACATACGTAAAATGTTTATGTTTTCAAAAGTTCATCTTCAATGATTTTCTTAAGCTTCAAATCGTAAGACATTGAACCTTAAATCCGTAAAATTAAGGTTGAAATTATATTGCGCGAGAGACGCTTGTATCAATAGGTTGAAAAAGATGTGTCAAATGTCAAGTCGAATCAACAACTGTATCGATTGACGCACAAAAATAATTTGATTCGATTAAAATAGATTTTTTAAAAGAACCAAAAAATTAAAATAAAAGCGACTACCCAAAATAGTGCGACTGCAAAGGCAACAAGACATCAGGATGCCTTGGAAAATAAGTGTCGGGTCCTGATTCGGGCAGTTTTTTTCGTACGATGGTACAAGTTATACACGGTAAGCGTATCGAAATTTTACCATTTATGTTCAAAGAGAAAACACAACTCTAAATTCTGCATGTTTTGCTTCTCTTGAGAAAACATTACAAGAAACATAATACTTAGTTTCGTTTAATAGTAAAAACTATTCAAGAATAATAAAAAGTGTTACTAAAAATATTTTCGCAACTAGCTTATCTACAAAAAATAAATAAACATCATAATATGATTTTTGCCAACGCGTAACTTACCCAGTGTATGGTAGATTCTGTGTAAGCCACACACCAGGAATCTGATGAAAAATGTCTTGAAAAAAAATGTTGTTAGCTTTAAAAAAGGAAAAAAAAATACCGAAAAAAGAGTGTCAATCTTCTTCTAACGCAAATTTATTTATAATTCACTTTACTTACTTACAAAGTATACAAAGTAAAATAAAAAGGAAACGTTAACACAAATGTTTCAAAATTTCTTCAAATTCCCGTAAAACAAATAAGATATGGTGACAGCCCACATGATAAGCAAACAAGTGTAGGCTGTGCGTTCCATCGAATGTTTGGTAGTTTGCACATTGTACAATTATGAAGACCACGTACAGGTAAAAGGTAAAGGACCCACTAAGCAAGAATTCAAAATTCGTGAAAATCTTAGAAGGGGGGAAAAAAAAGGGGCAGCAGTTCAAATATACTTTCTGATGCAGCGATAAGAGCATTGAAATAAAAAAAATGCAGATGAAAAATATCTCTAATATCAAGATGAAACACCCCAAAACTGAAAACACATTACTAAACTATCATAATAACTAATAGCTATCACAATTTTTAGGGTAAATCCATTCTCTATACTAATATATAAAGCTCAAGAATTTGTTTGATTGTATGAACGCGCTAGTATCAGAACTACAGGTTCGAATTGAAAAATTAAAACCATTTATCGAGAAAGGCTACAGGCTTAAACATCGTCCTGTGACAAGCGAAGATACAGTGAGAAATTGGATTCATCATTATGGGTTTCCGAGGTGTACGCTGGAAAAACGGTTTAAGATACCCCAAAAATATGTATGAAAGAATGATTCCTCTTTAAAGGATCTCAAAAAAGTCCACGACACTATATATCTATCTATTAATATTTACTTGCAAGAAAGACGGGAAAGAGCGCGACCGATGCTTAAGTTTAAAAAGATAGTAGGGTGTGCAAAAATGAGTTTGGATCCCCAAAATAAATATTCTTAGTGGACGAAATCCCTGAAACAGTTAGTCGTTACATAAAACAGTTACAGTAGTAGTAGTTACATATAGATTAAAAATCCAGTTAGATTGTAAAAAAATCACAATATGGGCGGAACTTCAACTGGCAACATACACATTACACAGTTGCTCTAACCAATTGAGCTACCGAGTCCTACAACTCACCGTCGAACTTTTTAAAGCCTAATGTTATATGCACCGCTCGCTTCTTTTTTCAGTCTAAAATCAATTTCTTATATAAACTAGCTTGTAATACCAGAATCATCTTTTGTGTATCAAAATGGTTCTGAATACCTAAGAGTCGGCTAGAGTAATCCATTTTTCGAATTTTTTATTCATACATAAAACAAAAATGCAAAAAGTATAAGAAGTTAAACACACAGACTGTTCCTATATTTTTAAGACGACAAAAATCTTTGTCGAAACTCGATTTGTCGCAAGTTTAATATTTTATCAATGACATCCAAACAAGGAATTGTGAAAACACTTGAATACGCGTTGATAGCAATAATAAATACTAACTCAACACATTTCCTTTGTTTTTATGTGAAAAATATAATTCTCATCCAACATAAAGAAAAAATTTCATTAATATAAGTGGTAAAAACAGAATTTTGTCCCTCATTTCAAAGGTAGAGAAAGAGAAAATAAGATGTCCGCTGAACAATTAAAAGTCCGTTGGCTTGAGCGATTTTTTCGTGTACATGGTACAAGTTATAAATGGTAAGAAATTATTTTCGCATCAATCACTCAAAAACAGGCTTCATTAGACAGTATTAATTTGAAGTCTAAACGTGATTCAAAATCTGGAATCTAGAAGTTTAATCGGAAATAGAAAGATAAGATATTACTTTATTCGCCAATTTTTTTCTCAAACGGTAACATGAAAAAAACAATTGTAGGTACAGCGACAGTAAAAATCCGTCGAACATAGAAAACTAACAAATTCTTGCTGTGTCATCAACTTGCAGTAACAATAAAAAAAATGGAAAAAGCAATAGTGACATTACAACATGCTAGTAAAAAAATGCGTCTAGATCATTCAATCGACCAGCAGAAAACGGTCCATCTAGAAGAGGACGCGACTTGACTTCAGGCTCGAAGACAAAGTCATCGTCAAATGATGGAGTTTAGCGTCATCGTAGGGATTTATAGAAGATTTGAATTAAAAATCATATATCCTTGAGGTAACTAAGGACACTTATTCACAATTTCAGTAAGAAACGAAGGACTCAAAAATCACTTTTATTACGAGTTCCAAAATTAATTTGTCAAGAACGAATGGGAGGAATTGGCAAGAAACTCGCCGCTACTCTTTTTCTCGCGATTTTTGTTTTATTGTTCACTACCAGACCGCTCTGCTTTGTTCGTACATACTCGTATATTAAAATTAATAAACATATCAGGCGTTATAAACTTTCATACGTACACCCAAATATGTTTCTATTGGTTTTCGAGAGTTTTATTATAAGAGTTAGTTCACGAAGAAAATTAAAATGTACTTAATATTTAATATTGTTTAAGTTTCTAAAAGTTTAAATAAATCACTTTAACGGTTTAAATGTGTACTACTCGCGTAAACTATAGACAGTGTGCTTTAAGGTATTAATCTCTTTGTATTGTTTTCTTAGTCCGGGAACTTTTAGAATAAATTGTATGTTTATTTTGTTGACGTATCATTTCTAAGTGACAACATTACCCTACAACACAACTAAGGTAAGTCCTTTTCGTGCATATTATCGATACAAAGGTATATTTGACCAAGATCTTCTAGAAGGATGTTGAAAATTTCTTCCCCATTCTTCCTGTCTCCGTGACGGCTAAATCGCTTACTACAGTGTCGCCACAGCGGTGCGCGCAACATTTTGTAAATAATTAACTTAAATTTTAAATTGGTGATATCTATCAAATGTGATGCTGTAATTGTTTCATTCAAATAATTTTTTTTATTATTATTTATATAATTATAGTAAAGCAGTTTTAAATATAAAGTAATTTATTTTGATTAATAACAAAGTATTTAAATAAAAGATCTTTTATAACGATGGCATTTCAATTAAAATTCGCGTCAGTCGCGACATTTTTAGTGGATATACCTACTTTTTGCAAAGTCGTAGTGCATACTCGTATTTTGTTCTAATAATTAACAATTTCATATAAACATACACGCAAAAATTAAAACCTTTCCTCTTTATAAAATTAATGTCGATTCATTTTCGGGGGTTTTTAGAGAGCACATAGCTTTCTCCAAGTAAGTAGTATAAGTTGCTAAAGAACAAAATCTACACTAATGGTTGGACTACGTGGATTCGGCCCATTTATTGAGGATGGCTTCCGTCTATTAAACATCAAGCTGCTACCAATGGTGACAAAAAAAAGTGGATAATGTGGAAAAAATATTTTTTTTTCCGTTCCGTGCGTTGCGATGGTTTCTTGAACCAAAAAAATATATATGAAAGAACGGTTCTTCTTTAAACTATCTAAAGAATTTCTACGATTGTATATGTCTACCTTTTAAGAGAAACTGGCAAGAATGACGAGGCGCGACAGACGTCATGAGTTATATATAATACATATATATATAACTCATGACTTTATAAGCTAAGGAGTTTGTTTGCAAAAATAAATAGTAAAATGCCTAAAATAACTAAATACCAGCCTAAATCAAAGATGGCTGCCCTTATTTATACGATGAACTAAATTATACCTCTTTTAATAAGTTTGTGTTATTGCTCCATTAACATATTTAAAATGTATCCCTTTTTTATAATTATCTATGGTATTACCTACTATAAACAATAACTTTCATGATTTGGTCTTTCATGAATTGGATGATTTTGTCACAATTATGAATGATATTTTTAATTTTAAACAAGTTTTTTTATTTATTTAATAGATGTAATAAAAATTACTACGATGTAATTTTTATTATTGATTTAGATGTAGTGGTAGTGTTTTTGTTTGTTCATTTATTTTACATTTTTTTTTCGACAAACGAAACGAAGCACTACAACGTAGAAATATATTTTGATAATAATAAAATATGTATGCACGACTTTTACAGTTCTCTTATTATCTATGTTTTCTGGTACTATAGTTAATTAAAAAAATAACTAACTTCAGTACTAAACAATATTATCAATGACGTGCACACATATAATCGGTTATATTAATAAATGTATAAGTATTTATAAAACCCATTATGATTTTTCCACGTGATCGTGATAGCTTGAAAAAGGGTTATAACACCGAAACGATATGCGCTGCCTGCCTATTTTGACGTTGAATATTCAGTAATCCACTGACTTAAGCCGAAACGCGATTATACTTCATGGCTTTTTAAATGTGGTTCGTGACCCGGGCGGAATTTTGTTATTCTACCTCTCATTTAATATTCTGATTTCCAGATGAAGTCCAACACGTTTCAAAGAAATTATAACTTTAAATAAAACACTTTAACGGTTTAAAACGCGATATATTAGTTAAAATTATTTGAGAATGATTTTTAACTTCGGCCCGACGTTTAGGATGCTTTGCAGCAGCCGCGGTCACGGGGAGAATTTAACTAATATAACGCGTGTTAAACCGTTAAAGTGTTTTATTTAAATGTGTACTACTCGCGTATACTATAGACAGTATAAAATTATAAAATCATTAGAACCTACGTACCGTTGATTCACACAATGCTATATTACTATTTTAATTATACATCTTTCAAATTAAATTAAATTAAAAATTCGAACAATGACAATAATTGTTAATTTAATATCCGTTTGGTGTTTACTTACAAAACAAATAACCTACAGATGGCGTTACTTGCTTTTTTTACTTTTTTTAAGCGTTGATTTTTCCTTGAATTTCGCCAATGGCCACTAGGTCGACTAGTTTGATTTTGCCATTCAAAAAGACGTCTTCATTTATCTGTAATAATCCGTACTAATTACATCGCAATTTTGTTGCTAAATAATAAATTATTTGTAAACTACATTAACAGACGATCATAAGACTCTTATTTTAGTTATTTTTTTAACGCGTAAATAATAAAGTACTTACCGTAAAAAAACAATTGGCGACTTAAATTATCATCTTTTAATTGACAATTTGAAAACGTAGGTGCTTCACTGACAATTTGGCGAGTCCAATAAGTCCCCACAAATTTGCAATTCCTTGATATAAACGCAGAACTTGGTAACTAAAAAGGTAGACATTGATACAAATTCAAAATGAAACATGATATAGCTTATTTTTTTATCAAGTTGAGTCTTCAAATATTATTATTGTAAGTCAACCAGAAACGTTAGGCTACCAAAAAATATAATAATTTACCGCGTTCTATTCAGTTGATTTAATTGCATTTTTAAACAATAGCACTGCTAGTCCAGGCGACTGCTGCGGAGTGGTTGCGAAGCACGAGTATTGCATGCATTATTAAAAATATTAAATGGAAAAGTAATATGCGCAAGAGGTGTTTAGCTTGAAAATTTCGACGATGTCGTGTAAGACACGTTAGCTCAATTGGTTAGAGCGATATCACGGAACCCTGTGGATGCCGATTTCGGCTGCTGATCGGCTGATTTTCACTACAAAAGCATTCAACTTCCATCTGGTTTTAGTTTACACTAACCTCGCACTAAAAATTGTTTAATCGCCTTGGAGATCACGAGTTCCTCTTTGCTTTCACCAAAACAGTTAAAACAAAACACAAGAGTATAAATTAAAAAATTACAACCCGGGCAGGTATCGAACCGGCATTCACAACGTTCCGTGCTGTTGGTCTAGCCAATTGACCTACCGTGTCCTACACGTCACCGTCGATTTTTTTTCAACCTATTGATATTTGTAGTACGCGTATATGCTGCAGACTTATTAAAACATAGGAGCATTGTTTTATAACCGGTACCGAAATATTATAAACTGCTTTTAACGAACAACAAAACGCTGTGTCGGGTCGGTAACCCATCTAGGTTACCGACCCGACACAGTTGTACTTGTCCAGGTGCAGTTTTGAATGTGTTTGCTTACATGACATGTCTACAGTAAGAATTGTTATTAAATGATTGTGCAATAGTAGGTATTCTTCACGAAGGAATTCTAAAAATAGCAGCTAAAGAGCCAACAACAACATCGCAACGATTCCATTTTTACCATTTTTAATGCCAAGAAAGGGTTGATAGGGGTTGAGAAAGGGGATGAAAGTTTGTATGGAAATTGATGATTTTTGAAGATAAAGCAATGATACTTCCTTCTTTGGATTTTTAGAAATATGAGTGGGAATTAATAAACAGCCTTAATAATTACAAATTTCTCTCCAAGTTCCCATTCCACGAGGACGACGAGACTAATAGGCGCGAAGAAACAGCAGAATATCCGGTAAAGGCGGGGAAAATTATTTATCTCTGTGGGTTTCCGATGCGTACGCTGCGAAAACGGTTCAAGAAACACAAAAAAAATGTCCACGACAGTATATGTCTATCTCTTAAGATGAACTCGCAAGAACGACGGAACGCGTCCGATGACGCAGACTGTAACAGCTTGCAGAACAATTTTAGATGTCCAAAATAACTATTCTACAAGGACGAAGTCGCTAACTCATGTAGTAATTGAATAATCATTCGGTTCCTAGTTCTAACTTTAAAATGTGACTGTTGTAATAAAAATGTTTTTAAATTTGTTCTTTTAATGTATTCCTGTAAGATTACGTTCGAAGACAACTACGTAATCTTACGAATCATATCGTAAGAAACATAGTTCTTTACAAAATGCCTACAATATGGTGGCTACAAGAAGAATATATATTATGTATCAATATACTTAGCTTTGGAGTCGTACAAACGTGTTCCCAGGGATTCCTCAAAGTACCGTAAAGGGCTGGTAGTGTGTTTAGTGGTTCTGGTCGGCTATACGATTTACCACAGTCCGCATGTCACTATTGCCCGAAGTGGCATTAAGCATTTACACCATCAGTAAAAAAAAGTATCTTCTTATATTTAATCTGTGTAATATTTAAGTTTAAAATAAAACAACAAATCGATTGCATACTTTATTTCGCAATAGAATTGAAATTATACCTATAATTAATAAATGCCCACTTAATCTAACTTATTTTAATTAAAAATCAATGAAGTGTTTTTAAATTATAAAAAAAGAACCTTTTATATTTTTGAAAACATCTCATTAATTTATGATTTATTATCTACTCCTGTTTGTATCTTTATGGCAAGACAAAAAGTAAAAAAGTTTAAAATTTCGTTTAGCGCCATCTCTTATGGAAAATTGTTAGTTCTCAGATAACAGTTGTTTAGGACGTTGTAATTAAACCTATATCCAGATTCAGCTACATCGTTCGTCACCAAATTGTCACTGTGGAAGTGGACGTACAGCGGTCCTGGTGGTGTGGCTGTTACAGAAATATATAACATAAGTATAATTAATACAAAACCGTTTACTTACTAGGCGTAATAAAAATAAATTAAGATAAAAAATATTTCTAACTACTTAAGAAATTATTTTTTATTAGTATTTCCCACGTGTTTATTCATGTAATATCACGTCAATTTAACATTTATTTCAGCTTAAAAATTAGATCAAAATTTGTGGAACAACAGCATGAAAAAACAAATAAAGCTTAAATACTGTCTGTAGTTTACGTTTTCGTTTGTTAATTTTGAAATCTTCCTAAACTTTTGTTATTTACTTATAATAGAGGAGAACTAAGCCCCAGCCAACATATAAACTAGATGCGCGACCTATTTGGCTGTAGATATTCGGAAATCCAAAGACTGGAACCGAAACACGATTTACTTTACAGCTTTTTCATCTGTGAACGGTGATTCGTGAACGGAACGGAATTTCGATACTCCTACCACCCGTTAAATATCCAGGTCCAACGAGCCCGCGTATAATGATTTCAATTCCAACTCAATAAAATTTGAATTAAGATAAAAGTTGAAATAAAGTAATACTTACAAGCAATAATTTGGTTGGCAGCACTCATTCCACAATACTTAGATCCTCTTATACCATCAGCGGTCTCCGCTTCAGGTATGAACAGGTAATCTTCAGACTGACTTGACCCTTGTGTCACTGGATTTATTTGACAGTCTGTGTCGAGATACATATTATCCTCTGTACGGTACGCCATTTCAAAGCTAGCTGCTGTTAGTCTGTAAATAGATAATTGTAGGTAACTCAGTACTAAGCTTTAGTTTACTCTATGTATTGTACTGATTTTGCAATAAAGTGTTTTAATATTATTATTATTATTATACTGCCTGTGGTTTACGCAAGTGGTACCACTTCTGGCGGCTTAAAACGTCATATGTATTAACTCGTTTACAATTTACTAGTGTTGACGGCTGCTGCAAAGCATTCGAAATGATGAGCCGTAGTTTAAATTAATTGCAACTATGTTATATCAGGTTTTAAACCTTTGAAACTGTTTTATTCAGATAAAACAAAGTTCGGGCATATTTCTGTATCTATTTTGCGCTTGCATTATTGCTTTGACAATGGATCTGGTATAACTATTTATTATTTAAAAAAATAGTTTTGTTTATAAAGACACTAACTTTAGTTGTTAATTGTTAAAAATAATATAATATATACATAAAAAGGCATAAGTAATTAAAAATAGCTAAAGATATAATTTTTTTCGTATTGTATATATTATAGTTACACGCTGATTAAATATTTTTAAATAAACAGCCTGCGGTCGCCATGGCAACGTCTTATTTCTACTATAGTTTCACTTACTTGATACCGCACACATCTGACGTTCGTTTGAAGCAAGTGGCGTATGCCAAGTTGGCTATGTAGGGACCAGCACCCCTATTGTAGTTAAAAGATTCGAAAAATCCCGTCCGGTCTGGGTAGTACTGCAGACAGCCAGGTGGTGCTAGAAATGTGCAAACGTAAGTATTCAGCAAATCAAAAAACACAAAAATGCGTATAGATGCTCAAGACGCCTAGTACAACTTAATTTGGAATTCGTCGTTCGTTAAGCCGTAACGCGTTACGCCGCGCGGTTCACACGTAAGTGATTATTTCTTATATATAGCTGTGCCAGCTGTTTCGTCCGCGTAGTAAAGATTTTTCTATAGAAGCTTTATAATACTAGTATTTTCCTTTTGTTTTCTTTTTGTTTCAATACACACCACTACCACAGCCAATATTTACGCCTAGAATTTTCTCTAAGATTGATAAATTCTTGAAAAATATATATCAAGATGTTTTATGTACTATGCATGCATATAAACGCTAAATGTATGTAGAAAAAGCATTTGAAGCCGATTTAGAGCGAAATGAATAAAGATTTATTTACCAATTAGATATTCATCTCTGTCAGCTGATGAGGAGAAGGGTGTCGCTGGTAATGAAGAGGTAATCGCCTCCAGGAAACCATCGCGATATTTGCTGAGAAAACAAATAATTCGAATATCTACATAATAAATATTTAAATAAAACACTTTAACGGTTTAAAATGCGTCATTCGTTAATATTTAATGGCCCAACGTTTCGGATGCTTTGCAGCAGTCGTGGTCAGGAGGAGACCTTTTAATCAAAATTATTTTACAATTCACTAGTGGTGCGTGGTGATTATGATTAGCTAATATAAATCGCATTTTAAAACGTTAAAGTGTCATTTTTACATGTGTACACCCGCGTTCACATAGGACATTTTTCACAGCCAGTAGAACAATAAAATATATACGAGAAAAACGAGCTTAGGATTCTGACGTCATCTTGGGTAAATGTTATTTAATTACAGTTAGAATTAAATATGTTGAACACTTAGCGACAAAAGAACCAATGTCAACCGACAAATCGGAGCTATTAACTGGTAATATGTGCATCCCTTTTATTTAATTAGTATTTACATATTTTTTTTAAGCAAGAGATTAAATTAGTGGATCCCTACGGATCATTTCTTCGCCGGCGATACAGTTTACAATTTTTTTTTCTAAAGAGATATTGAGATGCATACAATAGTTATACTTCTTACACGATACGCAATTTTAGTTTGTTACAGTGACATCTCCTTACCCTAAAGTGTTGAAGCACTCCAACTGAGTTACTTTGATCTTCCAAGTGGCTTGAGGCAGGTTGGGTTGAGTATTACGGTCTGCGATTTTGAAGTTCAGACGGATTGATCTGCTGTTTGTCGACGCGTTAACGCGGACATACACTGTAAGTTAAAATTGCTATTAGGAAAAAGTGTTACTCACAATGTATATACAATGTACCACAAATTGTAGTTAATTCTTGCTATTTTGTTAATTCAGGTTTTTCTGAAGTCTTTACTACTACGACAATTTTTTTAAATAAGGAATATAATCGAACAGAGTTAAGCATATAAAAAGAACGAGTGTGCTACGGTATTCGTACGTACTTCAATACGTTAACTGAAAAAGGTATCCTTGCAAGGAAAATTATATATTTATTTAATTTATTTATTACAGCATTATTATTCATACTACATATCACAAAACAAAACCTACAAGAGAAAAGATCTTACGTACTAACTTATTAATAAAAGGCGGCCTTATCGCTAAGCGATCTCTCCCAGACAACCTGAAGTATAGGAAAATGAAATATAAATAAGACTTAAGAAGTGAATAGGTGTACAGAATAATTATAAAAAGGTATATCGTTAAAGTATACACAGCAAGTAGAGAAGTTGCAAAGGAGAAGCGTATAAAGCAAAGTCTTGAAGGACGGAGAGGTGGAGCTTTTCTGATATTCATAGGAATTATTGTAATACATAAGCTGCCTTTTACACAAACGAGTTTTTATATAGTTATTAATATATATCTTGACGCAAATTTATTTTAGTCTTTACTTACTGTGTTGCCCATTATTATCACCACAAAGTGGCGGCAATATGTCGGAATTTGCATGCAAGTTGGTCACTTGGAAGATGTCATTGCGACAAGTGTGGCCTGGTCTGTGGGTCACGTTTTCAACTGCCTCCACCTGAAACAAGTCCTTTTTCTTCTATACCTATATCTATCGGCCATATGTGTGTCTCATATGGACATATAAATGTGTCTTTTTAAATGTACTCGAACTTAGCGGATCACCTCTCGAGGTCAAAGTGTTTGTAAATCATTTGTTTGTTAATTTAACTAAGGTATTGTTATTATTACGAATAGCTAAAAATAACATTCTTATTACTTACTGTTGGATATTGAAAATTATGGCTACTAGAAATTGATTTACGTTTACACAACGAAGACTTTGACGACCCGACCATTAGCTAGTCTCATTATACTCGATAATCCCTTAAAAAACACATACCTAATTTGTCTACTAAAAGTAAACTAATGTTATATATCTATTAACTGAAATATAATATGTCATCTCATTTCTCGAGTAGTATTTCTTAAAAAAATAATTTCTTTATCTATTAGTCCAGCAGACGTGGACAAGACTATCAAAAGCTTTTATTGAAATTTAATTATTAGGTACTTACCGTTGTTGGCGGCGCTAGATTGAAAGTTTCAAAGTCGATACGTATCTGACAGACATTGTTGTTGTTTATTTCTACATTGTAAGAGCACTCGAGACCCGAAGACTCTCTGTTTAGAGGTGGGTTGATGAAGACAGCAACCTTAGTGTTGGTCCTAATATCACAAGCGTTCACTGAAAGATAAAAGTTGGTTTAACGCCATCTAGTAGTCATATGAAGTACTAATGTCAGCAACAAAATGAATGATGACAGAACGGATGTTTTAAGTCATTTAGGTAAAGTGACTTGGCTATTTTAAAACATGTTTATATCATTTCATTATACATTTATATTACTGAATTTTATTGTAAAATATTTATTCCAGACAAATGTGTGACATAAAAGTTAGATATAATAAAACCTAAAGTCGAGTACAATTTATTAGCCGATACCGTTAATGAGCCTAGAACAGTTTGTTAGGTCCAAATAAGAGTCTAATATTAAAAAATGTCATTATATAAAATTTTACACAGCATGTTTTTTTTTTCCTTTAATGTTCTATGGTTTTATGAACTTACGTGAGCAACAAGTAGCGAAAACTCCACAGAAGCCTATCGCCTTACCACCTTGGGTATTACACTGATTTCTCGATAGACAGACGCCACCGGTATTTCTGTCTGATCCTAAACACTGTTCACCATTTCCTACAGTAAAAATACTGCCTGGTGCTTGTCGCGGCGCTGCAAAACACAATTATTACAAATTAGTATTTAATATTAATATAAAAATATTGAAATATACAGTTTGATAATAGTGCCACCTATTGTCGAGTAGTGAAACTACTTACATCGAAACAATGTGGTGGCGTTGCAACAACACGCCGCGGCAAACAATAGCACAAGTGTGCTTAAATTACGGACCGCCATTTTGTGGAATTTCTGAAAAAGGAGGGAAAGTTCAATGTCTTATGTTTTAATATTAGGAATAATCAATATATCCCACTTTATATAATTAACATATAACATTACAATGAATCTTAACAATACTATAATTATATTGAATAAAAGTTTTAAACTTGATATTTTGAATAAATAACCGACACTTTTGACAAACTATTCTTCTAATAAAATTCTTAAAGAATGAGATCTCAATAAGACGCTTTTTATACAACCGCATTAACCAATTTCCATTACATACATATAAGTTCAGTATGAAAGTTAATTATAATACGAACACATTTAACGTCGGTTTACGTCGCGAAACTAATATAGGTATTATTCTTACGGCTCCTTGTGACCGCGGTTACTCATTTGAGTTTGAAAACATCAGTTTGTATTAAAAATAATTTAAGAGATATATTACATATATATATATTTTAAAATATTTTTCATTACTAGTTTTTAAAACGTAAAAATTATTATTTTTAAATGAAACACTATTAATGGTTTAAAACGCGCAATGAATTAATCGACTGCCCCACCTTGCGGATGTGTTGGAATTAAGTTAACTAATATTTCGCGTATTAAACCATAAACCATTCAAAGTGTTTTATTTAAATGCGTACTACTCGCGTAAACTGCAGACAGAACTTTTGTACCACTTTGATAACCGACATATAATACTTAAAAGTTTTAAAAGCTCGCCTAACAACTTAAAATGTACAGTTAAAACGAATCCGATTATGTTCGTGTTGCAATAATATCCTAAGACGCACGCATAGAATGACACCGTTAGATTCGAAAACCAGTCGAGAGTATTTTATTAAACCTTTGTCTTGACCGCTCGTACCGTAAATACTAGAGACTGAAGATGGCTCTTGCTTATGGCCATAAAATGAAGCACAAAAGCTGGAAACATGAATGGAATATTCGAGAACAAATAAGTAGGAAGACATTTGCGTTCTTGGAGGGTCAAACGCATCGCGTTTAGTGCTAGAGGTTTTGAATTGTTTCCATCGGGTAGGGCAGAGAAGTCTAATCGACGTCTTGAAGAAAGTCGATCAAAAACAGGCGATAATTTTAGCCTCATCTAAAGAGGACTTATTAGGGCATTTTTATAATCGAGAGAACACTTAAAAACAAAGCACTTCGAAATCATTTTTTCGTTTTAAAAGTATCAAATTTATAAATCAGAGGCGAAACAAACATTCACATCTACTAAAAAGTTCGATCGATTTATTAAATTGATAACTTTATAATTAATTTAAAATTTAAAGAACTCTCTAATTAAATTCATTTTTTTAACCGAAATAATCCGAATTTAGACCTAACCAGGCATAAAAAAATATTCATACAGTGTATTTTCGAAAATCGAAACACTTTCCGAATCTTAAGGAATGAATAATTTGTCTTATTTAAATTAAATTTTGATTAAGCAACGACTACATAAATTGTGATTTTTAAAATTTAAAATATAAATGTAATTAACGTTATCTTTAGGGATACTACTTAGTTGTTTAATACAAATACTTTTTAAAACTATCGTTTCGATTTAAAATTTTGCAAAATTATTTTTCGACAAATATACGCATTTCCAATGAAATTAAAACATACAATAAAAACTATTTTTAAAAATTGTAAACACCTAGTTAACGTATAAATTAGTAACTAATGAACCACTTGTTATGAGAATTGTTAACGTAGGTTACCAAAGCGGCTCTAAAAACTAACTGGATAATAGAAAAAATAAATGAATATAAATAAAATATATGTACGTACGTGTCTAGTGAAAATGGAGGCACCTATGAACAAGCCAAAAGTAGGAAGAGGTTATATACCTGCCAATAACCGCTCGTTATGAGCCGAGAGCCAACATTCACATTTCTGGTACTTAATTAAAATAGCTTTAAAAAAGTTTATGTGAGTTAACGTAAAATTAATAATAATAATAATATAAATAGTAAAATACATGGACTAACAAACTTATAAGTAAAATCCCGTTTCCGCCTTTCAGACGCCCCTTGTCCGAAAGGCGGAACAATTCTGGCCTTTTCACTTTCTTTTACAGTTGATCAGACTTCTGTGCCTTGCTCGACTAAAACAATTTATGTTTCTCTACGATTCGAACCTAGAACTACGCGTTACGCATTGCTAAGCAACATGTTACCATCTGGCTACAGACCGAGAGAAACTGGTCAATAATCAAATTAAAGATGTGTTTGTTTTCAATAACTACACCATACTCTATTTAAGAAAAACTTTTTTCAACATCTCACTGAGGTAATCTTCCGTCCAGCTCTTCAAGCTTCTACCTATATTGCGATGTTCTAAGCCGGGGCGTCTTTGGTCTAGCCGTAAGCAATCGAAAACGTCCAGTAACTCCAGGCTGCGAGCCACAATACGTAATAATCACTCAAAAAACTACGACGGAGGCAAAACGACCTCGTTGGTCTAATTGTAGCGAAGTATGCCTAAAAATCAACGAGTCGTGGGTTTTCTGAGACAGGTTTGACTTCGTCTGGAAATCGGGAGATATTGAATGGGTGGTAGATATATAGAAATTCTGTACGGGTCACGAACTACAGATAAAAAAAGCTGTGAAGTTATCGCGTTTCTGATTCAGTCTGTGGAATTCCGAATATCCAAAGCCAAAATAGGTCTAAATCGAATCTGCGTTTAGATGTTATATGTCTGGGCTATTTCACATACTATACATAAGAAAAAAATGTGTAGAGTATATTAAAAATTTAATCGTCATCTCCTACGCTAGGAATCTATGCGTCCACCTCCCGTAGTAATTTAAGCGAGATAAGTGTTTGTATAGAGAATTAATGTACAGACGGACAGTTAGTCGTCCCCGTACAATGTCGATATAGATAACGTCTAACGAGGAAAATGTTCACATTTTAGGGTCGCAGGTTCGATTACTACCTAGGAAATTTATTTTTGTGAAACCCGTTTACTGCCTTATATTCTCAGTCACAAGTTAAGCTTGGCATTGGCAAGGCTTAGGTGCTGGGTTCCAATCCTGGTAAAAATGAAAAAAGTGGTTTAAAAGTGACATAATAGTCTGACCACACACACACACTCATTGTCTGTACTTAAAAACGAACTGTCCCATGCCCCACGAAAGGAATGTGGGGTATTTTTACCTTCGCTTTCAACTGATTCATTTTAAATATTATGGTCTGTCAGATATCAGCAAACATTTTTTATGTTTATACGTTACCCTAGCGCCTAAAATACAGAACTAATTATAATGAATCAGTTGTCGAAAGATTCATAATAATAACGCGGGCACCTATACAATTTTAATGAAATAATTATATGTCTTAATTGGAACGTGACAGTCCAAAGACTACAAAATCAAGATAGGTACCTAGTCAACCTATGTTGGTATCCAAAGAACGAAAAATAAAGAATTTCCCGGAGTCCCGGTATTAGCGAATCAATGTGACAAATTTTAATATATTTAAATAAAACACTTTATTTAAATAAAACACTTTAACGGTTTAAAACGCGATATATTACATAAACTTATTTAAAAATCATTTTCAAATAAGTTTAACTAATATATCGCGTTTTAAACCGTTAAAGTGTTTTATTTAAATGTGTACTACTCGCGTAAACTATAGACAGTATATAAAACACTTTAGCCGTTTAAAACGCGACATATATTATATAACTTACTTGAAAAATATTTTAACTAAGGCCCGACGTTTCGGATGCTTTGCAGCAACCGTGGGCAAGACGTCGGGCCGTAGTAAAATTATTTTTCAAACACGTTTAAATAATATATCGCGTTTTAAACCGTTAAATGAGTACTACTCGCGTAAACTACAGACAGTATTTAAAATTTAATATATCTTTTCATTAATCGTTACTAAGAATAGAATAATGGTCTGATAAATAAATTGTTATTATTGTTACTAACCCGCGCAGGAGTGGCATAGTGGGTCCATGGTATGCGAGACGTGCCCAGCCAGTGGGAAAATAGTAGGATGAAGCAAGACTCATGTACCGCTACCGAAGTGATACCAACAGCTACTTTAAGTTAATAGTCGTACTATTGACATTGTCATGTGAGTTATAAAATGTGTAAAATTTAAATTCATTTAAAGATTTGACTGTTATAGATACATGTATGTGTATACGTAAAACTAATAAAAGAAAATATCTTCTTTTGATAAAACTTGTGACGGTTCAAATTACGAAATATATTAATCAACATTTTTTAAATTTATTTTAACAATGGCCAGTAGTTTCTGCTGATAAAAATATACAATTTTTGCGTATTACATTTGTTTTATTTATTTGTGTACGACAAAACTTGGATTACAAAGGATAATGTAAGTATGTAATTGTATAAAAAAGTAATCTTTAGCGCACCAAAGAATACAGTACAAAATAATGTTGTAAAGGTAATCCGTTTACAGAAGATTACATCCACAAATGAAAATCAATCGTGAAGGTTATCCTTAACTAAAACAGGTCGACAACACATCTTGCTTAGATGTTATAAAGCTGGGGTATATCACCTTCCATCGAGTGATGATGCATCTGTCGTCCTCTATCATAAAAATTATATATACGTCTTTGATTTAGCACAGTCGGTTAATCCGTTGGTCCACCACTTATGATGTCAACAACTTAGTAAACATTTGACCAGACCGTTGACTTTACAAATAGAACGAAAATTTTTAAATTATTTGTTTTCCAATTCTTCTGTTAAAATTGTTGATTCAATTGGTCATTTAACTTTGGTATAATCTGTGTACTAGGAAAGGGGAGGAATTTGTGTTCTCACACATCAAGCGAAAAACTTTTGATAGGTACGATTTAAAACAAACATTTTCATTTGATAGCGCTCTTTCCAAACTGTATATCTGGTTAGAAGGCTGTTTAGACAAGAGAGTTTAAAACACGATTATCTTTAATATATTATATTATATGAAAAGTTAAATGTCTCCTGTTTGGGCCATGGGGCA